ATTTTCGATTATGCCAACTCGACTGAAATGGCTTCTTTTGGTACACCGGGAGAAAACGTGAGAAGCACGTGATCGGTCAAAGTTATCGGCGTTTGATAGTGTTGCGTTTGCTCTACTGGTGCTTTTGATTATGATAGAGCAGGAAATACGTTTTTGTGCAAAGCTCTGACTAATTTTTATGAGAATTTTTTTTGAAAAAAAATTTTCTCCAATAAAAAAAATCGAAAAAATCGATTTTATGCGATTTTTTTTTCCTAAAATTTGATTGGCCTACCGGCCAAATGTCAAGATTTGATTGAAAAATAACAATGAGAAGATCATCAAGCTATAAATCTCACTTCTTTTTCAGAAGAAATCATTTTTCGGAAGATGGCTTTCGTGTTGAAAAAGAGCTGAGCGGAGATTTGGATCGACTCCGGCGGGAGGAGGGGTGTTCTCTTTCTGGTGGAGATCCGATTATGCCTCCCGAATGCGAACCCAGATGTGGTCACGTGGACAGGATTCGGTCCACGGGGGATAAATCATTCACCCACCTGGTTGGCAGCGGTACTTTTTTTCCTTCACGTTATGGATTTCCGCAATTCAGAAAAGAAGCGCTTCTATTTGTGGGAATGTTTTGAAGAACCGAGCTTTTTGAATGTCAATTAGATCCCACACGAAATCTTGGACCTGCTGTACCTTGTATAGTGAATTTCGGGCAAGGTGTCATTTTTCCAGAAGCTTCGATTTGATTTTTTTCTTTTTAATTTTTCGTCCAGTTATGTCCAAATTTGAATCCTCGCTTCCGGCCTCAAGAACCTTGAGACCAATTTCGCAACATTTTCGATCTCGCGAATTTTCCTCTTCGAGCGCGCTTTAGCTGTAAATTTTATTATTATGGTGGCTTTGACCACCTCAGAATCGCCAGAAGTGTAATTAATGTGGCTAATGGCGTTAGCTCGCGCGACAAGGATTATTAAATCGAGGGGCTCTTAATGTTATAAGTCACATGTGGCTTGTGAAACCGGAAGCGAGGCTAGTCCGCAACGTGAGGGAATAACTGCACGTGGAAAATTTGAGAAGCGTTAGGGCGTCTTTAATTTGATAATACAAAATCTTTATCAAAAATGCTTCAAAAAAACTCCGATAAAAACAATTTTGGAAGACCGAAATTCTGATTTCAAACTTTTAAGGACCGACGATTTTAAGGCTTCATTTTTTGAGGGTCTATCTCGACTCTAACACCCTCAAAATCGCGTTTGAAAATTGGACTTTTCGACGCAAAATGACGAAAAAGACCAAATTTTGCTAAAATTTCAGATTTTTATTGGTCAAAAATTACTTTGGGCAAGTTTTTATGAAGTTTTTAAACTTCCAGGCACACTAAGAAGCCAAAATATAGCTATTTTGAAATTTTCGATTTTTGGAGGAAAATTGTTGACGGGGGTCCTTAAAGCCATAGTTTGTTTTTTCATTAAGGATCTAATGATACAAGTCCCCAAGCTATCAGATAAAAAAATCAACGACAGAAACTACGGTTTAGGGCCCCCCGCTGGAGACACGATAAGGTGCCCCTATCGCCCCAAAGTCGCCGCTTGGTAAACCCGGTCCAGGTAACTTCTAAAACCCAGCGCACAACATCACTTTTCTTTTGGCAAACTTTATTCCTTCCTCATATAAATCCCTCACGTAAGAATTAACAGTAAGAAGAGCTGGTCGATCCAGCTACAAGAGCCCTGTCGCAGGGGATTTCCCTGATCGGCGAAAACGAAAAAAGAGGGAGAGAGAGCGGGTATTTCCAATAATCTATTGGCTACTCGTTATAAATTATGAAGCGTGATTTGGCTGAAAAGGGCCCTCGCCAGGGATCAGAACATCTTTTATTCATAAAATCGGTGACCCCTGGTCATTCCATTTTATTTTCATCAACGCAGTTTCCTTCACGTTGTCTGACCCTCTCCTGAGAAGCGAATCCACTTGGGCGCGTGCTCTCGGAGTGCCCTTATGTGGTCTTGAATTAATCGCTGTTTTCCTGCCGCTGAGCCACTTTCTGATGATGCAACGACATTAGGTACCTTCCGGCCTTCTCAAGATCCCAAAACTTTGGCGACAAGAGGAAGCGACCCAAACTGGGCGCCGCGCACTACTAGAAACGTGGCCAATTAGTCGAGTCAAGAGCCAGACCCTAGAAGGAATACTTAGACCGCGAAATTTCAATTCTTACAATTATTTTTTGGAAAAGAAGCTTTCTATTGCAAAATCGTTTCCAAGCTTCTGAAAGGCCGTTGAAACCCAAAATAAAGACATGATTTTCAAATGCGATTTTGGGGGTGAAGGAGTCGAGATAGACCCCCAAAAAATGGGGGAGGTGTCTGGAACCGACAAAAAATTTCGACAAATTTTGCGTGGAAATTTTCAACCAATCAGAAGCCTGCATTTTGCAAACCGGCCAATAAGCAGCCGAGTAGCCGCCAACGCAAAATTTGTCGAATTTTTTTGTCGGTTCCAGACACCTCCCCAAAAAATGGAGCCCCAAAATCGTTTTTTGACCCGTAGAATCCATTTCCGGGGTCAAAATTTTGATATTCCAAAATTTGATTTTTCGAAAAAAGCTGACGGGGGTTCTTAATATAATCTCAAAAACTTTTACTTTCAAAAGAAAGAATTTCTTATCTGAAAACATGTTCATTGGGAAGTTAATGTCAGCAAATTAACTTCCGTGAAAGGGTGCAGTTCTCAACGTGGTGTTTATCTGTAGACAAAAAATCCCGACCGCGTAACGATCATAACTGTGGCTCAGAATTTGTTGCAAAAAGAAACACTTAAAACGAAGAGAACACCATTTTTCTCAAATAGACACTAAATTAGCTGCGTAATAAAAATGTTTCTTTTCTTCATTTTTTCTGAAAGTCAACTTTCTCGCCCTTGCTGATAAGACACCGCAGTAACCCCCACCGCCTGGCAGTCGATTACGTAATCTTGCAGCGCACCAAAAATGTTGCGGTTTGATACCACTCACGTTGGAGCTGCCCCAAGATTCTCGTCCTTGCGGGCAGCCAAAGACCACCAGAAGTTAAAACATGTCCCTTCCGCTTCTCGTTACCCTATTTTTCTTCTTACTCGTCATTTTCTTCAAGAAATTATATCATCTAAAAGATTTCTTTGTATTTGGGAAAAGAGAAAGAACACTCTGATCTACAGAAGGTCGGATTGTCAGATAGAGGGTCTCGGGGGCGAAGCCGCCTGGGTTAGGCTTTAGCTGAGCTGACCTGAGCTGGCCTGAGTAAAAATTTCTCTTAGCTGAGCTGAGCTGGTCTATCTCAGAGGTAACTGAGCTGAGCTGACCTTTTTCTGAGATCATTGAGCTGAGCTGAGCAGAACAGATCATTTTAAAAATTATTGAGCTGAGCTGAGCTGAGTGAAAGTTGTTTGAGCTGAGCAAAAGGTGAACAGTTCAGCTCACTCTTTTTTGCTTCTTTCACTAAATAGAATCCTGCTCAGCACAGCTCACTCAGATCAGCTCAACATCCCTATAAAGAGTTTCCTCAGCTCAGCCCAGTCAATTATTTCTCAAAAAATCTAGCTCAGCTCAATCAAAATTTAAGCCAAGTTCTGGTTCAAAATTGCAAATTATTTATTTTCGGTGAGCTGAGCGACCTGTGTGAAAAATTCTCTGAACTGAGCTGAGCTGGCCCATTTCGGAGCTCACTGAGCTGAGCTGTGCTTTTTAAGAGGTCACGGAGCTGAGCGGAGCTGAGCAGATCCTAATAAGAGCATTTTCGAAAATCACTGAGCTGAGCTGAGTGACGCTATCAGTCAGCTCAGCTCACTCAGCTCACCAAATTTGCAACTTTGCTATGAACAGGACCGATTCTAATTATAATCGCTGCAAATTATACTTACCTTATCTTAGGTACAACCCACTTGAAACCTTCATCTTTCGTAGACAACCTTTAATGTCCAGGAAAACTGACAGCCCTCAATTCAGAAAAAATATTAGAAAACTTAGATCGTAAAAGGGCATCATGAGGCCACGGTGTCTAGCCACTTGTTGCATGAAATCAGCGACGCTGATTTTTAAAAGTCGAATTCGCAAATTCAAGCCTCAAAATATCAAGTTGATGGGGCTCGAATGCACACTCTGATGTAAATCAAAGGTCGAAGGCTGTGGCTGCCAGAGTCTGGCGCTTTCAAACAAGGTCATTTTAGACTTGTCGAATTGCGAAAAAAAAAACATCGTTTAGTTTTTTTGATAAGACTCTTGAAAGCTTAATAATTCTAGAAATTTAGCGGTACATTGCAACGTGGGTAAGAACAGCGCCTTGTTGCGGTTTTCTTTCTCTGAAAATTGAATAGTTGGCCAATCTTAGGGGCGCACTTTCGGCTTTGAAAGGAATGCGAGAACATTTTCACTCCACGTTTTTTGCTCACCGCAGATCGCCGAATCTAGCCCGCTCGATTATGAAACCATTTTTAATTCGAATTTCGATCAGCACAGATATCATCTTGTTTAAGAAATCTTTCCTTAATTTATAAAAAAAAATTTCGAGCTTTGGAATCATAGAGGAAAATTCCAAAAAAACAATTCAATTTTTTAGATTTTTTATGAATACATTTTTTATTCTAATAATTTTTTAATAATTAGAATCTTTTTTTTTCTAATAAAATAAAATTATTTAAAGTAATAATTTTAATAAATTTTAAAATTTAAATAATTATTTTTTATTAATAAAACAATTGTTTATCTCTCTCTTTTTTCAATGTATATATTTATTCCAAGATACGTTTCCAAATAGTAATTATCTTTTCGCTTCACCGACCCCATTTTCGCCCATTCTCCGTTTTTTAGCCAAAACCGCGAGATCAATATTCGAGCGCTGAGCGTTTTTTCATTTTTCCTTCAGATTTCCTACTGAAGAAATAAAAGAGCAAATAAAAAGCGCGAGCAAACTCACACGCATTCATTCGACTTAGAATTTTGTCAGAGAGAAAATAAAAAGAAGCAGTGGGAGGGAGAAATAATGAATGAAAATGACATTTTGTACTATTGCCATGCCTGCAAGACTTATGAAGAAACGTAAGGAAACTTTTTTCGATAATTTTTCTGAAAATTTTTTTCAGACACATCAATTGGGCTTGTCTCAATTGCGGCAAATCTCCCTTCATCGAATCTGTCCCGAAATACCCAAATCGCACAATAGACGAGTTGCCACAAATGCCGCGAATTCTTAATGCAGAAGAAATGATTGCAGAGGTATCGGCTTGGATAAATGTGCAAATAACAAACTTGTGTTTTAGCTAGCAAAAGTGATCGATCGACTGCAAAACATCACTTTTCGAGAATATTTTTTGGAGGATGAAAAGCTCAACTTTCCAAAGGACTGTGCGATCTGCTTGAATCCGTTTATCAATGATGAGTCTCTCGTGCAGCTCAAAAACTGCGACCATATTTTCCACAAGGTACGAAAAAAAAAGATTTTGTGAAAAAATCTTCTCTTATCAAAATGGCCCTTTTTAACCTCGTCCCTAGTCATGTGTCCTGAATGCAGTAAAATACTGCAACGCCTGCCCTCTCTGCAAACGCCCAGCTATTACGTCTTCTTAAAAACACCCGTTACGCAACGCTATGCAAATAAGATTCATTTCCAACCTGACTTTTTTTCTCTTTCATTCTCGTCCTGACCCTTTTTATTCTGTTAGATTTCAAATAAATGTGATAACAGCATCTTTTTTATTCATTTCTTTCATCGGAGACTCTGCTTCTTGAATTTGATGGCTAAAAATGAGTCGTGAAAGGCTTGAAATCAAGGAAGACTCACCAGGCAAGGACCATTTTCGACCATTTACTGGTGGCGGGTCGATAACTAAAATTTTTGAACGCGGTTTCAAATGAAAGGCTTACTTGTTGCGCATGATTTACGTCGATGAAATCGTCCGTCATCCAAGTCTCTTGAAATTTTTTCGTTTCTAGGAAATTTTTTTTTGCAAAAAATTTTATTTTTTTTCATCAAACGGATTTTTCACATTTTTTCTTCAATAAATTACCTTGGTTTTGTATCGTATCTTCCGTTCGTAATTCTGATCGTATTATAAGTATAATGCGTCTTGCAAAACTTGCAGAAGCACAAGTACTGGAACTTCTTACAAGGTTCTTCTCTGCTTTGAGAGGTTCTGTGTTGAAAAGGAAAGTACATTTCTACGACTGGAGTATTCTGATCGGGAAATAATGCGCATATGACGAGCTGCGGCTTACGCGTATTAGCCGAGATTTGAAGCAAAAGGTTCATCAACAGCTAATCACATTCACATCGATCGCGGTAAGGCTTCATTTCGAGTCCACTTTTGTAGAAGTGCATCAAAAGCATTCATAAAATCCTCCGAAAATTCAGTATCGAAGATTTAGTAAAAGTTAAACTTCAAAATTTGGCCTTAAAAATACCCCCTAACCTTTTATTGAAGTTTTGATTGGACCTATCAACTATTCTAAAAAGGCTTTCCTTTCTTTTTAAATATTTTTTGTGACGATGCGTGAGTTCATCGTAGCGGTCGTTTCTAGGTGGAATAGATCTTGCGGAGGAAGAGGAATGAGCGAGTCGTAAGTTCCTCCGAACTGACCCAATCGCCCTCGGGCCCGACTGGACCTTTCATTTTTAACTGAAGCTTCAAAACCGAAATTTATCGACGTTCGGGCATTAAAAATATTTTTCTATATAAAAATATCTTTCAAGGTTTTTTTGAAAAGAACAGTTTCTTAAAATTTCAAGAGAATAAGATAATGGACTAAAAAGAAAGAAGAGAAAACTTCAATAAAAGGTAAATACTCATCAAATTCAAGTTATCTTTTCCGAACTTCATTAATTCGTTCAAACTCATGATTGCTTTAAAAACCTTAAAAAATAAGATATTTGAGCTTAAACATTGAGGAAAAATATATCGTTGTATTCTTCTTGAATCGAATCAATAAAAATTAATCTAAAATAAAATTTCTAACAAAAATGCTTTTACTAGCCAACAATCAAAGTAAAAGTCGATTTCTTTTAATTTTTAATATTTTATAAAAACAATTTCGTTTTTTAACTTTCTCATTTTTTTTTCTTAAAATTCGGCGTCCTATAATTTCGATTCAGTATAATTTCTACTGATTTTTAAATAGATTCAAAAAATTTCTTAATCGAATTTCTAAATCTTTTTTTTCCGCAAAAGTACAAGAAAGTTAGAAATAGACTTCATCGCAACGTGAGAAAATTAGTTCGTCCGGGGCGTGGGGAGGTAGTAATTTCGCGTGGCTAAACAGAGAGTTGGAAGAGCGAAAACGCGCGAAATTCCTGGAGCGCGCGTTCCCTGCGCCGCGCCGCGCACCACCACCGCCGTAGCGCCCACCGCCCACGCCATAGCTCGGACAAATACGTGTTCCCTCTTTACTACTTCCCGAAATTCGTGCGAATCCATCGAATCACGTTTTCAACTTCCCAAAACTAAGCGATAATCATCTCTTCTATTTTCGACTTTATCGAAAATGGAGATTTTTTTCAGATTTTTTTTTTCATTTTTAATAAAATGACATCTATTTTAGGAAGAAAATGAGCTCCCGGGAAAGCTCTCGTCGAGGATCAAATGCATATTCGCACTCTTCCTTGTCTTCAAATGGCAGCTCCGTCACAGCAACACGTGATTTATGGCGATTGCGCCAAACCATGCATTGCCTTGAAAAATGCGTCTTCTACCACGGTTCCCTCAATCGAAATGCTGCCAGGTAAAGAACAAAGAAATTCTCTGAAATTTTGAACAAAAATTTTCAGGGAGAAAATGAGACGCTGTAAGCCCGGCTGCTATTTGATAAGAGACTCAAATGACCCTCAGTATCTTTTTACGCTCCAACAGACGCTTCATTTCGTGGGCCCTTGTGCTACGAGAATCGCTTTTATACAGGTCAGCAATATTAAGAAAAAGGTATTTTACAGGTTATTCAGGGTCTTTTTCGATTCCAAGATTCAACAGGAGTAGAAAACGGCGCGCGCGAGAATCGTGGATTTCCCTGTGTCGTCTCTCTGATTGAGCATTATGCTTCAAAATACCGCGAAATGGACGTTCTAGCACTTCGTTATCCGGTCTCGAAGCACGATGAAATTCATGAAGAAGCGGAGGAGCACAATTGTTTTGTAGAAAGTCCACATGATGATGCAGCAGAAACGCCGAGAAGAATTCATCCCGAATTAGCGGCTAGTTTGGCTGGGTCGACTCAAACTTGCAATAGGTAAGGGGTTTTGCTAGACATTTTTCAATAATTTTCAGCTGCACAAGCCATTCGGGACCAACGAGGCTAGAATATCAGGATGGCCAACAAAATGGCCATCATGCTGAGCGAGTCAGTAGAAGAGCCAATTCTGATGGAGCGATTGCCACTGGATTTGCTGAGCATGGGCGCAGATCGACAATTCATGCGACGGATATTTCAACAGAAATGAGACCCAATGATTTGAGGCAGAGTTTGAATGGGTTGAAAGAGCGCATGGAAAGTGAGGTAAAATCATAAAAAGAAATCTGAAGAAATTTTTAAAACCCTTTTTTTTTCTAGATCGAAAAGACCAACCAACCGAATCTCGAAGAAATCTTCCCTGGAATCGAGCCGCTCATCTCCACTGCTCGTCGAAATTCAGCCGATCGCCATTTCAAAAAGGCCTCGCTCGATCCATATTTCACCTGCGAGAGCATAATGCAAAACACCCTCCCCACTCAGCAACAAATCGAAAAGAGCTCTAGAAGAAGCAGCAGAAAAAGCCTCGCTCGATCGAGAGAAGAACTCGAGGCAGAAATCGACCGAGATTACAATTTTTCCAGCTCGTTGGGAAATGTGAAGATTGATTTGGACGATTTGGGAGCGATTCTTGGTGGCACGTCGATAACTGTAGCAAATGATGACTAAAAATAATGACGATGAAGATTTTAATTGTTAAAATATTCTTTCACTGCCTCACAGATTCTGCGGTCCTTTTTTCGTAATATAATATTAGTAAAAAGCTTTCAGAATCAAGAATATTTCAAAAGCGAGAATATTTTCTACAGATCAGAAAATGAATCACCATTTTTCAAAACGGAAATCAATAATGACTTTATTTTTCAATGAGAGAAATTTCCTACGATGAGCAGCTTGCAGAACTTGGCTATGAAAAGTCAAAACAGGTCCTTATTTATTGATTTCTTCTTTTAAACTGGCTCTAGAATCCGTTCAAAGAATTTCTTGGCGAATTGAAATCAGGGTGCTTCAACTCGATCAAATTAAAACAAACGGTTTTTGCTTACTGCCTCAGTTTTCAGGTTTTTATTCTTTTGGAAAATCTATTCTGAAAGTTTAAGGGAGTCACAGTGAAAGATATTTTGTCCGACCTAATCGTTGGAATCACTTATGCGCTGATTTCCTTTCCGACTGCCTTGTCTGTTTCATTGATTTCGGGGAGCAGTCCCTATGCTGGAATGAACACGGTGATTTTTGCTCAGGCAATTTATACAATTTTCGCGGCGAATACAAAAGTCGCATTTGGTAACTCGAATGTCATGGCTGTAATGAAAAGGATAATGAAATTTTCCTAACAATCTCAGTCTCAGATCGTTGAGTCTGTTCTCATCAGTTTATCCTTATCAAGTTGGCGCGTCAATTTCTGACTTCAAATCGTCTTGGACCGACTACTTCACTCAAAATTCAACCGATCCAGATTATTTTACCTATGAAGAATTGAGCAGCAAATATCTCGTCACCCTCGTCGTTTTCACTGGAATCTTTCAAATCCTCTTCGCTCTCTTCCGCATCGATCAGCTGACTGTTTTCATGCCGACTTCAGTCATGTCAAGCTTCATCTGCGGCTTGGCCGTTCAAGTCTTCATCGGACAACTAAAGAATATTTTCGGCTATTCAAAGGATCTGATGCCTTCTCTTTTCGAGCCCGCTGGAAGTGTCAAAATCGTCATCGCCAGTTTCCAGAACTTGCCGATTTTGAATGTTTCATCCCTCACGTGAGTTTTGAGTTTTGATATTTTTTGATAAGATTTTAGGATTTCTGCGATTGGTCTGATTTTCATCTCGTCATTTTTGGAGATCAATAAATCTTATGAAGGGTTAAAAATTTTGGCTTAACCAATAAAAGGAAGTTATTTTACTCGATTGCGTTTTGATTGGCCGGCAGGCCAAATACGGGAAGCTTATTGGTCTTCCATAAATTCACCTCATTTTTTTGGTTTGTGGCCAAAATTTTTAACTCACGAAAGAAAAAAGCGCTGAGAAACTATCAAATTCCATCCGAATTTCTCATCCTTATCTTCTCCATCATCTTTGGCTACTTTTGGCAATACAAGTCAACATTGGACGTTGTCGGAGAATTCAAATCTGGCTTCGACCAACCAGAACCAGTAACTTTGAAAATGATAGAGCTAGTTCTTCTGGACTCTTTCGTCATTGCGATTACTGGATACTTCACCACTCTTGCTGTTGAGCAAAGAGTTTCAGAAAGCTTGGAGCAGGATCCTGTCAATGTTGCGCTGATAAGTGGCTTGGCCAATTGCGTCAGTGGAGTTTTTCATGGTTTACCGGCGATGGGCTCTGTATCGCTTTCTGCGTATTTGGCTGGAAATGATGTTAGGACGAGGGCTCTAGAAATTTTCACTAGGAGAAAAGCTGTTTACTGATTGGTCGAGTATTTTAGCGCAAATTTAAAAATGATTATTGAGCCAAAATGAGAACTAGAATTGTTCCAACAACAAACATTCTCGTCATTCTTTTATTTTACTACCTCCTCCCTGACGTCATCAGATGGCTTCCAAAATCCGTCCTCGGAGTTATCATCATCATTCACGAGCTAAGAGCGCTCAAAAATTTCAAAGTCTTCCTTGAATCCTGGAATTTCAGAAAAATTGATGGCGTTGTTTGGCTTCTCTCATTTGTGCTCACAGGATCAGGTCTTTCTTAAAAATTCTTTCAAAAAATGAATGAAAAAGATCACGAAAAAAAGTTCTTTTTGGACCAAAATGGGGGCTGTTCAGTTCAGTGGTTCTCCAGCTGGCAAATTACTTGCTCACTTATTATGGAAATAAAATAGAAATTCTTGGCCAGCTTGATGATGGATCCTTCAGAGATAGCAAATTCTTTCCCGAAGCGAAACCGATTCAAGAGGATGGAATCTTTTTGCTGAGATTTCCATCTGCTCTCAAGTAAGACAAACAAAATGTCCCTTTTTATCGGGTCGAAAATTTTCAGTTATGTTTCGACCTCTGGAATATTGAGCAGCATTATGTCGATCTCTGGGCTGAACAAATCATCGAATCTGATTCTCGATTTCTCGAAATGCTCCTCTCTCGATTTTTACTCCGCCGAAGCTCTTGGAAAATTCATCGTCTCTTTTGAAAACATCTTGCTTACTAACATCAGTACTCCTGTTTACGAAGCGCTGAAAAAAGAAATTCAAGATGATCGATTCCCATTTTTGATTGTTAGTACAAATCTTGAGGCGATCGAGATTATGAAGGAGAAAGAAGAGGAAGGAGAAAAGGCGGATGGGATGAATGGAAGAGGAGGAAGAAGAGAAAGAAAAGATTTTTGCATCCGACAAGAGTACTTTAACAGAGATCACAAATACTCAAACTTCTACATTTACTGAATAAACAAGAAGAAAGTCTTTTCTTTCATCCGAATTCTTCATCTTCTATTAGACCTTTTAGACGTTCAGAGTTGCCTCTGCTGACTTTAATTATTTATAGGTTGAGTATAACATAGCCATGTGTTCAAATCTTTTTTTTGCATAAGTGTCTGTTTTTCTCTCTCTCAAACTTTGAACTTGTGAATAAACAATAGTCCTAGAGTAATACAACCACAGCTCGAAAAATCAGCAAGGTTTTTTACGAAGAAAATCTTTCTGATTACAGTAGTTATAGTATTTTCTTTACAAATTGAAATAATTTGCTTTTATCATTTATTTTCTTGAAAAAAATAAGACATCAGAATCGATTAGAATATTTCTTTTCCTTTTTTGATCCCTCCATATTCTGATTTATTTTTTTTATTCTCAACTCGCCCTGCGCGTATAAAATATTCAGAGCTAAAGACGAAATCCTCTGCTGATGGCGCACCTGAGTCGCCGAAGCTCTTGTGCGTAAGTGCTTGAAGCTGACTATCGTCCCTTTTTTTCGTTGCATTACTCTACTGTATTTTCGGAGCGTGATTTTCTTTACAATTCCGGATTTTTTGATATTATTATAACGACAAATAGAGCTTTTATTCTCGGCAAGAAGAGCCAGTACAGGTTTGTTAAATCAATTTTTCTTTTTGCTTTTTTGGCCTTTTTATTATCAATTTTTGACTCGAAAATGTTTTTTTTTTAAAAAGCTTTTTTAGCTTGAAATCAGCCTTCCAATGTTGAATCATTAGATGGACTTATTTAAGAGTTTTCCGAAAAAAATAGTTTGATTTTTTCTTTTAGCCAATAAGAAACCAATTCGACGCCAAAGTCAACAATCCCAGAGCTTTTTCATCTTTTGTATTTGAAAGGACGTTCTAAGGGGGTGGTGTCAGGAACCGACGAAAATTCTGACAAATCTTGCGTGAAAATTTTCAGTCAATCAGAAGCCTGCCTTCGGCTCTCCGGCCAATCAGCAGCCGAGTAGTCGCCCACGCAAAATTTGTCGAATTTTTTAACGGTTCCTGACGCCACCCCCTTCTTAGAGTCCCTTAATTAAGGAGCTCAGGAGTTTCTTAACTTAAGAACCTTAGGTTTAGCCAATGAATAATAAAATTAAACATATCTGTCCAAGTAGAACCACTTAGTCCGTGAGCTGTTTGTTTCTTTTGCTCGGTTTTGAACCTCGCCAATTTATTTCAACATGAAATTGATCAGAACTGATCTGATCCCATGGATTTACGCTTGGCGAAGATCATCCCCGCAAATAATATTTAATGCGACCACAGAATGAAGAAATCGATCCCTCCTTTTATCAGCCTTTTATTTGGTTTCATAGGCAATAACTCAACTTTAAAAGGTCCTCAAAAAATTAATTAATTAATAGCTTTTGAGGCTTTTTGAAAATCTAGAAAATTCAAGGAAGTTTTCATTTTAACCATCAATTTTGAATAAAAGCATCAAAAATAAATTATCCAAGAAGACAATTTGAAGATGAGTTTTCATGCAAGAATTTCAACTTGATTTATTTTGCATTTCCATCAAAGCCAATTCAATCAAAAAATAGTTTTTGAGTTCAGATGTAAATGGCTCGTCAGCATGTTGATTCTGCTTCTCGCGGCTGTAATCCCTTCCTCGACCGCCGCGGGAGGATCGAACGAAACGAGTGCGCCGCGAGCGCTAGAACGCGTGCCGCGACAGTCAGAAGATGATGTCGCTGAGAAGATTTACTTTCTTCTCAATGAAGGTAAGAAAATTTCAATGAGAAAAAATTATGACAGAAGAATCAAGTCGATTTCAAATGTAAAAATGAGCCAATCAGAGGCCATTGAACCCTATACTTTCTCTGATTGGCTGAGAAAACCCATACTGACCTATGATTGGCTGAGCCTTCTTTACAAAAGATCCCCTCGTTCTGAGGTTTAAATGCCTTTCAAAAATAAGGTCGAAAAAACACCATCATCAGCTCTTTTTCAGGAGTTGGCTACACAGCGATGCCAAGACCCGCCTCAGGAAAACCACTCAAAGTCTTCCTTTCGGTCATGATCGAGTCAATCACCGATATATCTGAGGTAAAGTCGATATTGCACGACTCGCCGAATATTTATCGCCATTTACTTTATGCTTTCTCTCTCGCCGAATTAAACGATGCATGAATAATTTTGTTCAGGTTAATATGGATATGACCCTGACCATCTGCATCCACCAGGCCTGGCACGATCACCGTTTGCATTCAAAAACAGGTTAAAAATGCCCTTTTGACTCGTTTCGGAAAACTCCCTTTCAAGATTTTTTGAAAACAGACGAAGCATACGCCATTCCGTCCGGCTTACAGTCACGTGTTTGGGTGCCAGACTTACACATTCAAGGTACTTAATGCTTCCTTGCTGTTTCTCATGAATTCTTAAACAGGGGCGAAGAAAAGCGTCATCCATCAAACAATTTCGCAAAGCAGTGCTCTTCGACTTCGAAAACGAGGATTCTTGGATTTGAGTTTAAAGTAAGCCGCTCAAAAATACCCCGAAAAATCCATTCTCGAATTCAAAACTGACTGTATTTCAGAATGACAACGACTGTTGCCTGTCAAATGTCACTGTTTAATTTCCCTTTGGATACGAATAACTGCTCCATTACCATTCAATCTTTTGGCTATGGCTCCAGGAAAGGGTTCAACGTTGCTCTTTTGGGCCTTTATTTGAATAAATTATTCGTCTAACATTAAGGAAAGAGTCTCTCTTGAGAGATAAAAACTCCATTTTTGCTAAAAAACAGTATGAACCCTGATTGAAAGTGATCTCCAGCTTCTTTGGATCAAAGGTCGGTCGCTCATTGAAATGTTCATTAGTCGGTGTTTTCTTGACTTACTTAACCCGTTCATTATTAATAAGCTTGTTCAGGGCAAAGGGATGAGGAGCTCTTCATGGACAAGACGATGGTTGAATCAATGCCGAAATTTCGCCTCAGGGACGTTTTTTTCGCGACAAGAAAATAAATATGGGTATCCATTCATGTACTAGTAGGGTGGGAAAAGTCATCAAAGATAATATGCAGCGGGGTTAGGGTTAGGCGAAAGCCAATTTTAGAGGAAAAAAGCGCCCTCCCCCGTGTTAGGGTTAGGACTACGGTTAGGCTAAACCAAATTTTTTAGATCATATTTTGAAAAAAACGGACTCAGACACTATTCGTATCACGAAAAGAACTGGACTTACGGAGGAAAGCTTTATAACGGTAAGAATGGCTGATAAAAATCGATCACGTGAATGGCAGGTTGAGCTCGTCACGTGGCGGCAGACGTCAATGAATCGGATAATCTGACAGCCCTTTCCATTTTACATAAAAAAACTGTTTCTCGTCAAAATCAGAAAAATCAGAAAAACTTGACAAAAAATCAAAAAATTATCTGAAAACTATGAAAAGGTTGTTTTTTCGTTCAAAATATATTTTTCAGTTACTGTCTCTCAACTGGCTGTATCTTTCGAATTGGAGCGCTACCTTCTGTCGGTCTTTTTCCAAAGCTTCTTTCCTGGAATGATTATGGTGATTCTTGGTGGATTGTCGATGTTTCTAGATGCAAAATCAGTTCCAGCGAGAGTTTCTATGGGTGAGCACTGCTGCTTCTCTGAATTATTTATCACGCATTTTGTTTAAAGGGGTGATGACGGTTTTGACAACATCGACAATTATTCAAGGTCTGAAGAATTCGCTGCCACAGGTAATGATCTTCACGTTTTTCGAGTCAAAAGATATTTCTAGGTTTCATACTTGACCGCATTGGATATCTACTTGTGGGCTTGTTTTCTATTCGTCTTCGCGGCAGTTCTAGAATACGTCGCATTGAACATCATGGTGCGCCAGAGAGCAAATGCGACTTTGAGGGTAAGATAGCGGCTCTCTTTACCAAATCGATTTTCTATTTCCAGGCTTCGTATTCATTCGACGAAGATGAAGACGATCATTCAAACGAAAGTGGACTGCAGAATGGACGATGCAACAATTATAGCGGCCAAAATGGATCGGTTCCTGTTTGGAATGTAAATTCTCAAAATTCGAAATCAAGGAGGAAAACGATTAATTCAGAATATTGTCAGGCGAAATATCGCCGACGATGACCTGAAAAACATGACAACATACAAAAGCGACAATAGAAACATCAACGGAATTACGGGGAACCATAATGAAGCAGAAAAAACGCAGCCTAAGAAGACGAAACTTTTTGCTGTCGGTAGATTCAAGTACGTTTTTGTTTCAATAATTTGTTTGATAAAAATTTTTATCAGAAAAAGAAGATTTCCGAACATCAAAATGTCCGATTGGGTCAGAAGTCCGTCGAACTTGGAGAAGAAATTTCGTCTTATTTATTTTATTTCTTTTATAGGACAGGGTTCTTAGTCCAAGAGTGGCTAGGGTTAGGGTCGGATAAAGGGTTGGTGTCACGAATCGACAAAAAAATCTCGCCAAATTTTGCGTGGGCAGCTACTCGGCTGGTGATTCGTCCTGGTCGGTCAGCTGAATCGAGGCTTTTGATTGGATGAAAATTTCAACGAAAATCTTGTCGAGGTTTTTTGTTGGTTCCAGACACCCCCAGGTAACCATGTAGCTGCTTCACACTTAAGGGGTGCCCTCCCTTATTATTTTAAAGACCCTTGAAAAGCTTTCAATATCGCATACTGGACATATTTCACCCTTTCCACGAGGCACAAATCTGACGATGACTGATGATGAAAAACAACGAAAAAAAAGCTACTGCGGGGTCAAAATAAACTGCCAATTTTGAGTTCATTCTTTATTCAAGTAGATCAGCAATCACATTGATCATTTCTTCGACGTTTCTGTCGACTGATGGCGCAATGGTCTTGCCGATTGCGATTGTCGAAAAGCTCTGCTCGCAATGGGCAGCTCCCTTCCACACGGTCCATTTGATATTTGCCCCGGCTTCGCTAGCGGCCTCGTAAAACAGCCGCTGGTCGTCGTAGAGGATGTCGATTTCCGAGGTGAACAGGTGGGTTTCTGGAAGATGCCAGAGTGCCTCGTCTAGAAATTAAGGAAATAAATAGGGCTTCCTTCTTCTCAGAGGACTAACCAGAGTAAAGCAAAGGCGAAAATCTCGGGTCAACAAATAGCTCAACCTCTTCATCAGTCATTTCCGCCGGCTCTAGATCTCCTTCGTCTTCTGACCCCAAAAATCGCTCCTCAATGTTTGGATAGACTTGAGCGATTCGCTTGAAAACAGATTTATTTTTCATCTCTTCAATAAACTCGTCGGTTTTTGCCGAAATTCCAAAGGCATGATTTGCACCCGCCATTCTCCAGAAATCCTGAGTCAGGACGCCCGTGGATTCGTTTTCGTCGAATGCTTTTCAATGATGATTTTTTGAAGAATCTTTTGAATTATTATTTTTTTCATTTTTCAAAAATAATTTTTATCAACATTTCCTTTCATTCGATGCGTCAGAAATTGCGTGCAAGGATAGACCGGAACAAGGCCGGCAAAATTGAAATCCGGCATTTTGAATTTGACTTCGATCGCCGTGACAATCGCAAGTTCGCCTCCCGCTGAGTCGCCAGCGAGAACGATCTTGTCCTTGTTGATTTTCAGCGATTCAGAGTTGTTGATGATGTATTCGGTAGCAGCAATGCAATCGTCTGATGGAGCTGGAAACGGGTGTTTTGGCGCTCTAGAATTTTTTCTCCTTCAGTTTGTAGATTAAAACTTACAGTCGATATTCAACAGAGGCGACAGTGATTCCCTTTTGAACAGCGATGCTCGAGTAGAACGAGGAAACAGAAGGAACATCTCCAACGATAAATCCTCCACCATGAAAAAATATCGCAACAGGTTGATTTTCCTCTTCAACAAGGTCTTTTCGTCGCCAAAAATGAATTTTGTACTCTCCGTTGTCAACGATCTCTTCAATCGCATCCTCGTTCGTTGGAGTTGGCATCATGGCTTTTTGCATGAAGCCGATTGCAGCTCTAGAACTTGTCGCACTTCTGACTTTTTCCGTCAAGAAGAAGATCGAGTTCCAAATGTTATGAGCAACAGCTCGGCGAAGATAATCTGGCGCATGGTCTACCTGAAAATTAAAGATTTTTATGATGAATAGCATTCGGATCGAAAACGATTCAGAATTATTTTCGAGACTTACAGGCCGAAAATGAAATTTATACGCGAAAAGAGCGACAAAAACGGCGAAGATCGCCCCTTTCTTCAACATTTTTCTCTGCAAAAATGAGCGAATTTTTGTCCAGATATTTACTCTTTGATCGGGCGTAAATATTTGATGAATAAATTTTTGACTCATTGCACTTTGGACACAGAGGTCAAAAATAGGACGTAACTAGAAAAAAAACTCAAGATTTTTCAAAACAAGAAGTTCATCAGTGGTTTATAACTTATAAATTATAAGGCTGTTTTTATAAGCGATGTAACATCTGGAGAGTTCATAAACTTAGCAAAATAATTTATTGATCAAGTCCCTGGGTTGTTAAAATAGGCTCATAATAAGTCTGCCTAAAAATAGTCTCCAAGGTCCTGAAAATTTTTTTTTCATCGGTCAACATGAAGATGATTTTTAAAACCTTTTTGGTCTTCAATTTTCGAACCGAAAACTCAAATCTGATGGGATCGAATCTGCTAGATGAACCATGCAACTTTCCCCTTTTTAACTTTTGGGAAACAAGATACACCTGAAAACTTTATTTCGGTGAAATAAAATAAGGGCGCTCCTTTGTTATATTTTCTTCCAAAGAAGGGCTCCGAAAAATCCAGTTCTGGGCTGTTATAAATCACAGAATTTGCATCACGCTCTAAGCTCATGGACACCGTTAAAAAAACCTCGAAAAGCGTCGATCAACCGGAGCCTCATTAAAAATGCTGACAAGATAATTCACAAGGGTAATTATTGCCTTGGCTCGTTCATCCGGTGAGAAAATAATAACGAGCTGTTTATTTATGATCCTGGTCATCATCATCATCATCTGCTGAAGGCTTTTAAACATGGTCAGATCCGGTGTGGTTAACCTGACTCGCGAAATAGTTTTCCGGCAATAACTATAGCTATTTGGTAATTGTGCAATTCACATTTATGTGGCTCCTGACGTTTTAGACGGGGAGCGAAATTGAATAACTGACTGTCACGCCAAAGAAAACGATTTTCTAGAAAATTGGAGCGTTTTTTCTTTTCAATTGTCATTAAAGCTCAAGATCTTAACTTCGGCCTTCCGGATTTCCTAGATCATTGATCATAAAGACATTTGATGCAAAAATTCCTCGTTATTCTCCTTCTAAATAATCGACTTAAGCACCATAAAATTTCTTAACATCTGATAAATAAGTAATTTAATTTTCATTTGAAGGTGATACCATTAACAAAATATGCTTTTAAAATTGACCTTTCATAGCTGATAGATTAAATCAATCTTTAACAAAAATGTCCACTTTATTGAAGCCATCAATTTGTCCCTCACAGACCAGGGAGAATGAGTCTCAAGCAGATGAGTGTCTAGGGATATGGGTCGGTTGACGGCGGAAACCCGATGAGTCTTACCTAAGATGTATCTATGAATAAGGAGGTTTTCACTTCAACCTTTCGGGATCCCAAATCTTTCGGGATTTCCGAACCTTTCGGGATCGCGCGAATCATTCGGGAGTTTTGTTGCGGATTCTGGTATAAAGAAGCGGTATAAATGCCGAATAAGGGCATTTTACTAATCGAAACGATGACTATATCTACCTTCGTTGAATTCGATGGCCTAGAAAGGCTAAACCTTTTATGAATGTTGAATTTTCAGTCTAAGAGCCGAACTCGCCAAACTCGTCATTTCTGCCCCCTTTTTTAAAAGCTTGCTAATCTTTTTTTCAAATACAAATTCAAACTACAGTATCAGAAAAACTTAGATTCTATTCCTGACAGTGTGGAATAGCCTGTTATCAAAAAAAGGGTAAAGATCCCCATTTATCATCATTTTTGAACCAAACGAGTCTTGAGTCAAGACATGTTGACTATGAGAAAATGCGGAATCGTCAAAAAGGCGCTAGTCCGGGTCTTTAATTAAGAATTTTAAATTTTATGACAAGCGTCACTACCGGACTTGAAAAAAGAAGCGCGAAGCTGATTATGATCATCAGCACGGAGCCGTTACGAGCGACAAAAAATGTGCCCGTGACGTCGATCATTCTCGGTGCAAGGTGGCGCCTCAAGAAAAAAAGTAAAATAGATAGTGTAAAGCAAGTTACGCTCAGTCCATTGTTCCGGCTCTTGCTGCTTTTTTGCTCCTGTCATCTTTTTTTCTCTCTGAAAGTTGGCTGCTTTGTTTCAGTCCTAGAACTCAGAGAGGCAACAAGATACATTCCAGAGACGGTGCCAATTTTTTTTTAAATAAAACAGAAGAAGGATTCACAAAATGATAAGATATATACAGGTTAACAACTAGTACAACATATCTTTTTATTTTTTCTCGAAAATGACTCTTCCTTGATTTCAAAGTCGATATCTATGGAATAACTTGACTTCGAAAATGTCCGGCCTTGATTCAAGTGATTTTTATCCCCCTGAAAAATGTTAAATTCACCTTTGTTGTCAAGGGTATAATCTATGCTTGATCCAAAAACATAGAAGTTTTATCCTTTGACGAAATTCAGGATCAAATATAATTGAAGTCAATTTATGACACGATTCTCTCTAAAAGAATAGAGAATCGAAACAAGTCAATAGATCAACTTCATCTTGGTTATTTTAAAGCCAAAGACGAAAACATGTATGAAGAAATTATGACCTGCGGACTTATTAATGACCCGGTCATAAATACATTTTTATAAGTTTATTGATTCGGCTATAACATTAACTTATCTGCATATTTATCAATTTTGGCTCTACTCTTGGTCTTTTTAAAAGTCCTACAGACTTTGAATCATAGGATAAAATATATCGTTCGATCAAAATCTGTGGATTGAGTCTGATTTCCGCGCTCCATTTTATGATTATCATTAGTATGTTTTCTCATGATTGTTAAAATAAAACTCGCACATCAAATAATGATAGAATAGTTTAATTCGGTGTGAATCGCGATAAAATGAATTGGATTATAAAAATATTTTAGGCGCTGCTCGCGCTGACGAGTGTGCCGCTGGTGACAGCTCAGAGTGTCTTGGACCTCGACTGTACTGCTAACACAGATTGCTATCCATACATGGCGTTATGTCAACTGTCTGGAAAATGCGCATGTGCTTCTAATCTTGACTACGTTGCCGTCACCTACGATACAGCGGTTGAAGTCAACGGAGGGTCTTTCACAACTGTTTGCGAAGTCCAAACTCGTAAGTTGAAGATTGATCATCAAGTAGCAAAATTGTAACATTTTCTTATAGCTTGTGATGTTTTGGAGCAAACCTACGGCGAATGCCCCCTCTACTCCTACTGTCAGCTCCCTGGACTTGGTGAGACAGAAGCTAGCTGCGTCTGCGTTGACAACTACGAGAGCACAAATTCAACTGGCATCATCGGTCAAAACGGAGTTGGTTGTCAGCGAATCGACCCTTGCAACTCATATGACTGCTCTTCAATCGCGAATTCTGAATGTGCGGCTATTTCTGAATCAGAAGCCATGTGCGTTTGCAGCAATAACTACGAACTCTACGATGAATCGGGAGGTAGTTACACTGAAAGCTCAGACACCACTTTCGCCAACACTGCAACAGACAAAGTCTGCAACCCCTCCTTTCCCTGCCTGGAGGATACCTGTGGTGGTAACCAAACTTGCGTGACAGAAGATAACAGTGGTCTTCCTACTGCTTACTGTCAGTGCGACACTGGCTACTGGGATTCTGTTGATGTCGACGATAAAGTTGCCATGGCTGATGGTGGTCTCACTTGCGAAGATCTCGATGAATGCTCAGACTCAAGTCTCAACACATGTCTCACTTCTCAAACTTGTGAGAACACTGATGGATCGTACGATTGTGTCTGCGCTCCTGGATATTTTGACAACACGAATAGTGCGACCGTCGCAGTGGCGCCTTGTATTGCATGCTCAGGACCAGGTGCAACAGAGAACAATGGAGAATGCACGTGCACAAGCGGCGCTATTCTTGATGATACTGACACAAGTCTTTGTGTTTGTCCAGATGGATATGTCGATAATGGAAGTGGCTGTGCGGAAGTAACCACAACAACCACAACAACAACGACGACCACGACCACTACAACAACGACGACTACGACTACTACAACAACGACGACCACGTCTACTACAACAACGACGACCACGACTACTACAACAACGACGACCACGTCTACTACAACAACGACGACCACGTCTACTACAACAACGACGACCACGACTACTACAACAACGACGACCACGACTACTACAACAACGACGACCACGACTACTACAACAACGACGACCACGTCTACAACAACAACGACGACTACGACTACTACAACAACGACGACCACGTCTACTACAACAACGACGACCACGTCTACTACAACAACGACGACCACGACTACTACAACAACGACGACCACGTCTACTACAACAACGACGACCACGTCTACTACAACAACGACGACTACGACTACTACAACAACGACGACCACGTCTACTACAACAACGACGACCACGTCTACTACAACAACGACGACCACGTCTACTACAACAACGACGACCACGTCTACTACAACAACGACGACCACGACTACCACAACAACGACGACCACGTCTACTACAACAACGACGACTACGACTACTACAACAACGACGACCACGTCTACTACAACAACGACGACCACGTCTACTACATCAACCACAACTACGACAACAACGACAACTTCAACAACTACTACGGTATGAGAGCAGAGTTGATAGAATTGGTGCAAATAGAATTCTCGTTCATTATAATTTAATAAATCACATGCATACAATTATTTTTAGACAACCACAACTACAAGCACGACAACAACTACAACCACGACGGTGATTGCTTACAATTTTGCTTCTTTTAATTTTTCAGATCACATCTATGACAATGGTTTTCCGAGAGGAAGACCCGCCCTGCATATCATGGGAATCAAATGAAATGACAGCAGGATAAAAATTGTCATTATGAGCTCATGAAAAACCTTTTCCTATCAGTGAGAGACCGACCTGGTATCTAATAAACCCGGGGGATATCCGAGACCGACCAACCAGACCATTTGCAAAAATAAAAATGTGTGAAGAATAGACCGATTTTTTCATTCAAAAAGCTAGAAAAAGCACAGACCATAAGAAAAGACCCTTTGATATTTTTCAGTCAGCGAGCTTGTCAAGAAAGAAATTTTTTTCTGCTGAGTACGCGAACAAAAACGTTACTTGATGGCTCAAGTTCGCTCGCATCGCACTTTTAACATGAAATCCTTGTACTCTATATACGACCAAGTTTTTAAGAAAAATTTTAGACAACTACGACAACGACGTCTACGACAACAACAACAACAACAACAACGACGACGACGACAACAACGGTAATAAAATAAAAAATTTATAAAAAATGAAAGTTTTTAAAGAAATATATTTTAATTTTCCATGTTTGATACCGAGAATTTCAAGCGTTTGCCCCGAGAAAATCAAAAGTTGTCAGACGTATATGTCGACTTTTGAAAATCAAATTTGCTGGTCAGCCAATCAAAGCTCTGGAAAGCCTAAGTGGCAGCGCTTCTCGGGTTTAGAGTCTGAAAAACTCGGTATTAATTTTTTGCTAATAAAACAAGAATCATAAAATCATATAAGATAAAATTTTTCCTCCGTTGCCAAGAGCGTAGCAGTTTCGATGCTAAGACATGCTCGGAGACTCGAAATACGGCATAATTGTTGGAGAGAAAGGCTTATTTACGCCATTCGCTTGGTAACGGGTAAAAAGGGTTTGGTTTGCATAATCTTCAAGAAAATAAATTCAAATTAACGTGAAAGTGTAAAATTATTGGATCATTTTAATTTTCTTCTCATCGGATTCAGCGTATTTGAAAACCCCTGAAAAAATGGTACTTTTTCTTTTGGTGTGAAAACGCGATAAGCGCGGCATTTCAAAGGCCAAAAGTATCCAACTTTGTTCCAATTGATTTACAGAGAACTAATACTGACAATGTAAATCTTATTTAATAGACTTTTAGATAAGGGTCTGAACTACTTAGCAAATTTTTAAAATCTAAAAATATTAATCCTAATCCAGTCATTCAGTCATTCAAAATGTCCAAATTTTTACAAAAGCGCGCGGCTCTTCCTTCCTCCCTCTCACCTGTAAAAATGACCCCATATTACTGAAAATTTAGCCACAGACTAAACTTTTTGTTCCTTATTCAATCGTTAAAAAATTATCCTCAGAAAACAAGGTATTGCTCTTTTTTTTGGCGAGAGAAGACTCTCAAGTTTAAACCTACATAAGTACTCAAAATAATATGTTTATCCGTCTGGTACTAGATTCATCGAAAAGACCGCTCTTTACTCTACAAAAATGCTTTCATTGGTATTTGCTCAGAATTATATCTGGAAGCACAATCGCGCTGGTCGTTAGTGCACTTGCAAATATCTCAGCGGGAATCATGTGCTCGTGAAGTAGGTCAGGCGCACTAGGAGGCAAGCATTTTTCCTTCGATAATCAAATAAAGAAATGCTTCCATGAGATTTTTAAAGATTATTTTAATCGAGTAAAGAATGCGCTTTTCGATGAATCAAGTTACAGACGGATAAACATATTATTTTGAGTACTTATGTAGGTTTGAACTTGAGGTCTTCTCTCGCCAAAAAACAGAGCAATACCTTATTTTCTGAGGATAATTTTTTTACGATTGAATAAGGAACAAAAAATTTAGTCTGTGGCCAAATTTTCAGTAATATAGGGTCATTTTTACAGGTGAGAGGGAGGAAGGAAGAGCCGCGCGCGCTTTTGTAAAATGGGGACATTTTGAATGACTGAATGACTGGGTTAGGATTAATATTTTTAGTTTTTAAAAGTTTGCTAAGTAGTTCAGACCCTTATCTAAAAGTCTGATAAATTAGATTTTTATTGTCAGTATTAGTTCTCTGTAAATCAATTGGAACAAAGTTGGATACTTTCGGCCTTTGAAATGCCGCGCTTATCGCGTTTTCACAGCGGAAGAGAAAAAGTACCATTTTTTCCGGGGTTTTCAAATACGCTGAATCCGATGGGAAGAAAATTAAAATGATCCAAGAAATTTTACACTTTCACGATACTTTGGATTTATTTTGTCCCTTGTCAATCAAAATATAAACGAGTCTTATCTAAAACACTCGAATAAAAGTATTGAATATTTATCATGATGATTTTAAGACAACGACCACGACGACGACGACAACAACAACCACAACAACCTCCACCACTACAACAACAACAACTACGACAACAACCACAACGACGACAACAACAACGACAACAACTTCAACCACAACTACCACTACAACCACTACTACGACAACAACAACTACGACAACAACGACAACTACGGTAAAATACGAATGATTCATTGTCCATTGAAAAGAAATTTTCACTCAATCATTTCTAGTTCTTTGAAAATTTTTAGCACTTTTGTTAACTTATAAAAGGTGCGAAGACGCAGCACTTGTATAAAATGCTTCTAGAAGAGTAAGGAGCTCGTTAAAAGGCATTTAATTCCGGGTCCCTTCGGTTAAAAATTGTAAAGCATGAAAACTTGCGTGTTACGCGGAGAAAATATTGCGGATTATTTGAATCAACTAGAAACCGATAGCCCTGGTTTGAATAGAAAAGTGAGGCAAGGCTTGCAGCAAAAAATTTTTATTCTTCTCTGTAGTTAACCCGTTAACAGTCGCGTGGAGATCTAATCTCCACGGCGCCTATGAAGCGCTCTAACATGGACCAGACTCAATTTTTTTGAAAATTTTTGCATTTTTGAAAAATTTAATCGATTCTCTATCCGCTAGTATAATTTTCAAAATATTCTGCGTGAAATTCTTCTCAAGAGAAGCAAAAGAAAAACTTCATTCAGCGAAAAAAAGGGAAAGAGTAATGCAACACGCTCGCCTTTTCTCTTTTTTTCCCTTTTCAATGGTTGTCAGCGCCGAAACTGACGTTACTTTGAACCCAATTTTCAGTCATAAGACGACCAAGAGAAACAAAAAAACAATGGTCAGATGCAAGAGCAGACGCTTCTGAATCACCCTGTTTTCTTAGAATTTACTAAGATTGGCCATACTCTACAGAAATCGTCAAAACGTCCGTGGAGATAAGATCTCCACGCGTCTGTTAACGTAAAATATCGCACGCCCAGTTAACGGGTTAAGGGACCCAACCGACCGAGCTCTGCGCGCGCTTCTCGCTCTTTATCATTCTCACTCTTCAGCTGGCTTATTTTTTTCGATCATCGTTATTTTTTGTATACTTACTAAACTATTTTATATAGTCTATTTATGCTCTTTCATCTTAGTTTCTTAAAAATTTTCATAGCTTATGGCTACTCTGAGTTTCCAAGAAAAATTTGTAATAATTAAGTTTAAGAACCCGCGATAAATATGAATTTCGTTACTCTTTAAGTATCCTTTACCATTTTAGGTAGATAAGATTACAAGGTGAAAGTTTTAGTCAAAAAATTTTTCTATTGATATAATAAATTTTGACGAAAATCGGCTTCAAAAATTGGAATTTTAAATATTTTCTTTTATAAATATCTATTATTTCCTCGTCAATATTTTAGGTTGATGATGAAAATTAAAACAAAAAATTATTTTCGACAAGATTTCAAGAGCTCATATCTCAAAAACAACACGTGCTAGCAACTTAGGTTAAGGGTTAAACATGAAATCGGCGCGGCGCAGCTGCCCGTTCAGCGCCCCGCCGTGACATATTTTTCAGAGGTCCGTCAAATCTGAGTATTTTTCATAATTCTTTTTGTGTTAAGATCATAAAGGCCTTCACTTTCATTAAGACAATTCTGAAAAGAATCGTAAGCGTAGAAATATGAAAAAATGGGATGATTTGCTCAAAGTCTATCTCCTCCCACAATTTTCGTCCGATTTTTCCCAAATAAGAACCATTTTGTAGAGCTCCGTCTACTCTACAAATTCGTAGACTAATTTTTTAAATTTAAATTTTATAGATTTTAGACGGAGCTTTGAAATGAGCGCTCTCACTCCGCGGCCGCCTTTTTCTCACGCTGCGCTCTTGCTTATGTCGTTTTTCGAGGGAGCGCTCATTTCCAAGTTCCGTGTTAAAATCTATAAAATTTAAATTTAAAAAGTTAGTCTACGAATTTGTAGAGTAAGGTACTTTCATAAGGTTGAGAATAATTGCATGCACATCCTAAGGTGTTATCGACGGGGCCAAGTATTTTCTCGCCGAAAAAGATAATGTCTTTCCCAGTTATAAGAAATTTATTTCCACATCACATAGCTTCTCTTGAAAAATATGCTTTAATATGATATATTAAATGTCCTTTTATAATGCTTATTATAAAATATATTTCAGTTAATATATATTATTAGCTCTAAGAACCTCTTGAAGTGTTTTTTGCGGATACGCTAAGAATGATAATTTTGAAAGGAAAGGTAAAAGACCTTTAAGACCATCATTTTAATCGTCTTCACTTATTTCTTAGCCAAGTCATGAACATTAAAAGGATAAATACTATGGCTTTTTGCTCAAAACCTAGCTTCGTCTCTTCAAGAGGTTTTTGAGTTCATTTTTCGTGACTCAAAGATTTTTTATGATACAGTGGGTTGCGCAGTTGTTTGCCCCTTTGCGATTGCAGCTTTGGTGGCCCCTTTGCCCGCGCTTTCTCTATTTTTCCTTTCTAGACTCGCTCAAAGTGATTGCAGAAAAATAAAGACACTCTGATAGATTTTGTCGCATATTCAATTTGAGTAAACGGGAATAAAAAAAAGAATTCTTGACCAAATTGACTATTTATATCTATTTGAAAAAATATAAAAATCCTTAGATATGGCCCTAAAAAGTTTTTTCAAAAATATTTTTGCTCTTCAATTCTCTCGACTTTGGCTCAAAGTTTGCTCTTCTCAAAGCGTAGAGCTAGAATAATATTTCCGCGGAAAATCCAGACCCACTCGGATATGAAACTATAATTTACGGAAGTTTGGACTACAATTTTTGCATGTTGATTCTCATAGTAACTTTAAGACCACAACAACGACAACAACGACATCAACGACAACCACTACTACAACAACTACTACAACGACTACAACCACGACGACGACCACAACGACGACTACGACAACAACAACTACAACAACAACAACAACTACAACGACAACAACAACGACAACCACTACAACCACCACCACTACAACCACCACCACTACTACAACAACCACCACCACAACCACGACAACGACTACAACTACGACAACGACGACAACAACTTCCGCAACAACAACCACGACTACAACAACAACGACCACCACTACAACGACAACAACGACCACCACTACAACAACGACGACCACCACAACCACCACAACGACTACGACATCAACGACCACAACTACAACCACAACAACGACGACCACTACAACCACAACAACCACCACATCTACAACGACAACTACAACCACGTCAACTACAACCACGACAACTACAACAACGGTAAGTCTTAAGGGGGAGGTCGTCAATATCGGGGCTTTTCTTAACAATTAAGGCGGGAAAACCTGATTCGGTATACCGTTTACAAAATTCGAATTATCCGTTGTACAAAGAAGGGTTGAAAGATTCCACCGGCGAAGACAAAAAAATTTTTTGAAATATTTTTCAAAAATAAGGGTCGGAGTGAGAGCATCTCTTTACCAAAAAATCTCGGAAAACTTATTTTTTTTCGACGATTAAGGGATCCCCCTTGTTTTTTTGTACTTGATAAGAGTCTTTATTTGATATTTTTAGATTACTCGTATTCTGAGGATCATTATGATGTACATATGACCCCTTAACGAACATCTTGTCTCAAAATTTAAGCCTTCAAAAATTTCAAAAATGCATGTTAATTGTAATTTGTATATTGAAATTACGCGAAAACCGAATTTTTTCGATTTTTCAATGTCAGCGAAATAAGACATATAAGAGGTCTATCGAAAGCTAAGAACGCACTAAAATAGAATATTATAACCGAACTAGAAATATCAGCCTCATGTTGGCGCTAGAAAGCAGAAAAACACTAAAAATATCAATCAATCGATCTATCAAATATTCAGACAACGACGACAAGCACAACCACAACGACAACAACAACTACAACAACAACAACGACTACGACAACAACTACAACTACGACTACGACAACGGTATTTGTTAAAAGCAATTTTATTAACAACGACATAGTTTTCTTTGTCTTTCAATGCGATAACACAATTTTAAGACCACGACAACAACAACCACAACAACAACTACAACAACAATCACTACAACAACCACTACGACAACAACAACAACTACGACTACGACAACGGTATTTGTTAAAAGCAATTTTATTAACGACGACAAAGTTTTCTTTGTCTTTAAATGTGATAACACAATTTTAAGACCACGACAAGAACAACCACAACAACAACTACAACTACAACGACTACGACAACGACTACGACAACGACTACAACTACGACTACGACAATGGTATTTGTTAAAAGCAATTTTATCAACAACGATATAGTTTTCTTTGTCTTTCAATGCGATAACCCAATTTTAAGACCACGACAACAACAACCACAACAACAACTTCAACTACAACGACTACGACTACAACGGTAAAAATTGCTTTTTCTTTTCACAATTTAGAGCGATACGAAAGGTGTAAACATCACATGTTCAAGAGTCTTTATTTTTCTATTATTTTTTCTCTCACACATTTTTTTGCAAATGGTCTGTCGGATTTTAAATGGGTTTCAAAAGGTCTCGGTCGGTGATTCGGTGTTATTTTTAGGCTTTTTATTTTCAGAAAGTCTATGTAAGGAATAAAGATAAATTTTGCAATGCATAATTTCAATCAACGAACACGCGAAAAGATGCAGCAATATCAGCATCAAAAAGAACTTGACGAAAAAGATGATATGAAGATATTTCTTAGAAACTCGGGATCGGTTAACGATGTTTCCTTCGAAGAGAGGAGTTATCATTCAAGCCTATGATTCGAGCCATCCAATATCTCTTGAATCTGGGCAAGAAGCAAGGGTTAGGAACTTTAAACTTTCAACGGGGGTAAGGGGGGCAAAGCCCTCTGGTTAAGGCAGGGCTGCACAATTGGATTGGAATCCAATTGGTTTCCAATTCCAATTGGATTGGATTGGTAAATTGGTTGGAAAAAGGGGGAGAAAATCAGGGTCTGTCCAATTGGATGGCAATTCCAATTGGAAAATGGGGGTCTAATTGGCAACTGGTCGCCAATTGGTAAATTCGCAAAATGATTGGATCGAGCCACCTCCTTCCACATCGGAAACCGAATTTCCGATAGCCGATCGGCCCCTTTAATTTAAAGGATCAAGGAACGGGGCTGAGATTCCTCCTATTACGTTCGTCTTTGGGCTCGTATTTTGATTTATGTTTGAGTTTGGGTTAGGTTGAGGATTCTGGTTTAGGTTTCAGCATCAGTTCAAGCTCTCCAGTTCGAAGGGGGAGGTTATTCGGCGAAGTTTTCGGAAAAATATTGCTTACCGGTCAAAAACACCTTCAGATGGTCCGCGCCGTTGTAGCAATTGCGCCGTTGTAGCAATTGCATTTGCACCATACATGGTGCATGCAGTAATTCTCCAAATAAGCCTATTTCCAAACCCTAACCCAAACCGAGAGTAGTCCAAAGGTAACCTTAGGATAGCTTATCGATAAACATACAGTGAAAACCCATTTTAAGGCCGATTTTCGGATGACAGCGAGTTTCAAAAGTGGCCTTAAATTGAATATTTTTTGTCTCGAGTCGGATGACAACAATTTTTTTCCTTTCTTGGGATAAAAAATGATGAATGAGGGTAACAGGGTTATCGCATATTTCTTTCGCTCGAAAAAAGTATAAATCACGGACTTTTTCCAAATGTGTTCTTTGAATTGAACTCAAGGTGATTCTTTCTTTCATTATTTCAAAAATAATATTCGAAAAACACGTCTTAAAAAAATCAACTTGACAAATGCGAAAAAAAGATATGAAGAGATTCTAGCGAAGACGTCAAAGAATAGTGACCTGAAGAAGACAATAACTGGGGGACGGGCGGCTACGTTACAATTTGTAACGCCGTTACAAAAACTCAGATTTTTTTCGCAATAAATATTATTTTACATCCCTCAATTCTTTTTATTTCGAACAGAATAAGCAATAAGGTATACCAAAAAGTAGTTTCCTTCAATTCAAGCGCGAAGCGCACACTCGTTCAATGATTTTGATTTTGAATTTTTGTAACGCCGTTACAATTTTGACTACTTGTTACGTAGCCGCCCTACACCCCAATAACTGAGCTTTTTCGATAGAAAAATGGTCTATAAATTCGTCTGCGTGTCTAAGCACGCCTATATAATGATAGATTTGAACTCTTGGACTCAAAATCTAAGTAAAAATTCTAAGAGGACCGTAAGAAATCATCATCAATAAAAAAATTCGAGACAAAATCACCGAAGAGTACCAAAAAAGAGAAATAAAAAGTTTCATTTTTTACCAACTCTGGATAAAACACAAGACATCCCGCAGTCGAATTATATAAGTTTTTTCAATTGACACTGCAACTTGCAGATATTGAATAGAAATTGAAAGAAAGTGGCCTTAAAATGGATTTTTCGAGGATGACAGATTTTTGGGATTTTCCGAAAAAGTGGCCTTAAAAGGGTCGGCCTTAAAATGGGTTGTCACTGTAGTTGGAAAGAACACCCGAAAACCGCGTGCGCGTGCGCGAATTTTTCAAAATCCAAGTGAGCGTGCGTGCGTGTGCGCAGATTTTCAAAACCCGCGTCACGCGGGCCGCGTGCGAGTATTCGTAAATCCCGCGTGCGAGTGCTTGCGTGTTTTGCGTGTGTTTTTTCCAACTATGTTGATAAATAGCCCTTAGTCTGTCGATAAATAGCCCTAGTTTCTTCCGTTTTTTGAAACTGAATATCACTTCGGTGAGAGACCTAATTCTTTGACCCCTGTTCCATAGATGGTGTACCCTGGCGGGCTAAGGTTAAAGGATTACAGTGGTGTGAGGAGTTTCCGCACCCTTTTTGAGTGCTGCGTTCCCGCACCCCTAGGCCGCACTTTTTCTACTATTTTCTTCTAGAAGTAGCAAAAGTGAGTGCTGCGCTACCGCACCCTTTACCCACACTTTATGGGTGCGGAAACTCCTCACACAACTGTATATGATATACAGACAAAACGGACAATTCCGGAACGGGCAATTCCGGAGATTTGAGGGAAATCGGTAAAATTTTTGTAAACGCACAATTCCGGAAATTTCAGACAAAAAATTCAACTGAGAGGTCTATTTTGTATATAGGACCACCTTTTCGCGAAATATTACGAAGAATTTTCAGAAAAGAAATGAGAGAAGGGTCAAAAAAGCCATGAGTAGCACTAAAAAAGCCCATTTTCTGGTTGACACCCTTAAAAAGGCACTTTGGAAGCAAAAAATTTTCAATTAGAATTCGGACAATTCCGGAGATTTGGCGCTTTTCCCCGAAAAAAAAACTTCCGGAATTGTCCGTTTTGTCTGTAATTTATGCCAAGTGAACTCATAAAAACTGAATTTACCAATAAAATCCGATTCAATTGTAATTCGGCTGTCCTATTGGAAAACTAGTGCCAATTGGAAGTTTGATTCCAATTGCCAATTGGACATCCAAATTCCAATTGGAATTGGCATTGGATTGGAATTTGGTTGGATTGGCAAAATTTGGGTTGGATTGGATTGGCAGTTGGTTGGAAAAATCCAATTTTTTTTGCCAATTGTGCAGCCCTGGTGAGGGTCCCGGGGGGTTTAGCCCCCTGGGTTATGTTAAGGGTGTTAACAACGATCGGATAACGGTCTGTCTTAAGAGTCGACCAAATCATTTCTTTTTATTTAGCTTATGCGGATTCCATATCTTTTTTCGGATCTGAAGTATCTCATCTTGATCACGAGATACGCAACTTTCTATGGGTGCGCTTATGCACTAGCGCTCAGTAGAATTGCACTGTTAGAAAGGTCATTTTTCAATTTCCGATTTTATATATGATATAAATAATATGTCAAACTATATATTTTCTGAAAGCTGGAAAAATTCTCTTTTCACCCATATCGATAAGATCAGGTAATGTTTTCAAAACACCTGCTCTTTTGCGCCTGTAAGGGGGATAAAAGGATTAATCAGTAAAAATCGGAGCGCACTTGGACATTGTCGAAGGATCAAACTATTAGCCCTGCGAAAATACGAAGTATAGAATTTTAAGAACAATATAAGAATTGATCTTGAAGTCTGTGAAAATCGATTTTTACCTTTTTATTTTAAAACCAAATTCAAAAGGAAAAATTAAATTAATTGTGTTGCTCGTAAATTATTCTGTATAGATAACATCCAGCAATTAAACTCCTTACAAACACTTTTATCCAGTAATGATTATCAGGTTGAATATAAGCTTGAACTCTTTTTATTGAAATTTCGACCTGATACAAGTATTTGACCACCTGTTCTTAGCGGATCGAGAAATAAAATATTTATTCCACAAAATGGAAATTCAAGGCATTTAAAACTCTTGCAAAAATAGTTTAAAGATTTACATTTGTCCGCTTTTGCTACAAGGGCTCCTTGATTTTTCCCGTTTCGATAAACCAAACATTTTTTTAATAAATTATATCATCAAAAAGCAATATAATGTAAAAAATGATTTATCAAAGAATAAAAGATAATCTCTCGTTGAAGACTTCGACAACGACTACGACAACGACAACAACAACGACAACAACAACCACATCTACGACAACGACAACAACTACGACTACCTCAACAACAACCACCGCTACGACTACCACTACAACGACCACCACTACTACAACAACGACTTCAACTACCACGACAACAACGACAACGACCACAACAACTACCACTACGACTACCACTACAACGACCACCACTTCTACTACAACGACTACAACTACCACTACAACCTCGGAAGCGACAACAACCACAAGTCCATGCTCTGGTCAATCTTCTTACGACGGCACAAGCTGCGTTTGTTTCGATATTCATGGTGTGGAAATCTCATCTGATGGTTTGTCATGTGCATGCGGCGATAACATGACTTATGATAGTTCGTCGAATTCCTGCACCTGTGATTCCGGTTTCTACGTATGATTGTCTTTTTTCTTTACAATACAAATTTTTTTTAGATGACAGTTGTTGGAGATTGCCGACCAGCGAGTGAAAATGTTCTCACTTGGTGGGACGATAGCTGGGGTAGCTGCACTGGAGGCTGGCGTCATCGCAAAGTAAACAGCTGTGCACGGGAAGATAAAGGATCTACAAGCGCACCATGGTGGAGCCGAGATTGCTTCAGATTCAAGTTTTCTGAAAAGTGCAACGATGCTTCTCTTACCAATGCAGATTGTACAGATTGGTTTGCTGAATACAATTCTGGATCCGGCCTTTGTGAATGTAAATCTGGCTACACAATGACCGAAAAAGGATGCACAAGCTGGAATAACGTCAAAAATGATGCTGGCGATAGGCTTATGGTTGAAATCCAAGCTCGATTGACTCACATCCACTCTACTGGAACTCTTTCGACAATTAATGATAAACGGCTCGCTGCTTTCGAACGATTTTTTGATAACATGGAGAAGAAGGCGATCAATAAGGCGAAATCGGGGTGCGGAAAGAGAGGCAGAAGCATCCATAGCGACTTCATTGGAGGTATTATAGAAATGTTAAAGTACTCTAATTTTATATTAACTAGCTCACGAATCTCTCTATGCTGATTTCCAGACTCAATCCGCCGAAGACATCGGAGACTACGATGCTCTTCGAGAACTAGTCTATCTCTACAATCACTGGCAGCAGCTTCTTCTCTGGAATTGCCCAAGCTCAGGTTATGGCAACGATCCTTTGGACGCGACAGATGCGACGGGAGAAACCTGCACCAATGCAAACAAGAAAGCGACTTTCAAATGCCGAATTCAATTCCAATTCGACATTCTCTTCGACAGAGTCTTCAAGCAAAACACACTCGAATGGTAATTAATTACCAAGACCGATGAACTCTGCCTGAAACTACAATCTTTTTTCTTTATTTTCTGCCTGTAAATTTTCTTTTAAAAAAGAGGGGAAAGATTGAGTTAATAACAGATCCCTGGCCTGGCCTGTCAGTTGTGATCTGTTATTGAAATAAGGGCTCAAGGTTCTCTCTGCAAGTTCAAAATTTACTGTCAATTCTGTAAAAAATATATAGTCACAGACAATTGAAATTGTCAGAATATGTTCCCAGATTGCCTCAATTCCAAATTGAAAAGGAGAATCGAGACAATGAGTCCGGCGAGACTTGTAATAGAACATATTAAATGATAATGATGCTCAGACGTCATCTTTTATTCTTATATGAATGGTAATTGATAAGTGATATGAGGAAGAACAAGAAGAAAATGCTACAATTGAGAGTCATAATTTGAGACTGCATCAATTCATCTTTTCAGACATATTTTGGCATAGCTTAATTTTTGATTTTCAAAAAAGGAGGAACACTTTGTTTGGTTAATTGTGCTCTTGATTTTCTAAATATTTATGATTTCGAAACATGGTCACGTGGTAAAAGGCACTTATGGATTTCTTTAAAGAGTAAAAATCTTAATACGAACTTTTCAAAAAACGTATGAGAAAGTGTTTTTTGACAGGGTTATATGTAGATTTCAAATCACTTCTTCGATTGATATCAATCCTTTTGCATAAAATTGGCTAATGAAGGGTGCAAACTGAACCGCTCAATCAGTCCGTTAATTGAACCAATCTTGACAGGAATATCAATTCTGATCATGCGAAAAGCGCTTTCGCATTTCCGTTAATTTATTCGATGCGCGACAGGACGCTGCCACTCGATTATTAATAATCCTTAGCAAAAGCTCTATTTAAATAAGTCAGGGCGACGGGGTAGATTAAGCCAGGAGTACCCAGGTGCCAGGTTTACAAAAACACAGGCAAAATGAATTTCTTCTTTGTGTATATTTTTGTTTTGGGGAATCTTGTCACCGCCGAGAATCACTCACAAAAAGGTCTTTTTACTGGATCGATGGCTAAATTTAGCCCTTTTGGATTGCTATCAAGGTAAACTCGAATCCCATTTCTATATGGTTCAGTGTCTTTTTAACCGATTTTGAAGAGATTTTTCATTTTAAAAATATTTCAAGAGCGACCTATTTTAAAAACCAAAAACGCGGCCCCGTAATCACCTCTTCAAACTGGCGAAATCAGCTCGCCTCTGATCTAAACTGGGGAAACTCCATCAACCTTTTTTAATTCCCTCAAAAAAAAACAACGATACTGGATCATTACTGAAGAAAGAAGAATTCTTTATTTTCATTTCATCGCAAATAAACTGAATAAGACGAGAAGTGTTTTCTTCTTTTACTGATGTGACGAAGTTGAAACGATGGGAGTTTGTGACTCGGTCTTGACCATGGATTTTGGCAGATCTGAATTTTTTATTAACAAGGACTCTTCGATTCGGTCACCTTTTTCGCTTATCTGAAATTTTGGAAGCTGATCTTTTCCTTCCGCTTTGAGTCGATCCTGCTCCTCTGCATCTTTCTTCATCGCGACTCCCATGTAAAAAGCCGCGCCAACAAGGAGGAGTAAAAAGCAAACTCCACCAATCACGATGATATGTCTTCTATCCTTCACTTCCCACCTGTCCGCATCGCCATAAACGATCGTATCTTTATGTCCCGGTGGTTTCCCAAGTTTTGTAACAGAAAGTCGCTTTGGCGGGGATTTCGTCTTTTTGCTTGGCTTTTTGGCGGATTTCAAAATGGGTTTTTTCTTTGGCGGAGGTCGTTTTTTGGGAGCGGGTTTGACAGGAGCTGGCTTTGCTTTTTTACCTTTATTGAACTCGGCAATTGTCCAGCCAGATGGAAAAGCTTGCTGTTTGAAGCCGATTTGGACGACTTCGCCCTAGAAAATGAGCTTTTTGATCTATTTTGAGATTTTCACATTGATATTTTTAGCATTTTTAGTCAAATAATAAACGAAAGTAATTACCCTTGGACCAGGCTTATTTAGTTGAACAGTGAACTTCATTTTCTGCGTTTTTGAAGTCAGCGTTTTCGGGTTCGCGCCGCAGATCGCCTTAGTTTTGGCTGATCCCTCTTCGAGATAAATTCCATTTCCTCCGGCGCAGGGGATGCTGTCTTTTATCATCACTTGGATGAAGGCTCCGGGGCTGGCGGTGATGGTCCACGAGCATTTCATGGGTTTGTACATTGGAGTTGGAAAGTCGGGAAAGGTGAGATATTTTGTTTCTAGAGCTGAGGCTTGCTCTGCTCCGCGATTGCAATCCACTTTTTTAGGGGTCAAATTTCATTTTTTGCGGAAAAAAAATTTTTTTTTTTTGAAAATTTCTTGTGAAAAAAATTAACCCGATTTCCTGTTGTTATTCCAGCGCCAGCGCGTCTTCTTCTGATAAAAATTTCATCCTCTTTTATGACCTCTAGTTGGGCTTTTATTCTCTGTAAAAGTAAAAATATGTACAGCTGTTTCATTCTTGATTCGAATCCGAAATTTTCAGCTGAGTTAAAATAGGTATAATCCTCAGTCGAATTCGTACAAATGGTGGACGAATCAGTATGTGCAGCGGATAGACGCTAGAATTGCCGCGGGCGGTCTTGGTACTTGGCCTTTTCACGATAAATTCAGATAATGAGCATTTTTGCATAATGCGACTTTAGAAAATTCTTATTCTTAAGGAAGGGGTCGACTAGAATCGGGATTTCCGAGACCAAAAATGCGGGAAAACCTGATAAGATAGGCAAAGTCTGATTTTACTGGTGGATAGAAAAGGGTTGTAAAATCAGGCGGCGAAATATAGAAAAAATTTTGGTCAGAAAAAATCGGTCAAAAATCCCGTCAAAGTAGGGCCATTTTTGCGAAAATGCACCAAAAATGGTCAATTTTTTTTTTACAATTTTGCTCATTTCGATCTCTAAATCTCATTTTTATCAAATGATTTTAGGCTCAACAGATTCGGGAGAATTTGTAGATTTCAAAAATATAAGATTCATATCCTGACTAAGTGTATAAGCGAAATTACGATCACCCCTGAAAAAATTCTCGTCGACCCCCCCCCCTTAAAATAAGACTGCTCTTTAAGAGCATTTCTGAAGTTAAGGGGGTAGAAACAGCTTTCTCGATTTTGGACTGCAGCTACATAAAAGAAAGTATAAGATTTATTTACGTTCACGAAATTTCCTCATAAATGTTCCTAGAAAAAGGGTTGAGCTTAACAAAAATGTGAATGAAATTTGTTTAACTATTACGTGACTCGAGATATACGTGTTTAAAAATTTGCGAAAATCGAGAATTTCGGAGAGATGAGCTGCCTCTGAGCCCGCTTACTCAAAAATTTGATGACTAAAACAAATTTCGAGAGAGATGTTCCTAGATCTAAGATGTATCTATCTAACCCTGAAGAAAAAATTTGAAAATGTAAGATTCTCTTCTCTGTAGCGCCGGTCAAAAATCGCCTTTTTCGGAAAAAAGCTGTTTCTACCCCCTTAAGAAATTAAATTTATTGAGTTAAAAATATCGACGACAATAATTGTACAGTTATATTTTCGTAACAAAAGTAAGATGATCCCCAGCAAGTCGCTCTAAAATTTTTCTTGTTTCAAAAAAAATTCAAAATTGATTAAAACTGAACTAATCTAGCTTTTTGTTCAAAATTTCTCTCGATTTGCTGGTTTTCGCAATCAAATCGGAATTCATTAAAAATGTCGGTGAAACAGATGGAAATTGGAATCTCGGCGATTGAACTAAAAACGTGCTTTTTTCGTGGAGTTGTGAAGCTCGTTTTTTTCAATGAGTGCGGAAAATGTTCGATGTCGGATAATATGGTGCGGCGTAGCTTGAAGGGTTACTTTTCGCTTTTTCCTCGGCGGAGTTTTCGGATTTTTCGATTTCGGGCTCTTCGGTTTCGTTTTCCGAATCATCGGCTTGGGAATGCAGCATCAGTCGATCTCGCAGCTCTCTGAAGAGGTTTTTGAAATCATGGAGGAACATTTTTTCTTCATTTTTACCTGACTGTATTGTTCAAACTTTCGTTTTCATACTGCAATTCGTCCAGATGCTTCATCAACTAAATATGAAATGGAGGGTTAGAGGAGGGTATTTTGTCGGCCCTAGAATCTGTTCTAGAATTTCTAGATTCTAGAACTAAAACATACCGATTCAAAAAAGGTTTTGATCCACTCATTCTGAATTTGAAACTATTTTGATTCGTTAAATCAAAACAATGTTCCCGAAAACATGTCAATTATTGGCCTTTTTACTGAAATTTTATAAGCAATCTTGGACTCACACTTGTCTGACTTGACGAATTGATCTCACTTCTTTTCATTGGCGGTCCATCATCATCGACAAAAACGGAAGACGATGAGAGCGCAATCGAGCGGGTGGACTGTGTTTGCTAAACGCCAATTTAAAAAGAAATTTTATATCCGTCCATAAAATCCAAAAGCACTCACGGAGATCTGATTCTGTAGCGTGCGAATTTGCTCTTTCAAACTTCCGATCTCGATGTTTTTCGCCGCGATTGTCTCAGACTCTTGAAATCAATTTCCGTCAATTACTGTATCTTTCATTTCTGAATACCTGCTCTAGAAATCCGACTCGATCGTTCAGAAGACGCCCGAAGTCGCTCAACAGAAGATTCAAGAACAGATTTCGGAGTTCGACTTCTGCTTCTTGAACGGCCTCGGCCTCGGCTTCGGGATCGGTAGTTTGGAACGATCGTTATCTTGCTCTCATGGACTCGCGGGCCGGGAGGATTCGTGCTGATCTTTGCCAGCTCAACGGGCTCTCCGAAGTTTGAAGGGAGAGTTTTTTCAAGAGAGGTGTTTAGCTGGGTAATATATTTTTTCTCCGGCAGAGCTTTTTCGACGCTGGATAATCGGCGCTCAATTCTTTCTAGAGCTGCCAATGACTCAGACTAGAAAATGTCGGTTTTTGATGGGCATTTTTAAAAGTGCCGAATAATCAAAAAATAAAGCCTTACTTTTTTGTTCTTTCGCCTGAGCCGCTTCTCGTCAAACAGACCTCTTTCTTCTTCATAATCCGACGTCACCAATTCCCTTTCTTTTCGCCTCAGCCGCGCTTCCGCCAGATCGAGCTTCCACTTCAGTCGCTCGTTATCGGCGCAGTATCTTAAATTTTTGTTTGTAAATCTGTCCCCGCGGAATTCATTTAAATACGTACTGATATGTTGGTTTGTAGATGATGACTTTCTCATTCGTCTCTTTTATGTCTCGCGCGCTGCTTTCGGCGAGAACTCTAGAATCATTGAAAATAAGAACGTCCTCATTTCAAGTCTCAATTTTCGTATCAAAAATATTTCTTTAATTTTTCACCTGAGAGCTCGTTGAATAACCGGATTCGTATCACTCCTTAATTTCTGATCAATTCCAGAATTATTAGTAGTCTGATTTGATTTCTCTGAAATTTTTGAGTCCTCTAGAAAATCTCTCGCCATTTGAAAAATGAAAAAGAAAAAATCCAATCTGAGATGCTCTTTGTTAGTCGCCTGGGCTAAGCACCAAACAAGTGAGGCTTGTGCGCAAACATTTGCGTCTGTTCTTTTCCAAAGAATGGATTTCAGGATTGTGGATTAAATTTCGTGTTTTGGCGCTTTTGAAGGCTTCATTTTGATTCAGAGTAATTTCGTCTTTTCAAAATCGAAAAATTAGAAAAAAAAAATAAAATTTTAAATTAAATTTTTTTACAATTTTTTAAAAAATTCTTTATTAAATTATTAAATTTGTCAATTTTTTACCTGAATAAAACAGCCGCTAAGCTTTTTCCTCTTGGAATTCTTTCAAAATCGTCGACTTTCGAGACCATTTTCCTGTTTGAAATTCTCTTCCTTGATTTCAATGTTTCAATAAAAATGTAAAATGCGATTAATTTGCTTGGAGGAGTAACGAATTTAACTCAAGTGGCACTTCAGTTTTTTGGGCACACGAGGCTTCAAAGGTGGCGCTACCTCTGTTGCTCTGAACACCCTGCGATTGTTGCCATTGTCATAAAAGAGAAATGATACAAAAAGAAAGAAAGTCTCTTTTTCTCAAATAAAGAAACGGAGAAAAGAATATTTATTTTATACAGCAATTCCCTAATGTACAGCGACATGTATCGTCAATAATTTTTACACAAACAATTCTGGCCGATATTGCAGTCCTTCATCAAAAACACATGATCCAGCTATATGCAGGCTTTCAAACTCGCAGCAGAACCTTTGAGCATTGTACATCTGGAAGGCCCCATGTTTCTTTTTGCAGCAAAACTCGTCTCTTCCAAACCCTTCTCCTTCGTTCGGGCCTTTTATGCAAAGGGACTCGTCGAAATTTGAGTTTGTCGCGAGAAGGTTTCCATTTTCGTCTTGAAATTGTAAAAGTTCGGTTGCCGCGTGTTTGTCGCACTCGCAGATTTCTCGTTCAAGTCCAGTCATATCTAAAAAATTGGAAAATTTTTAAATTCCTTGAAAATTTCTAGCGATCTCTACACTAACCACAAATTTCGCTTTCAGGCCAAATATACGTCGGGACTTCCGTTCTTCCATCAAACTCCACGCTCATCGCGCAGCGAATACATTTCTTCCATCTTAGCAAAACTTTGTCAATTCCATCCACAGGCCAGCCTAGAGAATGAGCAAATGGATCATTCGGAAAACCTCTACTTGCACAGCCATAAGCGCCGAGGAGGGAGTTGACGACTTCTGTTGGAAAATCATCGCCAAGTCGCCAGATTATCCAGTCGACGAGGGGAGGAAGCGTCGAGGAGATGGTCGTTGCAAGCGAGGAAGAGGTGGATTGGGAAACAGCAGATGAGGTTGATGATGAAGGTGGTATTGAGCTTGTGGTGGACGAAAGCAATGGTGTTGTTGTTTGAATGGCAGAATTCGTTGTCGACGCGCCGATTGTCGAGGTTACTGGAGCTTCAGATGTCGACAAGACTGATGATGTCGTTAAAACGGGCAATGTTGTCGAGACTGCAGTCGAAGTGACAGAGGATGAAGTCGACGAAATCGTCGATGTGGACGAAATACTTGTGGAGGCAATTGTCGATGATGTGGATATAACCGGTGTCGTTGAAGCAGAAACCGATGTTGAGGATGCTGTTGATGTCGATGAAATTATTGTTGTCGACGAAATGATTGTTGTCGATGATATCATTGCTGATGATGTGGATAAAGTCGCCGTCGACGAAGCTGCATTTGTCGACGTAGAACTTACTGTTGCTATGGATGAAGTTGATGATACAATCGCTGACGTTGTGGAAAGCGGAGGGATCTCGCAAGTCACTCCAGTAAATCCCCCTTCGCAAGAGCATTCAAATTCCGCCCCGATTTCTTGGCAGACTCCGCCATTTTGACAAGGATCGTCATTGCACGGGCCAATCTGGCAATTGAATCCAGAGTAGCCTTCAGCGCAAGTGCATTCGTAAGAATTTGAGTTTGGGAAAGAACAAGTTCCGTTATTTTGGCACGGTTCTGGAGTACAGGGAGTGATCTCGCAGTGGATTCCTTCCAAGCCCCAGCAGAGGCAGATGTAGCCAGACGGAGGGTTGTTGACGCATATTCCGCCGTTGAGGCAAGGTCCAGCAATCGCTTTGTTTCCATCAGGGGAGTAGAAGTATTGGTAGACTTGATAACCTGATTAAAGGGTTTTTATTTGAAAAAAGGTAAAGCTCTAACCGAAAAAAGAGCCCTCGTTCCTGATAAGTCATAATCCGAAAGATCAAAATACTCAAAATCGGCAAATTCCGCATCGGATTTCAATCCTCCAGCGATATGACATGGGGTTATCTCGCATCTGTCGCCTTCATATCCTTCTGTACAGGCACATTCGTAAGTTGACCCGACTACAGTGCAGGTTCCGCTGTTCATACAGGGCGTCCAAGAGCAAGGGTCATTTTCGCAATTATCGCCGAAAAAGTCTCCTGGGCAAGAGCAAGTGTAGGAAGATCCGATTTCTGTGCAATTTCCGCCGTTTAAACAGGGCTCTAGAAAAAAAGTTTTGCTAAACAAATCATTTAAAAAATCGAACCTGCTGAACACAAGCTTTTGTAATTTTCTTTTTTATTCCCAGTTGATCTCGAAGAAACATTTTTTAGAAAAAATAAAACAAAACAAATCCTTTTCATTTTTTAAATCTCTTGCTGAATCAGATCAATCAAAGGATCCGTGGACAAGAAATTCTGTTTATGCCAAAATTCAACCATCAGAGTTATGCGGTGAATATTTTCCGGGTCAGGCGAGAATCGCATGGGTTTTTGAATAAACAATTTTCCACGTTTGAAATTTTTCATTCAAGCTATAAAAATCGGATTCAAAAAAGGTTTCCATTTCAAAATCGATTGATTGCAAAACTTACTTTTGCCAGATTTTTATAAAATTGCCTCAATTTGAATATTTCTTCGACATAATTTGATCTAATTGTATTCTCCCGTCAAAGTCTTTGTCAATTACTTTCAAGTGAACCCAATAAAGTGAACGGAACGAGTCGGAACTGCGCACTTTTAAAAATGAATTTTAAAGTTTTTGTTTTTCTCTTCGTCGTCGCCTTTTCATGGGAAAGTGATGTCAAATTTTTCAATAAAATAAGTTACGTTTATATTTTTGCATCATTTTTGAAGGAAATTGAAAATGACAGGGACGGTTTCATTTGGTCAATTCCAATAATGGTCAATTCCAAATCTGATTGGCCAAAGCTTTAATATCTAAAATCTTACTGTTATCAAGTCGTTTTCATCATTTTTGTTTTTGCTTCACTTTTGAAAGGGGGTTGAATTTCCTGTTTTGGAACTCTGGGAACACGGAGAAAAATATGGTTGGAATGGCGATGAAGATTTTGGCGAGGGAAACCATCACAGAGTTGTTCCGACAAAACGACGATATCGACTCGGAAAACGAAACTGGCGGGTTGAGGCCAGAATGGCGCATCCTTTTTATGAGTCGAAGGTTAGAAGTTGCTAAAGAAAGGAGAAATAATAATGCATTAGAATGCATACAAACGAGCTCCAGTAGAAGATACACAAATGGACGAAGAAGACATTCAAAATCTTCTGGATAATATTTTCGCGATGGAAATCGCTAAAGAACCATAAGGGGGTTCGCAAGGATTTTTTTCAAGCGCTTGTTACTCTGTCGATCCCTTGAAAGCTGCATTTTCTGATGACGATCAACCAATTTTCCCTGATTATTGGTACTCGATGTAGAAGTTAGATTTTCCTGACTGCGTGAGAAAAAATAAATGTGTCTCTTGGGTGATACTCTTCCTTGTTTTATTTTTATCAAATTCTCAAATAGCCGGCTCAGCAAATATCATTGATGATACGCAAATAAAAAAAAACAGATGTCAATTACCCATCATAATTTCTTTCCGCTGCTCATTTAAAAAACAGAGAGATGAGAGAATTCTTCTTTATTTTATTGCAAATCGAAGCAAGTTTAGTTGAGACTTCTTTACGGCCGAAAATCGTCCGCGATCAATGCCCGTAAGCCATGACTAATTGACACTCTTTCTAAGGGACGTTCAGTGACGAGGATTTGGCTTTGATATGCGACGGTCATTGTTACAGTGACTATATTGTTTGCAAGGAGAACTGCGAGAGCACGAGTTGTGAGCGAGGATGCCTCTCTGATTATACTTGTAATTTTTCTTTTTACATTTTTTTTGACAAATCTTAGCTTGTTACGACTCCTGCCCCTGCTTTTCGGAATGCGAAAATGGATGTGAAGGTTGCGGAAATTCTATCTGCACCTGTTCAAGCCCTCAAACCGACAATACTTATTATCAGCAATGTGTGAAGGAAGTGTTGACTGCGTTCAATGATTGCATTGGAAATTGCACGGCCAGCAGAACCTGTTACAATGAGTGCTTTGCTGATTTTTCTCATGAGTCAGAAAAATGCCCTTGTATGGAAGAATGTGATCGTGGTTGCCCATGCAATAGTGGGTTCAATTGCGAGGAATTTACGACTGTTCTTTGTCAAGAAACTGCCATTTTAAGCTACGTCATTTCTGGAAGCGGAAATTTCAAGGATTGTTGGCGAAAAAAGATGTTTTTAAAAGTAAGTTTTTCCCAACTTTATAAGGAAAATCGAGTCTATAACTCTCCCCCGCGAGAAAGTAGCAAATTTATAGACCGTGCTGGATTTGCATTGTTGAATGGAGTTGGTCATATTTTTGGGGGCTATTATAATTCAAGACAGGTGAGTATTTGAAAAACCGTTTCTCCATTTTTTCACTTAGATTATAAGGATTGAAGAATGCTCTTTTGTCGATACAAATTTGTTGCTGATAAATGATCATACAAGCGTTTCTGGATCAATTGTCACTGTTTCTGAGATCCATGACGAAGTAATTATATGCCAAGGGTCTACCACAAAGTGTGAATCATTTGATGGTGACGTTTCAGTTGCCATCGCACCAACAAGACTGGAACACCAACATGCACCAATGTGTCAATATGAAGGACAGGCTGTTGTAATTGCTGGTTCAGGAACTGAAACCGTTGAAGCGCTTCAATTCAGTGGTTGGCAACTCGAGCCGTCCCATCCATTAGGAAAACTCTACTGGACAGAGTTCGAAATTCCCGCGAACTTTTGCGGGTGCGGGGGGGAGCGGGAACCATGACTGAAATTTTTCGCGGGGGCGGGGGGGGAGCGGGAGGAAGGTCGAAAATTTTTTGCGGGAGCGGGGGGGAGCGGGAGCAAGTCCAAAAATTTTGCGCGGGAGCGGGGGGCGGGGGAGGAGGTCAAAAATTTTGCGCGGAAGAGGGCGGCGCGGGAAAAAGGCCTGAAAATTTGCGCGGGAGCGAGGGGCGCGGGAAGGATTCCCCCTCCCTTTTGCTCCCGCGGGAGCCCGCGGGAAAGAAAAGTGAGGGCTTGTTTAAAAAGGTCTCCACTAAGGAAGAAGCCTGAGTCAGGCCCCTTAGAAAATTCGATAATTGAGAAATAAAATTAAAAAAAAATAAATAAAAACCATAACAAAGCTAAGAACATGAACAATATTAACTTTCACATTGAATGGTGGTGGGTGGGGTTAAGGATGAAACTGAGATTGATCAACTCAGACTTCCCCGGCCTTTGTCAAGCCCCTTAAATTTAAAAACCAAGGAACGGGGCTGAGACGGCCTTTATATTTAAAAACCTTCTTCCCCGCTGCTCCCATTTTTGATTTTTCGCGGCGCGGGAAGGGGCGGGAAGAAGGCATGAAAATTTACGGCGGGAGCGGGGGGGAGGGGGAAGGATCTCAAGAAAATCTCGAGGGAGGCTCGCTCGCGGGAGCTTGTGGCGCGGGAAATTTCGAACTCTGCTACAGGGCATCTTGCACGTCTCTTGATGATGGCATTATTGTCGCTGGAGGATATTCAGCCGCGGATGGATTTTTTAAAGATGTCTACTTATTTCGAGAGGAGCTGTGGAAGAAAGTTGGCGAGCTGAACCATGTTAGATTTAAAACGTTATTTATCGTGACATAATTTTAGAAATATGGGTATGCCTCAATGATCAATTACGGTACTTATTTCTTGATTTTTGGCGGAGCTTATGAGTATGTTTTATTTTTAAACTGGCAATTTAATTAAAATCAAGAGATTTGGTTGTCGAAAGAATAAATTGGGATGGCGAAAAAATAACTTCGACCGAAAAAATTAATGATCACGAAGGCATTTGTCATCGGCCGATTATTTTCCAGTCAGATCCTGACACCTGCTCAACTCCATGTCCGGATTCCTTTTGCTATCAGTTTTAAGAAAATAAAATATCAATGGATGAATTTCAAATGAAGCATAAGGGTCGAGGGTGGGCGAAAGAGGTGACAGGATAGCCTAGCACATGAAAAATGAGGTGGTGAAAGCATTTAAGACTCAGCTCGCTGCCGCAGGAACAGATGAACGGAAGCAAGAATAATTCCATTGAGATTATTTTTCTAGAGAGAAAAGCAGGAGAAACTCGAAGAAGATATGGGGTTATTCAGGTTCAGTCTGCTTATCGTAAGAAATATGGTGTTAGCCCTAAAAAATAGATCAATTTTAAGACTTCTTGAGAATATATGAAATTCACAGAAATGACTATTGAAATTTTTGATTTGAAATGAAATAATATTTTTGGGAATCATTGATTTTTTTTATTCTTGAGATTAAATTTTTTGTCGTTGATCAGGGAAAAATAGAATCGGCTTATCATTGTTCTCTCTTTGAAAATAAACTGTACTTAACTGTTTTTTATCGAAAGCCTTTAATAAAAAAAATAAGGGTATCTTGACGATTTCTCGATAGTTCTCGCCTTTGAGTCTAGATTTTTCCATATATTATTCCGTAAAACTGTCGACAATAGCCGATTTTCCCTTCAAAAATATAAAAATAGACGCGTTTATGACTCCTAGTTACAGTATTCAACTTTGCTCGATCTTGACTTTTCGCGCAACTGGTAAATCTTCGAGGAAACATTAGGATAAAAAACACGTTCGCCATAATTCTCGCTCGTAAACGCTGCAAATCAACTCGTTCTCTCCTTCAGCGCTTCCAAATCATTCTCATCTTTTTAGCTGGATGAAAGGAGCGAGTAAAAAAGAAAAGACTAGCAGCGACAATACCAATCTCCAATCTCCGCAGCAGAACAGTTCTAGTTCCAGAAGCAGGGTTGGGAGCAGCAATGGCAAGAATGGAGTTAATGAGGACGATGTTGATGATGTTTATGCTGGTCTGAAAGGAACGGTGTTTAAGATTTAAGGACCCCCCTCCCTCAACAATTATCGAAAAATCTATTTTCGGAATTTCAAAATTTTGACCCCGGAAATGGATTCTACAGGTCAAAAAACGATTTTGAGGCTGCATTTTTTGGGGGTCTATCTCGACTCTAACACCCTTAAAATCGCGTTTGAAAATTTGACTTTTTGACGAAAAATGACGAAAAAGTCCCAATTTTGTTATAATTTCATTTTTTTTGGTCAAAAAGTGCTCCAAACAAGTTTTAATGATGAATCGAACTTCCAGGAACACTAAGAAGCCAAATTATCGCAGTTTTGAAATTTTCGATTTTTTGAGGAAAATTGTTGACGAGGGGGGGGGGTCCTTAAGGGTGTACCTAACGAAAAGAGATTCTTTATTCTTTGAATACGGATCGGGGTCCCTCTGAGATTCCTCTCCTGTAACACCTCAAAAGCTGCCAAAAGAAGCGGTCCACGTGGAAGCATTTGTCAAAACCCTGCTGGTGTCTATAAAAATACAACCGCAAGAAAATCAATTGGAGAAGAATCATCCCAGATGCCCAAGAAAAACTGGAGAAAAACATCAGTCTCGAAGCCAACTGAAGAACAACTCGCTTATCAAAAGTAATCCCGCTAAAAAAGAAAATTTTCTTAAGAAAAAATCTCTAGAACGAGGCAGCAAAGACCTTCTATCGCCGATTTGTCTTTTCAAATGCTTGACCATGCAAAAATCCTCCAACAATCGCAGGAATTCGACCGGAAGGAAAAGCAAAAACCACCATTGGGACAATCTGGGTCGCTACCAAGACAAAGAGCGCCACCTGCGCCAAGAAGGTCTTCAGTGGATGTGGTAAGGATCTCTTAGGATTGGAGAGTGCCAGCGGTTATTTTAAGGGTATGCAGTCGCATAATAATCGGATGAAGATGATGTCAAGACGGGGTGAATCGATAGGTACTTTCTTTTGGATAGATAAAGTAGGGGTCTCTTTTTAATTGAGACACCCTTAAATCTCTTGCCAGAAATTTCCTTTGGAATCTTGGGAAATTTGATACCTCGAATTTTTCTTTCCAAAAACTCGAGCTCTGGCACCTTGAAATCTAAATCTCTGTGTTGCAGATTTGGTGACTGGCGACGACGGGCGTTTTATCCCCTCCCAGCCTCGGAGAAGAAAATGATGTGTGAATGTTCATTCGATGCAAGAATTTACTTTTTGCGTGAATGTATTTTTGTTTAGACAAATTCGCATTAGAAAAACCTTCTTTCTCGCCTGATCGACGATCCAAATCTGGTACGGACTCTCAATTAACGATAAAACTGTCTGATTATATTTCTAGATAATCGAATCTACCGATACAATACCGACCAAAATTACTGAAAAAATGATTTTGTCGTCTGTTTTGGATTCAGTTGAAAGAAAATTCGCTCAACATCTACCATCAAATTGTGTTTTGTTCGGATTCTCCTGACCATGGATGAACCGCCTTCCCTACTTCTTGATCATATGCTTTAATCATGAAATAATAAAACTGTCATCCCTGAGTAATCATGCTGCATATTCAAGCAACTGCTTAGTGCATTTATAAGACCAGTTAAAAAGAACCAGGGGATAGAATGATGAAACTACTTTTTCATTTTTTTCTTCTGGCAAATTCTGTTTTTCTCATGAGAAAAGAGAAAAGAATGGCTTTTACTCCATCACCAGTCGTCAAAGGAAGGACTCTCAAATGAAATATTTTGACTCACTTTTTTATAATTAAGTTTTTTTATTGAGATTCTTGGAAGATAGACTTCTTGGTAGACTTTCGGAAATGCTTTCTTCGAGTTATTTTGATTTTTTTCGAAAATAAAACGCGTTGTCTTTGTTTTTATTCACGGATTCTTGTGATTTCAGGGGAGGATTTTTTTATTTGTAAGCCAACAGACAGTAAGCACGAGGGCTCATTTTGGGATCAAAGATTTGAATCCCTGCAGATTTCCGCCACTTTACGCTTTCTTCGAGAAAATTCATCTTGTCAGCAAGAATCAGATATTCAGCAATTTTCGCGTACAGATTTCGCAGCCCTTCAATTTCTCGCAAATCTTCGTATTTTTGACCGGCAGTGAATTTTTCAAGCATTTCCCCAGCTTTTTTCAGGTATTCTTCGTTGATATCCGGAATTTTCAGTCTCTTTCCTGCCAGTTTGACGTATTCTTCGAACATTTTTCGATCATCCTTTTCGACTTTCGCTGCTTTTGCGAAAATCTTTCCAACTCGGACATCTTTCCCATCAGCATCAACCGCAAAATCAGGGAAAAACTCCATCAGAAACTCCTTCAGCAGCGCACGAAAGAACACAGATTTGAGACTCGAATCCGACTGAATTCTGTCTTCAGAGTGACAAGCGAGCATTCTTGCATTTTGGCCTAGAATAAGATTTTGGTTCCTGAAGATGTTTGACATCGGAAATCCGATAAAACGCTCGCAAATATCAGTTTTCTGGACTTCAGAATTGGCGATTTCTTCTTTTGTCAAGCCGCGAGCGATTCCTGTACTGTATCTATCTATTCTAGGGGGCGGCAAAATAAGAAAAAAAAGCATCTTTCGTTATAGTTTTTGAGCCCTTGCCTATTTTTGAATTTCCTTCCAACTCCGATTCCTCCGATAAATGATGATAGCAACACGGTACCAAAACGAGCCCAACAATCTCTTCTATGATTTCGGATAGATGGCAAAGCACACTTGATAGATCGCCACAGCAATGAAGCCCCACAAGAACTGATTTTCTCCCCGAAACAACGCCTGGCAAACAATCTGGTCGAACAACATCACCCACGCAGTCGATTTTGACTTCTGTTGAAGTTCTGAGATTGTTCTTTTCGGATTGATTTGATCGATGATGATAGTGCTTTTCCAAGGATTTCGCTCGTTCAAGCGTCTTTTCCAGGGTGTTTTTGACGCAATCATTATTCGAATTTCAAAATGTTGAGTGAACAAGGGCTCTTTTGATTTGATCATATTAAGAAACAAGGGCTTGTTTCAATAAAAATTTGTCAATTCGATTCCTATAGCAGTTAATTCCAATCCATATTCTGCAGAAAGAAACGTCGACAGATACCCTTTTCCGGCACCAACATCAATCACGTGATCTGCCCCCGTTGTCTGGCAGACATCAGCGATCAAATGTGAGAGCTGGCTGATCTCGTATGATTTTTTGTCTGCAAGGGGCTATGGATTGCCTTCCTAAAGTAACTATTCAAATAGTAATAAAGCCTTTTTATAAGCCCAATCCTGGCATATCCTTGACTTTCGGTGAATCTGGTGCCAAAATTTCATTCTCTGATTTCAGCTCTTTCTTCAAATCTTCAACTTTCGTCAGTTTCTTTTCAATCAATTCTTTGCAAGCGTCAATCTTTCTTCTAAATTCATCTCCAAGCATGCCGGAATTCAAATACCTTCAAAGCAAAATCTTTGTTTTGGATGATTTTTCAAAATTATGCATCTTACTTTTGAGAGAAATCGCCGTGAATAAAATCGACCATGTGAGCGTTCCCGAAATCTCGGTACTCATCGCAAAAATCTTTCAAAATCAAAAATTCGTTCATTTTTGAATATTTTCTCTTATCCAATCAGAAAATGATGACTCAAAATGAATCAATCTTCAAGAAAAAATGGTCAAAGGAAACTTTCTATTTTAGATTTTATTGAAAAATAGAAGACAGTTTTCAGTTTTGAGTGGAAGTTCTGTTGTTGTTCAGGTGTGGTAGAATTAAATCGATGTAGATGCCTTTGCTCGTTTCATACAAGTGTTTCGCAGCAACTGAAGTATTCAGCGATTGCACTTCCGAGAGAAATTTTCTGTCGCGCAGGATTCTGTCATCTTTGCTCTGCTGAATCTTCTCGCAAATTTTCAAGAATCGCTCCTCTGCCAAAAGAAAAGCCGACTCGCCCTGTTGGCTCTCTGCTTCTCGAACTTCTTTTCGTCGATCTTCAAGGTATTCTCCGAATTGCTTCGAGCCGCGAATGCAAGATGCGGCCGTCGTCACGCAAAAATCTTTCTGGTAGCTTTCTGTTGCCGTTGTTGCTCTGAGGAGAGAGAATAGCATGTTGAATTCGTACTTGATTAATTCTCGCCGAGAAAGCTTTTCTTCGACTGGCGCGGTCTTCTTTGGTCGACCTCTTTTTCCCTAAACAAAATTGTTATTTTTAAAAAACAAAGAGGGATTTTACCTTTTCAGCTTTGATTTCAGGCATTTTTGATCTCGCAGTCAAAGAAAAATGCTTTTTTTCCTTATTTTTTGTTCGAATCTCCTTTTGACGATGACTGAGCTGAGAGCGCGCTTATATACGCCGGAAAATTGTTCATGATCGGAGGTGATCAACCTTCTCTAGAGCGAATTTTTCGAAATTTTTCACCCGCGATTTCGACAATTCTTTGGAAATGAAGAAAAATCTTTGTCGATCTCCACTCAAAAACCCGAAAAATTGCCTTTGGAAACTGGATTTGTCGCTTGAAAATGACGAAAATGGGAAAATTTAGGCATAATTATCCAATTTTCTTGATTAGTTCTTTAATTACCCAAAACAATCGTTAAATAAATGTATTTGTTGATTTAATTTGAAGCTCTTTCTTGAAATGAACTTTTTTAGAAAGAAAGCGGAAATCAACTAAGGAGCAAGACTTTTGTATATGAAAACTCAAGTGTTGATGAGCTGGACTCGAGTGTTCGAACAAATAATCACTCAACTTTTCTAAGAGGCTTCCTTTATACTTAAGTTTATAGAGAAAGACTGAAGGTGAATTTCTTCGCAATTTGCACAATATTTTTCCGCAAATAGCAATTTTAGACAAACTTGTTAGAGACAGTATTAAAAACAAAACACGGCGTCCGCTCAATTGTCCGCACAAGGACTTGCTCTCGAGCTCGACTGGTTTTCGCCAAGCACTTTCGCTGAACTGATTTAAATTTTGAGATGCTGCTGAATTGCAATTTTAAACGACTTTTAGTTCTTGTCTGTTTCCGGATAGAGTTCAAAAGAGTCAAGAGAGATTTTTTTCGAAAAATAGGGAAAGCGATGTTGACACCCTTAAGGAGGTGTCAGGAACCGACTCTTAATTTCGACAAATTTTGCGTGGAAATTTCCAACCAATCAGAAGCCTTGATTCGGCTTATCGGCCAACCAGAAGATTCGGCTAATCAGCCGATCACAGGCATGGATTCGGTTAATCAGCCAACCAGAAGCCTGGATTTGGCTAATCAGCCAATCAGAAGCTTGGATTCGGCTAATCAGCCAATCAAAAGCCTGGATTCGGCTAATCAGCCAACCAGCATCCTTAATTCTGTTTACCGGCCAATCAGCTGCCGAGTAGCCGCCCAAGAAAAATTTGTCGACTCAAGATTTTATTTTCGGATCCTGACGCTACCCCCTTAAGACGTGATTAACTTTCGCCACCTGTTTGGAGCGAATGATCCCCGAATCTGAAGAGTGAACCAAATCAAGCTAAGACGCTCTCGCCAAAATAAAATTTGCATCTCCCTAGTTGCCAGCCCACGTTTCAGAATCAGGGCTGATCCCTGCTCGAGTATTTGAGCAAAAATCACTAGAATGCGCGTAATTCGCTGCCCTTGAATTTCAAACGAAAGAATTAATAACCGCGCGGCGAGTTTTTCTATCCTGCCAACGAACTGTCACCGCGGTCGGGGTCGACGAATTGAACATAAATCAAAAAATCGACACGAGTTAACGTGTTGCTCTCATTTTTATCTGTTTTTCGAGTACTTGCGTTTTTAAATTTCCCTAGTTTATTTTTTGAAAATTTTAATTTTTTTCTAAAAACTTTGATTTTTTTTCTGAAAATTTTGCTCTTTTTTGAATTTTCCAATAATGCGTGTCCTGACTCAGGACTCCTAAGTCAGGCCTGCTGAGTATAAATTACTAGAAAGACTACTCTCCAGACCCTCAGATTTATCCATATTCACGAGAATATTCGCAACAAAAAACACGTGATTTTGAATTAAAAATATCCGGTCTCTTAATTTTAGAGTTTGAATTTATGCACGAGTTTTGGAAATCTGCTGAAATCAGCGAAAAAGCTCCGTTTTCTTTTACTGATTTTCTCGAATGACGTCAGAGGCAGATCTTGGACCGCAAAGGAGTCAAGGTTGAACGGGCATGGATCACCAATTAGAGTCGATGATGTAGCAACAAGAGCGCTTGTTAAACGAATTTGCTGCTGGATCGGAAACAGGAGTCTTTTCCGGCGCAGGATGCCAAATTGTGCTTATCGCGCTAGAGGAAGAAAAAAGTTCGTCCGCCAGACTTTTGGGCCTTTTAGAAACGATTTGTGGGCCATTATTTATGGGTCACCTATTTATTTATAAAAAAAAAAGAGAAAACTACTGAGTTTAATATTCTATTAAAAAAAATTGCAACATAGATTGTTTTTTAAGATATATTCTCAGATGAACTTTTGAGGTCTTCTTTGAGCAGAAAAAAACAAGAACGTGGTCAAATTCACTAGAACGGAATTCGACGAATCTGTCCCTTGGGCGGAATTTTAATCCGGCTTCCGCATAAATTTTCAATTCATGTTGGCTCCATTCAAATATCTCCATTTACCCTTCTCATCTTTGAAATCCCTTGTCAGGGAGACGCTTCTTTTTTCTAAACGTTTTTCTCCGACTTAAACTCAAAAGTCGGAAGTTTCTTGAGTGCTTGGGTGCTCCGAAGTCACGTGTTGAGCTCGTGAGATGAAATGAACAAGGCGTTAAAGGTCTGTCAACTATTGTTGTAATTTTGAACTGCAGGTGTGAACAATTTCTGTTTTTACACAAGTTTTGAGTGCTCAATAAGCATAACCAAAGATTATAAGTTTTTGTTCTATTTATATTTTTTTAAAGAATTTATTTGATAAAAAAATAAAAATGCTACTTCGATAGATCTTCCCTTAGGTAAGGGAGTCTCCTTAAATAGTCGAGTGCAAATAAGGGTGTCACTAAGATAGTTTTCTTAAATTTTTGGTTCGCACCAAGCTATCTTTTGTGTTCTATATCTCCTTAAGTTATGATGACATAAATAAATATTCCCATAGTCGAGCGTTCAAACTTCAATATAAGAGTATAAGGAAGGATACCCTTAATCTAGGTTTCTCAAAATTTTGGTTCCCGCTAGGTCCATTTTTGGCAGAAACCGTCGTGGGGTATTTTATTTTATAAAAAAAGAAGGAAAACTCGAAATCATGACGAATATCCATGATGATCTTGCAGAAAGGACAGTATTCTAAAATTCGAAAATTAAAAAGTTGCATTTAGAAAAATTAGAAAAACACGAATCGTGTACTAATTGCCCACTCAAAAGCTCGACGGAACACGGTGTTTCCTTCGTCAGCCGGAGACGACGCAAAGTCGACATAATACGATCAATAGTCCTTTCCTAATTTATCGAAATTATCTTTCATCGTATCTTCTAGAAAGCAAAAGATAAGGGACCATAAATCTGGCGGCTTCGAACTTTTACCAAATTTTTTTTACACTGGTAATTGTTAACTTGACTAACGAAGCCAAGCAAGCTTCCGCCGGTTATTTTCATTTTATAATCGTTACGTTCGTTGTATATTTGTAAGCCCAAAATAGGGCATATTTCTTTATTTGTCGAATTCTAGATGTTTTCAAAAACTTTAAATTTGCTTAACTTTCGCTTTTATTAAGGGCTTCTGAACGATAACTTTAACAAAGGGAACCTTTTTGAGAAATTTGTGAATATAATTTCATGATAATTTTCATGAAGAGTATTCGAAATCCCAAAAAAATTGTCCATAAAAGATTCTAGAATAAAATACAATGGTGGCGCTCGCGTTCATTTTCATGAATTTTCACGAGCGCGCCGTTTCGCTCGCCGCGCGCTTAACTCTTCTCATCATAACTGCTCCATCGATACTGACTGAGCAAAAACGATCTTGAAAAAATGAAGTTTGCCAGTTTTTTACCAGCTGTTCTTGCATTAGAAACATCATCTTCGGAAGAAGAATCGGCGGTGGATCAAGAGAAAACACTGAAAGAAGTGATTATGAAACCGACGCAGAAGAGGAGTGCTGTTGGGCTTGAAAGATTTGGAATAAATATGGGTAACTAATTCGTTATAGACCTTGAAGTGATATTATCTCATCGATAAAGCAAAAGCTTTCTGTATAGAACTCATTAAAAAATTGGCAATTAATCAATTTATTTGTCTGAAAAATATCACTTATGGTTTCCCTGCGGTTTTTTTTTTAATTTTGGCTTGACGGAAATTAAGGTGCTTTCGACTACGGATGTCATTGTTCTGCCCTTCTTTCCGGAAAAATCTCCGGCTACGGCGCTGCGGTCGATGCCCTGGACATGATTTGCAAGGACAGGAAAGGGGCTGACCCGAAAAACGTCTCGAAAGTAGCGCGACCTCATGGTCTTCAAGCGGAGGTTTCTTATCAAAAAAGAAACTATCCTCGCTTATCGGAGGCACGTGGTCAGCCCTCATTCAAGTGTTTCGAATTTTCAATCCCCATAATTAGCGAGCTACGTGAAAAGAAGTACCATTTGCTTTCTTTGTTATCTTTCATTTTTTTGAAAACACTTTTGAAAAGGATTATTTGGAGTGTACGAAATGTGTTCAAAAAGTCACCAATTGTCAGGTAATAAATAACGTTATTTCTCGGAGGACTCCCGGAGGACCTTCCTACTGGAAGACATCCTTTGCTGGAAGACAGCCCTTCTTCCACAAGAAAGGGGTCCTCCTCAAAAAGTCCTCCAAAAAATTACAGAAATAACTTTCGTGATAATTAGGTAAGCGTTAATTACGATTTTGTCATGGACGATTCTGGAGTCGTCTGCACAGAAAACGATGGAACTTGCGAAAAAAATATTTGCGAATGTGATGCTATGGTATATTTTTTCTCCTGAAAATTATGCTTTAGCCCATTCTTAGTTCTACCGAGATCTTCTGCACGCCGCCTACAGTGGGATCATCTACAACTACAAGTACAACGTCGCGAGTTTCGATCCATCAAGTTCATGTCACGTTTCTTCCCGGCCAGGCAAAACGTCGCTAGAAGAAAATATCGCGATGGACGCACGATTCGACAGCTCGAATTTCCTCTTTGAGAAAGAACAACGACATTCTAAGGCAACGTTCGAAAATAGGATGAGTCAGGAGTAGAGTTAGAATCACCTATTATTGCGTTGGAATTTACTCGGAGGGCGGAGGGGTCAGATAGAAAAATGGCATGAGAAACACGTTCTTCTCTCTTTTGAAAATTTGCATAAAGGGAGCGAATTTTCCAGCGTGAAAAAAGTGCTGCTCAAGTGTGATTGGAAATTCGCTGGAACGATCCCACTCATCGAAATTGAAATGTTGCGAACTCGCGCCTGGAAAATTTACTTTGAAGCCGAGATGCTGAGGATTTTTCTTCATTTTTATCAAGTCATGTACAGTTCTTCTTTTTTCTTTAATAAAAAAGCCGATATCGAATGACCTCGCGGAAACCATCGAAAATGACCTTTCAGAGAATGATTTTAATTACAGCTAATGGAAAACTCCTTTATGAAAGTCTTTTAAAAAAAGATACAGAGAGTTCAATGACTGTAACTCTCCCGAGTACGATACCAGTATGAAAAGAAGCGTTTATGAATAATTAATTGTGAAAAAAGGTGGATTATTGAGAAAATAGTCATTTGAAATTGACAAATTCAAATCAGGTGTATAATCGCATCCCAAGCTGACCGAAATGGGAAGAATAAGAACTGTGCTGAAAAGTATCAAGAAAAGCTTGAAGCGGCACGGCGGAACGAGGGAAATGCACTTGTTCAGAGAAAATGCTGCGCCGGTTGGATATGGCTACATTGTCAGGTTTGAAATTCAAAGACCATAAATGTATCAAAAATAAAATTATTATCAATTTTTTTCCTTCTTTACCATGATGATTCTCTAACTACAGGTTGTTCTCTTTTTAAGGAGTGACTAGGAGGCTAGTTATCACTAGCCATACATATGCCATATTTCTGATAAACATATTTCCAAATCAACGAGCACCATTCTAGCACGACCAGCGGTTATCTCCGTCGAATAATTTGGGCGATCGTGATGGCAGTTGGAGTCATTTATTCAACCGTAACGATTTATCAAAACTCAGTCAAGTACTTTTCTTATCCTTCATCTATCAAACCAATGACAAGGTCAAAAATCATCTTTTCCTCTTATTTGAAATCAAGGAGGAAGATTTTTTTTTCTGAGCTTTTTGAAAGATCCTCGAGTCAGAAAACGTCATTGAATTTCCCAAAATCACTGTTTGCCCGAACGGACTTCACTCTAGAAGAAAACTGCAGAAGATCGAGAAAGAATACGGTTTTTCGATTCCAGAAGGGATAATCAAAAGAATGTACACCGGATTGATGACCATAAAAGCGCTGAAGTTCAAATACGGAGAAAAGCTAGTTGCGAAGCTGGATGAGGTCGATTACGAAGACTTTTTAGCAAGTACTTCGACGGATATGGCGATAATTGGCTGCAAGTACTTGACGTATAATTGCACAGGGAAGGTGGGTTTACCATGTTTTTTCGTCTGTATTTCATGATTTCAGTGGAATTTGATAAAAAGTCCGTATGGAGAATGCATTGTTTTCGAAAGTGCCCAGCATTTTCCAAAACCAACTGAAGGAAAAAGTCTTATTTTAATTTGAAAAATAATTTTTCTCCATAAAAACTTCGGGAAAAGCATCGGCAAGAGAGGCACAGCTTTCATTCATGATTTACAATGATGCAGCAGACACGATGGGTGGATTCAATCAGCTATTCACTGGATTGACGATGTTCTTTTCGAGTTCAACCGAGTTGACTCTCGATCCATTAACTTCCATTTCGCTCAGGAAAGAGGTCCGAAGAGCGAGTTCAAATTTCGATTTCATTTTCGGACCAAAAATAGCCCTGGACAAACGCCAATCGTCGCATTTCGACAAGTTCATGAGTTGAAGCTGGGCAAACCCTACTCAGATTGTGTCGACTCTCACAAGCATAAACTCAAAATCTTTGGCCACTACACGCCAAATCATTGCATTTCCGAATGCATGGCGGACAAAGTTTACAAAACCTGCAATTGCACCCCCGTCTATCTGGCCACCGAAGAATCCTTGTTTAACGGATCAAGCTGCTCTTTGCTCCAGATGACTGTTTGTGTTCTTCCACAAATGAAACGATTCAGTAAGAATCCGTTTAAAGCAATTTCAAGAGCATAATTCAGACTACACATCATGTGATTGCGGGGTTCCCTGCTCGCATATAACACCAGAAGCGGCACTCATTCAGTATGGCAAGTCCAATGAGCGGCTAACTGGACTATCGGCATTCGGAAAAGACAAGTTTTTCTCTGCGCTAGCATACATGCAAGAAGTCAGAGAAGTGACGAACCTCGAAATTCCAGGACTGTTTCTGATTTTTTCATAATCACCTTTTTACGCATCTTTTTTGAGCACAACAAAGACTACATCTCCTCCCAATATCTCTCCGATACCGGAGGAGCAGCAGGACTGTTTCTCGGAATGAGCGTCGCGACAATCCTTGGCGCTTTGGATTGCAGCATTTGCTACTGTATCAAAGTAACAACATCCCACCTTGAAACTCGCGGCTAAATAAAGTATTGATAGGTCTTCTCCGGAATATCGACAAAACTGACGAACTACATCAAAACGCGACACAAGTGCTGAGTTTCCAAAAACATGTCTAGATCAATTTCGTTTTCAGGCACAAGACGTTGATCAACGAGAATTCCAAGTGTGTTGGAACTGCTTCAGTCTGGGTTTGCAGAACTACTGGTGATAGATTCAAAATGTGAGTAAACGTTTTTTTTTCAGAAAATGCCCCTTTGTCTACCACCGATTTTTAGCAAAAGAAATTCGGCGAATTCGATAACGAGCTATGAAGGTACTCCTCCTTGATTTTTGCTGTATTTTTTTCAATTAAAATTAAGAAACGATTAATAACGGGAAAACAAAAAATGTCGATTCTCAAACTGGCGAAGATTTGGTTCATTTCTGCAGCCAAAGTTCAAGCTCGAGTTCTTTTTAAAATTTCTTACTGTTGATCTTTTTAATCTTTTTGTTTGAAATGTAAAAATGATATCTTGAGAGCAGTTTTTTGTTTATTTTTGATTCACTTATCTGGCAACAACGAAGGATAAATATGAAATTCATGCTGAAAAAAGAAGGAAAGTAGAGAAAAATGGGAGAAAGGATCGTCATTCCGGTGCGTTAGGTCAAAAAACAGGCATTTTTATGGTAGTTTCAGCAGAGTCAGTTGCAGAGGCACTTTGAATTGACTCGAACATCAACCAGCTTTGAAACGGTAACGACAGAAACTCGGCAATCCAGGACGATGCTAGAAATAAACTCACTCTCAATCGGTTTGATTTTCACTTACTCTGAAGCCATGTTGATTTCAGGCGCTTCGAAGCAAATTTCGTCCGTCTTAAAATTCGGCATCTTTTTCAACTCTCAAAGATGCTCTTTTCTGAGTGAAGGAAGAAATCCGCGCCGGCTGGTTTTATGCATCTTTGCCGGATAGTTAGCGGGTTCTTAATTGTTCCGAAGACATATAAATTGAAGAAAAAGGATGTTTCCTCAGGAAGCTTTTTGGGAAGAAATATTCTTTGATTTTTTATGATTATGAGAGAGTCTCTCCCGTAATTATCATTTCATTAGAATTTTCTGCAGATTTTATGAAATTCTTTCTAGACGCGCCGGCCTCAGTCTGCCAGATCGGCGAATAAGGAGAAAAGTCTCTAGATGTGCGAAAACTATCGTTCTCAACGAGTTTGATGGTGGCAAATATTTTCTAGACTATTCGTTTACTTCTGCCTTTTTGAAGTGAACGCCTCAGTTCGAGAAACTTCTTCAAGTCTGAGGGGCGAAATTTTGAGGTAAATTTTTACGATAAAAGCACGCGAATAAATTTTATTAGATCGAGAGAACTCTGAAAAACGACGAGCCGAATGGGAACCGGAGGTCTTGGAGATAGCGTTGAAGGATCAATGAGAAGCAAATTATCCGAAACGGCAGCTGCAAAAAACTGCCAAAATTGCCAGAATTTGTCCATGCTTCTCAACGTTCCACTTCTGAAAATACAGTCGCAACTTTCAACTTAACTCTGTCTTTATTCCTTCAGCAAGTTTATTTTATAAATGTCATGGCAACAACGAACAATAAAAATTAAGAAATGTAAAGAAAAAGTAAAGAAATGAGCAAGTATCGGGAAGTCAGTCCCTTCTAAGAGGTCGAAAATCGTGATTTAATCTAATAGCAGAGTAGTAAGTCGGTTTCTTCAAGGGCAGTGGCACTGTCCACTGACCCAGACGTCGACAAGCTTAGTTACTGTCACGATTGAGACGCGGGCGTCAAAGACGATGCTGAAATTGAAAATTTAGTAAAAAGCGTATCACCAGAATCACGACTTACTCAGAGGCCATATTGATCTCTGGAGCCTCAAAAACAATTTCGTCGGTTTTTGTCATTTTCAGGAAATGATTTATTTTGACTTCCCGGGGTTGATTAAATGTACTTTTGCCGGTCAATTACATTGTAGTGGTTTTGCTGGAAGAATGTCACTTTCTCAGAGAAATTTTATGACTCGCTGAGAATGTCATCGTCATTATCACTTTTGACAGCGTCTTTTTCTCATCAAAAGTACCTGAGTGGCAGATTTTTTGGTAAAGAATATCATTTTAGCTGTCGAAAATGACATTGACATTAGCACTTTCTCAAAGCAATAAAAATTTTTTCATGAGAAGGTTATTTTTTCCCGCAAAAGATTACCAGAAACCGCTGTTTGCCGGCTAAACATATATAAATACAGCTCTTCGGGAGTCAGAATCAGAATTTTGAAAGAAAATGACGAAAACGGATGAAATAATTTTTGAAGCTCCAGAGATCAATATGGCCTCTGAGTAAGGAACAACAAAAGGATTCCTTAATTTATCTGATTCTAGCATCGTCCTGGACGCACGAATCTCGATCGTAACAGCGGTCAAGCTGGTGGATGTGAGAGTCACTGGAGAAACCCATACGCTCCCCTCAGAGACTCAGGAGAGCTCTGACAGTTCTAAGAGCGAGTGATTTTGATCCGGGATACATTTGGAAATTGGATAAAACGAGCTGGACAACCGACGACGTGATAACTTTTTCAACCTTTTTTTTCCTTAATTTTTTCTTGCATTCTTTCTTTGGCAATTTATTGACAATTTAATAAACTTGCTGATCAAGTAGTGTGTTTTTCCTTTTCAATCATATTTTATTCTTTGCAGTCGAAAAACTAAAGCTCGCGAACATCCGCTCTGGTCAATCCAGCGCATAAATTCATGCAAGATTCTTCGTCAGGGAATTTGTTCAGATTTCCGCCGCAGCCTCCCCAAGTAAACTTTTCGCATTTTCCACTGTCGATATTGTAGTAAAATCGTGGAATCGCAGCTCGACACATTCCTAAAAAAATCATTCAAATTTTCGACGCATTTTTAGCCGCTCTTTTATCAGAAAATTGATTACTTACCGACTTCATATGGAAGAGCACAATCATCTCTAGTGGTTTTTTTCTCTTCTTCTCGGCCAAAAGCAAAATTGATTAAAATTACCGAGATTTTCATTTTCTTTAACGAATCTTTTCAAAAGCTTTTTTTCTGATCAAGGCCACATCTTATTCCTCAGGGCATGTTTTCATGCGTTTCTTCTCTTGCACCGCTGACTCATCATTTCTTCATTTTTTGAAAAAGGGTTTCATGAAAATTTTAGTTCGATTCAAAAAGACATGATTTTATTTGTTCAGTTTGTTCAGAGATCAGTTTTTGAAAATGCAGAAAACTCGGGCATTCCGAATGGTTGAGATCTCGAGCTTTTCTTTTTGAACTAAATGGCAGCCTGCGACCTGACTGCACAATTCCAGCCCGGATTCGGTAAAGTTTTCCGTGAGATTCCAGCCAGATAAGAATCTAGCATACGAGCCGTGACCGACGACTTTAGGCTCCCAAGAAACTTAAATATCTTTGTAAGCAACTGTTTTATTTGAGATCAAGTTCCTACCGTGTTTGAAGCTAGAGTCAAAAATTTTGGACTTGTCTTCTCAACTCGAAACTGTCTCCACTCGAAATCTTTTTTACTCGAAATCTTTTCCGGTCGATATCTTTTTTACTCGAAATCTTTTCCCATCGAAATCTTTTTTGTTCGAAATCTTCTCTGGTCGAAATCTTCTTTGCTCCGGATCTTCTGTACTCGAAAACTATGGATGTAAAAAAGATTTCGAGTAAAAAAGATTTCGACCGGAGAAGATTTCAATTTTTTTTCTTTTTTTTTTTATTTTCTTCCAGCAAGGTTCACGCGGAGCGTGGCATCTCTTCGTACAAGGTTCACGCGGAGCGTGCCAGTTCGTCCAACAAGATTCACGCGGAGCGTGCCAGTTCTTCCAACAAAGTAACAAACCTTACCTGTCTTTTCCTAGTTTTTATGGCACGCGGAGCGTGCCCTTCTTCCAAAAAGGTAACTAACATAACCTACCTGTCTTTTCCTAGTTTTTATGGCACGCGGAGCGTGCCCTTCACTCTCAAACAACTTCATCTTCCAACAAGGTTCACGCGGAGCGTGCATTTTCTCCACGACGACGACTTTCCAGCATTCCTGTCTGTTTCTAGTAACTATGGCACGCGGATGCGTGCCTATCTTCTTCCCCTGAACGAAAATTTGAACCATGTTTATACTGGTAGCTAGGGGTGGGACGGGGGAATTTTTAACGATTTGGCCTGCAACTTTTTCCGATTTTTCAAAAAATATCTTTTTCGTTCGAATATTATTGAATTTGAACCATGTATATACTGGTAGCTAGGGGTGGGACGGGGGAATTTTTAACGATTTGGCCAGCACTTTTTTGGCGATTTCTCAAAAAATTATCTTTTTCGTTCGAAAGGCCCCTTCCCACCCCGATTTTTGATTTGGCAGAAAATCTCATCTCCACTATTTATAAGTTGCTGCTTCCTTTGGCAGAAGGTCGCATGCATCTTGTTTTACATTCGATACTTATTCATCTTTTGGCAGAAGACGAATGGTTAGTAACGAACTTTTTAAAATTATTCTGGTCGGTGAGTTTCTCTGTCAAATCAAAAATATTGATTTTTGGTACAGTACCAACAGTCTGTTTTCTTGGCAAAATCGCGATTTATTTAGTCATTGGGATATAACCGGCTAAAACTCTTTGGCAGAAGACTTTTACTAGCTATTTCCCTTGACGTTATTTCTATAACGATTTGCTTCGAAAAAGTCCGTTCTCGGGTCGCGTTTTAGAAAAGGCCCTCTTTCCCCGCGTTCAGCCCACGCTTTCGATTTATTTTGTAAGCGCGCCAAGTTTGAATGGCCAAACTTATCATAATTTAGAATCGACTGTTCCAGTGACAGAATCAAGTGCTTAAAGAAGATTTTTAACGATTTCCCCATGTTGGCTTAATTATTGCGACTTGTCTTAAGAAGACGATTCTCTGAAGGTCAATGAGATGCGAAGTTGGCGATTTGGACTTTATAAATTACCTATTACCTATTATCGTCCATCGAGAATGTAGGTCTAGTGTTTTAATTTTTCATCTCAAAGCTTTTTTAGGAGAAGATGAACACGAATTTATTGGAAGAATATATAAGTCTCAAGATGAAAAATAATTTATTCTTGCTGTAGTTTCCTTTTCATTAAAAGTTTGTTTTACATAAAATATTATTTCAATTAAAATTTTTCTCGATTACAAATATTAATAGAATCATGTGATTTTCTTAGTTATTGATAACAACTTTAGTTTGACTTCTGTTTTATTTATGTAGCGCAATTAGATATGGTGAATAAAAAAGGACAATTGGATAATGACAGAATGCTTATTCATATCGATTTAACTGACTGGTGGTTCGTGATGGTTGAGCTGCCACGATGGGCTCAGATGCTGTTGTTCGGATGGTCATACGTGCGACGTCAGGTGTTTCTTGCAGAGATGAGTATTTTGGTGGGCTGTCCTCATGTGAAGTTGGTCTTTCCGCAGGTTGCTAATATGTTTTAGTGTTGATCATAAAATAACTTGTACCATTTTGCCGGAAGAATACAATTGACGTTGGTTGAATGGGTTGATTTTGCTTAGAAAGTTCGATCCTCTTTGCGGCACTGATTCAGCATCGGCTTCAAGTCCTTCTAGAGCTCTCAAAACTGCTGGTGATCCGAATGCTGCGTCTACTCCCGCTAGCTTGACTTGCTGTGTTGCTTGTGATTGCGCGGCCCGGAGTACATTTAAATTGAATTCTGTTCTAGCATCAGCTATTTGCTGCTTCCTTTCGTTCAGCCGCCGTTGTGCCTCTGCTTTCAGTTGCTGTTGTTGGAATCGCAGTTCTTCTCGCCGCTCTCTGTTTTGACTGTGACGCATTTGTAGAGCTCTTTCGGCGTCTGTAGGTTGGCACATTTTGAAAAAATTTGATACGCATTCGCAGCATGTCTCCAGGACCAAGCTAATTTTCCCAATAAAACATGTAATGACAACGACGATGGCTAGCGCAAGAAAGAACCTGAAAGACTATAAGCGTATTGTTCGTTTTATAGTTCTCACCACGCAAATGTTTTCACGCTGCCAACTTGTAGATTTTTTGTTGCGTCATCGGTGTATGCAGCAGCACTGGCAGTCGCTTCTAGTGTGTTTTCCGATTCGTCATTGGCAATGTAATTGACTTCTGGCATGACAATGGGTTGTCTGGATTCGGGTGCCCCGTCGACTGAAAGAAGTTGGTTTGATATGACGATGAGTTGGGCAGCTCGTGCTTTGGCGAGTGGACGGATGGCTGATACCATTGTTTCTGCTCCTCGGCGCACTCGTTTTATCACTGTTGCTGGCGTTTCATCAAGTGTTTCAAACCATAGTTTCTCAAACCAATGTCTCAATTTTGAGATAGCTGCTTCGATGGGTGATGAGATGTCTGTAGAGAAAATATCCTCTATTATGTGATCAGCAGCTCGTTCAAGTTGCTCTAGCTTGATAACACTTGCCATTTTCAGTAGTTCATTGTGATCAAGTTCACGAATTGCATCCAGTCCAGTCTCAGTGATCGTTCCATTGAAATATTCATTGTTGATATCTTCTAGATCAATTCGATCGATTGCAGCCCGTGCTTTGGCGAGTGGACGGAAGGATGATACCATTGTTTCCGCTCCTCGTCGAGCTCTTCCATCATCCACTGTTTCAAAGAAAAGTGTCTCGATCCATCGTCGCATTTGGGAGAAAGCATTCTCGATGGCTGAGGCGATGTCTTCTGAGAAGATATCTTCTATCATGTGATCTGCAACTTGCTCAACTTGTTCCAATTCGATTTCACTTGCCATCTTTAGTAGTGCATTATGATCCAGTTCACGAATTGCATCCAGTCCTGCCTCGGAGATCGTTCCATTGAAATAGTCTTTGTTGATATCTTCTAGATCAATAAGATTGATTTCTGGCTCTTCGAAACGTTGGTGGAATTTTCCGGCGATCCATGACTAGACAGAACAATTATTATGTTTTCTATGTTTGTCTGTTACTTACGCATCCTTTTACAAGGTAGTATATTCCTTTGCCCACCCATGCCGCGAATTTCCATAGTCCCGTATATTTCAGGAACCAGACAACAGCCGCGATTATCGCAAGGAAGAAACAAATATATACCATATAATTGAGAGTGACGATTTCGCATGCTGATGGAACTCTCTGCTGAGGTCTCGCGGGTTGCCACATTGAGACTCGTTTCTTTGCTTGTTCGAGTTCTTCTGTCAGACGGGCTCGTCGTTGTGTGATGAATAAATTGTGGAAAATTGCAGGTCCAGGCATTTCGGGTTTTTGACCATTGTCAATCGCGGCAATTTGGTCTTCTAGGTCTTTTATGTATGGGTCAACTATTAGTTGTTGCTTCTCGGCGCTCATTCTAATGAAAAGGGAATTTTCTTTTCAGTTGATGATTTTTTCTAGTTCGCTCCGCCTTATAATGCGAAAAATGGGGTGTCGCTGTAGTGTGTTTATAGCGCTAAATTGTGGCCGATTTTGGATTCACTTTGTTGGGCACTGAAGCGCACTGACCTCAAATCAATGCGGTATTGGGGCTTTATTATATTCTTGCTTGCGAATAATTTTTATTAAAATTAACTTACTTTATATTATCAAAGGCAATATGAAAATTGTTTGAGCGTGATTAATTTAACTTTTAACGGATACCTTTAATTTGGGAATAAAGTGAAACTTTTCTGAAATTTCTGTGAATTATTGTCCTGAAATATATCCCTTTTCGGGAATTCGTTCAAGCCCTCGTATTTCTCGGGCTTTTCAGTTTTTAGATTAAAAGATAAGCCTGTAAGAAGTTAAGCCAAGAATAGTCCGTTAAGTGCCTTGTTGATTTCTATCTGGCTTTCATAAGCACAAATAAAATTGTGAGGTATTGATCTACTTAAAAGTGAGTTTAGATTTGATTTTTATGTGTCGGCGGTCTACTGACAATTTAATTCCTTTCCGAGATTTTGGTTTGCTTTGAATCGGTTCAGTGGAGCAAGTTTCCTCTTATTTATGCTTGTCATCGAGATGCTGCTGGTCTGTCAGTTCCATCTTCTTTTCACGCTTGAGTTTTGAGGCCATCTCAATCATCTTCCTTGGCAAGCCTGGAATTTACAGTTGCGAATGTTGCTGAAGCATAAAGATTCGCTGATTGATCTTACCAATGTGCGTAACGGACCTTTTTGCTTCGTTTTGGTAGATTGCTACTTTAGAAAAGAGGTTGGCATCTTTTGTTTACATTTATTTTTCATTAAAAATTTATTTCACTCTATATTATTTTCTCAATATTATGTTATTTCAAGTTAACAAATATTAGAGATTCGATTAACCGATTTCGCAGATGTGACTGCATCAACAACGCGCGCGGGTCGAAAAGCCATATTGAACCTACGTAAAAATTGGGTTTTCCAATTGACAATCGTTGATTTGAGATAAAAATAAAAATTTTCCGCTGAATTTTGAAGTTGCATTCCGAAAGAGAAACTTGGCAATGGATAAGCCTTGGAAAAATCTTATTTTTGAAGATGATTTCTGTACTCGTTGCAAGTACCCTTACCATAATGTTATGCGTCCAAAAATGGTCGGCTGTAACGATCATTTATGCTGCTTTGAGGTTTGCAAACCTTGCCTTGATGCATACATGATAACTGAACCTGTTTCGCTTCCTTTTTGTTGGGTGTGCAAGCTTCCAATTCGTGACCGGGATATTGTAAGGTTCTTTTGTTTCACGGGGGTTCAATCAATTTACTTCAGAAAGAGCTCTTCCTCAAGTCTGATGAGGAGAAATATCGCCAGCAGCTTATTGTGGACCTTTTTACTCTTCAAAAGAAATTTATACAAAATATTCTTTTGCAAAAAAAGAAGAATCAAGTTAATTTGGCTTATGAGCAATGGCAAAATGCTCAAAATGAACTCAAGCAACTAGCTGATGAATCGAAGGTTAAAATTTGTTATTAAATGAATGAAGTTCATTTTGATTCAGGAATCCGGCTTAGGCTCGTCTCACACTACGTCCGAAGATTAGATCTAGGCATCCATTATCTGTACTTTTATTTTTGCTTGTGTCCTTTTTCGTGTATTGCTACTCAACTGCAGTATTTGTCCTTTTTAAAAGAAAGTGCATTTCCTTATCTGTGAATTTAGATGAACCCTGTCGGTCATTGTTGACAAGTGATTAAATACAAAACTTCAGGAAAGTTAAAATCTTTTTCGATCTGTTTTATTTATTTCCAAACATTTCAATAAAGTGTAAACCATCACAGTAGAATATTAAATGTAAGAGAGGAATAATGAGATTAACTTAATAAGCATATGAAGTATGAAAGCGCTGGAATGAATCTACGTAAGGTAAAAGCGAGTTTTAAGAGATACAAACAAATGTTAAAGATGTTGAGTCGGGGAAGACGGTTATTATTGACGGGTAATTAAATGGGTTGCGGAGAAACAAAAAATAACTCACATGAATGCTTGCAGCAGGTATTGTTTTCGTCTGCACTAGTAATGTTCGCGTAGGCCACGGATATCAGCGTCTCTTCCCTCTCGGTAATTCAGACGCATTCGTGCAAGGTCATCTGGGTACAGTCGGCGATACGCATTTCCCTCTCGTTCGTTGTTGATGGGCACAATCGCCAGCGAACCATTTGCGGGCAGTCGTCCTGGATAAATTCTCATTGTTTCAGTCCCCACCCACAAGCGCCCCATGCCCTTTGGCACGAGATTGATGTTTCGAACTAAAAAATGATAAAATTCTCTATTTGGGGGTTGATTATTATGAAAATTTTTTACTCACAGTTGGGATGGAAGGCGTCGATTGGTGCTGCGTCGATGAATTCCCCAGTATGTTCCACTTCCACCCGACGAAAGTCTCCATAAATCACCTTTGCTCTTCGGATCATGTCTACGAACAAGCCGTAGAAGCCGTACTTCATAAGTAGGCGTTCGTCGTCTGCGCTTCGGGCCATCCAGCAAATGGTGAGACCTATGGAGCATGCAATTTCGTCCTAAAAAGATTGAGTATTGAACGCGAAAAATATAGTATGATAAGTTCATATAAATACTATTACATCTGCTTAACTACTCACGTTTCCCAAAAAAGCATGTGCCTCTGCTGTAAGAAATATGTACATGCCGAAAAATTTGAGAAGGTCGAGATTCTGATCTGGCCAGTTTCGGATCCCATGAAGGAACTGTACGGCGACTAGTTATATTTTTATTTTTTTTTTCAAAAGACTATATTGTTTACCGTAATCACGGCCAGCTTCGACTCTGTCTTCGAAGCGAACCAATCTCTCGGTGTCCCCAAAGATGCGGAGCGCGTTGAGAAGCTGGTTAAGACACGTACAGTCTTGAACCATCAGGTGGCGGGGGACGATGAGTGCGTTAGCTTCTTGGCAGGGCGCTCTTTGGTCGACCAGTTTCTAATTTCAATTTAAGCTACTCTCTTTATACTTTGTCAAACCTGTGCGAAGCGATAAACGAAGAGATATTGCATCTTCGGCTGGTCGAAGCCGTAAGTACTCCAAGCACCTTCTTGCATGCAATCGATCTCATGGATGTAGTGGCCTATTAAGAATAAGTTATCATTTAACACAAAATGTATTACCTGTGAGATCAAGAAGTGTCAACACCTCAGTTGTGGCCATTGTGAGATGCTGCAGGCAGTGGTTTAACATGTGCCTTAACGAATAAAAAAACTAATTTGACAATTAAGATTACCTCTTTGCGTGAACACACATGTCTCCTGCATCAGCTCCACACTCGGCCCAGCGTTCTCCTAGCTCGGAAGCCACTTCATCCACCGCTTTACAAAACGTGTAAAATATGTCGCAGAAGTTGATGGAATTATGCCGCGATCCCATTGGGACCCGGACTTTAATCTGTTCGCGTCGTGTTAGTCCTGTCTCAAAGTCTAAATCAAATGTTAGGCAATTTATCTTCTCAAATCTGGATATCTACTAGTTATGAAACTGCCATAAAATGATTACCTTTGAATGTCGAAATAGTATAAAAACTTCCATTCTGCAGCATTTCTTCAGTGATTCCATGTCCAAATGCGCGCGTGAAGTTATGAAAATGGACGAATCTCGCGCGTTGTCCAGGAAACCTCCGTGCTCGTCGCATGTGAGGCGTGGTAACGTCGTACTCGATTCTGGAGAAGTCGTAATTTCTTCCTTGAGATAGGCGGGCCATTGCAGGGATGAACTGACTTGTATCGATTCTTCTCAATTGGTCTGCGTGGCTAAAATATTTATTTTAGAATGGTATTTAAAGAATTTGGCCGAAAGTTTGAAGAACACGAAAATCCTCAGTTAATATAACGACTCCTTGAGTCAAAAAGTGATGCTTGTGTATCTATTTGAAATTCCGAATTTTTAAAAAAGACATCTTTATTACAGTTGTATTTTAGACTGTAAAACGGGACCATTAAATGTCATCTAATTTATCTGATCTCTGAACTTACTTTCTTATTATTTGAAGGGCGTCCATCCTTTCGTTTGATATTTGTTATCGATTTCGTTGTTTGGTGAAGATTCTAGTGTTTCTGCTTCCATTGTAGCTGGTAAAGCTTTATAAGCTTAGCTAAGGGGCGCCAAAGCAGTATCGCGGCGATACGGTTCACGCTCAGTACTTCTGATCGACAGGCATCAATGCGGAAACCGGAAATAGACTGCATCACAGCAATCAGCGGAGTGGAATGGTTCGTGCAAGAAGCAACAAAGAAGCTTTTTTTTTGCTCAACAATTTTTAAGTTTGTCAGTTTTCTTCCCTAAAACTATCCTTATTTCATTAGAAACGACAAATCTGTAATCGTTTTTTCTTTTCGTATCACTTTTTCTCGCTTGTAAATTTAACACTTTCGTCGTCAATTTTCTTTTAATGGGTTTTTATCCTTCGAAAAAAGAGAGACGAAAGTCAATTAATTGGCGCAATCATGGAGCTGAGCTTAATTTCGGATCTGTACATGTTTGAATATCGCGCCTTTTTTCAAAAATGTCCTCAATTGGATTATAATTTTTTGGGTCACGTCCGCCTTGCTTCCGAGAGGTTTTAACGATTGTTATTTGCTACATAAAAATAATTATCCTTTGAAGAGATTAGAAAATCTTGTCAAGATGGGAAAATGGCAGCTTAAGATCACCAAGACCGAGAATGATGGAAGCTCGATGACTGTCGACATTGCAGGACTTGATTTGGATGAAGGTAAACAGAGTTTCTTAAAAAATTGTTCATTCTTAAGTTCGCGGCTTATTCGATGCGGCATTGAACTTGCTCAATTCCAGCGAGGACGCTTCGATCGAGATTACCGAAGCGTGCAATGGCTGTCTTAAAGAACTATAAATTGATCCGAGTCACTGACACTGCGTGCTGAAAAAGGCCGACCGTGGAAATTTGTTGGTATTTTATTGTTGATCATTTTCTTGTTCTAAATAGAATATTTTAATAAAATTTCTCCTCGTACTTTTCAAATCTCCTACTTGTTTTCTTTATCAATAAAAGTTAAAAGTCAAGATCTAGCGTGATAAGAGAAAAGTTGACCATCGAGATTTCTGTGTAGAAAGAAGTGAAATTTCCCGGACTAAAGCCTACCGACTAATCATCCTAGAAATCTTTATGGTAAAAGACGACTAACTTAAACGTGAGAATTATACATTTCACTTTGCCTTGAAAATCTAATGATCTTGGAAATTTTTATCCTATTGTTTATAGGCGCGGAGCGCCATAATTTTTTATTTTCTATCTGAATTGCGAAAGGTTTGCCAACATGAAATTATCTAAGTTTAATTATCAATTACTGAGTTTATTAACGAATTTTGTATTTCATTCAGGCATGTTCAGTGGCAGTTAAAATCTGGATGTTTTATTCGAATCTGCTGAGTTGACTTCCGGTTCGTGCAGGTTTAGCAGCAACTGCAGGTTCAGGCAAGTAAGTTCGATCGGCCAGTCGTGACGCACCGGGAATTCGCTGTTGAGTGACGGTCTTTTGAGAGTTGTTTACAATTCGGGGTTTCTGCTCTTCAGTCGACTGAATAAAAGGTTTTTATGTTTGAATTTTGATGAAAATTTACCATAATGGGAGATGACTGTGCAGGGCGCTGGCGGAATGGATTGATTTTGGAAAAGAAGCTTGTTTCACGCGGCGTATCAGAATCGATCTCCGCCTTAAGCGCCTCTAAAGCTCGCAAAACTGCGGGAGAGCTGAATGCGGCTGAATTATCAGGATGGACTTGTTGATTTGCTTGTGTTTGCGCTGCTCGGAGTACATTCAAGTTGAATTCGGTTCTCGCGTTAGCGACTTCTTCTTGTCGCTCGATTAATCGCCGTTGTGTTTCTGCTTCCTGTTCTCGTTTTTTCTGCTGGATTTCTTCACTATCGCTCGGCTTACGCCCGTGAAAACAACTGGATATGGAATCGCAGCATGTTTCAAGTGCAAGAGTTATCTTTCCGAAGAAACAAGTGATGACAACGAATATCGTAACCACAAGAAAGAACCTTTAATATTTAATTAACCGGAATTCTGATATAAATGATTACCAAGCGAATGCCTTTGCGCCGCCTGTTTGCAATTGTTTTGTTTCATCATTGTTGTCTGCAGGGGCGTTTGTAGCAGCTTCTCCAGTATCTTCTGCATTTTCATCCTCGAAGTAATCTTCGTCGTCATATACAAGATATGGTTGACCGTAAAGATTAGTTCTGATTCTTGGGGCAGCCTCGACCGCAAGAGTGAGGCAGATAATCGTAAGAAGTTTTGCAGCTTGTGCGTTGCCGAACGGACGCATGGTTGTAAACATATTCTTCGCTCTCCGACGGTTTTGTTTATTACTGTCTAGCGGATATTTTCAGGATGTCTGTGTCTTGTTTCGTTAAAAGGGTTATTTTTTTTCGGGTAATGAGCTGCAGTCATTGACATCGCTTTATAAAGTGCAAGAGGGGGGCGCTCCACAGAAAATTCGCGCGTCTGATTCTGGTTTAATTTCGCTTTATCGAGAATGCCACTGGAGTGTGTCGACCTAAAATCAATGCGGACTGTATTCGCACATAACTCTTAGTATCCATTCTTGTAAAACTAGATTTTTGCAATAAAAAATAAGTTTGATTTATTAGTATCAGCTTATTTTTATACATGGGTTACATTCACGCTCGTTTGTTTTTACTCGAAATAAAACCATATTTCTCTAAAACGAGACTAGTGTTTCTAAAGCCCTATTGCACGCGGAGCGTGCTATCTGGCGTGAAATTTGATTAACCTTGGTTTTGCGAATTCCTTCCTACTGAACGTGTCAAGAGTTTGTGGTAACGCGCGATGTTTTCTTGTTGTTTTTGTGCGCTTTTTGAAAATAATTGTCAGGATTGTGAGCTAATGATGAAAGCTCCATTAGTGAAGTATCTGACGCGCCGCTGTATTAGAATTTTGTTTTTGGATGATTTGTAGAATATCTAAAATTTTATGTGAAAGTTCTGTAGGAAGTACTTGACGGTCTCCTTTGTCATTTTCGCTTCCGTCAGCTATCTGTCAACTGCAGCATAGGGCCATTCGTCATGGCTTCACTCAGATTACCGAGGCAGTCAGTTCCGTCATAATTTTTCACGGTTGGGGCTCGATGTCACCTGATTTTTTTCGCTTGGGCGAGCTAGGAATTCACAACTGCAAGTATCTCTGAAGCATAAAGATTCCTCGCTTGAAAAGGCTGATGAAAGAACTGACATTTGCCACCCTGGCGGTCTAACTTACAATCTATTGTAATATATGCATTAAATTGGTTATTTATTTATCGATAGAAGTGTTTAAATTGATAAAGAAGAAATTTGTATCAGGAAAGTTAAATGAAAAAATTGGTATGCTGTAAATGAAATGATAAAGCGGTTTCTCAGCGGGAACCTCACTAAAAGCATAAGTGTACATACTGTCAGAAATATTGACGGATAGTTTAGGAAAATGATTAAGAGTTTTATTTAGAAAAAGAAAGCCATATTGGTTTTCCTTGGCTGTCGCGATTTCTTGTACGACGTCGTAAAAGTACTAATAGTTGGGATGGAAGGCGTTGACTAGCGGTGCGTCGAGGAACACCCCTGTACTTTCGACCGTCATCCGTCGAAAGGTTCCAAAAATAACCTTTGTTCTTCTTTCCATATAGATGAAGAGCCCATAAAATCCATACTTGCGTAGAAGGCGTTCGTCTTCCGCACAACGGGCCATCCCGCAAATGGTGACGCCAATTGAGAATGATATTTTGTCCTTAATAATTAGTCAATGGCGTGAAAATCTTATTTGAAAGCGTTGTTTTTAAACACGTGATTCTTACTTACATTTTCAAAGAGAGAAGTTTCTCTGCCGTGAGAGATATGTACATCCTGAAAAATGGTAGGAGGCTGAAGTTTCGATCCGACCATTTCCGGATCCTTTGAAGGAATTGCACGGCGACTTAAAATTATATTGTTATGTTGTAAGAATAACTGTTTAGCATTTTTCGCGGTCGACCTCAGCTCTACCTTCAAATCGAAGCAGTCGCTCAACGTCCCGAAAGATTCGAAGCGCCTTTAGAAGTTGGTTATTGCGGGAACTGTCGTTAACCTTTGGCGCCCGTGGGGCAATAAAGGCTTCGGCTATTTTGAGATGCTGCAGGCAGAGGTTGAACATGTGCCTTAACAAATAAAAAATCTAATTGACAATTTAGATTACCTTTTTGCGTGAATACACATGTCCTCTGCATCGGCTTCACACTCGGCCCAGCGTGCTCCTAGCTCGGAAGCCAGACTCGGCGCGTCAAATATGTCGCAGAAGTTGATTGAATTTTTCCGCGATCCCATTATGACCCGGACTTTAATCTGTTCGCGTCGTGTTAGTTCTGTCCCAAAGTCTAAATAAATGTAAGGCGATTTATCTTTTCAAATCTGGTTATCTACTTATTCGAAACTTCCTAAAATGACTCACCTTTGGATGCCGCTATAGTATAGAAACTTCCATCCTGTGGTATATCTTTGGCGATTCCATGTCCAAATGCGCGCGCGAAGTTATAAAGAGCGACGAATCTTGCACGTTGTCCAGGAAACCTCCGTTCTTGTCGCATTTGAGGCGTCGCTTCGTCGGACTCGATCCCGGAGAAGTCTTAATTTCTTCCTTGACGGGCCATTGCAGGGATGAGCTGACCTTTATCTTCCTTCGTTATTGGTCAGCCTGGCCTTAATATTCTCTCGCTCGAACGGCTGTTTTCTCAAAATTTGAAACCTCGATAGAGACAAAATCTTTTATCGCCTGAGGAAGTAACGTCAGAAGAACTCGGGTCGCTCCTCCGCGGCAGCCAAACGGGGAATATTGCACTTCTATTGTCTGCACTTCTAGTCGCATTTCTCGGGGAGCTTTGTCATTCACTTATCAGATCGTTGAACTTACTTTTTAATTATCTTATGGACGTCCATTGGTAAGTCCACTCTTAGTTTCCGCATGGACAGGAGCTTTGTAAGTTGAGGCGAGAGGCGCCCAGCAATGTGGGGATACGCTTTACGGATAGGCATCGGCGTGGAAACCGGAAATTGAAAGCACCAGCAAATAACCTCTACTAGCAGGGTGGAAGAAGATTTGCATTCAGACAATTTGAAATCCTCATTTTACTTTGATTCGTCGCTCCATGCAGGCAAGTCAATCCGAAGCACAAAAAAGTCTGCTCTGAACGAAAGTAAGATCTTTATTTTGAAAAAAAAGAACAGTTTGAAAATTTTCTTTATTTTTAATGAAATGATTTTATTTTATGGAAATATAGAACAGGAAAGCGAAGATGGTGGCGGCTATGATAATGTACATTCCAATGTGAAATAAAACAATGATGCCGAATATGTTCAAAATGTCATTAATAATTTGCATCTTCATTGTTGTCTTCTTTCTTCGTCTTCTTCTTTTCTAAAAATGGTTTAATATAAATGATGAATTTTAGTCGCGGAACCATTTTATATGCGTTTGGTAAGCTGGTCGTCAGCTGAAAGTAATCAACGACAGTTCTTAACCTGTCCATAATTGGGCAGGTGCTGCTAAATTAACAGTTATTTGATTAAATCATTCGCTTATTCTTATTTTTGATTGCACGATTTTAAAATTCAAATGAATCTCTCTTGATTGTTTCATAATTATTAGAAGGGGTTATGTGAGACTTAAATTACAGTCTAGTAAAAGACACCGTGAAGATTCCACTTTTTTATCAATTCTTTCTCTCACGATGCAATATTTATTATATCATCTTTTTACAATCTTATGGTTTTGAAAACTTTTTATTTCTAGAAATAACATGTTTTTATACATGATTATCTCGATTTCTATTTATGAACGATTTATTTTCGATGATTATTTCGTTAATCGTTGTTGCTATACATACTTTGAGGCTTCCGATGATCCCGGAGATTTCGAGGATTTGATGTCAACAACGAGTACCTCCGGCGAAAAAGAGCCCAGTTCTTATTTCTCAATGTCACTCATTGAACAATACGCACCAAAAAAGATTGTCCAGGCTAAAAGGGCCCCGTTAAAATTAATTTTCGCGGTGATAAAGCCAAACTCGTCTTCATATAGTTTTACTGAAGATAAAACTTACCGATTTCGCCTTTGTAGAGCGGATTTTCAGCTGCTGTCATTTTTAAATTTGAAGGAAAGTCAGATACAATGGAAGAGCAATCTTAATAAGGAATTAACCGTTAAAGCGGGAATTTCAGTCATTTAATAAAACATTTGGAACGTTTGGCAGTGTTGTCACGTCATACTCTCTTTTTTGGAGTACTTTTTCAATTTTAGTTCTACAGTAAATGCACTGCATATCTTCGAGGAAGACGCCCAATCGGCAATATCGATGCATTGTCACTGTCGATTCGCAGTAATGACAGAAGACTAAAAATTGCTGTTTTCGAGTTTTTAATGGTTTTTGTATTCGGCGCTTTAATTTCTGAAAGCCTACCTAGAACAACTGAATATGGCTTTGCGTGTCTGAGAATGTACCCCGTTGTCATTTGTTGATACTCCAGATAATTTTCCATCAATTCGGTATCGTTTAGCTTTTTGAAAATTTATTTTTTTTACATTTGGAATTTATTACCATGAGCTTCTTCTTTAGGGAATACAAGTTTTTGTGCTGTTCGGTTTTTTTCTCATCATATTTTGTGAAATCGTTTGTGAGCCAAGCTCTCTTTTCTTTGATGTAATGAGAGTTAAGCTCGTCGTCAGATTTCAGCTGTCTTCGAAAAAGAATGGAACGGACGTACTCATCTTCTTCGAATTCTTGCAATAAATTTGGACTTTAAATTTGTCGAAAATATTTGTTACCTTTCAATTCTCTGTTTGGGTGAGAGTGCCATTTTTCTACTGATGCAAGGAATTTCTTCATTATTATCACGTCGAAGCCCTTTTCATTACGAGTTTTACACGATTAAGATATAAACATTCACCTTAATTGGCTGGTCATTATAGTCTGATTTCGGCGCAGCTTCTTCTCGTTTGAGTGCACTTGAATGGATTTTTTTTTTTATTGCGTCGGAGTTGAGTTCTTCGTTCGAAGGCAGAACAAGTCGAGCGAGTAGAGAGTCCTGATATTCATCCAAATCTCTACTGAGGACTGCCAAATCAATTATCCCATGATTTTCTTATTTTCGTTTTAAAGGTAATTTTGTCTTAAAAATGCAGCCTTTCTATCGTAGTCAAAGTCCGACATGATTTTGTTTCTGAAATAAAACAAGATTATAATTCTACTCTCGGTGATTTACTTTTTTTATTTGTATTTGGAAAGAAATCATGGGATGATAACTGTGAAGTTGATAAAAGGATTTTTAGCAAACGGGACAAGCTGTGAAGTTGATAAAAGGATTTTTTAGGGGACGAGACAAGCTTATGTTGTTAGGCGGAAATCAACAAGAAATTTGAAGAAAGAGCTTTTTAACCAAGAATATGTGTTTCTTCTTGTATATTTTATAGCACGCGGAGCGTGCGTTTGACGAAAAAATCACAGTGTATATACATGAAAACACAGTCGGGAAGCTTGTTAAAAATTGATCGTGGCATATTTTGTTTTCGAAGCCTTTGTTTGTTTCTGTGAGTGTGGGAAAAAATGATGGCCGGATCAGTTGAAAATGGCTAAAATAAGTATAATAAATAACTCCTTTTTAAAAACCTGTTTAAAACTTGTTGATTTTCATTTCTTCGACTCGTGACTCTACTTGTCGGCGGTCGTCAAGCCTTGAAATTGATTCGGTGTAATCCAACTCACCAGATTCCAAAATTGGAACCCGGGTGGTTGCTTCAATGGCGCCTCTCAGGTGCTGCGCCGCGTTCACGACCTCGTAAGATCGATAAGTTCGGACAACAAGTTCCGGTTCGTCAATTGAATGCGTTGCGGCGGCAAGAAAGTTATGCAATTGAACTGCACTGATGTCAAGCATCCCTGTTATTCGAAGTTCGTTGTTTTCGTTTCGCTTGGTAAATAACGGTTGATACTTTTAGAAAAGAAATAGTGAATTACCGACGGGCATTTGTTCGTTTTTCGTTGGTCGCGACGCGCACTTTCTTTTTTCCAAGTTGTGTCGGGCTCATTGACTGTCTGAACACTCGATTTGTGTTCTTCGTAGCGGGACGATTCTTGAACTGTTGCGATTGGCCTGTCAGTCGGAAACTATAATTTTTTTAGTACCTTGGTTTAGTTATCGCTTACATTGACTTTGCAACCCGACTTTCGACCCATCCCAGTTGTAGCAGTAAGTATGCCAGGAATTCGAGTATTTTCATTCTCATCGATCCCCGCGATAGTTGACTCATTGAGTCTCGGCGGAGTTAGAATTAAGTCCCTTATGCTTTCGGGACAGAAACTGGGAAGCTTGTCGTCTTTCGATTTTCGAGGAAACATTCTATTATATTATAGTTTATCTAGGTTACTTGATGTTATGTATTTCCTATAATTGGCTGAAAACAGGACTTTCAGAATAGAAGACAACTCTTTACCCTAAAAACTTAATAGGAGAGGGACCTATTTCAAGCGTGGGAGGACAATGTCAATGAGCTCTTCTTCTGTACTTTCTGTTTGAAAACCAGGGAAAACAACGTTCACTTCTTTGCGAATCGTGTCAATGTGCGAGCGAATCTCAGACAAACGACGACGACCCGAGAAGGGCGTTTTCTTAAACATATTAATTATCGTATTTTAATGGGGATTCTCACGATGAGCTCAAAGCGGAGCATGATATTCGCAGCACTGTTTGCTGTAATGCCAGAGCATGAATGTACTGTAAGCTGCCTTTGATGCCCATGGCTCAGTAACGAGACATGCTCAAAGAAGTCTTCCCAAAATGGCGGTTTTATTAGTTTGTCTTTGCCCGGAGTTAACATCGATGTTGGGCCGTAGAAAAACTCGGTTGCGGTACATTGCCGTGATCTGCAGGTAAATGTGAAGACAGCGTCGTCGCCACTATGAAATTGTGAGAATGGTTATTCTGGAGTGAAATACCTTCGCGCACATGACGATAATCGGAACGCAAAATATTTGGCGTGGGTAACGAATTCACCAGCGTGATCAGTATAAGGTAGAAGCAATCGGTAAGCGACGACGGCAAATGGGGCATTTCGACTTCCATCCGAGAAAATGACATAGCGCTGGGTAGGAGGTGGAATTTCGACTCCTTCGAGATGTATATTCGGAGATTCGGTGGCCATAATTAAATCGATTTTCTGAATAATAAAGTATAAGCAGCATAAAGACATCAGCTTTTATAAATCCGCTAATTTTAATAATCAAATATTTTTGATAGTCTTTTGCCAGAATAAAATTCTACACGGGTTCCCTAGTTCATGAGTGGCGCTGCTGCGTTGTCAATATTGCGCCCTCCCGCGATCTCCAAATAAAGAATTTGAGTTGAGAAGAGTGGTCCTCGATATAAGACTTTTTGTTGCGATTAAACACCGCTGTTTCATTCTTAAAATAAATTGATCAGTTGCGCATGATTCAATTTTCGTTTTTAAAGTGTGCCTTATGAGTGCCCTTTTTCCACGCGAGGCTCTGTTCGAAGTATTCGATTGGGGATTTGTAATCTATCGTGTCCTTATGCTCGAATGTGCCTTCGTGTTTCTTGATAAAGAAGTGACGACAGATATCCCTGGGGTGGCTATTTTCCGCGGACTTCATTAAATCTTCAATGTCAGCCGTTTCAATTCCCCATTCTTTAATGTCTCCTTCGAGTTTGTTTTTGTTCTTTTTGGGTATTTATTTGACTTACCTTAGTTTTAAAAGTAAATAAAAACCTTCCTTGAATGGACATCCATGATAATTTCCTGATTTTACCATAAAATCTATCTTCGTTTTACAGGTGTACGGTTCTTTTGATTGTAATTATTAAAATATGATTGTGGCTTACCAAGTTTTTTCTTTCTGCCGACCTCTCCATACGCATGATTAACCGCGTAGCTAAATTCATCTTCTGGATTTGGATAATCGGACATCTTTTCGAACGTAAACAATCTTGTTTCGCGCAAGGGGACTCCTGCTGCTATAAAGAACGACCATAGTTGCAATCTGCCCTTAATGAGTTTGTTGATAATATCTAAGTTTTGGTCCATTTTTACCTGGAGGTATAATTTCTTGTCTCTTTCTAGTGCCTGTAAAATGCTAAGCATGCATGGTGGCAACGACGTGAGACTCAAATCTTCGATGTTTTTCATTCTTAGCTGATTTTTGTATTCTCCGTTGTCGAAATAGGGGTCGATATGATGAAATTCCTTCAGAAGCGATTCTTAAAATTACTCTTCTGTAATTTGTGTAAATTTATTAAATAGTATACCTATTTTCCGACTTTCGTCTGTGATGGCTCGAGAGGGTAAAAGTGTTATTATAATTTATATAAAGCATAATATTCCTTCTGCCTAAGAAAATTTATTTTCATTTTTATGATTTTTGAGCCCGTCTTCAGCCATAATAAGGTCAAATCGTTCATCCATTCCTTCAAGCCAGCGTACGCACTCCTTTTTAAACTTCTTGGTTATATACTCTGTCATCGCATCGGAAGGAAGAAAAGCTAAAGTGTTTTAGATAAAGTCCTTTATTTTACATTCGGTAAAACCCCTACCAAATCTGATTTGAGTTCCAAATTTTATTGAAAAATATTATTATTTAAACACTTCGCGAGACCCATGCTGTCTCTTCTGGAAATTTATCTATTTAGCACGGTGTTATTTGGATCTCTTTCCATGTTCCATGTGGAATTTTCTTTCTCCGACCATCTCTACTGCGTCAATCCATGGAATTTTGTACCACCTTCGTCTTTTCTGTTTGCCAATGTTTGCTGCTGATAGAATTAAGTGCAGTTTATCTTCTGGAAGGGAACTTTCGTCCATTTGAGTTGCTTTGCCCATTAATTCCTGATATGGTTCGTTAATGCAATGATGCATTTTTACATATGTGAAGGACTTATTTTAGTTTTCCGTTTACCTGTTCGAAAATTTCTTTCGTCTTTCACAGAGATTGGCAAACTGAGGCAATATTTGAGATGTGAATTTGATGGAAAACCAAAAATTAAAGAAAAAAAATATTGTTGCTGATCCCTTGCCTCATTCGTAAGTCGATGATATCTGTACGCGAAAAGCCTCGTTTCATTTTCTATGAACCACTCTCGCATGTTCTTTCTGCTGCGGCATATTGCCAATTTGAGCATCGAATGAGAAATCTCATCATTAATTCGTTGCTCTTGATTCGGAACCATTGAATCCAATCCGATTAATTTTATTTTTTGGTCATGGAGAAAGACTTTGTGGAGACGCTTATTGATTTCCGTTTGCTTTTGATGGTCGTTATATGCTCCTTAACATTTATTTTTTTTCCATTTGTAACTATCTTTACCTTCGATAATTTGTAATGCGTGCCGTCGCTCTTCCAGTATCTGGCCTATTCTCTTTTGGAAGTGAAAAATAAAACAAAATATTATGTATTTCTATTAAACCGTTGGATATTTTTTTCACTCTCCGTTACCGAAACATCCTTGTACATCGGCACTGACGAATATATCTGTAATGGAAATTTGATGCCAACGGAATGAATTTCATCGTTGACGCGGCGCGTAACACGAATTCCAACGTGAGCTCTCTTCAGTTGCTTTTCCATTTTTTGAAACAACTGGATCCGCAAGTTGAATCAGGGACTGGATGACCTTATCGCTACGATGGCTACTTATATTTCTTCCGGTCGCGCTCTCAAACTGCCGAGACCATGAAACTCATTGATCTTTGCAATTGATGTAGTCAGCTTGGACTGAACAGGATCTTTTCAATCTTAATTTACGACATTTATGAAGATAAGATAAATTCCATGAGCATTCGATACATTGAGAAGGGGTACAGTTGGTTCAATTTTTTTCGGGAAGGGGCATTCTTTAGGCATTCGGTACAGTCGTGAGCATTCTGATAATTTATTTACAATTTAACAGGCTTTTTCGTCTTTCTTATCGCGCTTGGCGGTTTTTTGGACTTCTTTTTGCTGAGCTGAACTGGATTCTTTTCATCCTTTGCGAAAAGTTGTTCCAGTTGCTCATCTGAAAGGGCTCCATTGTTCTCCAAGCTGTTGTTGATTTGGAGAACTCTTTTCGCTTCTTTCGGTAGTCGCCGATCCTTGCAATAGGAACCCAGCTCATTTGGTGCCTTCGACATATTTCTTAGGTTAGGAAGCCAAATTTTGTCCCAGATCACGAACGTCACTTTTTCGGGGCCGAGCCGTTTCCAAGTTTCCAAGTAGTCTTTCCAGACACCAGGGAGTTTTGAGCTCATGCCTTCGTTTGGCTCGTCCACGCCTATCGCATCAAGAACAGTTTCACGCGTAAACTGCAAAATGCAGTACATGTCATTCTCGAAATTAGGATCCATTGGACAAAAGAAATGGGGTGTTTTTTCGAAATCGTTGTTTTTCCATAATGACATACTTCGTTTACTGAGGTATGTTGTCTTTATTGAAGTTCAACTGTGTTGAGTCGTTTTGAAGGGATAAATTTAGTGCATTCATTGTCAATTTGCTTATCTTTATCGATTTTCTTTTTAAAGTTGAACTTTTCCTTGAAAAACTTTGTCATTGCTGCTATGAATGATGCCAAAAATTTGGCGCGTTTTACTCCGTTTGACTTTTTTGGCGCAGCTGTGAAGCCACATCCACAAGAATACTCGAAGTGTGTGTCTTTATCACTGTCGAAGTAGAGCCATTTCATTTGGAACGTTTGGTGGTCGTTATTTCCAAGAAGCTCAAACCGATAGTACTTCACAGATGGCATTTCAATCGGCTGCGTCGATTTCGTTTCTTAAGTAAATTTTTTTGAAAAGATTATTTTCCACATTAAACTTTCTTAGCAAATAAACAGCTTTCATAAAGAACAATCAACAATCTCTACTCTTTCTATTACAGTATTTGCACGCGGAGCGTGCTGTTTGAAGGTTGGCATTTCTTATGAATCGACGGGGAGGTCGTTCTCGTGAATTCCACCACCGGCTCTCAATACGTTCAACGCAGCCTCTCGACCAGCTCGTATTCTGTTCTCCCAAGAAATTCCTAAACGTCATAATTTATGTTTGGTCGCTTGACAACATAAATGAAATCAAGTCAAAAAGGTTTGGTATATTTTAATTAACTTGTACCTTCTCCGTTGTCTGCGCGATCATTACCATTCGCGATATGATCAATATCTCCGTTTTCGTCGACAAAGTAAGAAGCGAAGACGCGTTGGACGAAAGAAACTTCATGTCGATTAAACTTTGTCATAGTGCCGCAGAATTCTACTGGACAGTTGAAAGATGGGGCTTCATTTCCCCCTGGTAGGATTTCTTACTTTTCCTTTTGCAGGATTCAAACATTGCGAGAGTGATTAACTTAGTTGCTTTAAATGAAATCGATGTAAGAACCCTTCTACGATGCATGAGAGGCAAGTGATGTGCTGACACTTCAGATTAAAGACCTCTTTCTTGAAAGTGGTATCAATCTTGTCTTTACAGACAATGCAGATATTGAAGTCAATATCTCGATTGAGGCTCATCCTTTTTTTTTCTTAATATTTTATTTTGTAAGAAATTGGTAAGTTTATGGCAATCTGGTTCAAAGCCGTAACATTTAGACAGACAATGGTAAAGTTGAGAGTAATAGCAGTGAAGACCATAAGTTAGTTTATTGTGGTGAGAATTTGGTATAAATGGATTTCTAGAAAGCGATAATACTATTATACAACCTGTGCTTCTTGATAAATGCCCTCGGCTTATTAAACGTTGTAACAAATTTAACTAGTCAATATAAATTATATCAGAATCGAATCTTGGCAACTTTTTTTCCTTTTTGACGTATTTTTTTACATTTTCTGTGTTTTCGCGCAAGTTTCCATCTTCATCAGGGCCCCATAGCTCTTCGCCGTCTGTTAATAATTATTGAAAGAAAAAAAAACGCTTATACCGGCTGCTAAAAATGCAATTTGCGTTTCAGTGGTAAGGTCCTCGAAGTCATCTAAATTCCACCAACATCTAATGCAAATAAAATAAAGAGTGTCAAGGTATTATGAAAATTATTTTAATCAGTCAAAACAAGAATAGAATACATTCTGTATATTTTGGTACAGTTATATTACCCTTTGGATTTTGCTACTTCTTTTTCTCCTTCCGTCTCCATTGCATCGCTTTTATTTTCATCGTTCGCTGACGCCGAGAAGTTTTCTTGAATAAATTGTTGCTGAGGATAATTTTCTGACTCTTACCGTGAGCATTTTCGTCCTCGGAATTCATGGCAGGATGATTATCTTCATCTGTATTTTCTACTGGTTCACCTGAAGCCCGTTTTATCTAATACTCTTTGCAAAATACGATATAAAAATTTTTGGTTAATTTGAACGCCGTGCCTTTTTCCCTTTTCTGCTGATCCAAGAGAGTTTGGTGCGGAATATCCCTGCCGTATAGAAGTAAAAACTCATTGTCTTCTTTCGGGTCACATTCAAATCCATCAGACTTTTTGAAGTGGTCAACGGAACTAACAGCAATGACAATCTAAATTGAATTATAGTGGTTCTTTTTTTTCGCGTGTTAATAATAACCTGGAAACCCTCATATCCGATTTTTATGAACATCGGATTTTTATCTCCTCGAAGACGGATTTCCATTGCTTCTCCTGATCGCAACAGCCCCGGTGACATGGCTCTCATCACACTAAACATTTGTTATACGCTAATCAAGTCATTAAGGCTCTTACTTGAGGTCAGAGATAGATGAAGCGAGATTAATATTTTCTATTTCGATCCAACTCCTTCCTCCAATTGTTGTGGTTAGTGTTACCCGAGGCGATCGATAGGTCTCCAATTCTATTTCTCCTGGACGAACTACCCGAATTTTTAAGAATTTTCCGCCTTAAATGTTCATGAGCTTGATAAACAGTAATAAGCTAACCTGTTCCAAGTGCATCCAATTCTTTTCCAATTTGAAATGGATTTGCATGAACGATTGCCTGATATTCATCCATCTCCTCGTGGTTGAACCGCCAATTCGAGGGCCTTTCGTTCACGGGAAAATATGCCGATCTTTTGAGCCACTTATCTTCTCCGACGTTGAATTCCAAGTCGATACCAATGCAATCGCCCTTTGCTTCTGTCAACGAAAAGGTTATTTTCGCATTGTCGAATTTTCGGGCACGGCGGAGCATTTCAACAAAAATTTCAGCTTCGGTCACTAAAATTCAACTTAAAAATATTTTGATTGGATACGATTACATTCGACTATTCGTTCCCTTGATGTGTTGGTATATTCCAAGATCGAGTCAGTAGGGACGGAGCACAGCATAAAAGCTTTATTGGCTTGCTCAAGAGCAGCAAGCTCGATTTTTTTGTGGTCGAGAAAGCAGAGGTACAATTTGAAGTTTTTGGCAGTCATAAATTCGACTGCATAACGAAAGTTCTCGCAACAATGAATTGTCGCTTTCATTCTTAATCAGTGAGTTCTTAATAATAACAGCGCATTGATCGGTGTTTTCGCCAACGTTCGGCGATTTTCGCAACGGTAAAACAGTCGATAACAAGGTTTTTAGCCATCCAGTTTTTTCTCTAATTCGACGATGCGTCTAAGACAAGAAAAAATTGAGATGAATCTTCATGAAAAACCTTGTAAGCATGACATTCAAAGTTTGCTTTTCGCGCTTTGAAAGTCCCCAGCCAAGTTCTTCGTCGGCATTCATGGTGTGACTGTCGAGATGATTAAGGAGCATCTGTCCGAGCATGAGGGCCTGAACTCCGTCTCTTTCGAAGTTACTTAAATGAACTCTCTTTTTGTGCTTACATCATATCCATAAAGGAAAACATGACATTATATCCTTGCACGTGAGACTCTTTCGTTGTGACGCATTGTATTTCACGCTTGAAATATGCAAAGCAGGCATCAGCAGATAAACTATGTCATTTAAATGAAAAATTTTTCTTATGGCGATAATTATACGTCTTGTAATTTTCCATGAGGCGACGGTATTCCGACGACAGCAATGACATTCTTAAAATATATTTATTTATATTAATAAAATGAGGAAAAATAAGAATTCTCTATTTTGGAAGCAGATAACGGTAAATCATCTTATTTTTTTATTGAGCACGGAGGTGAAATATTCTTTACTTTTTTCCATTAATTCTTTGTTTCTTGGTAGATTGTATACTTTTGGGATGGCAGCGATATCTTCCCATTCTGTATTAGGAATGTCGATCGGCAGAGCGACAAATCAAATAAATAATGTAACAAAGAAATCTTTATACTTTGTTTTGTTTTTTCGTGTACTGAAAACGGCATTCGAATAAGATGGATGTTTCCCTTTCCAACAGACGCGTCGATCTGAGGGAGACAGACCTTGAGTTTTATAACACGGACGCTATTTCTATCACGGGTATCTCCTTGGTTCAAACGACGTTCTATAATTGACCACTTTTCGTCGCTCGTTCTCTTCGTTGATATCAATGACGCAAGATGCGCTTGTTCTGACTCGCAAAGGGCAGTGCATTTCAATATGCGTTTTATGGACTCTTTTGATTCCAAGAGACCTGAAAACAGTCAATAACGGGACAATAAAATAATTATAAAATAGATTTTATTATTAAAAATTTTAGCACCTTGTTCGTCAAGCACGTCAAGCCACTGATCGGAGATAATTTCATGCGCACGTTCCAAGTAAACATGATATAATTTTTTTCCAGAATAGTCAAGGTGCTTTGACAAGTATTGATACACTGAGAGTCTACGCGGATAGCTGTCATCGAGAAACTCTTGATCGAAGCACCAGATGTGGGCACCCCTACGTCCACTGAATACTTTGAGAAATAATTGATCAAAACGTTAATGAGAAAGAGTTACCCCAGAGAAGTTGAGAAAGGCCAAAATCTTCAACTAGTGTTTTGTCGATGATAAGCGCCGCAATTTTTATAAACCGCCAGCATTTTCTGCAAACAGATTTCGTGTCGCAGCAGGTACGAAAGGAGTAATTGTCAACGTCTATATCAAGAATAAGCTATAAAAAGATTGACTAAATGTAATTTGCTTTCAATTTGAATCAAAATTAAATATATTTTACATAATCACCTCTTTGCCGATCATTTTATCAGCTCCAAAACGGCGTTGCCGGGTCTGAGATTTAAATAATCCCCCGATGTCCAAGCGGTCGATGAAATTAGTCGATAGTATTTTTTTGAAGGCATTCAGAGATTCCAGAATCGTTAAACGAAGGCGATATGTTTGATCCAGTGTCTTGACGCTTATGCTAAACAGATGTTAAGTGATTATTTAAGTATGGATATAATCGGTTTGACAAAACAAGAAGTCCGCTTTACCAAAAAGAGCGAATATGCGTAAAACCCTAAGGCTACTTTCTGGTTGATCCTGTTTTTTAGCGATATGCAACTGCGGGCAGATATGCATCAAATCATCGACTGATAAGCGTCAGATGCAACCGTTTTAAGTGCATCAGAAAAAGAACAGGTACCGAGGCAGCTGCCTCCAGGATAGCTTAAGTGACATCTGTCGAATAGTATAAGAGAGAGCCTCTTGTTTTTTTCATATAGCAAAATATGATTTTCGCAACGAGAAAAGCTTTAATAGTCTTAGGACTTGCTTCATTATTTACAAGCTTAAATGTGAGAGCAAAAGATTTTTGCGATAGAGATAGAAATAGAGCAAAAATGTTTGAGATAGTAACGACTGGTATGATTGCAGAAAAACAAGACCAACGTTTTTGGCGGCATTTTTGAAGACAAGAAGAGCAGAGAATTTTTCGATAGAGTTTTTGGAGATTGTGAGAACGCATACAATGTCTGGATAACAATGGATAAAAAAACAAAGGACCGGGTTGTTCTTTTCTTTCGTCATCTTACTTAATTTATTATAATTATTGGAGGAAAATTAAATAGCACCATAATAATACTTATCGAAGTCAACCCTTTCTAAGCTTACGGTCAAGTCTGTTTTCAATTTATCGGAAATGTTTTTAATGAAGTCATTACGCGAATCGATGTTAACAAAATGCACATGCTAGGAATTTGGTCAATCGTGGAAGGCTACGAGTCATTGGGCGAGAAGATACAGTATGAATTCGCAAAAATACAAAATCGACGAATGCAAAAAGCATTTAAATCACTAATGCAGGATGAAAATTTAAGGGGGATATTTGTTTATCCCTATGAAAACACATCAGAACTAAGAAAGAGAATAAAAGATCTTCCAAGGTAAGCTATTCAAAAATACTGGATAATCAAGAAAAAAAAAAACGGAATTTTTATGGAAAATTTGTCACTCAGCATTGCTTACACTCGAATAACTCTGAAATAATGTTCAGAAATAGCCGACAGACACTTCACAATTTCTACGAATTCAAAGAAGCCAGAAAAGTATTAGAACGAAACCACATTCTCACTATTCTTCAAGCAGTACTCGACTCGCCAGTGACACGAGAGATCCCAAGATATTACGTACCAGTTGTATCAGCTGGCAAACTCCCCCTTATAAACTGGTTCCTCGTTGTTTTCTGCATAAAACTTTTTTAATTAGCTGATTTAAAAGAAAAAAAATCATAATTCAATATACGTTCACCGTGCTTATTTTATTCCACATAACCACGGCCTTACCCATGCGGAAGAAATTTAGAGTAAACAGAATGGAAAATTACCTGATATCACGCCATTTAAAATCATAATCTCCATCACGGGTGCAGAGACGCTCGATTAAATCATAGGGAAAATCGTGCCTATAATAACCACTGATAGTTTGTCGTCTAGATGAAATATTGACGGGAAGGACGGAATCAACCTGTCGATCTGGAAAAATTATTCTTAGCGGCATTTTAAAGTCCATAACGAACCCTTTTTGTCATCTATTGCGTCCTGATCCGAAGATTTAGACTCGGCTTCAACCTGTTCATCTGTGCGTGGGATTGAATTGTTTTCACTTGAATCTTCCTTGTTTTCAGTTATTGTTGAGTTCGAGGGAAGTTGCGTTAATTTTTCTTTCCGGAGGGGTGGAATCGCAGGCACTTTGAAAACTAAAAAAAAGATGAAGGAAAAGTATAATCACGAAAAAAATACTGTTATCATCATTTAAAACAGTCACAGGCGGAGAACTTCGCTTGCTTGTTGGTTCGGAAGTATCCATTGCAGTTACCGAATACTGATCTCTTTCTTTCTCAGGCGGCGTAAATATAAGAATCGGTATGTAGTATTTAATTGTGTTTGTTTCACTTCTTCCGCAAATCTTTAGTTTCGAGATTGGCCCTTTTTCGCAAACTACCATTAGCTTCTCAAACGCAGCCAATTGCCGAAACACTTTCAGCAACTGATCACAATTCACTAAATTTAAAATTTGAAGATTAGTCAAAGATTCTTCCTTACCAATATAATCCAATATTTTATTGGCCATATTAACATATTTGTAATCATTGATGGCTCGAAACCTAATCCTTTTCGTCGGCTTATTTTCACCGTGAGTGCGAAATTCCATATAATCACGCCCGAACGAAATTCTCACTACATCGTCGTCACCGAATTCGGCTACGAATCTCTGGAATACCCAGAACCAATTCGGTATGAGTACGCCGGCCATTCTGAATTCATATCGATAAAAGATTTTAATGCAGTAACTTATTTATTGCAGCCCTGATAATCTCTCGTATTAGAAGGCAGCTAAATAAAGGTCGATCTCTTGTGTTAGAAAATTGTTACCCTTGCACTTTGAATTCGTGATGGAAACACATCAGATACAGCAACGATTCCGTTTTGAATAGCCCTAATGAATACAAAAATTTTATTTGTAGCAATTAAATAATCACCATTCATGTCTTCTTTCATGTCGCCGAGCGCCCGCGACCGCAGGAGGATCATGATCGAATCGAGAAGAGGTCGATTTCCGCAACGGGGCTTATTTTGAAATGGCTCATATTTTGGAAAAAAAATAAAATACAAACATTGAGACAGAGGTTCTTGTTTCACAGTGGTGGCAAGAGGTGAGGTTTTTTGTGACATTGCATTTTGCTGCTCATGCATTTCATCGAGTTCTTGCAGGAAAGAGGGATAAAAGATGTAAAAGATCAAGCCTTACTATAGACATTGTCAAGAGCATCATGTGCCCAAAGAACTTCGGTAAACTGGGACTTAATACACTATATTAGTATTTCATTACTAACGCACAAAATAACCTTGTTGACTGAAGCGTTACAATGGGGACAACGAACAGTCCCGCGGGTTCTTGAATTAGAACAATGTTTCTGAAGACAAGAAAAGCACAGCAATTTTGAGCAGCCAGGACAAAAGTGCTGCCGTTGAGTATCACGGCCAGAGAGACAAATTTGGCACTCAAAGCACCTTTTTAGATTGTTCTTGTGTGGGCTTAACAATCTTTTTCGAATTTTGTTAATAGATCAAAGATAATTTTCACGACAAAAATGTCTCCGTCAACTCAAACAGAGAACAATCATTGCTTAGCCCGAATTCGAAATTTCAGCAAAAGAACTCATTCTAAAAGGAAAAAATGAAACTTCAAATGACACTTAATATTTATTTGTGGAATTTTATTCTCGATCTTGTATTTGAGGTGAAAGATAAAAATCCACGGTTCCGACGGTGTCCATTTCGTAGGTGATGAACATTGGGTTATCCTTATCAAGATGCAGCTTCACAAAGTGATTAACACAAGAAGCCTTGGCGAACTGATGAAGATAACTGTAAAAGAATAAATTGAGCTATTAACAATAAAAATAATATCAACCGTAGGCCGAATGTCTGGGTGACAGGGACATCACATTGCACTTTGACCGAATCGTAGTCTTAAGCCATTACATCAGTTTCCTCGAGGACAATGTTCATTCTGTCAGCATCCACTGCAGAGAAAGTGACTTCGCCTTCTGAGACAGTGATCTTCGTTTTGTCAGCGACATTTTTAAGATGAAGCATGTCCCGCTGAAATCGTGCTGAGGATAGGATGACAGTTGCCCTAAAGATTAATTTACAATAATATGAATATAGGAATATACGCCATAAATTGTATAATCATCGCTTATATTTTAAACTGACGTTGAGATTCATGCAAGCTCCGCTTGCATATAACAATTAGAAATATAAAATAAAATTATAAAGATGAAATCAGAGCTGTCGAATTCGAAGCGCCTGCATTTCACCACGATTATATGCGGAGAATCATTAGTCTCTTTTAACGGAAGATGCCATAAAACTCAGAAAAACGTTAACACTAGAAATTCAACAGCGCTGAATAAAATAAAAATCCACTTCTTACCCGTACGCAAGTTCTGGTCTGTTCACCTCTTCCAAATCGAGCTCAAGCACCTTCATGTTGAATCTCATCGGTACACCAATCTTAAAAACGTTAACGATTTGCTTAAGAAAAAAAAACAAACCTTATCGACTGATCCAATTATAAAGTCATCAGGACACTCGGAGTCGCAAAGAATTTCAAGGGGGGAATCATTCGGAATAGAGTTTAGGACATTGTTGATTCCTTTCAGGGAGACTATTGAGAATAAACCAATTTTTTCACAGATTTATTAGTACCTCCAAGATAAATGGTTCCGCTGCTGAGATATTGAAGGAATCCGGCAATGTTAAAATTCACCTAAAATATTTTTAGTCGATCAAGAATAGGCCGACTTTCCATCAGAGCAATCTTATTCGGCAGTGATCATTATCAACATACGGTGATATACGTTGACATTGAAGCATCTGTCGAGAGGAAGGTGAGTCCGTTTGCATCAGATTTTATAACGCATTCCTCCATCAGCGAGCCCAATGTTTTGCAAACTGATTTCATATGGAAAGCTCTTTTGAATTTGCAGATCAACATCGTCTAAAAATTAAAACATTTAACAAAGGAAACTACGAAAATATTCAGGCGGGAACACAGGATTATTTTCTTCTGATCTGCCAGTTTTTCATTATTCATTTTACTCGTCGGCCTTTGCGCATAGGAAAAACTTCAAGTGCCCGTAGCCTTCAATCTCAAAAGTAAACTGTGCTGATAAAGGGTTGTCATATTTCGTTCTTTTTTTTTCATTTTAAACTGAGAAAGTTTAATTTAAATTATTAAAAATATTTACAAATTTTTAAATAAGACAACCAGCCTGGAATTCCAGAATCTTGCTGAAATTTTACATTTTCAGAAAGGCAGCAAGCTTTGCTGAAGAATTGAAGATACCTTTAAGAATAAAATAAAAAGGAAGTTTTAAATTATAACTTACTGGAGAATGTAGTCCGAGCAAATTGATTCTTTCACGTCTACAACGAGGAGCTTGTTTTTTGGATCTTCGTTAAAGAGTTCGGTAAATGGCATCTCCGCCGTACCATATTGTCCCTCTGAGCTAAAGATCACCTGCCCACTAGTTGCGTCGACCTTGACATATTCGCCGCCAGTTGACATGAATTTGATTAAATTGTCAAATTCAGAAGTGGGCATAGTGATCGAGCAACTAAGTAGAATATTATAGACCGAAATGCTGCGTTGATTTACCAGTAATTATTGGCAGGAATGTCGAGAGCTTCACAGTCAATCTCCATAAGCTTCATATGATACGTATAAGCATGAGGAGCCGACTAAAATGCACATATATAATGATTAGCGCAGACGAAACCAACCTCATGCCCAAAAACAATATCGATTTCGTCGTTTTCACTGCCCTGCAAAAGAAGAGTTTCGTTTGGTTGAATGTTTTTCAGTATCTTCTGGAGATGAGTAATATTCACTAGCAAAATAACATAATGATCCAACTAAATTCAATAAATAACCTCCGAGAAGAATTTCCTTGTCACATCTGAAATGTTCGAAACCTTGTTTCCTCAATACCAATTGGATCAATGTAACTTGACCAGAATCCATTGATTGCATGGCGATTCCTTCCGGCTTGATATTGAAAAAAACGGCGCCCAAAAGGGGATTGACGGAATCGACGATTCGCTTCAGGGTCTCAGCCTTCTTAAACTTCGCCTCGAACATATCTTAAATCTTAGTATTTAATAACTTTATCAGACAAGAGCAATTTTAATAAACGGATGATTGATCTAATAATAAACATATTTAATTGGAGTTTTTGTATCCATTGATTCGCCTCCCTCACTAATTGTCCTCTTGATAAAAGGCCACGATGATAAAGGAAGAATGAGGGGGCGTTTTTTTTCCCGAAGACAAGACTCGTGCCATTCAACAATATCGACGTAAATTGGAGAGCCAGGTTCGCCAAAAACAGTTACATCTGGATAATATTATCTAATTCAAAAAATAACAGAAATTTTACCGGTAATAAAATAGCTCAAAAAATTGATAAACAGTTCAACACTTGAATATCCGTAACGGCTGCCTGCGGACCAAATACATTGAATGCCGTCGATGCATTCTTTTGCGGATTGTAAGAACAGAATCCCAACAATGGTCTTCCGGTGAGAATTTTCGCTTAGCGCGATATAAGCTCCAAATTTTGCCATGGCAAGTAAGGATGAGATTTCCCTGGAATCGACGCCATGTCCGATAAAAATTTTAATCTTTGTTTTTCCATTCTTTCGGAGAAGATGATTATCCCATTGGCAATTTAAGAATTCCCATATTTTAGTTCGTAAGATTGAGGTTTCACTAAAAGAATAAGAAATGAGGACAAGTACAGAATAAAAAAGAGTAAATTCAAGGGATAAATTTAATATCATTTCAGTGCTCAGGCTTGAAGCTGTATAATAATTTAAATTTATTTTTTGTTTCTATTTGACCTTCGCAATGGCTGCCCATCTTTGTCGCCCAGGATAGAGTCGAATTGATTTGTCGTGGAACAAGCTCCACGTCGATTCGATTTTCTCGCATCCTTCACCTTTACAAATGGATTATCGCATTTTAAAGAAGAAGTTACCTTCTCTGATGGGGGATTTCTAAGAGCACGACCACCAGTAGACTTGCTTGCGGATGAATTTGTGACCGGTTTCTTACTATCGACTGATTTACCCTATAATATTTAGTACGAAATAATGATAAAAGAAAATACCCCTACGTTTCGCAAGCTCATTTCTTCCATCTTCCTGGCACGTCTGGTTTTAAGCGGCGAAAATGGATCAAATGCCTCAGGGACACCTGAATCAGGCGGAGTTGGCTGTGAAGATTCCTTCGAACTTTTGCTGGTTGTCCTTGCCGCCATGACTTCATTTTTCTCCTTAGAAAAGATTTAAGGAAATAAGATACGCCGAAGTCTCCACTAAAAGTCAAAAAGCTGACAATGTTATACCTCATGCGTTCCATCCTTATCGTCGGCGAAACAAACGCCTCTACCGCTTTGAGACTTCCCATTCTTCTTCGATTGAGATTTTGATGCGGGCGAAGGAAGTTGATTACTTGAGTCTGAATTTTCAATAGTCCGGAAAATTGACGCGGGAACTCCTTTACATTTAGCTTCAGCGCGATCATGCTTAGCCAAAGTTTTGTCGGACAGACGTTTTTCCTTGTGACGAGAAAATGAACTTATCGCCGCTGAAAGGTCGATGTCTCTTGATTCCTTGTCGATTCGCTTTGCACCCCTGTCGAACTCCTCGAATCGCTGCTTCTTATTTTTGCCTTCAAATTGATGAAGAGATGGTATATCGTCTTCATTTAATCCAATTAAAGACGAAGAGTTCGAATATCGCGGATTACGGGCGATTGCTGACTCTTTCGCAGGAACAATACCCGGGTTAGCAAGCGTGGCAGAAATTGCATTCTTAAAAGCTGCATCGTCTCGAGAATTGCCAGGAACATTTTCTTTGATGACATTTTCAGATGGGGAGGTTTCCATTCCATCTGTAATATTACAAGGAGAGCTTTCTGGCTCCCCGTCGGACATCACTTTCGTCGCAGTGTCAATCTGTGTGGCGTTTACATCACCGGGCATTGGACCGCCCGCATTATTCTCGGGGAATACATCTCCTTGCAAGGACATGGGATCGTGAATAGTATTAGCTTGGGGCGGAATATTTTCTTTCGTCGGCGCAGATTGACTATTCAAAGTTCCATCTTGGGCAGCGTTCACCAACGGCGCATCATCATCATCAGAACTTTCGAATGGATTTTTAAATTTCGGAAAACCATCCTCGTCAAGTTCGCAATCGGGATTATCTACCATGCAATCGGGGAGGCTCGCGGCAGATGACCCAGGAACACTCGTCGGTATTGGAATGGCGCTGTTTTGCGGGAATTGAGAAATAGCGCCGCCAGAAGTGGACGCCAATTGGCTATTCGAAGCCGCAGTTTGGGAACCAGGTGAAGGGCGTTGAACGCTTTGACCAAGTTGAGTAGATTCACTGTTTGCATCGTTCGAATGCAAATTCTGCAGAAAGTTGTAACGCTCAACTTCTCTTCGGACACTAAGCATGCTAATTTCTGGCGCAATGTGAGCAGTTTGTTCGCGCGGTTGCCATGACATGGGCCCCTCGGGGCAATTATATCCCGTGTCTCCAAAGAAGATATCGTTGCTTCCTTCCGGGACTTCCGGGCGATTAGGGTCGACATCATTGACCTGCATGTCGGCGTCGTCATTGTCAATATTATTTTCATTCTCGTTCGTCACGGAAGGAGGGGGCGGATTGACAGAAAAATCACAAGTGGATTCAAGTGTCGCCACTAGATTCTCACGCTGCATCTGCTCGTAAAGACGGTGATTTTTCCTTCTATTCTTCTTTTCGTTTGTCTTAATATAATAAGCAAAAACAACAATAGGAAAATATTACCTTATAAAAGTCTAAGCAGATATCCATCCAAGTGAGAAACCATTCTTTGCCAACGGGCTCGCCAATCGGGACGCGATCTATGGATTCGCAGTGTTCCATAACTTTTTTGATGAGGGCTTGATTCCGGTTTTTGTAGGCAGGATCGGCGTAATACTCAATGAATTCACCCTTCAAGGCTTTAGAACCAGAGGCCTCGAAATATTCAAAGAGAACTTGTAGATCGGAAAGAAAATTCGCGCGACGCTAAAAAAACAAAACTACAAAATCAATTTGATTATACTTACTCTTCCAAATTTTGCCCGGTACGCAGAATTAAGACTATTATTTAGACTCTCCGAAGGATTCGTATTGAGTCTTAGCCCGTCGATTCTGTGTCGGAGAATCAGCATCAGCCTCCAGTATGAAAATCGTTTTCCCCATTTATGCTGGATAATTCGATGGCATAAGGACTTGATGAAAAACCTAAAAACTTAAATTGCCAAGTTGACATCATTTTACTTACGCAAGCCGACGGCCAAAATGAGGGACTCTTGAGAAAACGCAGAATAAATACTGCATCACCGAGTAAATTAAATCGGGGCGCAGAAATTGCTAAAACATTCAATTAAAAGGCATTAATGCAAACGTGCGTACAAGCATCTTTAGAAGAAAGAGGCACAGCCTCGCAGCAGGCGGAGCTTCTTTCCAACGGAGTATTTTCTTGAGGCGTCTGAAATTCGCACGCTCCGTATGGGTGGTACAGAGAAAAACGTATGCCTGGACTCCACGGTCGGCAAAGCCCTTCTCTATTCTAAATATAATTAAGAATAATAGATAAACTATAAATTACCCGTTGTAGAGAGCCGCTTCGGCATCCGTTTGGCAAAAAAGATGGGACGCGACCTGAGGAAACTTGTGGAACAAAACATCCCACAAATTGCCGAAGACTTCCCTGTAATCCTCCTCGGCCTGGCTAAGCATGTAGATTGATGCTACCATGACAAATTTTTCATTGCCCATTCCATCGGGAAAGGACATCGAAAATGTGATGAGTTGGCGCCAGGCGCCAGCCACGAAAAATGTCCCGTCGATCATACAAAGCTGGTAAGCCCGCTTCGGCAGCTTCTTCAAAATGGCAGTGTTTCCAACTAAAAAAAAACGATAAACTCGCTCCGCTCGCATAAAGATTAGAAATAGAAAAGGAATATTTTGCGCGGCTTACCGATCAGACATTTTCGGGACTGGAATAAAGGCCATCGTGATTCCATCATGTTGTTTTTGTCAGTCGTTAACAAGTGAGGAAGGTCGGAGTAGAGTTGCGGCACCAACTTGCAAAGATCGTCGGGAGTTTTAAAATCATCTAAGATCCGTTGTTTTAGACGATATCTGGATTGCGTTAGGGTGCGAGCATATACTTCTGGACTTTTCTTTGGACTCCAGCCGGGAAAAGTTCGTTGAACGTTTTCAGTGAGTGTTTTCAGCATGTCTGGTTTCACACCCAACCCAACGTCGTGCACCAGTTTCTTTAATCAAGCGTTAAAAAATTTTAAAAAAATGTTAAACTTACCAGAACATTACGCTCGTAGACTTCCTCTCCTGCTTCATCAAATGATAAACCACTACAGTCATGATATTGTGGCTGCGGTGGGCGACAGAAGGTCGACATTGGCTCTGTTTTAGCGGTATCGAAGAAGCAATGACTGTAGTCTGGGTTGACATCGAAATCTCCTTTCTTTTTTCCTTTGATGAATAAGATTTCTGGCGCGTAGAAGGTCTGCCTCGCAGAGCATTTGCTGCATTTCATCGAGTACGAAATGCTTCCGTCAACACTAAAAGCAGCCATAGACCAATATAACAAAAACTATTCTTACTTTTGGGTGATCCTATTTCGCTGGAAAAGAAAGTAAAGCGGTACTGTTGTCGCAGGCTCGCACCTTTGAACTTCTTTCTGTTTCTTCTCCCAGTTTTGTCGACGCTTATTTTTGATAGAATGCCAAGTTTTCGTGTTTCTCTGCTTGGGCTGTCGCTGGTTTATCATTGAATCAGGGAGATCTTTAATTGGCACATGAAACACCATATACAATGACGGATTTCCCTGGTTTGATATGAAGGAATGTATGCTCATTCGTGGAACATCTACGTCGATTTTTATCTGCTGATTGCGTCCGCCAACAGCGCCTTCTTTATTTCCCGCGGCATTTTCAAAGTCATCGGGATCTGGAATCATGTCTTCATCTTTAGTCAGCGGCCTACAAAATGGATGAACTTCTTCACCATCACCGTCGCCCGTAGCTCTGCCATCACCGTCGCCCGTAGCTCTGCCATCACCGTCGCCCGTAGCTCTGCCATCACCGCTGCCCGTAGCTCTGCCATCACCGCTGCCCGTAGCTCTGCCATCACCGCTGCCCGTACCGTTGCCATCACCGCTGCCCGTGCCATTGCCATCACCGCTGCCCGTAGCTCTGCCATCACCGCTGCCCGTAGCTCCGCCATCACCGCTGCCCGTACCGTTGCCATCACCGCTGCCCGTGCCATTGCCATCAGCGTTTCGAGGAAGATCGCTTGGTTCGTAGTCATTTTTATGTCCAGAGAAGTTATCGCTCGCAAGATTTTGATCAAGGTCAAAATCCAAAACTTCATTTGGCAGGGTGGTTGGGAGCGGAACCGCATCGGGAACAGATTGTTCTTTCTTCTCTTTCTCTACTTGATCGCTTAATGACATAATTTTCGATGTAGATGACATGAGAGCGTTGCGATTTTTCGATAATACAGCAATAGTAGAATTATATTTCGCTCTTCGGTATCCGGGTGTCTTGTGCAGTGAAGTGCTAACATCCAGAACCAAGGCTTTTCCATTATTCTGGCCTTTGTCAAGAGTCGATCGACTTTCACCAATAAATTCTCCATCCGATTCGTGAGTTCTTTCGTCAGCGCTCGCAGTCACCCGGTTAATTGACAACTCAGACAATGCGTCGGCCATTCGCGATGAATTCGTATGAGACAAGTTCGCATCAATATCAGGAAAAGTGACCGACTTTTCGCCCATCGCTTGGTTACCAGAAGAAGGGATATTCGCTGCTGGTAAAGGTTTTCTCTTCGAAATCGTCCCAGATACGCTTGTTTGACTAACAGGAGCCTAAAAACAAAAATAAGTATGGAAATTTTTATCAACTCAGTTCATTCACTCAATTTGAAGAACAAAAATCTTATTCACACTAAACTGTTTCAAATGAGCACGCTCCGCGTGCAATAAACTTATAGAAAAACACTTTGAAGCAAGACCATTTATTTAAATACCTTTTTAATTGGAGTTATCGATAAATCCTCAAATCCTTCGAAATCGGGTTTAGGAAGTCTACGAGCACGCGCTTCTTTCATGTTGACCTTCGAGGGCTGCTTTGCAGTCTTTTGCATGTCATTCTTCATTTCAAGTGCTATTTTTTTGGTTGTTTCGCGGAAAGAACCCTAGAAAATTTATTCAGAAAAAGGCAAATGACCTTCAAAGTACCTGCAAAGAAGCGGTCGACGTGGAGGCCCTTTTAAAGGGCGAGTTTGTCACTAACGGCGACTTTGCCCCAGAAGAATTGGCAACATGGTCATTTTTCGGTTCAGCAACGATCTTCTTAGCTGTACCACGGGAAACCTAAATAACATTCTTAATACGTCCAAATGTTCGACAAAAAACCACAGAAGAAGTTGACGACAAATGAGCTCTTTTAGGAGTCGAGTCTTGTGTGGACGACGGATTCGTGGACATTGGACGCTGCGACCTTTCATTCTTCTTGTCGTTTTTTGATTGAGCCGATGTTTTCTTAGCTTTGGGACGTAAAGAATCCTAGATAAATTTCTGAGCAAGTGCAAATCTATTTCAGTAAACCGAAAGAGTAGCAGGCGACAGCGGGCCTCTTTTTAAAGGTTTTTTTGTGGCAGACGATTCCAGGTTAGAAGTCGTTCTCTAAATATATAACAAACACGGAATAATGATTGTCTTCAATTACTCGTGTTTGTAACAACGATGAGGTTCTATCTTCTTCTTCACTTGAATCGTCAGAATTCGTAACGCCTCCGCCGACATGGGAGTATTTTTTATTTCGACTCATCAAAGCCCGAAATCAACGAAGACTAACAGTAAGACCTGAAAAAAATTAACGCTGGTCGCCTACTCTCACGACCCAATTTTGTACTTCGCTTGAAGGACTGAGGAATTGAATTTGACTCAAAATTAAAAAATTGATTATAGTAATAAAGAAATAATAATGTCGTGTGATATTTTCAAGGAAATAATCGATATATAAGATTAAAGGAGACAGAAATATTTGTTGCAGGATTTAGGTTAGAATTTAAAAAGAAAATACGGTAACAGAAGATGCAAAATTGCTAGAATTTAATGAATAATAAACTTCAAGACATGATGACAGTAAGGAATAGGCTTATCAGAAAAAATCTTCATCAGTCATTTCTCTAGATTATCTTCCGAAAAAGTTCTCTTTGGTTTCACTGCCGGAAACAAACAGCCAATAAGAGCGACGTACAGGAGAACCCAGGACGAAACCGCATGACCAACATTTCCGAAGAGCGGCGACTCGAGCCGCGCGCGCCATAACGACCGCCCAGAAAGGAGTTTCTAGACTTGACAAGAAGCGCATCGCAAATAAGCGCGATAAATCGCCTATAGCATCTAGAAAAAAAATAAAAGAGAAAATAGATTGTGAGTCGTCCATCAAAAGCGTAATATAAAAGAGAATAGCTAGAACTTGCTAGAATAGATCTCACAGCGATTTTTATCAACATTTTAAAAATTTTAGAATTTGAAACTCAAATTTGGTTGCGTTGAATCAAAATGAATCACAAAATGGCCGCTGAACCCAGGCGGCCACCTGAGACGGGTCTCTTAATGGTGAAAACCAAAAGAGTATGAGTGAATAAGGGCGACCGCCTGACCTACATTTTTTCGAGACAGTGTGCCAGACTTTTTTAATTCTTAGTCTATATTTTTCTGGTCAGTTTATTTTATAACAGCAAAGTCGATCTGGAAAAAATTTAACCGATCTTTATGATTAAATGAAAGACTTTATTTTTTTTAGAATGCATCGTCTCAAAATAGGCCCAGAATTCATAGCCTCACCAGGAAATGTGGGTGCGTGTCAAATGGAAATTCTAGCTCCCGCAACAGGACAGGTCACAGTTACAGGCCAATCAATTTATCAAAATTGACGAAAATTATATTGGCCGAATAACCAAAGAAAATCAGACTTTTTAATAACACGCAGATATAATGTTGGCTTGTAATTGTAACCTACAAGAAGAGTACGATCGCTCGGGTCCCGGAACAGAAAAATGCGCCTCAGTTACGCTCATCATGATGACAAATGACAATGCGACGTACTGCCTCAATTGACATGGTTATGAATCACATAAAAAAAAAGTCATATATTCATTGAATAACCATTAAAAGCGTCGAATGGTACGACATAAGCGGAAACTACGCCGAAGAAGTGTCAGATGCAAAACTTTTTTGTCCGCAAAAAAGTTGCGGAGCGAACGACTTGTCAGTTTTCAATTTTCATTGCCGCCCGGGATGCTGCAATCAGGCAAAGAAAGCGGCGCAAACAGGAATGATATTAATATTTTTTGAATTGATTTAATAAAAGGCATACTTTATTAATATCAAAAGACAATGAAACAGAGCGATTCATTGAGGTCTATCGACTTCAAGGAGTCTATGAAAAAAGGCTCAAATACCACGAAAGGGAAGTCGAAAAATGCAAAGCGGGCTTACGCCAAATCAAAAATTCGATTCCAGATATTTACGAGAAGATGGGAGACGAGCTTGATATCGTAGGTACGTAACGATAAATTTAAGAGTAACAAGTCATGTATCAAAAATTAATTACGAATTTCAGACCCAATCAAAAGCTGCTCAGTCTGCATGAGGAAATACGATGGCAAGGAAGTCAAGCGGCACACCATCAAATGCGGACATATCTTCTGCAGAGCCTGTCTTGACAAGACAATAAAAACCCGCGCTGAATCCTGCCCAACCTGCCGAAAGAAATTTACCAGCAAAGATATTATTGCCCTGTATTAAAACTGACAATTTAGAAACTAGAAATAAAAGGCAAATTTTAAAATCAACAATGAGATTGTCATAGATTCATATTTCGAAAAAATTTTATTTCAACAAAGCCGATATCGAAAATAAAGCAGGGCAAAATAGCTTTCTGTAGAGCAATAATCGCACGAGTTAAACTACAGTTAAAAAAAAAAAATAAAAAAGCTAGATTAAAAGATCATTTTATTGCACGCTCCGCGTGCTATATTTATTAGAAACAAATGGAACGTTAATAAAATGGTGATTTGCCGCCATTATGCAAGGTGCATGACTTTCAGGGTGTTTAAAAATGTCAGAATGATATTTTAATGAGGAATATTATCAAACTCACAAATAGAAATAAATAATCTTAGTTATCGATTATGTTAAAATCCCTTAAATATTTGTTTTATCTTTCAATTTTTAAGTTTATGGTTCTCAGCTCGTCTTGAAAAGAGAGCAAATTTTTCTTCTTTACTCAAATTCTATTGGCTACCTAGATGGCGCACTTTGCAGGCAAACACAAATTAATTTTGTGGCAGCAACAAAAGAGTATTTTTCCAAGCAGCGCACCAGAGATTTTGTTTTCTTCGAGAATCATGGAAGAACAAGGCAACAAGCTTTGGTCAGCATCCCTCGAGCAATATTTATAAGCAATAGTCAATGATTAGTAAGTCGGATAAAAATAGGTTTTGTCATAAACAGAAGAACTATGCTGACCTACAGTACAGAGAAGTGTTTCCGCTGCAGCACGAAACAGCTTTCAAATGGGTAAAATTGATATACGTTTCAAGATGATCACATGGCCTTAATTAAATTACGCTATTAAGATGCCATCGCAGCGGTGCTTGGAGAAAACACTACACAAAAACATAATCTCGACGAACAAAAGTGATATTTTTAAGCTTAATCAATTTTATTCAGAAAATTTAGTACTCAAGCGAATCAAGGCACAGCATCACAAAATTCACTGGACAGTTTCGATGATCAAAGTTTTGGTTAGTTCGATAATTGCTATTTTAGATAAAATTATTTTTATAAAGACGAATACGTGCACCAACTATTGGACAAGAAGTAGATGAAAATAATTTTACTGTATGCACAATGAACTGCGCTTATCACAATAAATTACAATAAAGTGAATTACGATTGTTAAGCATTGTAGCGATCTTGTGTGTCAAACCCGCTTCGATTTAATACGTATTTTATCACACCAAGCAAAGTTTTAAAAAATATTTAGATTGGGTAATAGAAGGCCTTATGGTCCCCCTTTTAAATTTGTTTTCGTTTTGCCTTTAACGAGAGAGATGATTTCAATTACTATGATTAGTGAGATCGAAGAGCATTCCCAAGAAAGCGCTGGTATTATGAGTTTGCTATCGAACCTAACAAAACAAAAAAGACCGTATAAGATGAAGGAATTAAAGCCCCTGTAGTCTTTTTAATTTTATCTTCGTTTCCCCTTAACGAAAAATAAAAATAACTAAATAATGTTAATGATTCGATTCGAACCCGTTGTTGCGTCAATGAAATATCGAGGCAAGTCTGACCGACATTTTTAAGACGGCGCGAGCAATAAGTAAATTTTGACACGAGGTGAGTTGTCACAAGAGCGACTGCTTCATTCGGATTCATTTTTTAAATATGTCACAGAGATCTCTTGCATCTGGTAATTTTGGGGCTCCCAGTTCGACAAGATTTTCGATGACAGTTACTTTGGTAAGGATTAATCGAAGTCCTTCGTAACAAATGCCTTTAGAAAAACACGACAGAAAAAATGGCTCTGAATTAGCCGCTGAAGACGCAGATTTTGGAGCTCCCAGTTCGACAATGACTTCAATGACGATTATTTTGGTAAAAATAATACACAGTCATTTAGGTTTAATTTTTAAAAGAAAACGCCCGAATAGATGACAGTGAAATAGCTGCAGAAGCCTTAGATCGGCCATCGACGTCAGCCACGGCGGACAAAAATTCTTCATTGAGCAGGTACCTTTTCAAATGAACACCTACCGTAGCCTTACAATTAAATCAGTATGAACGAGGGTGCCAATGTAGACCCGATCATCAATGCGTCGCAAACATCTATGGATTCAATCGACCAGTTATGGCAAGGTATGATAAATTTTGTTTCAAACGAGGAAAAAATCAAGATGACCCGGCGGTTGGATCACTCATCACAAACGCGAGAGAAAAGAAACAAGCTGATGTTAATGGGTATCTTCGCAACGAAGTTGTTTTGGAGAAAGCCGATATGCAAGACGTCGAAGCATCAATGAACGTAGACATCGGTGAGGCTCATAATAACAAAGCATCCGATTCGGACTTGTCTTCGCAGCTTTAATATCGAGTTGGGAAGATAAGCCCTCTTTCTTTTGGCACAAACGGCAAGATTATATTTAAGACGCTGAAGATGAGGAACGAAAGCTACCCTGCTGCATGGAATACGAAACAATAATAGTCATGAAAGGCAACTTAGGCCCGTGGGAAGGTAAATTCAATTCAATACTAACGTCGATTAGACATTTAACACGCATCTTAGGAACCCCTCCGTGTGAATTCCATAAAAATTATTACGAATCGTGGTTGAGGATGGCGAAGAATGCTGAACGAGAACGGGTTATTTATGCCAATGAAACGAAACTTGAAAGGAAAAAACGAAAGGAACGGGAAGCAAAAAGCGCAACCAGAAGAAGCCAGAATTTAGCACATTCTGGTGCTACGACCCAACGAAATATTCGAATAAGGAAGTCGTCCTCCCAAAGCGAATAAGAAGAGAGCATATCGAGGAGAAAAAAATCGAGGATATCTGTGATTAAATATCAAATAAAAAGAAACAGATTTAATTATGATTTATCTGTAAATGATACACGCAAAATATAAATGCAGGGGTAGATTCAAAATATCGACTTGATGCAAAGCAGGAGTTTATTCTTACTATGGAGCAAGTCGCTTTAGATAACATGAGTGAAAGTTTATGATATTAACCTGCAGTGGTGTAATTAAGGGTATCCATCGACAGTCGTAGAGACGAAATAAGACAGAAATGAATTAATTCATTTGAATTTGAATTCACCGTGAAGCTTTTAATAATGATTTCAATTTATTCAAATAATAAAACTTAAATAGAAAATAATTATTGTTCATCATTCAAAATTTTGCTTCTTCTTTTCAGATACTTTTCCATGGAAGACAATTCTTTTTGTCTTCTTTCTTCTTTCTTTCGTTTTTGCTGTATTTCTACGGCCGACTTTTTAGTTTTCGTCATCTCATTCATTTTTGCCTGCGCTTTCGTCATCCAATTTGATATATTTTCGCCAGAATCCGCTGCATTTGCAGAGTTTTCTCTTAAGCAAGTATTTTTTCAGAAAAACTTAAGTAAGAAACGAAAGTACCCTTCTTTCTCGATAGCCAAAGAGATGGATTTAAGCGACGAGGTTTTCTTCTTTTGAGGAGCATTAGTATCGACAAGATAGGGCAATATTCCTTCCGACTTATTGCAAATTTTTGTCAGGGAGCTTTTGACCGAAGGTAATACACGAAAAAGCAAATGCCTTTGATTCGGCCAATGATTTAGCTCCAGGAGATTGTCCATGTCGTTTTTTGTAATTCTATAATGAAAAAATATCATTTGGATAATATATATATATACCTATTGTCGATTAGCATTCCTTTGACGATTTGGACTCCCTCCCCGTGGAATTTGATTTGAGGATTCGCAAACGAGTGGAAGGCAAAGGATTTCGCAGAAAGATGGGAGGAAGCACGTAATAAGGTCCATGCGACTGCTTAATCCATTTTGCGAGAGGAATTGTATGAAAGATGGGCCAAGAGCTCAGCTTAGCGCAAATTGATTATTTGTTTAATAAAATAAGTTCAAACCTGCAATCAGACGATTCTTCTGAGCAGTAGATTGCTTTCCGAAAATGGCGGGAAATTTCATGCGATTGTATCCAAAAGAGCCTCGAAGATACACACCGGGAATAATTGTAGAAAAGGCGCCAATAACTGGCAAAAGCCTCCAAGTCGTTGACAGGGGATTCATTAAATCGGAAGACGAAATGGCGCTCGCAGACTTTGAGATGAGTTGCATGTGTTCCTAAAATAAATATTAACACTTGTTGAAAAAAAAGTCATACAATCTCATTGGCGTCACTTGGTCTCACCCTGACGTAATTTTCATAAACGAAATTTGGCAGGAGGTTGTAATCACTGAAGAACAATTCTTGTTTCTCATCAAGAGAAAATTTGGCATCGAAAACATTTTTGCAAGCGTCAAATGGACTTTTAGGGCGCGTATGGTGACCATCAAGCGGTAGAAACTTCTTGAGATCAATATTGTCCATCGATTCATCTTTGAGGTTAATGCGACGTTTGTCAGCTGACATCATAAACACAGTATTAAGTATTCTTCGAAAATCGTAATTGTGCGACCTTGCAATAAGCGTAAGTTCACTCTTCTGCAGATCGAGATTTTCCTTGTGGCAAATATGAAACAATCTCCCTAATAAATAAAAACAAGAAATAGACAAAGAAAAGATACCCAAAATTGCTGTTTCAGAAGGAGTTGGGAAAACAAGGTCATAGCAGGTTTTAATCAGCGCTCGGATGTTGGGATTGCCTCTATCATTTGCTATCATTATGATAGGGATACGACAAGTGTTCAGCAGCTTTTTGAGTTCATTAAACCCGCCGAAATCTTCATTTCCAGCAATTCCATCGACTTCATCCATAAGACATACTTCTCCAGGGCATGAGAAGGAAGCCGATTGATCGAGCATCGAATGAATATGAGCAAAATCCACTGAACTCGCAACATCATTTTGTACGTTTGTTCGATTTCGCTTGTCGGAGCTGTTAAATTCGATGACTCGCATTCCCAATGACTTCGGCACCACATGAGAAGCAGTTGTTTTTCCAATACCCGGCGGACCAGTTAAAAGAATAGAGCGATAGGAACCAGGAGAGCCTTTTGGATGATAAGAGGAATCTTTGCTTTCGAGAACACGGTTGTCATGCCACTCTTGCAGCCATTCACGAAGCTTGTTAACAGCGCTGTCTTTACGAGAATGCCCGAAAAGATCGTTTATAGATGGTTTGTACTTATCCGTCCAATACACTGCTTTTTCCATGCCGGAAAAAGAAGAACCCTGAGAAACAGTTGCCGAAGAAACCCTATAATACTTGTAGAATTTTAAGGAAAGAAGCACTTACTGTTCTATAGATTTGCCATCTGTGAGCAATACAGATTTTTTTTCGAGGAGAAGCTGAGCACGATTTGAAGAATATTTAATTGGAGGAACATACTCCCGTGTATCAGATGTCTCGCGCGGTCGGCTGCTAGAAGGGCGCTTATTAGATCCATTAGACCGGAAACGAATGAGATCCAAGAATTGTTCCTCGCTTATCTTCTTAACGCCCTTTTCGCTGGCATCAAGTATTTTCTTTTGCCCAGAATTATTCGGACCAACAATAAGATAGTCTGTTTGACGTGAAATTTGCGTAGTAAGCTTACCGCCAAACTTAACAATTAGCTCCTTTAATTCGTCGCGGTTAAGGCTAACTCCGTCTCCAGTAGCGACAAATGTTAGCTTCTTTAGGCAATTGGGAGAGCCTTTAGGTAAAGACTTCTGGCTAGGATTCGTAGCTCGGCCGATATGTCGATAAATAACATTTGACGCTTTATTCGTCTCAGTCTTTTCGCGGCATGATGGTGTCGGAGTAGGAAATCTTGATGAATCAGCAAGTGAAAGAGCTAAGTTCACATCAGCGGAAGAGTCACTGGAAGTACTTGATAAGGAGAGCACGCGACATTTTCAGAGGCAACCATTTCCGGATCAGCAGGAGAGACAGTAGGGCTAGTCTCTGAGACTTCGACAAAGCCTTCAGAGGTAGATGAGGGGACTGTTAATGATTGAGATTCGAGTTGAACTTGTTCAGGAGCAGGGAGAGACTGCGTTTCGAGTATTGTAGTATTTACAGCAGTAACGGAATCGATACTCGATGAATTTACTTCATTGAGAGGATTTTCAATTGATTTACGATCGTGTTCAAGTGGAGAATCGATAGAATTCTGCATAGAAGATGCAGAATTAACAGCCGGAAGAGAAATTTCGCAAATGACTTCCGCGCCAGCAATATTTGCGTTAGAGTCCACCACCTCAATAGGAGTTTCGTTTGACTTATAGTCGGAAACATCAGATTTTGTCGGAATTTTCGTGGTGGGCACAGAGTTATTTAGCGGGTGAAGAACTTTTCTTTTTGCATGAAGATGCGGTCGTTCAATTGCTGGATTGTTGACACTGCCAGGAGAAGCACATTTGTTGTCCTTGTTTTGATAGCGATTACAAATAAGAGGAAATCCATCAAATCGCTTCGTAGGTATCTCAACGAGACCAAGGTGGTCGAATGGCCGGCGTTTTCGTTGAGAACTGGCACCTGACAGTAAATTTAAACGCTCTAATCCAGAGGTAGATGTCGAAGAATTGGAAGCAACATTGGATGGTGGACTCAACGGATCATTATTAGCCAGCCACGGCGGTAATCCCATTCTAGAAAAAATCATAAGTATAAAAGAAAATGAGATAGTGAATTCCACCGTGGACAGTTTTCATGTAATATTTTATTAATAAAAAGTCCCGGAGATCGCAAGAATGATCAATTAAAAAGCACACATAAACTTGTAGCAAAAAAGAGAGAATAAAGAAAGACAAAATTGCAAATAAGAGGTAGATTTAAAGAAATAGTCAAATACAAGAAAATGTTATATACAGTTCTTCAGTCAATATTGGCGGTGTTGGTGTCGGAGGCGTTGGCTTTGACGGCGAACTTGGCCAGAAGAGAAAATCAGGTGTTGGCTAGAAGCGATAAATTATGGAACGGGGTATCTGCTAGTGGTACAAACAGGACTCAAACATTATCAATCAGTCGTTGTATTGATAAAGAACAAGAGTTATTGCAGACGTACCGTTAAAAAGAAATTCACCTTGTTGAAAAACTTCAAAAGCTCCATTAATCGCTTTGCATACTTCCCAATGATTTGTGCATATTGTCATCTGAACAGCAATCAAAAACAATAAATTAAACGAAACCTACTTTTTCTAAAAGATGAACTTCGCTTCTCTTTATCCAACAAAAGAAGAATCTTCTTTAACCTCTTGTTTCAGTCGCTAGAATGTTCAAAAATAATTATGATATGTTTGGCCATTCAAACTTGGCGCGCTTACAAACTAAATCGAAAGCGTGGGCTGAACGCGGGGGAAAGAGGGCCTTTTCTAAAACGCGACCCGAGAACGGACTTTTTCGAAGCAAATCTTTATAGAAATAATGTCAAGGGATACAACCAGTGAAAGTCTTCTGCCAAAGAGTTTTGCCAGTAATATCCCGATGACGAATATTAATAGAGATTTTGCCAAGAAATAAGTACTTTAATTCCATATTTTTGATTTGACAGAGAAACTCACAGTACCCGAATTATTTTAAAAAGTTCGTTACTCATCATTCGTCTTCTGCCAAAAGATGAAAAATAAGTATCGAATGTCAAACAAGATGCATGCGACCTTCTGCCAAAGGAAGCAGCAACTTATATAGAGGGAGACAAGTTTGTCTGTCAAATCAAACATCGGGGTGGGAAGGGGCCTTTCGAACGAAAAAGATAATTTTTTGAGAAATCGCCAAAAAAGTGCTGGCCAAATCGTTAAAAATTCCCCCGTCCCACCCCTAGCTACCAGTATATACATGGTTCAAATTCAATAATATTCGAACGAAAAAGATATTTATTTGAAAAATCGGAAAAAAGTTGCAGGCCAAATCGTTAAAAATTCCCCCGTCCCACCCCTAGCTACCAGTATATACATGGTTCAAATTTTCGTTCAGGGGAAGAAGATAGGCACGCATCCGCGTGCCATAGTTACTAGAAACAGACAGGTATGCTGGAAAGTCGTCGTCGTGGAGAGAATGCACGCTCCGCGTGAACCTTGTTGGAAGATGAAGTTGTTTGAGAGTGAAGGGCACGCTCCGCGTGCCATAAAAACTAGGAAAAGACAGGTAGGTTAGGTTAGTTACCTTTTTGGAAGAAGGGCACGCTCCGCGTGCCATAAAAACTAGGAAAAGACAGGTATGTTAGGTTAGTTACCTTTTTGGAAGAACTGGCACGCTCCGCGTGAATCTTGTTGGAAGAATTGGCACGCTCCGCGTGAACCTTGTACGAAGAGATGCCACGCTCCGCGTGAATCTTGTTTGAAGAGAAAAAACGAAAATTTTTGAAATCTTTTCCGGTCGAAATCTTCTGGGCTCGAATTAAAATTACTCGAAGAGGTTCGAGTTAAAAGATTTCGACCGGAGAAGATTTCGAGGAAAAAGATTTCGACCAGAGAAGATTTCGAGTAAAAAGATTTCGATGGGAAAAGATTTCGAGTAAAAAGATTTCGAGTGGAGACAGTTTCGAGTCCAAAAGACAAGCCCAAAATTTTATATTTTTGAATATGAGTGGTATTAATCTTCTGCAGCTCACATAAAATTTCTTGACTATGAAAGACAATTACTCTTCCGAACTCGTCTGTGCTGTTTTTGCAGAGGTATTGCTTTCGAAACGCTAGGTTTTAATTGAGTTTTTATCAAGTAAATACATTTTTACTGTCGATTTGATGTCGTCGAACAGGCGAAAGACATGCGGGAATGCTGGGAATCGAGTCCGGTTGAGCAACCAACATTTGATTCTCTTGAAGGAAATTCTCAAAAGAGTTTCAAGCACCGTTTTGCTGAAAATTGAATAGTAACAGTACTATGTCTATAATTTCACCTTATGTCAGAGGAAGCTTGAATAGTTTGATTGAGAAAATCGCATTCAGATTCGACCCAAAACGGTTTTTCAGAAAGCGAACTTGACTTTGCAATTTCAAACCAAGGAAGAGATGCTCCTTTTTCTTCGCAAATTTCTTCCGCTTGAGAGGAATGATTTTCGTATAAAAGAGATCTCATTACATTTTCAAGATTTTGAATGTGAAATTGATATTTAATGCTGTCCGTTCCTTCACTATACGTCATGAAGAAATTAACTACCTCGAAACCTTTGAACCTAGGCTCGACAATATGGCTTGATTCAGGGCCTAAAGAACAAGAATGAAGGTCGTTTATGCTTGTATATAAAGTAAGGGCAAATTAAGGGGGAGGTGTCTGGAACCGTCAATTTCGACAAATTTTTCGTGGAAATTTTCAACCAATCAGAAGCCTGAAATCGGCATACCGGCGAATGAGCTGCCGAGTAGCCGCCCACGCAAAATTTGACGTAATTTTTTTGTCGAGTCCAGACATCATCCCAAATTAAGGAGCCTAATAGGCCCTAACTCCGATATTAAAAACATCTTGTCGAGCCCAGCTTTAAAGACCTTGCCACCCGAACCTGCCGCGAGAACTGTTATGTTATGAATATCGTCTCCGGTCACTTTTCGCCTTGGCTAGGAAACCTGTGTAGAAAGCTGAGTCAGGGTCTTCAAGTTCTTTTAGACTCTGGCTCGGGCTTTCTACACAGGTTGCCGAGCCAAGCTTTACGCTTAATCTTGGAGGATGGAAAAGGCTTTGGACCACTTTGAAGGAATTGGTAAGTCGACTCGTCCAGATCCTCTGCTGTTATTTGGCTCATTAAATCTATGAACGTTTGTTTCGTTAAAAACGAATAATTTTCAACTTACCAGAAGAGTGATATTCAGAGATCACATTCAACACCGGCTTGGTAAGCACCAACCTTCGATTCTACTTAGAAGATATTTCTTAAAAGAACTTACAGTGTCAGCGCGAAATAAAACAGAACAAGAACCCATTTTTTACGAAGAAAAATCTCTCTTAAAATTGTTTCTTCCATTTTCTGAAGAAGTTCTTTTGGAACGGCTTCGAAAATAGCTTTTTTAAATAGGAATTTATAACGTTTTATTGAACAAGATTTTACTAGCGTCATTATTTTATTGCATTTATTACAATATTGTTCATCAAAGCTGAATACTTGACTAGCTGAGAGGTTCAGCATAGAACTTTCTTTGATCTTTTATGGATCAGAACAGAGTTGCAAATTTGCTGAGCTGAGTGAGCTGAGCTGACTGAGTGAGCTGAGCAGTCGCTCAGCTCAGCTCACTGATTTTCGTAAATGAATTTATCTGCTCAGCTCAGCTCAGCTCAGACAATAATCACTCAGCTCAGCTCAGCTCAGCTCAATTATTCTCGAACATGATCTGTTCTGCTCAGCTCAGCTCAGACAAGTATCATGCAGCTCAGCTCAGCTCAATGATTTTAACACAATTTCACTACTAAAAAACAGTAAAAAATAGATCAAATCAGCTCACTCAGCTCAGCTCAGCTCTAATTAGGGTCTGTTCAGCTCAGCTCAGCTCAACTTCCTTTAAAATAGGTCTGCTCAGCTCAGCTCAGCTCAATCACCTCTGAAAATGGCCAGCTCAGCTCAGCTCATCTCAGTGAGCTCCGAAATAGGCCGGCTCAGCTCAGAGAATTTCTCACTCAGCTCAGCTCAGCTCAACTCAGCGAAAATGAAGCCAAATTTGCAACTCTGGATCAGAAACTGCTGTTTTTAGTGGACTCTTTTTTTTCATGCCCATAAATAAAATTAAAGTGAATAATAAGTTCATTTTCTTCCACGAATCTTTTCAAAGGATTTTTGTATTCTGTTCAATGTCAGATCTTATTCCTGAGGGCATGCCTCCTTACTTTCCATTTCTTTTTCCGTTGATTCATCGGAACTTTTATTGAAAAAAGATTTCCGCGAAAAACAAAAAGCTTTAATGACTCTCAGCGTTTGAAAAAAAGTAATCTTTTGTGTTATTTTTTTTCTGAGCCGGAGGCTGTTTTTGCTTAGATCGTGAGCGCTGAGCTGCAAAATTTGGGAGAAAAAATAGAGAGGATGAAAAATGAAGAAGGAATACAGTGGTTTTGATCAAATTTATACAAGACTTCCAGAGATATCGCGGTATCAGCTGAAGATCTTTTTCTTTGCTTCTTTTTCTATCATCTTTTCCGGTAAAGTAGAAAATTCATTTCCCAGTAACTCGAAAAATATTCAGGCTGCGTTCAAAATGCTTCAGTTTTACTCAACGCAAAACCTCAAAACTACCGCTGCCGCCCTTCAAACCCAGCTTTTTCATCCCTTTCGTTCAAAGAAATAGAAAAAGTGACCCCTTCAAATCCATGCCGAGCATATTCAGCACCGAATTCTAGCGAGAATCTTCCTCAAAAATGCGAAATCTGCACGAGTGGCTTTGTCTTCTCCCCCGAAAATCCATTCACACAAACTGCCGTCACCGAGTTCAACTGGCTCTGCGAAGAAAACTCGTAGATCAAGTCCTCAGAACTTTCCATTTCAATCTTTATGCTTGGTCTGCTTTTCGGCGCCATCGTCTTTGGCAAGATTTCTGACCGGATCGGACGAAAACGAGGGCTTTTTCTTGCATTTACGCTTGGATTGGCGACGAATTTTCTGCTGGTCTTTGTGAAAGGACCAGTTGGTTTCACGATTCTTCGATTTTTCGCGGGGGCTTTTGCTCATGCCTGCGTAGTGGTTAGTTATGTTTATGTGATTGAACAGATTGGGCCTTCTTGGAGAACATTTATTGGCTCTCAACATCTTCAGGCATGGCTTAGATCTTATATGAGTCGCTCAATTAAGGGTGTCAACAACGATTGAGTGAGGTCAAAACTTTTTCGAAATCGTTGTTGACACCCTTAAAGATCCTTTTCGAGCCTTTCACCCAGTTTTTCGAGCTTGGAATTGTGGTTCTCTCGATAATCGGCTACTACAACCGGGATTGGCACGATGTTCAAATCGCCTTTCTCTGGGTTGGAATCCCCTTTATTCCAATGTATTTTGCTCTCCCTCGCTCGACAAGATGGCTTTATTCAAAAGGAATGGTCAAAGAAGCAAGAGAAAACTTGGCAGCTTTGTCAGCAAAAACAAACGGATCGATAGACACGAATTTTCTCGATAAATTTGAAGAAAAATTCCTCGCTCCGGAAAGCTCTGTTGCTTGTGAATCTTATGGCGTCGTGGATTTGTTTAAAAACTCGAAGTTGCGAAAATTGACGTTGATCATGTGCTTCAACTGGTTCGTCACATCGATGGTCTATTACGGGCTCGGGCTAAACGCGGGAAGTCTCTCTGGTGATATCTTCATGAACAACGCTCTTTGTGGAATATTCGACGCTTTTGCAAAACTTGTCGCTCCGCTCTTTCTCCGCTCGAAACTCGGTCGTCGAGGTTCTCTTTGCTTTTTGTTCGTCGTTGGGGGACTCAGCTGCGTTGGCTCGATGATGGTCAAATTGAACTCGGGCTGCTACTCTGGAGAAAAGATAATGGAAAACGACTGCGAGATTGGAGGGAAAATAGAATGCGATAGCTGGACGGAAGAAATTTCAAAGTGGCTGGCTCTTGGGGGCAAATTCTGCTCCTCCGCGACTTTTACGATTGTTTATGTGTATACTGCAGAGCTTTATCCAACTTGCATCAGGTACAAATACCCTTATTTTCGCTCGCAACACTGATTCTAGAGCCACAGCGCTTGGAATATCTTCTGCTGGCGGAAGAATCGGCGGTGCTGTTTCTCCCCTAATTTTCGGCCTCGACGAGAGCGTTCCTGGCTTTTCCTTCACATTCTTCGGTCTTGCTGGCCTCCTCGCTGGATATCTGACTCTCAGACTTCCTGAAACACAGAACCGGCCGATGATGCAGTCAATGGCTGACTTTAACGACCTAGAATTTTCCAAAAGAAACACTGTTTTTCGAGACAAAGATGCGAAGCGACCTTTGCTCGACAATTCAACCCTGTAAAAATGATTTGAATATATTTATCAGTTTGAATTTCGTTTTGAACAGATTCTTTTAAAATTGAACGATGCAAGTAAGGGTATCACTCCGACAATCAGCGTTATTAACCCGCCGACGTAAAAGACCAGATTGTAGCTAAAAGGCGCGAAAATGAATTTGATTGAAAATAATCTCTTACCTTTTTGAGAAATCATAAATCATTCCTCCAACAAGGGGGCCTAGAAAAAGCGCAATTCCTTCCCAAAAAGTCAGCAAGCTCATGGCAGGAGCGAGCATTTCTGGAGGCACCAGGTCAGCAAATGTACAGGGAGTTAGGGAAAAGGGGCCGATAGAAATCCCCATCAAAGCACCGTAGATAAGGGAAGTCGAAGCTTAAAAACAGGGTTGTCAGGACTTAACATAATCTTTTCCTGCCTACCATTTGTTGAAAAATTGATGCAGAGTCCCATGATTCCTGACATGACATGTGACCAAGCCATCATGCCATAAGTACTGATGATTTTTCGATCGCACAAGATGCCGCAAACGATTTTCGAGACCGTATTTCCTCAACGAGTAAAAAAATCATCAAAAATACAATCTTACCAATAGCAATCAAACTCATACAAGAAAGTGCCTCGTAGACTTCAAGATTTATTCCATTGATCAATCTGTCGATGAAATACTGGAAGATGATCATGTAGCTGAAAAATCCAACAACGTCGCAGATGAACATGGCAGTGAAGCGGCGATTCTTGAACTGAGCGAAAATGGTCTCTTCTGAATTTGGACCAGGAGTAGTGCTTTTTGACTTGCGGGGAAGAAGACGCGACTCGGTGAAGAGGATCATTGAGTCAGCTACTGTCAGGCGGGAGGTCGTTATGTCAGGATCAAGCTGAGGGAGATATGGATGATAAGTTGATTTATGGACCAACCTTATCTCTGATGATTCTAGCGGATCGTTGACTAATCAAGTTGCTTTCTGTTATATTGTCGCTTATTTGCAAATAACTCCCGTATGGATTTCCATGAATGCTGAATAAATTTGAGAAATTAAGCCCAAGATTGTCAACTTGTAATTCAGTAAGCACTTACCTTTGCGAAGATTCGGCAATATGAAAACCAATTTTTGTTATTGTCTCTTTTGAAGGTGGTTCATCCATCTTCTCCGTGATTTCCGAAAGAATCCTTTCTGTCGCGTCCGATTCCGGTAAAATGCAGGGAAGAGCGAAAAGAGTGACGTGAAAAACGATTCCAGCATAAATCAGCATCGCTCCATTCCATGAAAAATTATTGATAAGGCCGTTGATAAGAAAAGGCAGCGGGAGACCAGCTATCGTATTTCCTCCGGTAATGAGAGCTAGCGCGATGTTTCTGTACTTGTCAAAGTATCGTCCAGCGATAAGAATGTGAGGCAAATAACTTTTTATCCGAGGGTCGATTATCGAGAAAACGAAGCTGGGTAAATATTGAACACCGGAATGTAATTCACAAAATTCTCATGTAAAACTATCGCCCCCTCGTCCCTTAATCCAATCCCAAGCCCAGCAATACAGCCATACGAAATGTACAAGTGCCAAATCTTCGTCGCGCAAAAGGAAAGACCCGTTCCCAGCATCATCAAAAATCCACCAAGCATTAGGGTTAATCGGTAGCCAAGTCTTGAAATAAGCTTTTCGCAGAAAAACGAGCCAATCATCATCCAGTTGACAATCACGAGACTTTGAATCAAGTTCAGCTGGAAGTCAGAACAAGGGGATGATCCGCAAAGGGGACTGACTCGCCAGGATCCAAGCTTTTCGAAGGGATACCCTTATTTTAGCAGCAGAAAGCCTTTAAGGGGGTAGATATCAAGAATCGCCATTTTCCGTCAGACTTTTCTCCCAAAGTTAAATTAGTAACACCCTTATTTTACTTTGGAAACAAAAAAAATTAGACCATTATTTATTTTCAGATTTGCCTTTTAGCACCTCGAAAGCTCAAGAAATCTTAATTAAGGGCTTCCAAAGGAAAAAGATAATTGCCTAAAATAAATTTTGAGCAGAAAAAATAAGGAGGTCACTTAGTTGAAAATTGGAGAAAAAACTGTTAGAAAGTCGATTTTTGATATCTATCCCCTTAAGTTCAGTATCCCTTGGCATGATCCCGCAAAAAGTAAACGCATTTCCAACACATAAAAAGTTTATTATAAAACAAACGACACTTTTCTCGAGTCATAAAAGCAGACATTTTTCAGAATACAAAGCTGATTTTTTATGACCCGTTTCAGATTATCAAAGAATATTTTCCATCGATTTCTCGTTTCATCTACAATATTCTCTTCTCTCTCAGTTTTTTGGAAAGTTTTATTTTCAGAAGCGGAAGATCAATAAAAAAATAATACGTTTGCCAAGCACGTCTTTTTTGTCTAGTTCAAACTGGTTGAAAGAAAGTTGTGTCCCTTGTGTCTTGAGCTCAAGAAAATTGCTCGAAAATGTGGGCGAGACCCAGAGCAACTAAGCCTTGTCTACATACACATGTAGATAAAGTAAGAATTTCGCGATTCTGAGGACATTATTACGTGGTTTCTCATTCTTCGAAATAGAAATAGGAGGCGTAAATTATTCAATCTGTGATAAGTATTTCAAAAGGCGTGGGAGCTCGTTGAGCTAAAATGACCTTTGTCTCAAAGTTCAGACGAAGATAGTTTCCCCAAATCTTGGTTTTAAATGGGTTCATAAAAGAAGCTGACTTTCCTTGATTTCGAAATTGAGTCATAAGAGACTCTTGCAATTAATATTTGCTTTTCATTGGCAGAGAAATAACAAGATAAATATCCTCCGGCCTATTTTTCTTCTTTTAATAACAGATAGTGCGAGAGAAGACGATGGGAAATCAGTACACGACGATTAAAAATGAGACGACAGCTGATTTTTATGTAATGAGGTGACTTCTTTCTGAAGAAGATTTGTAAGTTGGGAAATACTTTAGCTTTAACGATGCAGATCTCGTTTATTCGCAATATTATTTGTTCAAAAGATGCCCAGCTGGACAAACGATTGATATAGGAACTTCGGATAAAAACTCGAAAAAAATTTCTCTTTTCGCTATTTTCAAGTACTTCTTGTTTATAACCGTGACAAGAATGCCTCGCTGGGGATGCGATAAAAATTGGGATTGCTTTTTACATCGACGATAGGAATTTAATCACGTTAGAACATCTGAATGATCCCTTGTATAATATATCCGATGAATGTACTTGTAAAAATGATTTTTACTCGTGAGTCACTGTAATTAGCACTTTTTCTACCTTGATTTCACTATTCTATATTCTTTTTTGATGCTAAAATAAGCTTCAAGAGGATTCAACAAAGGTGACTACGATTTATGGCGAGTTCGGAACCATGAAGAAGTCGTCATCAGTTACATAGGTCGGGAACCATCTTCTTGTCAGAAAAAATGCCTTGAATTCAGGAGACAAGAAGGGCGCTGGAGTTAGGGAAACAAAGAATGCAGTGACTTATTTGACCAGATACACCTATCGATTTGACCCTGTCGATTCTAAAGCCGTGGCTGGAACCATGGACGGAATACGAAGATGGGCAGCTGCTCACCCAAATGATCCTGTCAATAAATAAGCAAAAAATAAAAATGATATTTGTATTGTCTTTTTACAGAAAATATAAATAAAGAATGAATAGTGAAACTAAAAGGAAGGAACTCAAAGCTTGGTCAAATGATCAAGCATCATCGAAAAATGAATAGATCTTCGTTTCATTCCAAAATCGGGCGTCTCTGGAAGTTTTTTCTCGTCTTCGAATTTTTCAAAAGTGCTTGATCCGCAGCTGAAAATAGAAATCATCTTGTTCATCAATTTTTCGTTTAGGCTTTCGTTGAGCATTTTTAAGTTTTTTTCTAAACTGTTTTGTGCTTTTTATGAAATTTGAATTGTTCTCGAGGTTTATAAAAGGGCTCGGAGCGGCGCTAGAGTGGTCGTCCTTCGCGATTTTGATCGGACAGGTGCGCTAGAATCTGACCGGGTCTAGAAAAGAGTCACTAGTTCAGATCAGATGGCCACCTTGCTCGGCAATTTGAAAGGATACCCAGAACTATCAGGTTGATCGGTAGGAGATCTTGGCGATAGAAGTTCCAAGGCTGACAAGAATCATTCATGGACTTTTTTCATGCAAATATAATGAAAAACTAAGACCATAAGAAGATATCGAGGACGAAAAATTGGTAATTTCTTAAAAAAAGAAATTTGAATTTTCAAGCCTATCCAAATTTAATGTTACTTATTTCTCGCTCCTGAGCTCTATCTATTTGTGTATCTTCTTCTAGTATTTTTACCAAAAAAAGAAAAACTCATGAGCCAAAAATTTTCAAAGAACAAGAAAAAAGACAACTTAAAATTTCCGCTTGTCGCTCGAGCGTCTTTCGCGAACACGAAAATTGCTTCCGATTTGGGTTTTATTGGGCTCAAGCCGCCTTTCGTTCGTGAAATTGCCGTATTTATTCACGCACTACTTCGCCGGCAATTTGTGGAGAGGGATGTTTGGAGGGAAATTTTGAGGATGTCCGAGTTTTAAATCGGTCAAAATTTGATCGATTTGTTGAATCGTCAGTCTGATTGCTTGAAATAAAGAAAAAGATCTTCCCTTGGAATTTTTGGGAGACAACAAAGAAAAACTTTTAAAATCCGAAATTTACAGTCGGTAACGGTGCGAATAAAAACAAAAAAGGGTCAATGTCAGTTTTAATTGAGCAAAATCATTAACAAGAAAAGAATGAATGACAAAAACCCATTTTCTTTCACGACATCTTTAGCTCGATTTGTCGCTATAGATTTCTCAAGTTCGGTTCCAAGTATTCTTTCTCGCTCAACCAACTTAATATTGAATTGTGTCCATATCTCTATATCATCGTCCATACCATTTCGAGGTTATCAATTTTTATCAAAACAGGATCATCAAAAGGTTGGATTAAGAATTTTTGAGACAAAGTTCTATCTTGCTCGCTGAGACTTCTGGTCGATAGTCCAATAAACGTCTGGTAATAATCATCAGAATCTAGTTTGCCATAGTCAATTGATTTTCCTTGGCAGCTGTTGCAAAAAATAACTTGAGAAATAAATTTCTATCAGTTTCAAACTCTTGAAAATACCTTCGCAAGAAATCTCCATCAGATTCTTTGAATTTACCGCTAAAACAGGCGCGATTGTTATTGTCATCGATCGACTGTCTTATTTTGCGTTCAATAGTCTTCAGAACTCAAATTAAAATTAATTTTTATAAAACAGAAAAAAGCTCTGTTGAGCAATTTCCTATATCAAAGCCAAGTTGATCCCAGTTTTCTTCAAGACACCCTTTTGTAACGAAAGGAGCTCCGTTTGACTGACAATTGTCTATTCGATATTGCCTGAAAACCATTAGTTTAGTTAATTTTTCATAGCATCAAATTTTACATAAGATTCTCAAAGACATTCGAAAAATCTAATTTCATTGTTTTTCCAGGAGGAAACACAGCGTTCGGATTGAATTGCGCTCCATCAACAGTCATGTCGGGCATGTTCGCTTTGTCGACTTTACCCGCTGGTGACTCCACTGTATCCTCGAACTCAGACACATCCATTCCTTCCAATGAAACGCCGATTGCATCCACTTCTCTAGATCGATCGCCCTTACATTCGACAGCATAAGCAATCTGGACTTGTTCTAAGTCATATTGAGCGACCAAATCGTCCGCAACGCGTTTTTCATAAGTGACGGTGTAAATTATTTCATCGTACTCATCAGAGTTCGGGCCATTCTCGGCTTAAGATTGGCCAACTGTGATTTCGAGGCACTCTGAATCCGTGAAATCGAAGGCGGCAATTCCATTTTCGTCGAGTTTGCAGCTCTCACTTTTCAGAAATCATCAAAAGAAAAAAAAATAAAAATTCTTTGAAAATTTTTTTATAAAAAAAATATCATTTTTGACGACCCCTTCCTAGTAGGATCGTATTTATTCACAAAATCTCCAATGCCCTGAACAATCGGGTGCTTCGCTTGTAAACAATTAAGGTCCGCATCGATCTGTATGTCGCGTTCATCCCTATTTTTCGTCTTATCGCAAGAAATAGAAAAACACTGATCCATCATTATTTCTCTCCGAAGTACTTTATATTTTTCATTTTATCTTTGTCGCAATAAAAACTCATCATAAAGAGCGCGTCATTTTTTTTTCTTTTATCACTTATTTCCAATCAAAAAAAATCATCTTTTTCGCATTGAAAGAATTGATTTCTGATCCTTTTGGAAGAAATTTTCGCGGTAAAAGCTTTTTGTAAAACCCTGAAATGATAAGAAAACAGCGAGATAGTGGTCCTTAGTAATGGCCCCGCCCTGGCGGTGCGGTGCACCAATTTGGCTTTCTGATAAGCCCTTATCTGCTGTAAGTGGAGGCTTTCCATGCCGTTGTAGCTGACTTTTTTGAAGGTTGTCTTCGTTAATTGGCTGCAAGACTGCATGTTTTTGATTGCATTATTTCCCAATTTTCTGTTTATTCGAGTCTGTTCGCTAGAATTCTGGATTCAGGAAAAGCCGCCCTTCAACCTAAAAATAAGCACCCTTCAAGATAAACAAGCTCAAACCGCAAGCCCTTATTATCAGCCCGGGGGTGGACTTAAATTCAGTGTACTGAAAAGAGAGTCCCGTGACATTCTCGAACGCGATTCTTGAAAATTCTTACAGCTTGTTATTCATGCAGGACGTAGTCTAGTAGATCTTCAGCGCTGCGCTAGAATTTGCCTTGTGGTACTAGACTCTCGGGTGATAACACCGGTCAAAACGGGGATTCGGAAGATTTATCGTAGTGACACCCTTATTTTTCGTTTTTTCTCATTCTCGATGAATTTAATCTTCGTTTTTTGATTTTTTTTTATCATAAATTTGCGGATTTTGAGCTGTTTTACAGAAATTTTCTTGAAAAAATATCGAAAAAATTAAGAAAATTTGCCAAAAATTCGATTTTCTGCCGGTTCAAATATTATTTCGAGTAATTTTTGCGACCAAAGATCAAGTTAAACCATAACTACCCCCTTAAATAATTATGTTCGTATGATAAAACTCAAAGGGAAATTTGGAATACTCTAGAATGAGGCTGCGGACAAGGCCGCTTATCAGTCTTCCTGATAAGGCTTAATTCCAAGCACGGCAACTTGTGCGTTCGCCACCCAAAATAGAGCCGCCGTCTGAGTTGATATGTGTTTTTATCAAAAGTGACAATGGTCGACAACGCCATTTCCAAAGCATTTGGAGGACGCAGATGCGCGATGCAAGATTTCGCCCGAGAAAAGCATCTAATTCATCTTATCGAAACATGGGAAATGTCATGTCGCGCGGTCCATAAATCAGAATCGGCGCTAGAATATTCGGCGTGGGATCAAAAGATGCTAAAAGGATTGACCGAGGGATCAATTTTTGAAGCGGATAATAAGGGTGGGTCTTCTTGAAACATAGAATTACAAGATTTCTTTCTTAAAAATTTTTTAAGATCATTCTTTTTGACAATAAAATAAGGGATTCAAGAAGATATTCGTGAATTAGAAAAATTATTTTTAATAAAAATCAACCTTTTTTTTCCTTCAAAATCGTTTATTTTTCCGTAAATTTCAAACAAGATGATAATTTATCGATTCGTTTTAATCCGGGTGACCCTTAATTATCGTTTAAAAAAGTCAGTTGGGTACAAAACGTCAAATCAGAAATACTTCGGGCTCGTAGCTGCTTATCAGCCGAGCCCCGTTATCATGTGCGGGCCAAAAGGAGCGCCACCACCACCGCCACGGCTTTCGCCTATACTCTGAATTCTGATCACTTAGAACTTCATCGCCGAGAGAGGTACATCCATTTTTACGAAAAAATTAAAAATATTTTGTAATAAAATATGAATAAGAGAAATATCAAAATCACTCATCAGGGGTTTTCGAGGAGGAGAAAAAAAAGCTTTGATTAATAAAATAACTAATTCTAGATTTTTAACGAAAAAAAAATATATTTAATCACACCAATAATAAATCATTAAAACTCGGATAACTTGAAAATATTTCGTTTCTATGAAAAAAAAAATATTTTTCTTTCAATAAAAAATTTGAAATTTTAAAAATTTCAGACCTAAATAGCGATTTTCACCTTCGAGGGCAAAATCTGATTTTCCTTTTAGACAAAGTCAACTCTTGACGATGATAGTCTTAAGCAGTTTACTGCTGGGGCTCTCCCGGGCGGCTTATCTACCGCTGTCCAACGTGCAGTACCCAGTCTACCACCCTAACGATCGCGTAGAGATCTACGGGCCCGAACTCAAGCAACTTGCCGATTCTGACAGGTAAAAATTGCTTTACAAAATGTTACGTGACACTCGTCGAATCTTCGATTTCTCCTTAGAGAACTTTTTTCTCAGTAAATTTTCTAGATGGGCAATTGAAGCTGTAAACCGCGATGATGAGCTGAACACCGTCCAGCTTCTTTGCGAACTGGTTCAAGAGAAAAACTTCCGTCTCTGGCCATCTCAGGTCGAAAATGAAGAACCTCTTCCTCTGACCAAGCCTGGCGCTTGGTACCTTAGCTGTACTTTTGGCATTCCATCCGACCTTGAAAACGACGGCGAGTACTTCATTCGCGGAGCATTCTTTGAAGACGACGCAAGATATGTCGATTACGATACGATTACGTTTTCGATCGACACTGATCGTCAGCCGCGAAAGCATCGATTCGTCACCGACATGTTCACCGATGTCGACATCGCCCGAGAGCGGCCACGAACGAGCGCTCTTGTCCGAGGAGCACCAAAAATTTCCGGCCTCGCTCCTTCCAACGGATCGCCACTTGGTCAAATCTACTTGACCATCTATGGTGACAACCTGAAATCCCAGCAGATCGATCTCGGCGGCACCTCCGACAACGAGGAAACCGGTGAGGGTGAAAACTACAAGATCTGGGGTGAGCGAGAAGGAGACCGAGTCGACTGTCACTTGGACCGTATGTTGACCCTTCACGGTCGACCACTCAACGGCGCTCAATTTGTTGTCTGTCTCTTCCCCGCCGTTCCTTTCGTCGGAAGATGGTACATCAAAATGACCATCGATGACGGTGACGTTCTCAACGCTGGTCACATGAACATCGAAGAGGGATACGCTCCAAAAGTCTACCATTTCTACCCATCTGCTTCTGCTCCAGCTCGACCACGAGGAAGCTGGGACTACGACGGTGCCTTCTGGACCAGCTGGTACAACATTGACAACCCATCAGATGGTGTTGAAGAGGAGTCATTCACCGAAATCTACTCTCGAAACCGAGCTGACTTCCAGCACTGCACATCGCCAGTCAAGATCCAGGCCTGGAACACCGAACTTGACGAAGAGTTCCTTACTACCGCTAATGTCAATGCTGACGGCCGATGCGACACTGCTTTCTTCTCTCCATTCGAAGGTGTTCGATGTGAAGACGCTCTCCAGTCTATCGAAACAATCAAATGCCCAGACATCAAAGTTCGATTCTACTGCATTCCTGGTATCACAGAAATCTGGGGTCGACAGTTTACCGACGTCGTTGCAAGACTTGACGACGAGGACTTCCACGCTAACCGTCTTCACGAACAGCCCAAGGTTGTTGATGACAACGATGGATTCAAATCCGAGCTCAAGATCTTCCTCAACGATGGACAAAACTGCGGAACTCATGAAAACTGCGGTATCTCTCATGAGATGCAGGTTTCGATTAAGAATGGAAACGACGGTATCATCCAAATGCTGCCAAAAGCTCCTATTCCAGGTGCTTACAACTTCACCTATCAGACTCATCACCAGGGTCGAGCATATGTTCACGGCCGATACCAGAATTGGTTCGGAAATGAAGATCTTCTCCCAACTTCCTTCGAAATCTACCCTCAAATCAACTCAGTTTCTCCTCAAATCGGTTCCGTCAATGGTGGAGCTATTCTTACAGTCACTGGTACTGGTTTTACCAGTGACGGAAAAGGCGGCACTGTAAGTATTCAAGTCGGAGGTGTCGATTGCGAAGTCCTTACGATGACCGAAACTGAGATCACTTGCCGAGTCGCTGCTGGTGAAGAAGCTGAAGGATCATGGTACGAGAACAGACAATTCGTCCCACTTGATGGATTCGAGTACGCTCATTTCAAATACTTTTCACGAGCAACAGGAAGTGCTCAAAAGTGCGAAGATCTCTGCCGACGTGACGCCAAGTGCATGGCGTGGGTTTGGGAAACAAAAGACGATTGCGATCATTACGATTACGTCGGCGAAGATAGAGTTGGAGCTGACAAAGAATTCGCGACAACTGCTGATTGGATCGCTGCACACTGGGCTCCAGAAACCGACGCTTTTGGTGGCTACTTCAATGCTGACAACCATGTTGAGGAACTCGATTGCTTCTCTGGGCGTGGTCATTTCTACAATGGAACTGCTGTTACCGGACAATGGGATGGAGTCTGCGCCGAAGGCTCTTTCTGTCGAAATCCAACTCCACAGTACAACGCGATGCCGTATTGTCAAACTCCAGAAGGCCACTGGAGAAACTGTCAAATTCGACGATGCGATCAAAAGACAGGCCCTTTCCTTGGAAATCGAGGGTTCGACGTTAAAGTTTTGCGAGGTCACACAGGCGATTATCAGCTGGAATGGGAAAGAACAACAGCTGAATATGAGCTAGCGGATCATCTTGCTCATAGAGATTTGGACGGTCTCCTGATGCAAGGAAAATTCTCAAACTCGAAGAAACACCTTTATGGAGAGTACTCACCAAATCAGGAACATTGGAGCATCCGAGGAGAAACAAATTTTGTTGCTCCTCTTGATGGTGTCTATAAATTCATTTTCGCCGTTGATGACGACCTAACAGCTTCGACTGTGAAAGATCAATCGAACGGAGAGTGGGAACGAATCGGCCATGTCTACGCTGTTTGCGGCGAGAATGATAAGCAGTGCAGAAATACTCCTGATGCGCATTCTCCGTTCTACACACTCTCAAAGGGAGAAGCTTTCCCTATTTCTGTTTCTGCGGCAAATGGTGGTGGACCTGGTTACGCCTATGTCGGAGTCCAGTACCTCGGAAAAGATGGTACGGGAACCTGGCATGATCTCAAACGAGATAGAGATGAGAAGCTCTACGAAGCTGCTTACATTGACGCCCGACAAGATATCTACTTCGAGCAAGATCGAAACCGTGATGCACAGTGGATCAACGTTGCCTGGGATGTTGACTTTAAGGACAATGGCGTTGGTCTTGGTGATGGCGAGTCCTTCGACGATGATGTCAGCCCACGATTCCAAATGGAAATTTGTGGAGATGACTATTGTGTCGAAACTGGCACCCTTGCTGGCTACGATAAAGACAACACAGGAACATTCGAAGATACCGTTCGAGATATTATGGAACCATACTTCTCGGCTGAGTGCACGAAAACCGGATCCATGAACCCGATTCATTTCCAGAACGATTATGAAGAGAACAACTACTGGCCTGACCAGTGGCATCGAACAAGATCTGTCGGTGCTTGGTGCGGAAAGAGAGTTCTTCGAACTCATCATTGGGACATTTTCAACCATCATGCTCAGAAGAATGGAAATAAACAGGTTGGTCCAGCTAATGGATTCGAAACAGGAGACTTTTGCTTTGCTCATCGAGGAGATATCGATAAAATCTTGCTCTACGTTCGCTACTCCTATGTTAGAACTGATGGAAGCACTGGACACTGGCAGAACTGGGCGTATGTTCCAATCGCTGGCCATACAAACAATGAAGAATCTTGGCAGTGGGGATGCTGGAACGCTCTTGACCTCATCGACAGCCATATCGCTTACAAAGGATACGATCACACTCGAACAGAAGATCAGTTCTTAATCTACCACATTCAACTTCGAAATGATGAGGTCATGCCTATTTTCGTCGATGAATTCGTTCTCGGAAAGATGCGCGAACCATATGAGATGCAGGTTACCCGACCTCAATTCAAACAGGGCGGAACTGCAATTTGGAAGATCCATGTTGACAAATATTCAAGAAATGGAGGATCTGCTTATCGATTCACTTGGAACGATTATCATGATTATCCAGTGAATGGATATATTTCTCCACTCATTAAGATCAAGGCACCAAGTGATGTTACTCTTGCTGCTGATTCCGATGCTGCTACAGACTCGACAGGAGCTGATTGGACTAGCATGTCTCCTGTTCCAGTTAATGTGTGGGATGCTAACATCGCCGTTCAGGACGAAAATGATTACGGTTTCCAGGAAGATATCACCCGAGAATACCTTTACGGTCGATTCAACTACAAAAACTCTAACAACGTTCGACACATTCTTCACGTCCACGTCTTCCGAAAATCATACATCAATGAAGACCCCCGAGGAGAAATGACAATCACCTACGGAGACAGTCCTACCGAGCTAACTCTACCTTTTGGTTCCCACATCTCACAGTACACTATTCAAGATGCTCTCCACGAGACGTGGCCTGAACTTCAAGATGACGGACTCAAAGTTCGCGTTTCGAGATACGGCTCTGCTCAATGGGGTCCAAGATTCAGAATTCAGGCTTACGAGCATGGTCAGATGAAAATGTTCGCTCTGAAGAGCTTCACTCTCAACACAAACGGCCGTCATCAAAATTTCCGAAGTGGAACTGAAGAACGAACACGAGCTGGTATTTACTCTCCGATTCTCCCTGGATCTTTGACCGCCACATCTCACGATCAGCCTCAAGTTGTCGTGATTGCCAATGGTCAGCGATCAGCTTGCGACAATTGCGATTTCCGATACTCGAACGCTCACACTGTGTCCGTCACAAGTGTGAGTGTTGCTGATGGCGACGCTGTTTCCCTTGGCGACTCAATCACGGTCAACTTCAACAAGAACTCTTACTCTGGAACACTCAAGAACGCCAACATTCATATCGATGGTGTTGCATCTACAGATTGTTCAAATACCGCGTCATCTGTGACCTGCACTGTTGGGCAAGTTCCAGTCGGCTCTTGGGAGGTCGTTCTTCACATTCCAGAGAATGGTGACGCCCCATCAGGCGTTTTCGTCTCTGTCTCGAGCTCAGTCACTTCGTCTACTCCAACAACTGGTTCCAATAATGGTGGTCAAATCGTCACTGCTTCTGGTACTGGCTTCAGAGCTGGCCAAGTTGTTCAGGTCAGCATGAACGGCGAAGTCGTCGACTGCGACTCAACTGGATTCGAGGTCACTTACGACACCCTCGTTTGCCGAACAGCTGCTCATACCGACTGTCTTCCAGGCTGTGCTGGTCCAACTCCCATTCTTTCTTCTGTCTCGCAGTCTGAGCTTACTGTGATCGGTGGCGAGACAATCACTCTCACTGGCAATGGCTTCTCCTCCAGCTGTGACGACGATACTAGCTCCGTCATGATTGGAGATAATACTGCCACCGTCCTCAGCTGGTCTGATACTGAAATCGTCGCTCGGACTTCTGCAATGAGCGCCGCTGCTGTTGCTGATATCAAGGTGGATGTTTGCGGCGTTGGTTACTCAGACTCTGTTTCTGGTTCAACACAGCTTCAGATCCGAGGAATTGGCGGAGCCTTCTCTTCACTTATTGGAGGCCGATTGATTACTATCAACGGTGATGGTTTCGCCCACAGCGAGAGCTCTACTGATGATGTAACCGTCATGGTCGGAGAAGATTCTTGCGACGTCAAATCCGCCGATTACAATCAGATCGTCTGCCAGACTGCTGGAGTCAGCACCCGCCATCGACTTATTGTTGGTGCCGGCGGAATCATGGATGCCGCTGGTAGCATGTCCGGTGTCACAACCATCGAAGTCGGAGACGAGATCGAATGGTGGTGGAATATCCAAATCGGAGGAACTGTTCCGAAATTCGAGTTTGAGAGAACAAGCGAAGCTGGATCCGTAAGCACTGGAGGTGCCAAGTGGTCACCACCAATTTACGGTGATCAGAATTCGTTTATCCACCAATTTGTCGCCGAAGGAACTTATCACTACTCAACTGGCTACATTGACGGCGCTACAATCTTCCAGTCTGGAACAATTATCGTTGTTGGTGCCACCGATAAGGCCGCCCGAGTCAGTGTTACAATCGGTGATAACGAAGCTGCCCACGTTGCTGCTAGAAAGAGAAAGAATCAACCTGCCGGAAATTGCAACTCTGTCGCCGGAGTTACTTCTGCCGAGGCCTCTGTCGACGCTGATCACTACGTTTTCTACTCACTCATTGCCACACCACGAATCGTTGACTTCACAATCAATGCTCAGGCTCCATTTGAGCATTCTAGCACTCCAGTAAACGCTGAAGTTGTTGTCAATTTCGACTCATATGACGTCGACAGCTGCGCAAGTTATATTGAAATCGAAGTTTTCAACAACGAAGGATCATACCCCTGCTCCGGAAGTGGATCTGGTAATCAGTACACTTGCACTATCGACCCATCTGCAGGACTTTCAATCTACAAGGACAACAAGCTCCGCATTTCTATCGCTACCATGGGTGACGTGTACTTCCTTGACTACAACGCTGTCACTGATGAAGACACCTTCTCATCTGTTGTTCAAGTGGATGAAGCATTTGAACTTGATATGGATTCTGCTATCACTTCTGTCAGCCCGGCTCCAATCTCACTTCTTGGAGATGTTGAGCTCACAATTTCTGGATTTGGATTTGCCTGTGATGAAAGCTCCGAAACATTCAGCATTGGATATGAAGGATCAAACGCTTCATTTGCTTGCACAACTCTTTCTGCTAGCTACGATGAAGTCACATGTCATCTCCAGAAAGTAGCTGTCGACGTTTCTGACGTATCTCGACCTTCTGAATTTACTGTTACTGGCGACTGGGGATCTTCCGCTCAGCTTGCCGTATCGGACGCCATGACTCCAAAAGTCACTGCTGTCGAAGTTGCAGCTGATAAGGCTTCTGTCACTGTCACTGGTTCTGATCTCGATGCCCTTGTTGGTAGTATCGATGGAGAATCATTTGATTGCTCTGGTGGTTCTTGCGCTCTTCCAGCTGTTGGCGCTGGTCTTCACAAGCTCACCTGGCGATCAACTGTCGGAGCGGCAACTTTCGTCGACTCTGCTGTTGAAATCGTTCCCGAAGTCGTCTCTGTCTCCCCTGTTTCTGGTGGATCAAATGGTGGTTTCAGAATCACCATCACTGGAACTGGCTTCGATGAAGACACGATTGTCACTTTCTCTGATGACTTTGGTGCTGTTGTTGAGAAATATGCCTACAAGACCGTCGAGTCTGCTTCATCGATCGTTGTTTCAGCGCCTGCTGGTGTTGGAGCATACACTTTGCTTGTTTCTCATGAGTTTTTGGACACATCAAACTCTCCTGTCACAATTACTTTGGCTGAATCAGACAGCGCCATCACTGGTACTAGTGATGCCAGCGCCGTCGTCGGCGGTGACTCTGTGACTGTGTCTGGCTCTTTCTTAGATTGCGAAAACACGAACATGGAGTTTTCAGTCTACAAAGATCCCTGTGCCAGTGGAAATCATCATTGTGACAAAAATGCTGAGTGTATTCCTGATGGATTCTCATACACCTGCTCTTGCATCGATTCGAATGTTGACGAATGGTGGGGACAAGGCCACTGGGGTGATGGTTATCAATGCCATAATCTCCAACGTCCAACTGCGCAGACAACTCCAGAAGACGCCATTCAAAAATGTCTTGATGATCGTAGACATGTTTTCAACGTTGTAACTGAACAAGATCGTCTTGATCTTATCGATATCATCAATACCGCAGGCGCAACTACTCGCGGTTATTGGATTCGAATTGATGGTGCTATGACCTGCGCAACTGTCAACGAAGCAGGTGATGGTCTTCTGACGGAAGCTGAACTTGGTGCATGTAACACTTGGGGAGCTGATGTAGATGGAGGCGACATCGATAAGCGACCTCTTTGTACAAGATATACTTTTGACAATTGCTATGACGATGAGGTCGATTTTAGAGGTCGATACACTTACAACGGTAGAATGTCAAAGACTCTTTTCGGTCACGAATGTCTTCCGTGGGATACCACTGGAGATTCAGAATGGAACGGTTCCGATAATTTCTGTAGAAACCCTCATTGGAGCACAGATGGACCAACCTGCTACACTGGTCTTGAAAAAAACGGTTTCGACTATCAACGCGTCGACTGCAACGTTCCATCTTGTGTGGAACTCCGATCTCAAGATATGACTAACTGCATCATCGAAAGTTGGGCACCACTTGACCTCGATAAGATCGACAATTTTGAAACTAGTAGCTACAGAAACTGTTGGATCGGATCTGTCGGAAGCGCTCGAGAACTGAACAATCCCCGAAGATGTTACGACGGCCACGGAGAAGAACGCGGTGTTGACTTCATCCCTGTTGATGCTAGCAGAAACATCTACGCAATCAGATTCAATGATGATCAAGATTATGAGTATCTCTACTCAGAAGGCAATAAAATCATGCGAGCGAATGAAGCCGATGCTGTGACGCCAGATCAAGAACGAGCTCAGTTTGTTGTTGATCCAGATTTCTTTGGACCTGGAAGATGGGCACTTCGACAAGGGGATCTTCACTGGCGAGCCCGACCAAGCAACAAGGGCGATTTGCTTTTTGAAGCAATCAATCTTGACGAAGCCGAATCTGTCGACGAATACGCATGGAAAATTACCTGCCGTGCTGATCACTTCGGCAGTCTTATTGAACAGCCAACTGCTCCTAATACAATTGTCACTGAACAGGCTCTCACTTGCTCAGGTGACTTCAGCGGTGATCTTGCCGTTACGATGCCTCCTCTTCCAGCCGGTTCATACAAGATGAATACTCGAGGTGCTTCTGGTATCTCTGATATCGTCGATGTGACCTACGCTCTTGTCGTTTCTTCTGTCACACCCAACACTGTCGGTGCTGGTGGTGGAACTGAAATTACACTTTCTGGTGCTGGTTTCTCTGAAGCAACTTCGGCTATTCTTTGTGACACTGCTCTTGAGCAGATCTCGGTTTCCAACACAGAAGCTGTCTTCATGACTGTTCCTGTTGATATGTCTAACTGTACGAACCTCTTTAGCGTTGTGGCTGTCGATGCTGCTGACGGAAGCGAGATCGTTGCTGCTGGATTTGCACGAAACCTCTTCACAGTCGACGAAAGCTTGAGTCCAACTATCTCTGGTGTCAATCCAAAACGAGGTGGAACTGCTGGTGGTACTCAGTTGACCATTACTGGATCCGGTTTCGGATCGAGCGTTGCTGATACAACTGTCACTGTTGCAAATAGTGCTTGCACTGTCTCTTCTGTTAGTGACACAGAAATCGTCTGCGAGACTGGAGTTTTCGACAGAACTCAAGTTCAAGAACCAGTCATGCCTGTTGTCACTATTGCTGGTGGACCCGGTCAAGCTGTTGCTGATACTTCCGCTGCTGAGTCCGACATTCAGTTCTGGTACATTGATAGATGGTCTTCGCCATACACTTGGGGCTGCTCCGATGATAGCTGCAAGCCTCAAGAAGGGGAAATCATCGTCATCCCAGCTGGTCAGGTTATTCTTCTTGATGAAACTACTCCTGTTCTCGCTGTTCTCATTGTTGACGGAGGTAAATTCATCTGGGATCGAAAAGACGGAATCGAGCTTCATATGCAATATGGTGTCATCAACAACGGCGGTAGCTTCGAAATCGGTACTGAAGAGGAGCCATTCTGTGAGGGCAATGCAATGATCCAACTTTATGGTCATCAACGATCCATCAATCTCCCAATTTATGGAGCGAAGGTACTTGCTGTCCGATTCGGTTCTCTCGACTTCCACGGTTGTCCAAAGACCACTACCTGGACTGAACTCGATGTCACTGCTGAAGCTGGCGATAGTCAAATCACTCTCACTCATCCAGTCAAGGACGATTGGTTCGTCGGAAACGAGATTATCATTGCGGCCACTGGTGATATCACGAACTTCCACAGAAGCGAGAAACGCGTCATTGCTGACGTCTCTGATGATGGCTACACTGTAACTCTTACTGAAGCTCTTGAGCACCGTCATTTTGCTGTTTGCTCTGAAGGCCCCGCTGGTTCTACTTTCGGTTGGGGATGGGCTGGAACTATTTGCACTCGAGCTGAAGTCGGTCTTCTCACCCGAAACATTCTCTTCAGAGGTGACTTCCAAGAATCCTGGGCCGAAGAGCTCGACGAGTGCGAAGCTGGAGTCGGAACTGCTTTCGGTACCCAAACGTGCTTCCAGAATCGATACGGCCACGAGACCGGATCTGATCAATTTGGTGCTATCCTCTTCTTGCACAAGCCATCTCATGCCAAGATCGAATTCACTGAATTCACTCATGCCGGTCAGGCTTTCAATCTTGCTCGATACCCGATCCATTTCCATACTCCTGGCTCTCTTCCAACATCTTACGTCCGTGGTAACGGTATTCACAATACTTTCAACCGAGCTTTGACCATGCACGGTGTCCATAATCTCACCGTCGAATACAACGTCATCTACAATGTCATGGGTCTCGCTTTCTTCCTCGAAGATGCTGTTGAAGAAGACAATATCTTGCGATACAATTTGGGTATCATGAACAAGAAATCGTCATCTCTTCTCAATATCGATTCTACACCCGCTGTCTTCTGGATTCCAAATCCAAACAATATTTTCTATGGTAACCGAGCTGCTGGTGGAACCCACTTCGGTTTTTGGTTCAATCCATCTGACGAGCCAACTGGACCTTCTGCTCAAATGGAAGAATACCAGAACTTCTGTGTCAAGAATCGACCTCTCGGAGCTTTCTACAACAACACTGCTCACTCAATGGGTAAATACGGTATGTGGATCTTCGTCGATCTTACCCCAACTGCTTCTGGTGAATGCGATGATCCAACTCCAAAGGCCATCAAATTCGGAGAACTTCCCGCTGAAAACGAAAACGGCCCTATTCCAGACGACACTTTCGGTTTCTTCGCCTGGCATTGTGAGCGAGGAGCTGAGTTTGCCACTGGTGGTGCCATTCAATTCCTCAATATGATCACTGCCAACAACTGGATCGCGAACTTGGCTGGTAAAGAATCCTTCCTTCATACATATGGCGAAGAGGGCATGGAAGACCAGATCTCCATGTTCAAACGAAACATTGTCATCGGTCACTTGGATGGAGACCCAGAACTGAAGGCCTGCGGAGATATGGGTATCGAAACCCCATGGAAATTCTTTGCCTTCACTGTCGACGATATTGCTTTCTACAACTACGATACAACAACACCTGATCTCGCTTCGGCCGAAATCCCATCTGATGCTGCTGAGAGACGATGTGTCGCTTTTGATCCTTGCTACGGTTCAAACGCTTTCGATTGCGGTGCTATCACTTGGTTCTCCAAGGTCAGCTGGTTCAACTCGAATAGAAGAATGACCCACGCTTGGGAGCACGAAGCAGCTGTTTTGGATAGAGACGGCTCTTTCTCAGAAGGAACTCCTGGTACTTACGTTATTTCCAAATCAGATGCTTACAACAAGAACTTGTGCTCTGACGATACTTCTGGCAAATACGCCATTGAAGGATCATTCCCAGCTCAGATCTGCGAACCTTCCGGTGGTGGAAAATTCTTTAAGCCCCATCGATTCATGTTCAATTCTGCCAAGCCTGACTCTCTCGAAGGAATGGAAGCCGTCTTCACTGGTGAACACGGAACTGCCAAGTCTCCTTTCAGAAATTGCCGACCAAGAGGAAACGGATGGATGGTTCTCCTTGATGGTAATCAAGAGTACGAAATGCACTTCGCCAACATGGATCACATTTCAAATATCTCCTTCACGGGTGATATTGATGATTTCGAAACTGGCGAGTGGCTCACTATCCGACACGATTTCCCAGAAAAAGTCGACACTGCTACCCTTCGAAACGACGACGTTCAAGTCAAGGTCGAAGAATGGCCAGCTGATCCGCTCTCTGTTGATCCATACACTTATCATGTTGAAAATGTCACAGAGCCCTACTCTGTCCGATACACTTTCAATGGTAACTGGAACACCGAGTCACCAGGTTTAGATGGCGACGCTCTCAGTTTCGGACAGAACTTTTGATCAAACCAGAATTCTACAAGTGTTTCTACAAAGATTGCATTCCACCACCACCAGAGCCAGGAACTGCTGAAGGTGAGCTTGTAGAGTGCAATTTTATCGAATGCGCAATGCAGGACGATTTCGCACCACTCCATGTTCAAGAAACTCAGCACGTCAAATTCGACCGATCTGCATTCATTGCTTCCGGTGGAACTGTCAAACTCGGTGAAACAATCGTTGATGGTACTTTCGAGATCGAAGCTGCCGCTCTTCAAGAAGGCGATACACTTACCATTGAAGCTGATAATTTCTTGATCAACTCCCATACTGATCCCGCTGATATTGGCCGAAAACGACGTGATACCTTCGTTTATAATAACGGAAAGATCGTAATCGGTTCTGAAGATGCCCCAATTCCATGTGGCACCCAAGTTGTCATCAAAATCAACGGTGATAAGAGTTCCAAGTCTTACGGCGCTACTCCAGGAAATCCACCAATTGGTCCAAAGGCCATGGGAGGTTTTGGTGGTATTGAAATGTATGGTTGTGCCCCAGCCAACACCTGGGTTCAGCTAATGACTACCGTCAACGCTGGCGCAAGTGCTATCACCGTCATGGGTGACATCGCCGGCTGGAAGGCAGGTGATGAGATCGCTGTTGCGTCAACTTCCTACGAGCATCGACACACTGAATACGTGACTATTCAATCTATCAGCGGAAATGTCATTGCTATCTTCCCAGCTCTTGAGCACAGACACACTGGCGCCACTACATCCACTCAAACCATAAACGGTGTGGATTACAACCAAGCCGCTGAAGTTACACTCCTGACCCGATCTATCAAGATCGACGGTACTGACTCCACAGACGACAAGGTCGGAGGAAGAATCGTTCTTATGAACTGGATTCGAATGAACGGAGCCCATTTCTACGAACACCACGGTTACGGTCAGTTCAGCAACGTTCAATTCACTGGTATGGGTCAGTACGCTTACACCAGTTATGATGATAACCGAGCTGCCATCATGTTCTGGGGCATTGACACCACTGCTGATGAGGCTCTTGGTCGAAAGGCTTCTTTCGTCAAGGGATGTGCTTTCCACGACCTTTACCACACTGCCGTCGCCGCTCTCTTTGACACGGACAATCTTGTCATCGATAACAACATCATCATGGGCGTCGTCGATGATGCCATTCGATCTGATGGTGCCGGAACTGTCATTACCAACAACGTCATCGGAAACGTCGAGGCTACTGCTCTCTACAAGGGTGCTTTCGCTTCCGGCACAAACGTCAACTTCGAAGAAGATCAACTTCCATCTTGTGTGAACATCCAGGGCTCTACCGATACTGTTCTTACCGGCAACAGATGTACTGGTTCTGATGGTTCGTGCTTCCAGACTGATGGAGAGTCTTGCGATGTTTCAGAAATGTGCTCTTTCAATACGAATGGATTCAGCTACTCAAACAACATGGGTCACTCTTGCGCGATCGGTCACTGGAACTTGAACGGAGGAGACACATGCTCCAAGTATGGAGGCTACTACTTCTACAAGATCGCATATTATGGATTCCAATGGCTCTCTTCAAAAGATTACCACATCGTTGAAGACTCTGTCGTTGTCGATGCTAAGGTCGGTTTCTACGGTGTGAGCATCAAACCTGGACAAGACAAGCGAAACACAGTCAAGAACACTTACTTCGCTGGTAAATCTGACTTCTATGACTGTGCTTACGACGCGGATGTTCACAAAGACATGGAGCTCAGTAAACATGCTGGCTCTTTGAACCCTAAGATCGTCAAGAACCACGCTGCTGTCCTCTTCCCCGATTTCCATGCAGATAAAAACGGATTCCCGATTTGTGAGATGTTCGCTGCTGATGTAGACCCCAATAATCACGGTCTTACTTGCATGCTCGACTGCCACTTCGCCAACTACAATGCCAAGTGCGGCGGCCGAGACTTCCTCTTCAATACAAATCCAAAGACTATGGATTGGACTTTCCCCATCCAGCTTCTGGGAGGCAACCAAAAAACAAACGTCAATAATGAAGATCTTGTTCACTTCGACAGACCTACACTTGACAAGGTCAACATTGCTGATTGCGTCGATCTCCATGCTGATGCAAACAAGCACGCCAAGGTAATGGATATCGATGGTGGTGTTTTCGACGTTCCCGGTACTCTCTTTGCTGAATCTGAATATGAATGGGATGGCGTGACTCGACCAACTGCTGATGGCGGATCTATAACTTACAGTGATACTCAAGATGGCCTTGGCGACTACCGAATTCCAAAGCCACTCATCACAGCCATGGATGGCTCCAAGATTCCAATCGATGATGTCATTCAAGAGCGAGGTATCGTTAGAAACGAAAACTGCGACTATCGACCAGAGGGTCCTGCATGGTTCTGTCCTCTTTCCGACTTCCGATATTATGATCTCGTCTACGACATGATGGACAATGACAAGATGAGCCGACGATTGACTCCTCTTGCTCTTGTTGCCAATGGTCACGCTGACATCATCAACGGTCCATGTGATCATTCTTGCTGCATCGGTTACGCTTGCTCTCTCCGATTGATGACACTTCACAGCACTGTCGCTTGTGGTCAAGAGTACGACTACTACTTCTCGTCGACTACTCCGCTCAAGGCCAAATGGTACTTCGCTGATGCTCCTGCTGATTGCAAGATCCTCATCAAATTTTACTCCAAGCGACCAAACAGATTGAACTTCTTCAAGGATGGCGAGCTTTCATTGGCCACTAATGCCGTTCTCATGGGTGATTCAATCTCCTGGTCTAAGCCGGATCCATCTTTCTACCCAGGACTTACTGACTCTATCTACAATCACGGTGGTGCCAACTACCACGATCGAAACAATCAGCTATTCTACATGATCCTTTCTGGAGGAAGCGAATACGATTTGGAAGTCGTTTCTTCTCTTGTCCTCGAACTTGGCGTCATGACTGAAGTTACTGAGGATGAGTTCTATGATAACGGTAACCTCGCTGCCAACATTGCTGCTCTTCTCGGAATCGATCCAAGCAAGATCCGACTCATGAATGTCATCTCTGAGACTGGTGCTCAGCGAAGAAAACGACGAGCTGCACTTGGATACGACGTCATCAACGTTGATGTTAACCCACGATTCCGAAACCGAAGACAAGAAGATGCTCCAGGCATGACTCTTGGCTTTGAAATCGATCCATCTTCCAACACTGCTAATGGTGCTGAAGCGAACAACAAGCTTGGTGCTCAAATCGCTGGCAGCGGTGGTGCCATTGTCAACAATGTCATGAACACTACCCAGACTGAGATTGATCCATCCGCCACTGCTGACGAGAGCGTTGCTATTGCCGCTGCTCCAGAACCACCACCAGAGGAACCAGAGATGCCAGAAACCCTCGCTGACATCCTTGGTATCGATAACATCGCTGAAGGTGAATCCATCGAAGACTTCCTCGAGAAGGTCGAAGAAGCTCTCGATGTTCCACTCGACGATCTTGAAACTGCCGAGGAAAAGAACGCTGCCAAGCAAGCTGCCGCTGATGCTGCCCTCGAAGCCGTCGTCTACACCAGTCCAGCTGAACTTCTCGTTCTCTCTGAGCCAACTGAGCCACAGATTCTCGGCCTCGATTTCTACCAGAAGTTCTCTTTCGCTATGAAGGATACCAATGGTGAGATCATGCCCATTGTTGGTTTCGTCGCTACTCCATGGAACATCAAGGTCACTTTTGGTGATCAGGTCGTTACTTCCGGCCCTGCCAGTCCGAATCTAGATGGATTGACTTCAGTTGATTTCACTCCTGGTGATGGAAGAAGTATTTTCGATAATCTTGTCGTCAAGGTAAAAATTAAACTTTAAAACTTTGGTTCAAGCTTTCAATTTTTAGGGTGACGTTGTCAGCGCCAATTTCGTTTTCACCGCTGTCGATCCTTCCGTCGCAGAAGACACCGGTATCAGCTGGACATCCCCTGTCGTCGAGTTCCTTCCGCCAGCCGACACTTCTGTCTGCGATGCCAAACCAGAAGGCTCTCCATTCGACAAGAAGATGGCCTTCAGTCCAGATTGCTCGTATGTCTGCATCACTGGTTGCACCTCTGTCGGAGCTGCTCCTGTCTGCGAGACTCTCTCAAGCTGTGACGCTTCATCCTTCTCTGCTTGTGGCGATTCCGGCTGCGAGTGCGACATGAGCTTGGTTCCAGAAGTTGAAAGCATCGATGTCGCGGATTACATTTCCGGAACTTGCGATGGCGCTGGCCTTACCATGCGCGTCAACAAGTGTGTCGTTAACAAGCTTGGCCTCATGCTCAAGGACATTCATGTCGTCGGCGAGCAGGTCGATGACTTCTCCTCCATTGCTGCTGATGCAAACTGCCGAGGTCGACTCGGTTTCGATGCTGGAGCAGAATACGTCTTCCGAATCAACCGAAGCAAGTCCGAATGCGGTGCCTCTACTTCATACAACTCCACTCATGTCACCTACACCGCCGGCATCCAGGGCTACAAGATGGTCTCTGACTTCTTCCAGCGAGATGTCGCCGAGTTCTGGAGCAGCTTCGAATGCTCTTATCCAATTGATTTGAGCAGCTACACAGAACTCGCCACTGCGCAGAAGATGGACAATGTTGTCGAAGGACGAAATGTCATGGTCGCCAAATACACCAACGCTGGTTATCATACCGTTGCTCCAACTGATCAAGTCATCAGCAGCAGCTCGATAATCTCTGATCTTGGAATGGTCGCTCCAGAGGTAAAAGATTATTTTTCGAATCAATCTTAACAAGCTCTATTTTCAGGGATTCCAGCTTGAAGCCAACCGATGCTGGTTCTCTGACGCCTACAACGCCGACGACGAGAATGCCGGCAATGTCATCGACGTTGTCACTGACGGTTGCCTCACATCCGGTCAAGAAGGATTCGTTTCTATTTCCGAAGGATGGTCTGGCACTAATCAGTTCCGATTGATGGTCACTGATTCCGTTCTTGGTGACTTGGCCTCCGATGTTGTTTACTTCAACTGCATGGTTTCGCTCTGTGACTTGAATTCCGGATCGTGTAGTGACGCTTCTTGCCCAGGCTCAAAGTAAGTTTCTATTCAAAATCAAAAGAGAAAAAATGAAAACAATGCCTAAAATCATTTTCAGCACTGCTTCCGGCACCCAAATCCGCGTCCACACCGAGCTCAACGTCGACAACTCCGCCGGAGTCGCCGATTGTGACGCCAACGCGGACAACTGCGAGAACTGCAAAGCCACGATCAACGGCGGCGTTTGCTTCTGCCCCGATGGCTTCACTCTCCAGCCGGACAACTCTTGCGCCGCTTCGAGTTCACGAGCAACAAAAACCTCCAAGGGCAAATGGAGCTCAAAGAAACCATGGCAAAAGAAATGGAAAAACTAAACACCGCGGAATTTGAAAATTTCGCTCCTGGAAAATTTAACTTATGACTTCTGACTATTCAAACTTTATTCTTTCTTTATTTTTCTCTGCATATTTCGATTTTCAATAAATCGATCAAAAAATCAAAAATTTCATATGTCTTTTTTTCCATAATGGAATTTCCATTTTTACCGTGTTTTATACATATTCTTCCTTTTTTCTTTGCTAAAAGCATTTTTCACATGAATAATTATACGTATGCTAATGTAATATTCCTGATCCCTCGGGTTCCCTAGCCAAGAATTTTGTGCTCTCGACGACACTTCAGAGGTTAAAAAAAGAAATTTAATCAGAGAAAAATAAAAAGGATCGAATTCCAACGAGATATTTTAAAATGAAAAGAGAGAGAACAAATATTGAGCAAAAAAATTAAGGGTATCTCTTGAATATTGAGCTCCAAGAGCCAGAAAGAAATCATTTTCGAACATTTTTTTTCGAATAATTATTTCACCAAAAATGCTTTTTTTAGTTTTGATCATCAATAATTTCGGGCCTATCTTTAGTTGCCCCTTTCTTATATATATTTTCAACGTCGCATATGTTTCGTATTAGCGTAAGATTAGCAAAGGCTAAATTCAGCCCGATTCGGCATTGATGGAATTCGGAGTCAGAAGAGTATGAAATTGAAGCAATGCTGTCATGAATAGCCTCGAAAAAGAAATTGAGTTTAGATTCGACCGGAGATATAAGATGAGCAAAAATTGGATTAACTTCCAAAAAGCTACAGTTTCAGAAAATCAAATTTACAAAAAGAGAAAAGAAGAAAATAAAAAATGAACATTTCCAAGAAAAAAAGCTCTATTTAGATTAAAGTTGGCTTTTAATTTGATTAGAAATAATTGAACTTTGGAAAATAAGGGACAAGAGACGTTAAATTGATCTTAAAATCATCCAGCTCTAAGTTTATTAAGAAAAAATGACGGGATCGAATCTGAACTCAGAAAAAGCTATGGGTGTCAATGGAAACCTCGGCTCGATTCACCTAGAAATCGATGTTCTTTTTGGTAAGGACCTGACCTTAGCTTGGAATCATGCCATTTTAGTTGCGATAATTGCTGGCATCTTTATATTTTGTTTGATCATCGAAGGGTTCTTTGATTTGGCGAAGAGTTATCTTTACAAACTTGGGCACAAAAGTCGCCGGATGGCTAATCATATCAGGAAATTGGCAAAATTGTCTTTTTTTGAGCCAAAAATTATTTATCAATAATGCCGAAAAAGTCATATATGATTTTGAACTTTTCAAAATAAAACTGTAAAAAGACGCAATAATTTTGTTTTTATTCATGTTGTTAGAGAGCTCGTTGAATAATTTGCACAGCCATGGATCCAACAATGCCCACTCCGGCGAAAAACGCGAGGCCCCGAGTCGGTTGAGGAATCTGACAGAGGTAGAAAAAGGAGTGCGCCACTCGGGCAGCCAAAAAGCCGAGGAAGTGATTTCGAGCGGAGGATTCGCTTGGCTCGAGGAGGACGAAAATGAAACCGAGCGCCCAGAAAACTAGAAAAATTTTGAAAAGGAAAATAAAAAGGACTTTACCGGGGACGTTTTCGAGGTCGTTCAAATGAGCTCGGCGAACTCGTTCGACTTCTTCGTTGACTCTTGGTTTGTCTTGTTTCGCGCTCTTTGCGTCTTCGGGATTCGCGAAAGCGCCGTGCTTGAATCGTTGTCGCGCAGTGAGTGGGGCCTTAAAATTTTTTATTAAGAAAAAGTGATTTAATATAGAGTAAGGATATAGAGTAAGGTTAAACGTACGGGTTAGGCTTAGGGTTAGTGCTAGGGTAAGGGTTAGTCCTTTTCTGGCCCTTATTTCTGTTCAAAAACATGTTAACTTCTCAATACACGGGCGCGCGACTAAGCGCTCAAAACACGGGGTCCAATTATTGGACCACAATGCATTATCTAGCCCCGCGCGGCGCGCCAAATTCAGAGTGTGAAAAACAGCGCTCAGGACTTTTGGCTCTAATTGACGTTTCCGTCGGGTAAAAAAGCTCGTAAATGTATTGCTAGAAAGCTTAAACCCTCTTCTATAAAAATATACAATTGTTAATCGAAAAATCCGTTCCGATTTTTCACCAGAGAGCAAAAGAGAAATCTGGCGCGAAACGCCACCACATTTGAGTTTTCATTCGAAACTTCACAGAGTGGTTCGTTTTTGTCCTGTCAGCTCACATTACAAAATTTCGGTCAAACAGATAACTACAACAGGAATTACAGGGGGTCAAAGTCGCCGTGGTCCAATGATTGGACCACGTGCATTGAGAAGTTAAGGGATTTACCTTGATTAACATGTTTATCGCAGTCCCCGCAACTGCCAAAGCATAGTACTTGAAAACTGGATTTTCGAAGGAAATCAACTCCGACATTTTTCTCTTTTTCTTTCTCGAGGACTTTTCAAATGAAAATAAAAAGGGGAGTGGCTCGCTTTTTCACCGTCTTTTTTGTTTACTTTTACGATTTGCTCAAAGCTTCGATAAATATCGTGCTTTCTGGCGGCCAAATTTCGAATGATGCTTTAGGGAACGGAAACGATTAGGTTCAAGAGTGTCTTTTGAAGAAAAACTCCTTTCAAAAGTCCTTAAGGAACTATACTTCGGTTTCATCAAATAGTAAATTGTCAGCTTGCAATTTGTTAATTTTGACAGATCGCAGCGAAATGACCATTATCTGTCATTTTGAGATGTTATCTCAAACTCAAAAGCGGCTTGTCTTTCTCAGCTTAGTATTAACGCAATTTGGTGGAGGTGTGGTGCAACCACCATTTCGTATTTTTAAAGGACACAAGATCAAGCAATTGCATTTTCCTGAAAAACAGCTCAATTGATTTTCTTCCGAATTGAAAAAATAGAGAAAAAAAATGAAAAAACTGTTGATTTTCTTAGCTCAAATGGTGATTTCTCAACATCAGCAACCGCATTTTTTAGATCTAGCATCAATTTGTCAAGGAGGAACGGATATTTTAGCAAGTAGGCCTCCTTTATCGAGGATTTTATCAAGTTTTCTCGCAAATTTTTTGAAAAAAAAATCCAAAATTTCGAAAAAGCCCAAATTTTTCAAGAAAAGATTTCAAAAAAAAAAACAAATTTTTCAAGAAAAAGCTTCAAAACCCCTCTTTTTCATGCTAAAAATGTCCAAAAAAGTAAACGTCTGTCCTGGTGCATCAATCTACCACCCAATCCAGAAGAAGTGCGTCTACCAAAAAGAGATAATCGAATGTAACGCAGAAAAAATCACTGTCCGCGTCCATGTCCAGCATGTTTTTCCGAATCTTCATGCAGCCCAGTGGAAGGATATTCGACTTAGAATCGGCTCTTGCATTGGAAAAACCGCGCCAAAAGATGGCTGGTTTGAAGAGAATTTTTCACTGAGCGATTGTGGTACTTTTTGGTCGCAGAATGAGACGGGCATTGTTGCGAGATGGACGGTTTATGGGCTTGACAAGTTTTTCCTGACGACTGGAATAGGAAACGGGAGAGAAAAAACAAGTTTTTTATAGAAAAAAAAATGTTTTTCTTTCCAAAAAAAAGTCTTGACAAAATCGAAAAATTTCAACGCCGAATGCCATTACGACACTTACGTTACGACAATGAGCAACAGCTTCCTCGTAAATTTCAGCTCTACGCCACTTCTTGTTGGCGACACAAATAAGGTTGGGTTGTTTTGTTTTCAAACGATTTATTATTATTTTAAGCTCGATTCACTTTTTTCCATGTCTCTTTGGGGTCCGAAAAAACAAATAACGATCGGTAAATGAATTTTTTAAATTAGGCTTTTTAAATTAATTAAGGTGAAAGAATAAGTGGAAAAGTAAGCACTACTTTGAATCTTGGAACAACATCCTACTCTTTCCAGGTAAGCGATATCCCTTTTCTCCCTCCTATCAGAATAATTAAGCTGACGAAATGCACGGTCTACCAAAAACCCGACAAAACCGGCTACAAATTCGACATCCTCAAAGACACCTGCAACCCATCATCATACGTCGGTTTCACATCGAACAATTCCGTCAACGGCTCGGCACACTTTTCTTTCATCAGTTTTGCGTTTACTGCTACGGATCAGAATCTCTACCTCGACTGTGGGGTCAAACTGTGCTTGATTAATCCAATGACCAAAAAATTTTTTAACCAAAACTGCATCAAAAATTGCCATTTGTGAATCTTTTCAGAAAATCAAATAAAAAAAAATTATTTTGACAAAAGCAAAAGACTTCAAAAAACATTTGGAAGAAAATTTTGTGTGATTTTTATTCCGATTTACAAAAAAAAGCTTCAAGTCGCTCCCCAAGCGATTTCAAAGCAGATGCTGTAATATAAAATGTCTTTATTCAGCAGCAGGTTCGACTTCATCGGAATCAGACATCATCTTCTTGATGAACTCCTCAATGTTGATGGCGCCGTTGGGACCCTCCATACCCTCGGTGAGCTGATCAAACTGGGCGGAGGTAAGCTTTTCACCTGAAAAAAAATATTGAGGAGGTTGATAATCTTAATTTTTCTCACCAAGAGAGGTGAGGACGTGTCGGAGTTCGGCAGAGTTGACAGTTCCGTTGCCGTCCTTGTCGAAGACCTTGAGACCCTCCAAAAAGTCCTCGTAGCTTCCGGGATCGGTGGAGTTAGAAATGGCCCAGAGAATTGGCAAGTAGTCGTCGAAGGAGAGCGATTTGGTGGCCATGTCTTCTTTGCTTGGCAAGTTCTCCTCGTCACCGCCGCAGAGGAGGACTAAACAAGAACAAGTGTCAATCTTTGATGAGTTCGTGGTGACAAGGATGGGTTGCGGGTTATGTTCTCACTTTGGCGTTGAGATTGAACTCTGTCTAAACTTTTGACTTTTGACTTCTTGACTTACGGAGGACGGAGTATTCAGATGGGTTGTAGCCGAAGCATCGGGCAAGGTTGACGCACTCGCCGTACTTGATCATTCCTTCGCCGGTCTTGTCGAAGAGTTCGAAGGCATCCTTGAATTCTGAACAAAAATGGCTAATTTTCTCCCTCTTGATTTGATGACAAAAATTTTTCCTCTTTGAAAAACACCATTTTTCATCGAAAAAATAGAGAAAAAGAAAATCTCTAGAATTTTTTTTTCGAAATTATAAAAAAAATTTGAAAGAAATACCTTCAATCTGTTCTTCAGTAAACTCGTGGGCCATCTTTTGTAATTTCTTCGACTCTTGAAAAAGACGAAAAAAAGAAAGGTTGAGAAGTTGTCGAGCAAGCAACTGAGGAGTTGACTTTCACGAAGAGCTCGCGGCCCGGATTGGGATCGACACCTAGTGCTGAAGAGGTCGTCAAGCGTGTGAACTGTAAATTAGCTGCGAAATCTTTCCTGTCCACTTTGTTACAAATCATTGGGACCTGACTAATGCACTCGTAAACAGACAAATCTCTAAGCAGAATGAGGGATTTCTTATCATTTTAAGGACGTCAGCTTTTTCCTTCGAAAAATGGAATTTTTTAAAACACCACATTTTTGGTTCTCAATGCGTCCTTAGGTTAAACTTGCTTCAGAAAAATCAATATTTTTGCCGAATTTAGCGCAAATTCGTCAATTTTCGATGAAAAGTCCAATTTTCAAATGCGATTTTGAGGGTGTTAGAGTCGAGATAGACCCCCAAAAAATGGAGCCTCAGAATCCTTTTTTGACCCGTAGAATCCATTTTCGGGGTGAAAATTTAAAAAATCCGAAATTTTATTTTTCGAAAAAAGCTGACGGGGGGTCCTTAAACAGACTTTTATAAAGGCACAGTAATAAAGAATCTTGCTGAATAAAATCACAAACAGATTTATCATCTTTCGGTTTATTTGAATGGTCTCATGCCCAGTAAAAATCCCAGTAAGCATCCCATTCTTGAGTAACGCCACCATCATCCTCAACCTCGACGATTTCAACTTCTTCTTCCTCCTCTTCTTCATATTCAGCGAAACCAACTCTAGAATCGACCCCTTCTTCTTCTTCCTCAGCTTCTTTTTCTTCCCCAAAAATCGCCCAAATTCGTCCAGTTTGGAGATCAATAAGCGTGCTCGTATAAGATCCCCCTGCGTCGCATTCAAAAACCACATCGTTTTTTGAACTCCCATACCAAAAGTCCAAGCATGGCAGATTTCGACTGCATTCTAAGTAACGCCGACCATCATCTGGAATTCGCCTGAATAAATTTAAAGTTGGGTGATTTGTGGCGCGATTTGAATAAAAAATTGATAATCAAGAAAATAAAAGACCAATATCAAGCTAGCAAAAATCATTGTTTCGAGAAAAAAAAAATGAAAATTATTTTTGTGAATTTTCTTTTTTTATTTACTTCTGCTCAACATTCAAGCGCAGATATGATTCCTAGAATCGCAACAATTGGTTCATCCTTTCTTCATGGAGATCACAATAGTCACGATAAAAAACTTTTGGTAAGTTCTACTAAAAATTCTATTCTAAATTCTCGTCTTCAGAAAAATTGGTTTCGACTGTTGAATGCAAGAAACTCCAACATTCACAAATTCGACCATCGATTGAGCGATGAGCCAGAGACCCTCCAAGCTGTGAAATACTAGAATTTCGAAAAATAAAAACCTGATTGGCAAAAGCTCATCTCCAGTAACTTCGTCGACGCAAAAGCATTCTCCGTCCAGGCACTGAGTTTGTCTGAACTTTCTATCTCTGCACTCGATTCCCTCGATAAATTGACTCATTGCTTCACAAATTTTGTCCGAAAAAATTTTCCGCCCGGAGAAAAGCAAGTTTTCTTCTCTGAGAATGAAAGAAAAAATGCATGGGAAAATGAATAAAAGGATCATTTCAAGATCGGTTTTTCGGAAGAAGGATTCAAGGGCGAGAGATTTCAGTAATGAGCCGATTAGTTAGGCTTATTCATTGGTAATTATTGTACATTGTACAATGTACCCATGTGCCCACTCATTTCCGGTTAAGAAATGTTTTCTTTTCAGTTCTAAACAAGAAGTTCTTATTCATATTAAAAATGTTTTAAAAAATTAACAAAATTTGTCAAAAGACAGCTGTGGCGAAAAATCCACTCGGGCGAGTTCAGATTTAATTCATGATTTTTCAATTTAGTAACAAGGCAGTAAAGCAAAGTAAAACAACAGGAATGATGATTTTTTCGATTGCATTTTTGGTCTTATTCAGTCGCCGCTTCCAAAAGAGCTTTTCTCTGTTTTCTTCTTCGAAGCCGCTTGGTCGTGATTTTATTCAAGGTGTATCCCAAGTCCAGCTTAAAAAAGATATTTCAATAAAAAAAAGAAGAGAAGGAGCGCACCATGATGACGATAATAGCAACCAATCCCATGCTCAGCATGTAGAGCAAAAAGATGGTCTTCTCCCAAGGCCGAGACACCCAACAGGGCACCTCTTTGTCCTGCGAACACGCGTAGTTTTGAACGTCAGCGCCGAACGTACACAAATATCGCTGAGGAACGACCCAAACTTTCAGCAAATTCGTCTGAAAACAAATTTTTTTTCAAAAGATTTTTTCAGAATTTCAAGAATGAAAAAACTCACCGTCTTTGTCTGTTGAACTTGAAGATAATACAACCCGACGAGGCCGAAAATCTCCAACAGCATCTTCGCAAATGACTAAAATCAGACCTCTCATCATGTTCTGGCCTTGATTTCTTACCTGAATAACGTACCAACGGCGCAAACTTGGGGACCAAACAACCTCGACCGTGGTTTCTTCAACAAGATCCTTTCGAGTTTTCTTTTTCATTTTGTTCAGATATGCAAAGTCTTTCCTAAACAAGAAAAAACAACATCATGCTTGAGGATGGATGACAACATACGTATATTGTTCTGAGCCGGTGTAGTCGGAGTTGTTCTTTTTATCGTCATAGCGACTCTTAATTCGAAGAAATTAGGTTGACCTATACCTACCCTAGGTTGACCTATAAAGTAAATAAGGGGTGGCCCTCAAAGTGCTATTTCAGTTTCGAACCCCCCCCCCCCCCTCCCCCGGATTAGGGTTAACGGGGGAGTCCCGGGGGCGTCGCCCCCTTGTTTAACTTAAGGAGGGTCCTGGGGGGGCTTAGCCCCCTGGGTAAGGGTAAGGAGCTGCCCGACTTTGACCCCCTACCAGGGTTTGAAAAGTCTGAGCATGAGCATGCTCAGAGCACTGAGCATGAGCAAATTTGAGCACGGGGCTGCTCAATCGTGCTCAGGCTCAGCCAAAATTTGTGACTTTTCAAACCCTGCCCCCTACTTCCTATAATCGAGTAAATTCGGGACGAAAATCTACTGGAAAACAGCGCTTAGTTGATGAGTGTTGTAAAAGGGGTTCAAAATTGCGCTGTCAGGAAATATGTTGATACCTTAATTGCAGCATAAGTGGCAGAGTGGTTAGCAACAATAAAGCTGAAGATAAGTGGCGGGAAACTGAGGAATAAAATCTAAACCATTTTCTCACTTTCGCTGATCTTGGATTTCTCTTACATGAAGACTCCAGTAGCGCACGTGACTCATCGGGGCGAACAGGTTGTAGCACATTTGGGGACAGCCTGGTTGGGTGGTGACGCAGTCGAAATCGGACATTTCATCCCCGTAGACGTTGTCTCCTATCGTTGTAGCGGGCAGAAGCCGGCAAAGAAATGTCAATGCGTTCCTTAGGGTTAGGGTTATGGTTGGGGATAGGGTTTCTCTCAAAATTCGATTCATTTTAATGTTACTTTCTCACCACATATGGCCAAACGGAGTCGAATATTTCAGAAGCTTCTCTGATATTCCAGCGAGAACTTCAAAACTCATCTTGCTGGAATTTTTTGTTTAGTCTTCTTTTTGAAGTTTTTTTGTTAAATTTTTTTTCTGAGTTTTTGAATTTTCTGAAAATTGAAATTATTTAACAAGCGTGGAGGAAATTCAGCCGCCGAAGATGTCACAAATAATAAGCCGAAATTGGGGCTGAACCAAAAAGGATTATTCTCGCCAAATCAAAAAGACAAGAAGGAGAGACCTTCTCCCGCTGAGCGCGGACTTGAGAACGGAAAATACTACACTCAAAAGACAATATAATAATCTTTTGCGTTTCAAAATCAAATCATTTTTGTCTTTTAGAATTTACCTTCAATAAAGGCCTTCTTTCACGAAAAGACAATTTTCTCTTGCTAAAAATTTCAAGAATTTTTTCCGAAAAAGGTTGGATTTTTATGATTTTTCAAAGCTGCAAACCATTTTTATTGCGTTTCATTTTTATTGAGCCCTGTCTCAAAAGATGCAAATGGCAAAGTGCAAGACTCTGCAGGTTTACTTTTGATTATCTAGGCGATTTGATAGAAGATAGAGATATCGGAATTAACAAATTTTAAATTTATTACCTTGAAGTTTTTTTCTCTCGATGCGCTTTTTGTGGAAGGTAATCAGCACGGCTCGTAGGGTAACTTTATATTTTCTTAACAAAGTGGATGGAAAGCAGTCAACCGAAGCATAAAAGACCTTCCACGCGATATAAGATTCCATTACACTTTTGAATATAAAATTTTCCTAATGAATTTTCGGCCGAAATTTTGAAATCGGATGCATTATTCAGCCAGAAAGACAAAATATCGCATTTACTTGACTCAACCAATTTATGGAAGTACATTATTTGATGACCAATGAGATTGCTAAATTTGGCCTGTCGGCCAATCAAAACCCTCCATTCATAAATTGGTTTAACCCGATTTTCTTATGGTTATTCTTCCTTTTTTGTTCTAGAATGACGTCTCCATTCAGAAAGTTTCAAATTCTCCTAAGAAAATCTCGCAATCTTACGATGTAGGGCAGCGTTCCATTCTAGCTCATTCCTGGCGATTCTTATCCACTGTATTTTCGTATTTTAGCTGTCTATTCACGCGATAGAAGATGCTATCGACTTGTAAAACTTATCGCTGCAGCGCTGGCGCAAGTTTGATATTTGAACCGGAATTTCGTTTTCGCGACTTTTTGCTTTCGATAGCACCGGATGCCCTTTACTTTATGGAACTAGTACGGCGGTATAAATACAACCGGACGGAGAATGCCGGCACAAATCTTCAAACCGAGGTAAGTAAAAGAGATCGAAATTTAGTAAAAGATTTTCTGAAATCTTTGCTGATTTTTTTTCTTGGAATTTTTCAAAATCATAAAATACTTTTCAGATGCGTCTAAATTTGGCACTTTGGTCCTCGCTGGCCACTGTGTCAAACGCATTATCCTGCTATCAATGCAGAACGCGTTTGGATCACATGGGGGAACCCCTGCCCCTTGAAGATCTTGACTGCATCGACAATCCAAGCCAAGACTACCAAAAGCAATGCCAAAATGTAAACGATAAGTGTGGAATGAGCGTCTCATACGATTGGGGACTCAATGGAAAGCAGCTGGTTACTTTCCAGCGAGAGTGCGTTCCTCAGAACGATATCCAGTACCCCCAAGCCGATGACTTCACCGTTTGCCGAGGAAATGACAACATCGTTCCCCACCCTCCTATTCTCTACCGAAGTTGTCTTCGCCGATGCGACCCTACCATCAATAACAACCACTGCAACGGCGCTGAGATGTACACTGACATGCTTCCTGACCTCCTAATTGATGCAAAACCCGACCTTTCCTGTAGAAAATGCAGCTATGTCAAGCTCAGTGACGGGAATGTCGTCGGCAACGAAAATTGCTACGAGAATCCTGAAGATCCTGGAATCGAATCTCGACAGTGCCCAGAATACCTTAACCGAGCTTGCTTTAATGCACACGAATGGGTTTACGAGCAACAGCAAGGAAATGATTACTACCTTGAAGAAGATCATCGTGGCTGCTCTGGATTCGATCTTGCTGAGGGAGCAACTGACGATATCATCCAAGAGTGCGAATCCGGTGTCACTGATAGCGGCGCTTACAGCGAGTGTAAATCGACCTGCAAGACCAACAACTGCAACGTCAAGATCATCACCAAGAGAAACAGCTGCAAGACCTGCTCCGTTTCCGTCGACCAATTCAACAATACCCTCTCTGGCGACATCCGATGCTGGGACGATGCTGATGATGCCATGTCCGAGGAGTGCCCCGCCGACGGTGACTACGTCTGTCAGACTGACATGGAAGTCGACTGGCCATGGAACGGCGAACCATTTTACACCATCCGACGAGGCTGCGTCAAGAAAGATCTTGTTCAGGACGGATGCGTCCTCCAGGGCTCAATTGGTGGTGTCGCCTACCAGATCAAGGATTGCTATGAGAACTGCGATCCCGACGTCGATGGCGATGACTGCAATACTGGCATGGGCGTCGCTGCTCTTTTCCCTCAGTCTGAAGATCAGAAAGACTTTATTCAGCAAAGCTGCAAAAGTTGCGACTACGAGGAGACCTCTAGCTCTGTCAATGGTAACCCGAGCTGTCCTGACAACACCAACAAAGTCGACAGCGTCGCTTGTCCACTTTACGCTTCGGCAAGCTGCTTCACTGCTTCTTACACAAGTCTCAACGACGCTACTGGAGTTCTTCTGAAAAAATCCACTCGAGGCTGCTCGACTTTCGCGATCGATACAGGATCACCAACCGCGCCAAAATGTGACCAAATTCCAAACAGCTTCGAAGGCTACTGTAAAAATACCTGCAACGGTGGTCGAGACTGCAACAACGAGCAAGTCACTGATCCACCGATGCCTATTTCTGGTAATTGGGCGATTTGTCAGCAATGTTCTGAAACCGTCGACAGTGCAAACAAGACTCTTGGTCTTGGCGACCGGGGTTGTTTCGCTGATGGCCGTGGCTACGCACAGACCTGTCCCAACAAAGACGACATGTGCGCAACCGAGCTTCTGTCTGATTGGGATCCAAAGGGTCGAATGATTTACACTATGGATCGAAAGTGCACAACTCAAAAAACTGAAACTCAGTGCTTTACTGGATCATCTTCTTACATTCAGTACAAAGACTGCACCGCCCTCTGCGATCCATCTGTCATGGGATCCGGATGTAATGTTGACCTTGAATCCGTTTCTGATAAGTACGATGTCGGCGCTGTTGATTCTTGCTACACCTGCGAGTACATCGTTGATGATAGTGGTTATGGCAATGGACTTCCCAATTGCGGCGAAGGTATTGATGGATCAAGCAATGTTCCAACTCTGACATGCCCTCGATATGCAAATGCTGCTTGCATTCACGCTGCTGGCCGACATGAGGTTTCAACCGGGATTGCTCAAGATGAACACAGAAGCTGCGCTCCATTTGAATACACAAACAATGATTCCTGCTATGAGTTTTTCAGCGGTGGAACTTCTTTCACTACTTGTAAGAACTCCTGCACCAGCAACAACTGCAACACCGACGAGCTCACACTCAACAAAGACAACATGTGTCACGTCTGTACTGCTACCATGGACCATACTGGTGAGCTTCTTGGTGCTTCCGATCCTTCTTGCTTCGACAAACTCACCGATAACACCCTTACAGCCTGTCCCGGTGTCTGCCAAGATGAGATGATCATCGATTGGGCGCCAAATGGAAACCAGCTTGCTCAGATTCGACGATCTTGTGGCCCAGCCCAACTTGACAACAATAATGGCCAGTGTATTTCTGGAAACTCACAATTCTTGAAATACAAAGATTGCATCGCTCAATGCGAGGGAAGTGGCTGTAACAATGACCTCTCAGTCGGTGACTTGTACAATGGTGGACAGGTTGATAAGTGTCTTACTTGCAAGTACACTGAGTTCGATGATGGAACTGTTAATGGAAATAGGGAATGCCTTGATGATACATGGAAAGACTCTTCTGACTGTCCAAACTACATGTCTAACGCTTGCTTCACTGGAAGCGCCAACCACAACTACAATAACGTTCTCAAGCAAGAGACCTACAAGGGCTGCTCCGCTTTCGTCCTTGAAGAGGATGAAAAAGTCACCTCAATCATCGACGGCGTTGGATACTCCCTTTCAAAGACAACATGTAACAGCAATGACTGTAACGACAAACACATCGTTCCCGATCCCATCGGCGAGAACCCAGGTCCCATCGATGGAAGTTTCTGTCAAGTTTGCTCTGTAACTCTTGACCAGGAAGGAGAAGTTCTCGGATCTGGCAATACTGCCTGTTTTGAAGGAGATGTTCAGTTCCTCCAGATGTGTCCCGAGGGGAACTTCTGCAAGGCCGATCTTGAAATCGACTGGCTCGCAAAGGGTGAAATGACTTACCGAATGATCCGAGGCTGCACTACTCAAAAGACCGCTCCTCCTTGCTACACCGGATCTACCCAGTTGATTCAGTACAAAGATTGCTCTTCCGTGTGTGATCCAACTGAAAACGCCGGCTGCAACAGCGGAATTAAAGAAATCGAGGATCAGTTCACAACTGGAAATGTTGCTATGTGCAGACAATGCGCCTACACTCAATCAGATGAAGGAACCGTCAATGGTAACCAAGACTGTGGAAGCAACCCATCCGCAGTTCCATCAAGGGTCTGCCCCAAATACTCCGATGCTGCTTGCTACAGTGCTGCTTCTTTCCACAAATCATATTCTGGTAACGGTGAAGAAATCGAAGAGGACTTCCGTGGATGTTCTCCATTCCCACTCAATACCAACAGAGATGAGTGTGTTAGCACCAGTGTTTCCGGACTTGACCATACCAACTGCAAGAACACTTGTGGCTCGAGCAACTGTAACACCAAACAACTCAGCACTAAGCACAGATGCGTTGAGTGTTCTGCTACTATTGATGCTCAAGGAAATCTCATTGGAAATAGCAACCCTAATTGCTTCGACAACGCAGATAGACTTTCTCTGACTGAGTGTCCCACCGGATCCGACACCTGCGAGACTGAGATTCTTGTCGACTGGTTCGCTCGAGGAGATCAACAAACGACGATTCGACGAAAATGTGTCCCTGCTCCTACCAATACCAACCAACCATGCATCACTGGTGCATCTCAAACCTCCGGATTCCGATACAAGGACTGCTTCACTCAATGCCAGGAAGAAGGTTGTAACAACGATCTTGAGTCCATTGGCTCTCTTTTCGACGACGAGGAAGACTACGCCGATATCGACGAGTGCATCCAATGCAAATACCTTGAAAATGAAGATGGGACTGTTTCCGGAAACAGAAACTGCTGGGAGCCAAGCTCTTCTCTCAAGGGAAGCTGCCCCAGATATGCTCGATCTGCCTGCTACACTGGTAGCTACAGCCATGCTTACAATGGCGAAAACTTGGAAGAAGTCTGGAAGGGTTGCTCTTCCTTTAGACTTGATGATGATAACAACCCTGAATACATGTCCGGCGCTCTCCCTGGTGGCGACAATTTCAACGCTGTCAAAGAAACCTGCTCTTCTGCCAATTGCAACCTTGACTCCATCCATGCTCCACCAACAGAGCCAGATAACAGCTTCAAATGCTACGAATGCATGGTCACTCTTGATCATCTTGGAAATGTTTACGGCCAGGGCGACAAAGCTTGCTTTAACAATCCACGAGCCGATATGCTCGTCGAGTGCGAGTCCGGACAGTGCCGAACCGAAATGCTTGTTGATTGGTACCTCAAGGGTGAGCAGCTTGTCCGAATGGACCGACGATGCGCTCCAAAAGCTGCACCACCACCACAAGAATGCACTGTCGGAGAGACAAGCATGATGCAGTGGAAGGATTGCATGTCTTACTGCGCTGGACAGCAATGTAATGATCGTGATGAGTCTGATTACGTCATGTCTCTCTTTGATGCGAGAAACGGTGAAACGCTCGAGTGTCACTCTTGCACATACGCTAAGGATCAGTTCGGGGCAATTGTCGGTGGATCTCGAGAGGAATGCCAAAAGCCAGATGTTTCAAACGAAGGCTTTATTGTTGAGTGCCCAGTTTACGCGAATGCCGCTTGCTTCACTGCTGCTTCTTGGCACACCGAGGGTCTTAATGAACTCGAAGAAGATTACAAAGGCTGCTCTACTTTTGACAACAGAAACATCCCCTGCTACGATTGGGAATTCGGAACCGACAAATACCAGACCTGCAAAGAGACCTGCAACACTGATGGATGCAACTCGAGAACTCCCGAGCGATCGATTTCCTGCTACCAGTGCACAACTACTGTCGATTCTAGCAACAAGACCATCGGTATCGGTGATGCTAATTGCTTCACTGACACTCCAAGTGACACTTACCTTCTCCCATGTCCTCTGGATGCTCAAGTTTGCTCGGTTGAAATCGCTGTTGACTGGCTTATTACAGGTTATTTTCATCAAAATATCAATTTCTAACAGATCTTAGGTGAGCAATACTACAAAGTCAAGCGAAGCTGTGCTGCTGAGAAAGTTGCTGAAGAATGCGTGGACTCTGTCACCGGTAACGGTCAATACTTCTTCAAAGATTGCTTCAGCGACTGCGAGGGCAATGGTTGCAATAAGGAAATGACTGACGCTGCTCTCAAATACCAGGTAAAGAAGGTCTAGGATATATTTTCTAGAACTTTCTTTTAGGACGCCGCTGACCCAGCGCACATTCAAGACTCTTGCTACACATGCGATTTCATCGAGCAAGACAATGGAGATACTTCTGGAAACAGTAAATGTGGTGATGAACCTGCGCTTATCGGCAATGCTGATAAAGCCTGCCCTCTTTATGCCAATAGAGGCTGCTTCACTGGAACCAACGCTCATTTTGTAAGTTAAGATAAATTTTAACACGGCTTATTTTTCTTTTAGGACTCCGGCGATATCTACCGAGAACAAGTTCACAAGGGCTGCTCCTCATTCGTGCTCAACGACAAGTTCCTCGGCCAAGAATGCGGTGCCATCAACGATCCTGCCGACGAACAACGACTTCTTGGCGTCTGCAAAGAGACATGCAAGGGCACAAACTGCAACGAAGAGCACAAGCGACCCTGCATTCCCGGATATGATGAAGGATGTGATGTTATCAGCTGCTACCAGTGCGACGTCACTGTCGACCAGTTTAACAACACTATCGGTCTCGGTGATCCCGGATGTCTCTCCGACGATCCAACTGGACTTGCCATTCAAGTCTGCGACAATGAACAGCCTTTCTGCATGTCTGAAATCGAAACCGATTGGTACTCGAATGGCGTCCACCAGTTCCGATTCAAACGAGGCTGCTCCCGATCGAAGGCAACAGAAGAGTGCTTCGACTTCACTGGTGCCAATGGTCAAACTTACTTCAAGGATTGCCAGATCTCTTACGAAAACAGCTTCGGAAACGCACAGATGACGCCCGTCGCCGAAAAATTCGAGGACGACCAGGACGAGCACATCCACAGCTGCTACGCTTGCAACTACAACGAGTACGAAGACGGAACCGTCAACGGCCTCCCAAGCTGCGGAGAAACACCTGTGGATACGATTGAATGTCCATGTTACGCCTGCGCTAGCTGCTACACTGGAACAGAAGCTCATTACGTAAGAAAAAAGAATTATCTTCCAATTTATGAAAATTTTTCTAGAACGCAGATGGAACTATCATCGAGTCAATCTACAAGGGTTGCTCCCCATTCATCGTGAAAGAGATGTTTGGCAATCCAACTTGCTACGAGCTCGACGATATTGACTCTCAAGGTCGACGATATGGAACTTGCAAGCAGACTTGCTCCGAAGAAAACTGCAACGAGGGTCACCAAAGACCTTGCCTTGAAGGTAAAGTTACATTTTTCCAGCATTCTCTGGACCACAAATTCAGGCGAAGACAACTGCGTCAACCCAACTGCTCCACCATCGACAACCCACTCAACATCAACAACAAGTGCGGCCGCAGCAACAGGAGTTTTCACCACACTTCTAGCCCTCTTCGCTTCATTCCTCCTCTTCTAGACAAATCCGAAACCCTGAATTCTTCAAAAAGTTCACTCTTTATTTATATATTTTCTTTCATTTTTCACCGAGCGGCACTCTAAGTGACCGCCAGTTTTCATTTTGTTAAACTGCTTTTGCTATGTATGAAGTGCGAAAAGACAAACTATTTTGATCTGACTGATAGTAGCAAAGCTATGGAAATAAAATGATAAGCGCCTATATTTGTCTTCCTTGTAATCAAATGCATTTGATGACCCGCAGTGAGACATTCGTCACGGTATGATGCGACAGGCCTTATTTACTTTTCACAAATTATCCGCCAGCTTGATTTTGCATTTATAATGTAGACATAATTTTTCCCATCCGTGCATTATTTATCAAGCGCATTATCGATGCTTATGTGAAGGCACTGTCAAAATATTTCCATTTTGATCGCTGCGACAAAACGTACCGGCAGAGACAAATTTTCTTGGTAAAAGAGAAAGAATAATTATTTAAAGGTAACTTTATATTGTTCAAATTTTTGGATGGACGAAAATGATGATAAATTTTGAGATTATCACAAAAATAGAACATTTTCAAGCTTCATTTTATGTTTTCATCAATTTATAGGGCAACCCAACTCTCACAAATCAAAAAGGATAATTTTATTCGTTTACATAACTAAGGCTATATTGTTGATTGGTTTCGCCTTTTTACTGAGGGGCCCTCAATGTGGGCAGAAGAGCGCCATTTCCAGAAGTCCTCAGATTGTTCAGAATCTGATAAAATATAAAGCGGTCGATTACTTGAAGCGATAATTTACTAGAATCTTAGGAAGCTTCGTTCTGATGAATATCAATGATTTACTATCATGAATTTACACTAACATTTTAAAGATATGCATCCTTTGCCTAAGTTTAGACAAAAAAGTCTTCAACTAAAAATTATCTTCAGACCATCTCAAAAACAAGCTCATCGCGCATAATCGTCTTTCTCCTCCCCTGAGACCCATCAAACTCGCCCTCGAGCGCGCGGGCAGCTGAACATTACTTTTTGTCGAAAAAAGGAGAGAGAGAAAAAAAATGGCCGAGTCCAAAGCTGAAGAGAGGATATCAAGTGAGCGCTCGATGGGCACTCGAGCAGAGGATAACACGCCCGAGGGCGAATCAGACAAGTTGAAAATGACGGACGGGATAATTCTTGATTTGGCGGCGAATCAAGAGCTTCAGAGATTTCAGGAAGAAGGCGATTTGGACGAGATTTTGACGAGAATGGAGCGGGAAAGTGGCATTTCTTCCACCAACACAAGTAAGAACAGAACCTCTTTGGCCGAAGACGATAATTTTCAGGTCCTCGGTTAATTATGGATGAACCTATAAGTGAAAATCTGGCAGATGTTCCAATTCTGCAATACAAGTACGTCAGCTAAAAAGATCGATTTTCTTCTGATTATTTTCTTTTTAATAAATTAATGTTATCGACATAATTCTGAGCGCGCGTTGTTCAGTGAATACGAATCAGACAGTTTGGAGAATACGAGGCCGAACACGCCCGAGGGCAGATCAGAAAAAGTAATACTCGAAGAATTCAATTTCCAAAAAGGTAAAAATGAGAATTTGATTATTGTAAAAATTCTGTTAAAGAAAATATGACAAAATCAAAGCTGGAGAACACCTCTTCTCGAGCGCTAGAACTGGACCTGGCGCATACAAAAGATCGACTTGCTGCGAAAGAAAAAGAAGTTGAAGGTCTCTACAAACAAATTCTGAACCAAGACAAGGCTTTTGCCGAGGCTTATCGGGAGCAAGAAGCATCATTTCGAGAGCGAGAAGAAAAGCTGATCGTCAAGCTTTTTGATGAGGTAGGATTCAAAGCAGTTTTTTGACTGTAATTTTTCCGTAGGTAAAGAATCAGACCGACCAGCGGATCGAGCAACAGAGAAAAATCGGTGAACAAGAAGAGCGAATTCGAAATTTGGAGAGACAACTTGAGCTGTACCGGAGAAACGAGCAATCGCATTATGAAAATGATATGATTTCGAACTAGGTACCCGCTGAAAAAAATAAGTGGTCGATAACGTATCCCTTTTTCGATGAAACTTTGGGACTATAGTAATTTAGTACCTAGAAGTTCGATTCCGAGGTCAAAAGTTCGAAAAAAGTTCATCTTAGGGTCACCAGAGGTCATCAAAGATCGAAAAAATGCGTTTTTTTCAGAACATTATTTGCGGTTTAACTACACGTGAAAGTACTAATTCAACCCTTAAAAATTTTATTCCGAGGTCAGAAACTCAAAAAAAGTTCATCTTGGGGTCACTAGAGGTCATCGAAATTCGAAAAAGTAAGGTTTTTTTAAAACATTATTGGCTTTTTAAAACCTTGTAACAGTACTATTTCAACCCTCAAAAATTCAATTTTGACTTCAAAAATTCGAAAAAAATTCATCTTGGTGGCACTAGAGAGTATTCAAAACTCAGCCCCCTTCCCTGGCTTTCAATTAAAAATGGGCTTGACGGCCCGAAGGGCCGTCTCAGCCCCCTTCCCTGGCTTTCAATTAAAAATGGGCTTGACGGCCCGAAGGGCCGTCTCAGCCCCCTTCCCTGGCTTTCAATTAAAAATGGGCTTGACGGCCCGAAGGGCCGTCTCAGCCCCCTTCCCTGGCTTTCAATTAAAAATGGGCTTGACGGCCCGAAGGGCCGTCTCAGCCCCCTTCCCTGGCTTTCAATTAAAAATGGGATTGACGGCCCGAAGGGCCGTCTCAGCCCCCTTCCCTGGCTTTCAATTAAAAATGGGATTGACGGCCCGAAGGGCCGTCTCAGCCCCCTTCCCTGGCTTTCAATTAAAAATGGGATTGACGGCCCGAAGGGCCGTCTCAGCCCCCTTCCCTGGCTTTCAATTAAAAATGGGCTTGACGGCCCGAAGGGCCGTCTCAGCCCCCTTCCCTGGCTTTCAATTAAAAATGGGCTTGACGGCCCGAAGGGCCGTCTCAGCCCCCTTCCTGGCTTTCAATTAAAAATGGGCTTGACGGCCCGAAGGGCCGTCTCAGCCCCTTCCCTGGCTTTCAATTAAAAATGGGCTTGACGGCCCGAAGGGCCGTCTCAGCCCCTTCCCTGGCTTTCAATTAAAAATGGGCTTGACGGCCCGAAGGGCCGTCTCAGCCCCCTTCCTGGCTTTCAATTAAAAATGGGATTGACGGCCCGAAGGGCCGTCTCAGCCCCCTTCCCTGGCTTTCAATTAAAAATGGGATTGACGGCCCGAAGGGCCGTCTCAGCCCCTTCCCTGGCTTTCAATTATAAATGGGATTGACGGCCCGAAGGGCCGTCTCAGCCCCCTTCCCTGGCTTTCAATTAAAAATGGGCTTGACGGCCCGAAGGGCCGTCTCAGCCCCTCTTCCCTGGCTTTCAATTAAAAATGGGATTGACGGCCCGAAGCCCCCTTCCTGGCTTTCGTCTCAGCCCCCTTCCCTGGCTTTCAATTAAAAATGGGATTGACGGCCCGAAGGGCCGTCTCAGCCCCCTTCCCTGGCTTTCAATTAAAAATGGGATTGACGGCCCGAAGGGCCGTCTCAGCCCCCTTCCCTGGCTTTCAATTAAAAATGGGCTTGACGGCCCGAAGGGCCGTCTCAGCCCCCTTCCCTGGCTTTCAATTAAAAATGGGCTTGACGGCCCGAAGGGCCGTCTCAGCCCCCTTCCCTGGCTTTCAATTAAAAATGGGCTTGACGGCCCGAAGGGCCGTCTCAGCCCCCTTCCCTGGCTTTCAATTAAAAATGGGCTTGACGGCCCGAAGGGCCGTCTCAGCCCCCTTCCCTGGCTTTCAATTAAAGATGGGCTTGACGGCCCGAAGGGCCGTCTCAGCCCCCTTCCCTGGCTTTCAATTAAAAATGGGCTTGACGGCCCGAAGGGCCGTCTCAGCCCCCTTCCCTGGCTTTCAATTAAAAATGGGCTTGACGGCCCGAAGGGCCGTCTCAGCCCCCTTCCCTGGCTTTCAATTAAAAATGGGCTTGACGGCCCGAAGGGCCGTCTCAGCCCCCTTCCCTGGCTTTCAATTAAAGATGGGCTTGACGGCCCGAAGGGCCGTCTCAGCCCCCTTCCCTGGCTTTCAATTAAAAATGGGCTTGACGGCCCGAAGGGCCGTCTCAGCCCCCTTCCCTGGCTTTCAATTAAAAATGGGCTTGACATTGGCCGGGATGAGAAGACAGAAGCCCTTTCCCCAACCCCACCCGCACCCGTTTGAATATTTTTCCCTGGTGTTTTTTCCGGTTCTGTAAATTATGGTGTTTTTTTTTTCTTAATTTCTACTATTTAGAAGATTAAGAAGTTATTCTGAATTAATTTCTTTTGGAAATGCTCTCTAGCGACCTCAAGATGTCAATTTTTTCAGTTTTCGGTCCAAAAGTATTCTTTTTGAAGAAAAAACAGAATAAATACGCTCCGAAAAAAAGTGTCATCGTCGGGATTCGAACACCGGGGCTCGACGAAAATTTTGAATTTTCAGGTTTCTTTTGGCTCTAGAATTTTTCGGCCGCTTCTGGCCGTTCGATGAATAACATATTTGGAAAGCGTTTTTTACGCTCTTTCGATCTGTACCTATTTCAAAGATGGGGTGGGATGGGGTTACAAATGGGAGCCAAAAAACATGATTTATTCCTAAGAAAATGGTCACGTGGAAAATTTTTCAAAAAAAAAATTATTTTTTCTTGGACTAAAAAGTAGTCCCTGGTGTACCTAATCAGTTTTGGGCTGAAAGAACAACAAAAATTGATGACCAAAAATGACCATTCTGACTTCAGCGGGTACCTAATTTCGAACGATTCAAGCTACGAAAGCGAAGACTTGCGCGGATCAAATTACTGGTCTCCAAGGTACTAAACAGATTCGTAAGAATGACTGTATTTTCAATCTAGGCTTGATCTTTCATCATCAGTTTCGATGCACAACTTGAGCCTCAATTCACCTTCCACTCCAAAATACCCAAATCGTCAACTTGGCAGCCCAAAGAAACCAAAGCAGCAAGAAGTCCCAAATTATCTTCCGCGATATGGCTCTAGAATGTCCCTATCTTCGCTCGCCGAAAGCCGCCGCTCGACGAAAACAACAACGACTACTGGCAACTCGATCCGGACGAATTTGTCGAAAACGAAGTCAATTTCCAATCTTTCTCAGATTTCTCGATTGTCGACCAGATCAACTTCTCAGCGAAATTCGACTGGACTCACTGTTAGAAAATTGTAATTAAAAAATGAAAACTTGTTCAGAAATCGCACTCGAACTGGGACTTGGCGACGAGAAGCCCGAAACGATCACCACGGGAGAATTCTGTGACTTCTGATGCTTGGCCTGAAAATCAAGGTAGAAAATGTCAAAAACCTGAGTAGAAACCTTAGTCAGGGTCCTGAAAATGCTTGAAGGGATAAGCCGCGTGGGACCGTTTGACAATGATTTTTGCGGCTTTTTTTTGGAAAAGCCGCTTTTTGGACCCTGACTCAGGTTTCCAGACAGGATCGCAGAGCACAGAATTGAATCTTCTTTCAGTAAATACTGTAGCAAACCGCTTCGCCAGCCGTCTGAAACAATACGACTCGATGGAACACGAATTAAAATCAATGAAACAAAAACGCTCCGAACTTTCTCGCTCCCTCCGCATGCTCGATTCTGGCACTGATGGTGCAAGCAGACATAAAGCGAGACAACGAAAGGATCAGCTTGAAATTGAACTGGATGCTGTTGATCGCGAAATTCATTCATTGAAATTGGGACTGTCGCAATAATAAACTCTATGTTCTCATTTATTTGATGATGACTTGAAAAATTTACTGCAATTTTATTCCAATCGTGGTGTTTTGATTTGTTGTAGTCAGAATGGCTCGTTCAAGCAGAAGGCAAAATTTGACCAACAATTTTATGGAAACTTAGATCGATCCAAATGTTGATCTCCTGCTGAGAGGGATGACAATATATAAACACGGCTCGACAATGCTCGTATACTCAAAAATGAAGCCAAATCAGAGCTACTAGTTACAATATTTTTCGGTCGCTTTATTTTTCAAAAACTGTTAAAATATAATATTTGCTGTTTTATTAAATATCTTTCAAAATAAAAAACAATTCAAAGAACTTTGAATTTTATTTGTAGCACTCAAACTCATCTCTTCGCAAATAATTCAACCTTTTTCTCAAACGATAGAAGTAACAAGTTTCGACACAAACTCCAGCGCTAGAAACAAAACTGTTAGTATCTTCAGAACTCCCAAAGGAACTTACAAGAACAATAGAATAAGACCTCCAATCGTCACGGGCAGCGAAAGATCTTGAAAATTTAACATTCTCGATTTTGAAAAAAATAGGAAAAGAAAAAACAAGGTGTTGATGATCAATATCGACGGCTCCGTGTCGCAAGTATGAGGTTTTTTAATAATTTAGATAATCAATCTCTTTCCTTCAAAAGATTTTCTAACACAATGAGGAGCATAGTATCAATCTGTTTTCAATAATTAGTTTATTTTTTTTTCTAATTATATTTAATATATTTTATATTTATTAAATTAAATTAAATATTATTTAATATATTTTATATTTACTATATTTTTATAATAAATAATAAAAAAAAATAAAATTAATATATTTATAATTAATTTAACTATAATTAATAACAATAATAGACTGAATATTTCAGTCATCAATCTAGAAAAAAAATTGAGCTGCTAGGAGGAATCTCAAGTGGCTCATTAACCCTGGACAGGGCTTTGCTCCCCGTTTTCTGGCAGAATTCTGAGACGAAATTGGGCTCCAGGGCCCCTCAGTGGCGCGGTAGGGTTGGTCTCGGCTGAGCCAATCCGATCGGCTCAGCGCACCACTTCGGGACGCCAAAAGCCATTTCACCGCGAGACAGAGTCACCTCGCGTTTCAAATATCCACCTTCAAATTCAAAATAGCCAAAATAGAAAATATTGCAGAGAAAATAAAGGGGAAAAAGAGAATATTTTGTTCAAGGAGAATTTTGTTCTGAAAATCAGTTGGTGAAGATTTGTGGTAAATATTAAATTGAGACAAACTGGGCAGAACCTGAGTCAGGGTTTTGAAAAAGCTTTCTAGAAAAGCCGCGAATTGGTCCGTCAAAAAAGACTTGAGTGAAAGTTAGAGTTCAGTCGAAGCCGCTTCGCGGCTTTGTTGATGGAAAAAGCCGCTACGCGGCTTTTCAGTAGGGTCTATTCAGGACATGATTCAGTCTTTTTGAGTCAGATTGCCGAGCCTATTGGTACCTTAGGAATGTGTTTTAATAATTGAACTTTTGAGGACTGAAAAAGGCCTGACAATTATGTAACTTATTTTAGCTTTGTTGATTCTAAGGCCTTTACGATCGGCTTTCCTTTGTTTTCACATTCCGCGCAAATATGGCGCGATACCATTTATAATAAAGCGTTAAAACTATATTGCCTTTTCTGGCAATAAAAACTGTCTTCAAAGAGAATTCTATGATTCAAGCCAAGTCGAGGCTCCGCATCCTTTGGAGAAAACCTGACTCAGAGTCTCGAAAACTACGTGGAAAAGCCTTTATTTCAGGACCCTGAGTCAGGTTTTCTTCAAACGGTTTGGAGCCAAGAGCCAAGTTAATGCCAGTATTAGCTTTTTATTAAAATTTAAACGATAGTTCTGCTGAGGTACAGTAATTCTAGCGACAATTTGAGAGACATTAGTTCAACTTCAAACTCAATCGAACCCTCCATTACGCAATTAACCCTGCCCCAGAGCCTTAAGTAGATGATGCGTTTCGAGAAGTCAGATGTCAATGGACTGTTCAGCCTTATTCTTTGCAGACAGCCAGAGTTATTGGCAATATTCGTCATCTGACTCGAAACTCATCAACTAGTCACGGCTTCAGTGACAGGCAAGAGGCTGCTGCTAGCTTATAACTTGTAAAATTGTGTTATTTGAGAAACATATCAAGCATAAAACCGTGTAAGTGTCAACCGCACTTGTCTATTTTCATATTTGCGCTTCGAAAATCGGTCTTTGTCGCCGATAAAAAGGCGGATAATGAGAAGAAAAGACGAGAATATTGAATTGTTTGTTGATCGGGTGCTTTGATGGATTTATGCCTCTCGGCTTCAGATCCGGATCTCACAAGTGCCAGATTTGAAACATGCTAAAATTAACATCTTGTGCGACGAGAAACACAAATCCCTGATTCTAGGCGATTTAAAAAAATAAGAACAATCGAGAATTTTTCGTTACGAAAGAAATACAGACAAAGTCTCCCTGAAGTCTTTCTAAGGGGTCTTGATCTGAGCTCGGCAATCTGTGTAGAAATCCTGAGTCAGGGTCTGAAAGAGCTGAACCGAAAAGCCGCACAGGCGGCTTCGTATTTAAACAAGCCGCTTCGCGGCTTTTCGTCACAGCTCTATCAGACCCTGAGTTAGGTTTTCTACACAGGTTTCCAAGCCTACAGTCTTGGCCCCAGACTAGGACCCTGACTCAGATTTCTGCACAGGTTTGCGAGCCCAGAACTTGGGTTCAATAAATATGAGTGGGTTGTGCTCATAAACATTGATTTGCGGCGTCTGTTCTGGCGGAACCTGCGGTTTCTTTCTTCTTCTTTTTTTTTCAAGCGTCTTTCTTATTGTCCAAATAAGCCGTTTTTTGATTAACGTATTTTCAGATTTACGCGTGTAGTCTGTCGCATGTCATCGGATCGCATGTAGTTCGTTTACGAAACTCGGAAAATGGACAATTTATGTCGAATCGTCTAAGAAGAAAATGGGAAACTGGTATTGGACGGACCTCTTACCTATTCTTTATATTTGTTTTACAGGAATGGTTCTTTGATCATCAAAATTTCTACAAGAAACCTTCGTTTTTTTTTCTACATTAGTTCCCGAGAAAGTTAATAAGCGCGAAATCAATTATACTGTTGTTATTTTGCCCCTGTAGAAAAGCTCGCGTCCTGGCTAATTAAATTGCGTCTCCCCCGAACTGGCGATTTTAATAAGATTCAATGAAGAACCATATTTACAGTAATTGGCTACTCATCCCTGTTCCTCGTCTCATGGGTCAACTGTCATTTGTAAAGGGCTCGAAAAAGGGTCAATTATTCAGCAAGAAAACTCGAGACAAACTTTTGTCTGTCTCTTCAGAACCTCTAGAGCCTCTTCTCAAGCGTCTTTAATAAGTTAAGGATATACGAGCGAGCCCTTGTACAGTCAATCTACCGTGTCCCTAAGATCAGTCATCTGGGCGCCGAGCAGCCAGAGCTTCAGTTCTTCGCGTTTTTATGCATTCTGCAGGCATGGTCCTTCGGGAACATGGTCCACTACGTCTACAACGTCTGGAAACTCGTCATTCCAAAACATAAGGTAAGTCCTTAATCCGCGTTTCCTGGGAGAAGATGCCAATTCCTGGGAGAAGATGCCAAGAGCTTTTTCTTCAGTCCTTTCACTTTTGCATAAGAAAAGAAGCCGCGTTGAGCCTGTAGAATGCGGCTTCTTCTTCAATTTTAACTCAAAGCCGCAAGCGGCTTCTCGTTTTTGTAGCAATCGATAAGCAGGTCGGATTGTTTGTTTTCTTCCCTTTGTTTTCCCTCAAAAGTAATCCCTTTTTGTAGCTCATTCAAATCGCTTACTGGATGGGAATGATGTCCGTGATGGGACTGGTGCTGATCGGCTGTTTTCAAGTCAACCAAGCCGCTGACATTCACTTTTCCGGCGCTTTTCTTTGCTTCATCCTGGGCGGCTTCTACTTTTGCATCACCACGCTTATTACATGCTCGCTTCAGACTAAATGTGCTTACTTCAAGAGAATTTACAGGTACGAAAGTATCACTTAATCGGTGGAAAATGGGAATAGTTGCCATAGAAACACCATTCTACCTATCTAGGCTTCTAAAGCAGAAAACTGAGTTTTGGGACAAAGAGTCCGCTTTTCGCCCAATCTATCGATTCTCTATTCAGGTGGCGTCTGTTACTGACAGGGTTGATCCTCGTCTGCATCGCTGTCTTGATCATCACCATGGTCGTCAAGCAACACATATATAACGCGCAGGGCGAGATGGAAACCGTCACAGAACTCATCCAGGGCTGCAACAACATCACTTACGAAAAGATGACGGAGGGCTACTACACTTGGGAAATGTATTCTTCAATGAGTAGGGCAACTCTTTCTTGATCACCTTTTCAACAAGCGCTTGTTTAGCGGAGTGGATCTCTTGCTTCATCTATCTTCTGTATGTTTACACGTACCGGCACGAAGTGAAGCTGATCGGCAGATCAAAGACGACCATTGCAATCAAACAATCGATGCAATTTACGCAAATCCCCAGCAGCCCAAATGGTAAGCTAACTTTTCATACTTTCCCCACATCCATCCGACAAAGAAATAAGACCAAAAACTACAGTAGAAGCAACTGTGGTTTACATTTGTGTATATTTCTTGGTTAAAAAGACCCTTCTCCACAATTTTCTGAGGATTCAAGGACTTTTGAAAGGTCACGTGACCTCAAATAGCCACGAAAAAGGCGAGTTGGCCCTGACAGACCTTCGATTTTCCTTTTCAGTATCATCTGAAGTCACATGACCTTTTCAAATCCCCAAAAACTATGGATAAGGGTGCAAATATCACGAAAATTTACATTCATTTGAGGCTGGTTCTTATAGTAGTGCGCCAAATAGAAAAATTCTCAGCTTTTGAGTGATCTTAAACCCCTCTGTCGCCGCCTGAGAAAGTGATGTTTTTCGCTAAAGATGTGTGTTCAGAATCGTGTTCGCAAAAGGTGCCTGGTCGCAACGGCTGGAGCGACGACGACGCTTCAAAGGAAACGACGGATGCCCTGTTGACCGGGGGCGAGTTGCCCGCCCAAAACATTTCCATTTGAAAAGAAAAAAAGCACTCCCCCGAACTCGTAGAAAATACTGATAAAAAATAACTTCTTCAAAAACGATCCAAACTCTCCTTTCCACCAAAAAAGACACGAATGCTCCACCAGCCGCCAGATAATTATGTTTATTATTTTATGTTAATACGACTTTTACTATTTTATATTCTTACATGATATAAATAATGTTTTATTTTTCCCTTTTTTATTTTATCAAGGCACTATTATAAAAAAATATTCGTAAAATATTTTTTTCCATCAAAGTTCTTAATTGAAAAATTTTAAAAAATTGCTCATGGGTTTCACTTGTTCCTGAGCGATGAGCGATATTTGACCGTTGAGCGAAATCGGAGCGGTAAACGAGCGGAGTGATAGAGAAGAGTCGAGAATCCGCTTTCGCGTCGAAGCAAATAGAGGTTTATCTGCTCTTATTTATCACTCTGCTCATATACCGCTGGAATTTCGCTCACCGCTCTAATACCGCTCATCGCTTGGCCAAAAATGAAGCCCTGAGCAGTTTGCTCAAAACGAAAAAATCGCAAAGTTCGAGAAAAAAACTTGCTTGCCTGCTTATTCACTTCTTTTTGTTTCCAAATTTCACTTTTAGGAATTTTAATTGCTTTTATCAATTTTAGTTTATGAGTAATGTCACTCGTAAAAATCAGGATTTGACTTGATAAAAAAGGTTTATTGCTCTTTTTGTTTCTTCATCAATTTCAACCTTTCTATCCTTTGGAATTTCAACCTTGTATAAATATTGCTCCTTTATGTTTTGTTTAAACTCTTTTCTGAAAAAAAACACATCTTTCGTCGTTCATCTTTCCCTTCCCAATTGACCCGACTTCAATCGTTCGAATTCGAAGATCAACGCCTTTTAATTTCGACCCATCGTTACGACTTGTCTGCGGTTCTGAAATAAAAACAAAATCAAAAGATCAATTTTCTTTATTCTTGATTCAAAAATCTTGGATAAATAATGTTCTGCAGATTCTCTTAAAATAATTTATCCTAAAATCATCTGATGATCACGATGATTGTGTGCCCAAACAAACAAATTAGGGGCCAACCTCAGGTCAAGTTCTGAGTCTCTGAGAATAAGAATGAAGTTATCTTTTTATCTGCTTCTTCTAGAAGCAACGGTAGATGGCCAAAGAGGAGGAGCTCCAGGATCTTTCAGAGATCGTCCAAAAGTTCCCATAAATAGTCAGTGGCAGCCGAGTGCTCCAGGTAGAAAAATTTGATGAGAAAAGTGATAAGAAATTAAAGGGGTTTCGGCTTCAAGAGTGATCAAAAACTACTCCGAGACGGAAAAACAGCTGATTTTTGAGCAGTACCAAATCATCGCTAGAATTCCTCATGAACTTTCGCTTTCTGAAAAAATCAGTCGTGTTGCCGATTCTGTTGATTCTAGGGACAGATCCCTCACAAATGAGCTAGTTTCTCTGCTGGAGGACAAAATGAAGACTTTGCCAAACTACTTTCGGTCGTCGGGAAAAGGTCCGATCGCCATGTCTGCTAGAAACAGAGACCTGCCAAACTGGGTCCCGAAACAGCTTCATTTTGGGCATCTTGGTCCGCCAGGAGAGAAGCAAGATGAGATTCACATAAAGAGAGGCCGGTTGAATCCTGGAAGCATGGAACACTTTAAAAACATCGAGCCGCCAGGAAGAATTTCTTCAAAATCATTTTCGGAAGAGGAAGTCCTCCTTGATTTCGCTCAGCGATTTGGCTACACAGAGAAGAATGCTCAAATCGCTAAAAATTCGATTCCAGGGATAGTTAAAAAAATTCAAAAGCAATATGGTTTGAGAGAAACTGGGATACTGGATCAACAGCTGATGGAAGTTCTTGAAAAACCGAGATGCGGAAAACCCGATTTCGAAAGTCAGAATCAAAGTCGTTCGAAAAACACTGGTCCAGCAAAGTACCAGATCGGCGGCCCTGCCTGGCCAGGCAATACAGTTTCTTACTCAATGTTCGGTTACTCGAATGATCTCCCGATCGAGATCCAGGATGATACAGTAGACAAAGCTTTCCACGAGTGGGAGAAAGTCGCCAACCTTCGCCCGGTCAATCTCGGCCCAGCAGACGACTCGGCCGATATCAAAATCTCATTCGGCCGCGGAGATCATTGGGATGGCTATCCATTCGACGGGCAACATGGAACCCTCGCCCATGCTTTCTTCAACGACCCTGGTTACCCAAATGATCTCGAAGGAGACGCGCACTTTGACGAGGATGAATTTTGGACGCTTGGGGAAGGAAGAATCACAAAGGCTGTCGGGAAACATCTGGAAGGAGGAAATTACTACTGCAAGTTTCCGTTTTCAAAAGACGGGATCGAGCACCGAAGCTGTTTGAAGTACAAAAATACGGATTTTACCTGGTGCTCGCTGACGTACGATTATGACAAAGATAAAAAATGGGGATTTTGTGGAGAAGGATCGCTTTATACATATGGCGGAAATGCGGAAGGAGAAGCTTGTAACTTCCCTTTTGATTTTCAGGGCAAGACTTATCATTCCTGCACAACTGACGGGAGAACAGATGGGTATCTCTGGTGCAGTCCAGATCGAAGATACGAGGACAAGGATAGATATGGCTTTTGCCCCGCCCAGTAAGTCCCATTATTTCCCCCTTTCCTGACTTCTATTCAGCCCAAACGATGCTATAGGAGGAAATGCGAATGGAAAACGCTGCCATTTTCCCTTCATTTTTCAATCAAACAGTTACAGTAGTTGCACAACAGTAGGTCGAACGGACAATCTTCTTTGGTGCGCGACAACGGATAATTATGATAACGATGGAGAGTGGGGCTTTTGCGATGGCGGGGAGTACTCGTTCTTTCTAGTCGCAGTTCATGAGTTTGGACACAGCCTTGGTCTTGGGCACTCGAATAATCCAGAAGCCGTGATGTATCCGTCGTACCATTTCACGAAGAACTTCAAAATGCCGGCGGATGATATTTACGGAATTCAACAGCTCTACGGCCCTCCAACGGGGACGTCGAGGCCAACAACGACGACAAGGATGACTCATCCGACGAAATTCCCGGAAATGGAAACGACGACTACCAGACAATCGACAAGACCAACGAGATCTACCACCACAGAAAGATGGACAACAAGATCAAGAACTACCTATAAGCCGGACATTGACGACAACGAGGTAAAAAATGACACGGAATTTTCGTTGAAGATTTCTAGAGACCGAATTACGATGATAACTCCCTTTGCGATGGCGATTTTGATTCGATTCTTCAATGGGGATCCGAGACATTCATCTTCAAGGGTCGTGAATTGTGGCGAATTACGGGAGAGCATCATTTTTATGATCAAAAATGGTCAATGCGAGGACCTCTTCAAGTCGAATCTTACTGGGCTGGACTTCCTTCGCATATTGATGCGGTTTACATGGTCCCAGGTTCTTTTCCTCTGAAAGGAGATCTGAAAATGTTTAGATGGTTTGAATCTTCCTTGGTCGACTGGTAATGTCCGATTCTTTTCTGGAGCTCAATATTGGGAGTACAATGGAAATAGAATTCTCCCCGGCTTTCCAAAGTCTATAACAGAACTGGGTCTTCCAAAAAATATGAGGTAATAACGGCCGAATTTGATGTTGAAAAACCATAATTGTCTTCAAAATATTAAGCATAGTGCGTTTTCGATCGTATGAATTTTGAATCTTTTTCTTAATGAAAACCAAACTCACCCCGAGCCGAAAGGGCTGATTTGAGTTTCAAAAATAATCTTATAAACTAGACTTACTGCAGCCATCAACCGAAGAACAGGTAAAAACGACGACTACCGCCGCTACACCTACTTGATCGCTGGCCGCTTCATCTCAATTTTCGATGAGAAGGAAAATCGAATTGTGAAAAGAATTTCAACTCGGAGACTCGGGATTCCAGGACTGCGATATTCAAGCAGAATTAAAGCTGCGTTCGAAGGCAGCGATGATGGATACTCTTTTTTCTTCGTGAATGATCTGTTTTATGCGAAACTTGATGGGACAAGAAGCAGAACGATTGTCGGAAATATTGAGGAGTTCGTTCATTGCTGTGGAGCTACAAATTCGGTATGGCAAAGCACTAGCCTTTGATTTTCCTTTCGTATTCAGTACTACGAGAATGAAGAAAAAGTGACTGAAGGAAAAGGCGGTGAACATTGCTACAGTGACATCTCTTCCGATGACTCGCTTCATAGTCCAGAACTGATGAAGGCATCGCCTTATTTTTTCAGAAGACCGAATTCGGGAAGAAGATTTTCTGATTCACTGACTGGAATATAAAAAAATGATAAAATCTTTTTATCTTTCTTTTTGAAATAATTTAAATTGATTTTATTTTGCTGAAAACTGATGACAGATCTAAAATATATTCACGGGCGATAAAAAAACAAAGGGCTTCTTAGCATGACGAAATTGTTTTCCAATAATACGAGTTCCAATTATTTCTTCATTTGAATCTTTATTCAAGCTACAAAATTTGCCTCAACAAGATGTTATTAGTTTTCTTAAACTTTTTTTGGAAAAATTAATACCTAATAGGCTATTAGTAATAGCGGACCTTGACCTAGAGATATTTTCTGTATCGGAAGGTCATACGATTGCCATCCATTACTCATATATCCTGGAAAAATAAAAATGGAGCCTTCAAATAAAATTGCCGATGTTGAAGATACATCCTATCAATCAAACGTCATATATAATGGGCAAATTTCGAGCCGAAAATCGTTATTTATAGTCCGTTCTACTCTTGGCTAAAAGATGAGGGTCATAGCATATACTTTAATAATCATCACTTTATACTATTTTTGGCGTTAATGGAACTAGAAAGCAGTTACAAACAGCAATAACAAAATAAAGGCCTCATCATTAAGCCTGGAGTTGAACAAATTATATTGATCTAGAAAAACGACATAAAAAGTTTTTTTTTGAAATCGCCTCTCCCCTTGATAAATGCCTTGATTAAATATCAAACGTTAAAAAACACTAACTGTAATAAGCGAACCGGCTAAAGACCATTCGTTTCTGCGTAATCGCCAGATTTCTTGTATTGGTTCCGGGTCTGGATAATAATTCCGTCTCATATAATGCATTCCTGAGATAGTCAAAAGACTTCCAGAAGGAAGTCCGACTGCAGTAAAAAAATAAATATTTCTAAATATTATTTCAATAAACATGTCTTTTTTCAATTATTACTTCGGGTGCTTCATATTTTTAAGAATTTTCCATCCGTTCTGAGTCAATTCCTCAACAACTCCATATGCATAATACCCTCCGATCACGATCAAGCGATCATTGTAGAAGCCAAGCTCACCATCTGTATGAACCTCCCTCGGTTTAAAAGTCGATGTTATTGTCGATTCATTGAAAATGTGGCACATACAATTACAAATAATTACTTAAACACCGTCGATTTCCATCTTTAGAGCGTTTTTCGGATGACAAGGGTTGATCAAAACGCTCTTAAGTTGGAAAAATTACGATCAAACAAGGATGACAGTGGGAAAAAATGATGCTAAAAAGAACTCTTTTCAGAACTCTTACAATGCATCCGAGGTCATTTTTACCTATATTATATAGGCTACATATGATAAAATATTTTTGATCTTTGAATCAGAGTCAATGATTTTACCAAAGAAAAAGCGCCAGAAACAACTTTTTAATGATTTTTTCAGGTTGAAATAGACGTTATTCTGATTATTAATTTAAAATAACCGAAAACGCTCTAAAGTTGGAATTTTTGCAGATGACAAAATATGGAAAATATTGGCAAAAACGCTCTTAAGTTGGGCGCTCTTAAGATAGAAAACCACGGTATACAATCATAATTGAGATGAATCGCAAATATATATGAAAAAATGAATTTGAAATGTTCTTTTCTTTTTAAGCTTTCGCTAAAGAATGAGCATCATTACAAGTAAAATAATTAAAGTAAAACAATAAGATACCTTTGCTGCCTTCCTCAATTGTTAAAACATAATGCGATCCTGAACTTTCTTCAGGAAGGCGAAGAGATAATTCAAAAAATTGAGTTCCGTCTAATCTTGCGATCTATAAAAAAATAATTAAAATATCATAATGAATTATAAAACTGTTATTACTCTCTTTTGATTATCGTTCCCTCCAAATATATGCAACCGATCATTTACTATTGCATTTCTAGAATAATAAATAGAGTGCTTAAAGCTTTCTACGTGATAAATTGGGCTTCAGAGGGATATTTCCTTTATTCTTGACATTTCGCCATTTCGGAAATTAGGTAAAATCGCATAAGGCTTCTCATAAGATGGGATAACATTAATCTGAGAGACAACTTCAGTAATATAAATAAAATTCTTCACTCTTGCTTTGCCGTCCATTTTGAATATTCTGACTTTTGATTTCTTATTATTTTCCAGTCCTTTTATCTTTATTCTCGAATAATTCATCATTTTTTTGTTCCCGTTCTTAATAGGAATTTATTTAACTCGTTGTTATCTCCCCTCAACAAAGTTAACCTCAAAAACAATGATATAAGATGCCTCTAATAAATGATTTGAATTGAAATAAAGCTCAAAATCTTGTATTTCAGATGAACTTTTTCTAAAAATGAACCGATTATTGAAAAAGTCAGATTCGATCCAAAACGAGCCATTCTTGCCGATTCCAAAATGAAAAAGTGTTTCTTCGTTAATAAAATTGCATTCAAGAATATTTATTTCTACTGCAACGGAAGAAATAGATTGATAATAAATTTGAAATCGAAGTTTCTCATTACGATTCGAGTTCATTTCAATGGTTGAAATATGCGTCATTTCTTCTAACGAAGAAAAGAAGTTGTCAGGAATGATCGTTTGGTGGTAGAAACTTGGATGAGGAAATTGAGGCTGAGAGGCGGCATTTTTCGCGAAAGCGGGAAAGACATCGTCGTGAAACGCAAAATAGGGATTGCTCGTCACGTGCATTTTCTTTCTGGCGTCCCTCTGGATAATGTCCATGTTTATTTCTTCAAAGTTAAACACAAATTCAAATAGTGAATCAAAAACATAATTTTGTACAAAGATTCTCTCCTCGTGGATGATTCCATTTCCAAAATACTCGCATTCGTCGTTGTTGAATCCACCTTGGTCTGTGTACCAGAGATCATCAAAAGCAAACAACCTTGAATAACAGATAGATTTTTCTTCGTATTTAACAAGAGAGCCAATCCACTCGCTTCCCAAGCTTAAGGGGGAGGTCGACGAGAATCGGGATTTCTGTAACCAAAAATCCGGAAAAACCTGCTTAGATAGGCGAATTCTGACTTTTCAGGGGGAAAGAAAAGTGTTTGAAAAATACAGCGGCGAAAACGAGAAAAAAAATTTTTTCGAAAAAATTTTCAAAAAATTGAGTCAAAGTGGGGAATACTCGTTACCAAAAAATCTCGAAAACGGGATTTTTTTTCTTCGTCAAATTAAATTAATAGTAAGTTGAAACCCTTTAAAATACGACGGCGGCAATATAAAACGGGCTGCTTTTATTAAAAAAAAATTTTTCTGTTCACTAAAAATATGCGATTTTCCTAAAAATCGTCATTCTTGCTCATTTTTCTCGGAGAATTTTACCAAAAGCGCCGAGACTTGGAATTTTTTACTGATAATGATACGAAAATTTTGGTAAAAAAAGTTGGTCAATGCCAAAAAAGCTGGAGACGAAAAATGTTCCTTTTTTATTAAGGAATCCAAAAAAATAACCAAAATTTTGAAAAAGCGAAAAAATTTTTCTCGTCGACCCCCTCCTTAAAAATTTTCCGCCAGCTTCCAACAACAATGAGTACAGTGAATTTGATAGAACAACACTCCTTGTGACCAAAATAAGAAGAAGTCTACCCATATCTTTCTATTTTGAATTCAAAAACAATATCTTGTTCATATTGCTGAGATTTTTTGAGTAATAGGGGATTTAACCAATTTATGGAAGTGCATTTTTGAGTATCAATAAGATTGCTGTATTCGGCCGACCGGCCAATTATCACCCTGATCCACTAAATCATTTCCATCAATTGTTTTAACCCAAAAAAAATGAGTATTCTTCTTTGAACTCTTATCAAAGGGATGATATGGACAGGATCCAAGTCTCTGAATTCTGGCGGAAGCTGTATTTCATCTTTTCTCCATCCTTTTTCTAGCTCTTCACTTTTTCTTAAACGGTTAAGTGCGACTGTTTTGGACAGTTTTATATAATAGTCGCCCATCGTCACACTCATCAAATAGAAAATGTCATTGAAGCTGACTGAACTCATTTTTGCGTTGAAATGGTTGCTCGCGATGTAGCCTTGCGCCTCTTCAAATCGATTCAAATGGTAATCTGGAGCAAAATAAAAGCATTTATCGCTTCGTGCAGTCGGAGAACTTGTTTCTGGTCAAAAATCATGTTAAAGACAATTACTAGTGACTTTCTATTATTTTAAGACCTTTTTCAGATGGCCACCACGGGAAAGATCTTCTTGTCGTTCTCTTTTAAACGAATCTCAATGTGATGAGTTCCAATCGAGGATCCAAAATGGAATACAAAAAAACCTCTAAACAGACGAGAAAATCATTTTCTTAGATTTATTAAGGGGGATCAGTTAGGAGCCGACAAAAAAAAATCGAGACAATTTTTTCGAAGAAATTTACAGCCAATCAGAATCCTGGATTCTGCTTACCGGCCAATCAGTTGCCAAAAATATGAAAATTCTACTTACATTTTTTTATGCCGATTCGGGATAAAAATAGGTGTATCGCCATTTTCTCTCAGCCTCATCAAGCTACCAATCGCATCAACCAAATAGTGCTCGCCATTTAAAAAAGTTGCACCCATCGACTTTGCGTTTTTGTCGATTTGAGATTAATTTAAAAAAAGAGTCAGCAAAAACGTTCATAAGAAAAGAACGAGTCAGAAGTATTGATTGTTTGAAAATTCTCATCAAAATCGGAAAAGCTTATTTTAAAGAATAAGCGTTTTTCATTTTCTCGTTCATTCCAACGGGCAGTGATCAACTCCATGTTACTGCCTGTATTTGTTTCAGTATTGAAAGTCCCCGATTTGATACTATCTGTTGAGTTTGTTTCAAAAACAGGAATCATTTTTTGTCGCGACTCCATTTTTTCGCAGTCATAAAAAGGACACGGACAGCCAGTTTGGCAATATTTCTGAGTTGGGCAGATTTCACCGGCACCCTTACTTGATTTAGTCAGTTCGAAGCAAATTGATTCACAAGGAGAAACTGGACTAGCCAGCGTTGATTCAAGTACGAGTGTCTTTGAGCAAAGATGGCGGCATATATTCTGGTCGTAGAACTGTTTCTTCTGACATCGGAGGAAATTCAGATCATTTTCTTCTTCGGAGAAAACTAAGGGTTCAGCCTTTGCATGGTCGATCTTTGAAATTGGCTCGGGAAGAATAAACATCTCGGTTTCGTGGCATTCCTTCATCAAATGGCCGCAGTAATCCATTGTTGTGATTTTCACGCATTTTTTGTAGTTGCGGTGACAAGTCGAAGTAAGAAATGTCGTTACTCCTCGTGACCTTTGAAGAGAGTACCAATTCGCTGGAAAAACAGCGTTTTATCTACTATATTTAACGAAAATTACTAATAAGGATGATGGTTATCCAGAAGATTGAACCATTTCCAAGGTAAAAACGTTGCTGACCGGGCGTTGAGAATCCGTGCTTTCCAAGGGTCAATTTTCTGGCGACTTTTTTCATCGTCGGCTCTTTCTGAATAAATGGGGTGATCATATTCAAGTTTTGAGTAATGAAAAAAAGCTTGTTAAACACGACTACCCCTCCTTCAAGTCGCGTTTGCGTGTGTGAACGCTTCTCGTAGACAAAACTTCTTCTGGGCACAAGTAGACCTTATCATCTTTCTGTCTTAGAACGCCAATCCAATGGCAGTCGAGACACTTTCAAATCTACATTATTCCTTTTTTTCGAATTCTGATCACCTTGATTTTGGGCTGCCCATTTGAATTGCTCTCGAACTCTTCCTCTATAACCATCGAAGTTGATCTCGAGTAAGAAAGAAAAACAATTCTGAAGATAAAAACGAAAAACCCGGTTTATGAGAGTCGTCGTCACGACTTTTTTCCTGACAGTTCGACAACTGAGTCAATTTTTGTTTTACAAGAAAATTTGGAAACTTCCAAAGCGGATAATTTGACCGTTTTGAGCGAAGAGTTTCTTGGCAAAGCAAGAAGAAAACCTGCGAAGACATGATAAATTGCCTCTCTTCCAAATCTTCACTCAGATTATAAAACGAAAAATATTTGGCTGTGAATCAAGACGCAACCGATCAATGTCTTCGATTTGACATTTGTAGTTGAGGGTGGTCGCACTCGAGATTTCCGGCGTTGACAGATGAGCTGGGCGAAATGGTGATTTTCATAAGGTCACAGCTCTCTGAAGAGAAGTGCTATAACGTAATTATGATTGCCACCTGGTCTGCACGGGACAGCTTCGAAAAAAAAACATATTATTGAAGAGCGCTAGAATGGTCGAAAAAAGGGGTTAGGGTTAGGGCTACGAATCCTAGCCGTATAGGTCGGGGTTCCGGTTAGCGTTAGCTTCAAAGTTGCAAATTTTCTGAACTTAGCTAGCTGACCTATCTAAGTAACCTGAGCTACAGCTAAGCTCAGCTCAGCTCAGCTCAGCAATTTCGAGAAGAGAGTCAGCTAAGCTCAGCTCATTTTTTCTAAAAAAAGCCAGCTCAGCTCAGCTAGCTAAATTTTGACTTCAGCTTAGCTAGCTCAGCTCAGCTCAGTTGCTTTTGAAAGACGCGAGCTCCATTTTGACAACAGCTCAGCAAGCTCAGGGTTAGGGTTCCAGTTCTTTTAAATATAAAAAAATCTCTTGGCGAAATATTAAAAGCTTAAAATAAACATGAGCCTAAACATGAGTCAAAAAATAATCCTTTGCCGATATCCCCTAAATCATAAAACAACGCTAGCTGCCCTTGAAGCTAATCTCACTGGGCCTTAGCTGTTGACATTGTCCCGTTTCGGCTTTGGCGAGAGCATCTGTCACAAAGTGTCGCTTGTAAGCACCTCCCTTGAAAGCCTCAAAAAAAGGAGTCCTTCTTTTGCCCAGCGATTTTGTGACCTTATCACCTTTTCAACCCTTTTTCCTCTCAGCCCGTCTGTTGACCGTTTTTCCGTCGTTGTTTTCCGAGGGCGCCGTAGAAAGAAAAAAAGAGATAAAAAAACAGCGCCGCCGATAATTTTTACTGAAGAAACTAAACAAGCTCGAGAAGGAAAAACAAGAAAGAGGATCGAAAAAAGAATGAAATTGACAAAGAAAATAAAAAAATGAAAACTGAAAATTTTTGAAGACAGAATCGAGAAAAAAGAAAGAAGGGCAAGAATGAGAAGAATTTTAAAAGCGGCAATTTTTATAGCAATTTTTAATCAGGTAATTAATGAAAAACTCATCTAAATTTTTTTGCCTAAAAAGCAAGTCCTATCCTATTTTTGAGGCAAAAAACTTGACAAAGTCGATATGTTGATTTTTGATAGAAAATTTCGTTGATAAAAAAGTGAAATTAATATAAAAGGACGTTAAATTTGATAGAAAATTTTAAAAGATTTGGATTTTCCATCCAATTTTTTTGTGGAAAAACTTTGTTTTTTTTTCATAATTGTTTCCTTTTTTGCTGATTCATTGATGAGCTTAATTCAATTTCGTCGGTAGTAGATTAACTCGAAAAGATCTTTTGAAGTGGCCTGCCTCGATTTTAACGATAATGGCTAGTCTTAAACACGCAACAAAGGCGGCGGACGTCAAAGTCTGACAAAAGTGTTTAAATTATGATGATTACAGCCGTTTATGGATTGATCGCTCGGCTCAAATAATGTTGTGATTTATCAAATCAAAATAAAATGAAGCAAAAACAGTAGTCAATTACAGACCACAACTTTTTACCACCGTGTCCTTGCTAATCCAAAAGCGTGATATCATCCTTTGAGCTTTTCAACAAGGTCAACGGTTTTTGGGGAATAAAAAAGAGGGTTATTTATGAGCTTAAATATTAAACTAATGGGAAAAAGTCGAAAACTGTCGATTCAGATATCCGTTGACGCCCTTAAATCGAATGGAATTGGGAGTGATTGCCAATGCCGATGCAAATTGCATGAAGATTCGCGAGAGCCGTGCCCGAATGGCAAGGGTTTTCAAATCTTCTTTTCCGTCGAAGCGATATCTTCTGGGAGCGACTGTCAGTGCACATGCGAAGATCCTCCAGTGAAAACAGAGTGTTTGCCGGACGACAGTGCAACGATCAAGAAATGAGTTTGAAGACAAAATCCAATATTATATTATATTATATTATATTTGAAAACTCATTTAAAAGGAACTACGAGAAGTGTTAACCGAGCTCGAAGATTTCAAGACCTCAATTTCTTTCAACAAAATGCACGACACAATGAGCCACATGGTCCTCGCCATGGTCCAAATGGAAAAGTCCTTTTCCGGAAACCTTCTGGACAAGACATCCGTTCTCAAGTCAAAACTCGACAATCTTGTCGGAATCATCGAGGAAGAGAACAAGTCGAGCAAGTTCAAAGAGCTCGTTGAAAGCGCGCGGAAGCAGAAAGCTGACGAAAACGAGCAGATTACGACTACGACTACGGCGGAAACAACGGTATTAAATATTTGAAGCAGGAACCATAAATATGTTTTTTCGCTGTTTCAAGAGTTATTTATGGCATTTTCTGGAACTTCTTTTTGACAAAAAAATAAACATATTTTCTTTAAATCTTGTAGAGGGGGATTAAATATGATATCTTGGGCAAAAGTCAATTTCAGGAGTTAAGAAGATTTGGAGTGACAAAACCTGGAGCAACCGAAATTTTCAAACCGATTTTTAAGGGTGTTAAAGTCATAATTAAGGATATCTGACTCGGTCAAAAGAAAGCCCGGGCCCAAAGCCGGGTTTTCGCCAGGGTTTGAGGGGGCCGGGAGGCCCCTAACACCCTTAAAAATCGGTTTGAAAATTTCGGTTGCTCCAGGTTTTGTCACTCCAAATCTTCTTAACTCCTGAAATTGTGTCGAGCCGATATCTTGTATATTAATGGTTCATAAAATTAGCACTTCCGCCCGTCGATAGCTCAGTTGGCAGAGCGGGAGACTGTAGAGGGTTAGCAGTTATCTCTAGGTCACTGGTTCGAATCCGGTTCGACGGAAGTTTTTCTCATCCCTCTTTTTTCAGACGCTGGAAAATGAAGAATCCGTGACAAGTGCTGTTTTTGAGCTTCCAGAAATGACGCGATTTGAAAAAGAAAAGCAAACAACAACGCCGATTTCTGAAACAACAACAGCAACGAAAACAGAAACCACAACCGTTATCCCTTTTGAAGAGCCGGAAATCGTGACGCCTACCAAAAATCCTCCAGCTGCGCCGGCAACAATTGGCATTTTGACGAGAACAATGCCAAGGATCGAGGAGAAAAACTCGACGGATCAGCCGAAAATGACTTCAAAGTTATTTGAAATGGATGTTTCGCTTAGCTCAGTTATTGGTTAGCAAAATCTATTTCGCTTTAAAAAATCACTCAAAAGAACGTATAATTTTGTCAACCGATTGTAAAGTAAACAAATTTCATGAAAACAATGAAATTACGACGAGGAGATTAAACATTGAAGATAATGAAACAACAGAGTCTCAAATTGTAAAAACAACAACGATTTCTACAACAACCTCAAAACCAACCATCAAAACAACGACCACTTCAACAACATCAACGACTTCTACAACCAAGACAACAAAGAAGCCAACAACAACGACAACAACATCCACGACCACTTCAACGACAACCACATCAACAACAGAGAAACCAACGACCACAACCACCACGACAAGCACGACTACGACAACGACGACAACATCGACAACAACAAAGAAAACAACTATAACTACAACGACGCGAAAATCAACAACTTCCATTCCAACTTCAAAACCAACAACGCTTCTCCTAACAACACCAAAACCAATCACTCAAGTGATGTCACAAACGAAAAGGAAACGAGATGACAAGTCGCGGCGAGAAATCAGCAACAGCCTTTGCACATGGACGCTGAATAATGTGAGAAAGGATTTGTTTTACAAAAGACTTGATTTATATTTTGATTGAAATAAGGAGGTAGGTATCGAAAAATTTTCGATTCGAAAATCATAAATTTTAAGCTTGGCTATCATTAGAAGATTATCTTTTAGACTTCCCTTTTTTCGAAAAAGTCGGAAATAAGAGATTCTTTAGCTTCTATTGTCTGTAAAACACGAAGACAGGCAAAAGTTTTCCACACATGGGGTCGCCGCGAAGGCGCGTGGATGATGGATCCAAAGGAACTCAGAGTGCGCGAGAGATGATCCATGAGATCCGGTGGCGGCTCGCTTATACCGCCACAGGCGTCCTAATGAGAGATTTATTTGAATGATTTCCTACCCGTCTAATTGATCATTCCCATTTCAAGATACCACTTTTTCTCTCTTTCAAAATTTATAAATGATCATCTCGAAATAAAGCCGAAAAGTTCTAGTGGAAGAAGAGCCGTTTATGTCGCGAATTTTTACTATGGAAATCATCTTCTGGAGTTTTCTGATACCAAACGATTCAGGGTTTGTCCCTCCCCCCTCTTCATCCCTTTTCTTAATCATTTTAAGGACCTCCGGTATCGAAAACGCCACACTCTCCCCTTCTACTACATCGGAACTGGTCATGTGGTCTACAATGAGCATTTCTACTACAATCGGGCTTTTACCCGGTAAGGAAAAAATGAGCTTATTGAGAAGAATTTCTGTTTTCAGCAATATCGTGAGTTACAACCTGAAGGATCAGGAGATGGTCGCCTGGACACATCTTTCCGACGCAATTTACGATTCTGACTCGCCTTTTACGTGGAAAGGGCATAGTTGGATTACGCTTTCGGTTGATCAACGGGGTCTCTGGGTAGGATTTTCATCTACCTACTGGTTTTCAAAAAATAAAATTAAGGTGATCTACCCGTCAGTAAGCCCACAAGACTACCACCAAGAAGAGCGGTTGAAGCTTCAGCTCCTCGACCCTAAGGATTTGAGCGTCAAGCAAATTATCGAAACTTCTACGACGACAAAGCAGATAGGGCATATCTTCATGATGTGTGGTGTCCTCTATGCGACCGAGCCTGATGGGAAGAAAGATGGTGTTATTCGGTAAACTTTCAAAAGAATGCTCTTCTTTCTTTTTTATAGATACGCGATCGATACAATCAGCGGAAGAACAAGAGATATTCATGTGGAGTACCCAGACAGCTATCAGTAAATAATTCTCTTCGTCGATTTCGAAATTTTTTTTATTTTAGTCATATCGTGCAAATGCAATACAACATGCGCGAGAAAGCTCTCTTCGTCTGGAATAATCGTCGCCAAATGGTCTACTATCTCGACTTCGTTGTATGATTTTTTCTCTGTTTATTCGCCTTTGAAAATATTCCTTTTTTTCATACTGCCCTTTTCAATACACTTTCACTTCACGATTCGTTTTTTAATTATCAGACAGTCAGCTTAGTCAAAAAGCTTGATAGCTTGTTCCGGTCTGTAACCTTTTCTGCAGACAGGGCAAAACTTCTGGGGCATCTCTTGAATACAAATTTTGCAAAATCGATGTCCACAAAGAAGAACACATTCAAAACGGATTTCGTCGAAATTTTCACAGCAAATTTTGCATTCTCTAGTTAACGCTAGAAAAATAAATAATTACTAAAACATATCAAGAAAGAACCATTCTTTTTTTCCAAGGTTTCTTGCTTTTTGAATTCTTCTTGAGCCGTCGTCTTTTTATTTATCATTCCAGAATTTGTTTTCTTATTAATGTCAAAACTTTCTCCTGTCGACTTTAAATAATCCTTTTGAATCGTTTTCGGGTGCACCGAAGAATCCGGGTTCAGATTTAGTTCATTAAAATCATCGATGATTTTTGCTGCAGAATTCTCATTCATAAGATTTTCGTCGGTATCATTTTTCTTGGAACCATTGTCATTTACCTTCGTTAAATTTTCGCTATTATTATTATTGAGATTACTTAAAATAAGGTTGATAATTTAATTCAATAATTGATATTGCCTCTCATTGAAACAATGGTAAAGGCTGGAAAGATATGTCATGACAGCACGCTCATCAGGTTTTGGATTGTTGACAAGATCTTAACATTGAATCAAATAGTCAATAAGATATGTTTTTTACATTCAGCATCGAGCATCTTTGGGATGTCGAGGTGTTTTTCAGCAATATCGAAGGCCAAGTTGAGATTTGTAAACGGATCTTCCTGAGCAAGTATTTTATGAAGGAGAATAAAGATGCCATCAGATTTTAAAAGTACCTTTTTAAGATCATAAAACTGTGGCAGAATCTCAGGTCTATGTTTGTGAATCAACGCACAGAAAGCGAGTCCATCTTTCCAGCTAGAAAATTTTTTATCAAAGCAAAATTTTCGAATTTATCTAGATTGTTCTACTGAAAATAAAATGCAAGCTGTCCCTCTATTTCATCTCATTTTGCTCGGAAATATTATTTATTCATCTTATATTAACTGTATTCTGAAAACCTTTTATCGATGTTTTTGACGTCAACATTACTATACGTCGAGGTTTCTCGCTGACACCAAAGAAGGAGACCCTCCTTGGCCGAAGAATCATCCACAGAGATGTCTTGGATGTGAAATCTGAGAATGATTGTCCAGATCATACCAAGGGTCATTTTGACGTTGCCGTCGACGATCTCCTCGGCACCAATGGATGCCAATCGAATACCTTTTCTTTTAAGGAAATCAAGAGCTTTGTTCACATTAGCGATTTTGTGAAATCGCATATTTCCTCTGTCCGGCTTACCAAGTCGCTCGCAAGAGATTACCTGGGATTGACAAGTGAAAAGATTATAACATATTTAAATAAATGTTACCTCGAGAAGAAGCATCAGCTTGACGCCATCACGGAAGTCAACATCGACAGCTTCGATGTTTGTTCCGACATTTCGTAGATGAGAATTACACCAAGCTGCAAAAGTCTGTAAATCTCGGTTTTACTCTCTCAATTAATTTATTGAAACTTTACTCTTCGCTGCTGTTTTTCCCATCCAGGATCAAGATTATCCTCGCATGACCATTCTTCTGCATTGCTATATAATTGTTGAGAGCTTGTTTCATCAGAGCTTTCATCATCAGAGCTCGAAATTATGTCCTTTATTTCAACATTGGAGAAATCCTTTGAGAAAAACTCTTTGATAGATTCTGCTTCTTCCGAATTCATTATCTTAGATAATTTATCTCTTTTCCGTTGTAAGAAGTTAAATGATTAGCTGTCGGTTTGATCTAAATAAATGTTGGTTGTAAAGTTGTTTTATGAACTATTTTGTAAGTAAAAAGAGAACACGCGCAAGTGACAAGTCAAATTTGCCTCTCTGCCACGCGATAATTTTGTGATTTCTGCATAAAAAATCACTATTTGAACTTTTAATATTTGACCGCTGACATTTCTTTTTTCTCTTATCGTGCAAACTTTCAATCGGCACTTGTTTCCAAAAGTTTAATAAGAGCTCTTTTTTATGGTCTCGTAACATCGAAATGGCAGAGAGTATAGAGCAGTACTGTAGCTGGCAAACGGAAGAGATACCGAAATCGACGGATACATTCGAATGGCAGGATTATTTGATTCTCGGCTGCACTCTTGGAGTTTCAACGGTGATCGGGATTTATTTTGCCTGGAAGGATCGGAATAAAAATGCAGATGAGTACATGATGGGTGGGGGCAATGTTTCACCCTATCCGATTGCGATGAGTTTGGCGACGACGTTTTTCTCAGGAAATGATTTTTTATAATAAAGAAAAAAGATAGGTAATTTATGGTTTCAATAGAGACTGATAATATTTACAAAAAAGGCCCACAATTTTCGGCATATACAGCTTTCCATTTTTCTGTGAGTTAGCTTTCAATTATTTTCGGAAAAAATATTGGGTGTTTTCCAATATTGAAAGAGTATTTATGGTGCTTTGGATTCAGCAAATCTTCCGATTTTTTTCGAATTGAAATAAACTGAATCATTCATAAAGCCATCACAATTCTGACAACACCGGTCGAGTTCTACAAATACAACGCGATGTTCATCTACTTCATCATCACCTACCTCTTCTGCTCCATCTTCGCCGCTGAGATTTTCGGGCCGATGTTCAAAGACATGGGCTTGACATCCATCTACGAATATCTCGAACGTCGTTTTGGAAAAACCTCGAAGATGAATGGAAAAGTCATTCGAGGACTAATGACGATTGAGTTCATTGCGCAGAATATTTTTTATGTCGGAATCGTGATTTATTCTCCAGCAACGGCGCTGGAAGTGGTGACTGGGTTGGATAAGTGGCTTTGCGTTTGGCTGATTGGAGGAATTTGCATCTTTTATACGAGCATTGGAGGCCTCAAAGCTGTTGTCTGGACCGACACCTTTCAAATCTGCATTATGCTCTCCGGCTACGTCGCGATCATTTCAAAAGCTTCCGTCGATTTTGGCTCCTTCAAAAACATCAGCGAGCCGTACAAGCTTTCAGAAAACTGGGTATTTGACGAGTTCGACTGGGACCCGCGAATTCGCCATTCATTTTGGACGATTATTATTGGCGGCTTATTTGGAACTTGGGGAAATAGCTTCTGCTGCTCGCAAAGTATGGTTCAGAGATCCTTGGCGGTGAAGAATAAGAAAAATGTAAGAAAAGAGAAAGTCTTCCTTGATTCGCAAAAAATATTAAGCTCAGAATTTCGATTTACCTCGCTTGGGTGCTGATTTCGTCGATTGTCGTTACTGCAATGTTGGTTGGAATTTCTATGTTTAGGTATAATGCCTGCTGCGATCCTTATACTGCCGGATGGGTTGATACGACAGATCAGTTGGTGCCATATTTATCAGTTGTGATTTTTAAGACGACTCCTGGAGTTGCCGGGCTTTATGTTTCAGGAATCGCTTCATGAATCAATCTGTTTTTTTTCCTGACTCAGGTTTTCCATATTTTTGCCCGAGCCCCGTGACCCTAATTTAATAAAGTCCTCCTGAAGCGTTTTTAAAGGTGCGTTCTCAGGAACACTTTCGACCGTGTCGAGCGGAATCAATTCAATGACAACAGTCGCCATTACCGATTTCATTCAGCCCCGTTTGCCTCACAAGAGTGACGTCTTTTTCACCCGCCTATCGAAACTTTTAACGGTTCTGTTTGGAATCGCTTGCATCGGATTTGCTTATATTGCGGCAAATCTTGGCGGCGTTCTTCAAGCTGCGCTGAGTGTTAATGGAATGATGGGTAAGTTAATTTTCTAAGAAACAAGCCCTTTGCTTGACCACGGGGAATGACTTAATTTTTGATCAAAAACATGTGTTTTTAGGTGGTACTAGTTTTGCTGTTTTTATTCTTGGATTTTTCAACCCCTGGGCGGAGGAAATCGGCACAATAGTCGGCTTTCTCAGTGGTCTTGGAATCGCAGTTTGGACTTATATTGGCTCGACCATTTACAAAACAGGTTCACCCCCTTTTATTTTCGTGAAGAAAACATTCAGACCCGCAATGGGCAAGAATAACGCCTCAAACAATATCTCAATGCGAAGGCTACCCTTCTGACTTCCCCTGCACTTCGAACAGCTCGGATCCTTGGTGCGACTCTGATTTTGATGACTCAGACTATCCAGCTGTCGCTCAACTTTATGCGATTAGCTATCTTTATCTTGGCACACTTGGCTTGGTTACCAATCTGGTCGTAGGAAGCTTAGTGTCTTTTATCATCTGCAGGGTCAAGAAAATCAGGTACAATCAATTCCTCTCCTCTTCATCTTCATAACTCGTCTTTTCAGCCCGAATCAACTGCCGAAAATCGTCCTTTTTCCCGCCTTGGATCGTCTTTTCTCCCGCGAAGAAGTCGACAAAAGTCCACTTTCCGTCAGAAATGTCGCTTTTGACGACGAAGAAAAAACACGAACCGAAAATCCGTTTGATGAAGATCAAACAAATTTCTAGAATATTTTTCTATTTGCTAAATAAATATATTTTAAATGAGATTTTTATTTAGTTTCTTCTTCTTTTTTTTTTATTCTCAGGAAAAAAGAGTGTGACAATTACAATTAGCGAAAGAGGTTTTTTTTCTACCAAGTAGGATCGAGTTCATAAATAGATTCAAGCTGCTTTGGGAGTGGAGCTCCTGCATCTGCGTACATACTGAAATTGAAATTGATTTGGGAAACGATGATTCTATCAATATATCCGAAAAATAATGATTTTAATCTCAGAAAAATTAAAAGCCTACAAAATAAACATGAAAAACAGCCATTTTCGGACTTAACCAATTTTTGGAAGTGAATTTTAGCATTACCAATAAGATTGCTGTATTTGGCCTACCGGTCTATCAAAACCCTTCCCATAAAAATCTGTTCCAAAAATTGGTTCTACCCCAATTTTTAGGGTTTAACCAATTGATGGAAGTGATTTTATGGATCAGGGTTTTGATTGGCCGGTAGGTACATAATACAGCAATCTTATTGGTTATCCAAAAATGCATTTTAATTTTAAAGTCTAATTTTCAAGGATATTCGAGCACGGTAGGTCCCTTAACCCTACGCCGCCAAATGTGCCATATATGGCACAAGGGCTTTCCAAAACACATTTTCTTCTCCGTCATCATTTCGGGTTCTTCCATTTTTACTCATTTTCGGGCAATAGTCTGGGCTTGGGTTTGGGTTCATTTTTGAGCTCGGGTTCTGGTTCGAGTTCGGATCTTGGCTAAGGTTCGGGTTCGGCCATTATATGGGGCCTAGGACGACGGAAAAGATGATGTGCCATATATGGCACATTTGGCGGCGGGGGGTGAAATTTTAATTGGCGGCGTAAGGTTAAATTACGATTCATGGGCCGTCTCAGCCAATAAGAAACTCGTATATCTTTTTTAAGCCTATCAAGTCAATATTTGATTACTCACTAGTTGAAGGGATTAAACGAAGCTGGAAGCGAGGAAACAGTTTGTAGGATCAATCCAATCTTCAAAATTCTCATCAGTTTTTTCTTCTTTGCTCAAAAATAGACTCTTTTAGCAATGCACTTCTTCCATCCCCCCTCTTTAAAAGGTTCCATCGGCACTTGGTGGTGTCAGAAGCTTCAAGCGGGCGCAATCTTTCAACAAAATCAATTATTCAACAACGATATTTTTCTCATTGCAAAACAGAAGAGACGGTATTCTGAGATTACTTATCTCATTTTCGATTCACTATTCGATCAGATACTGTCATTATCAAGCCACTGCATATTGCATTTTTGGTTTGTACCAAAAGCAAATTCGTTTTCGGAATACTGTTCCAGTATAACTGTAGCCCTGAATGAACTCACTTTCGAGAGCAAAAGTCGCTCGTTTCTGACCCTTTTTCTTTGATTTTCGAAATTCATTGCGTCTCTTTTTACGACACTCCCATTACTCCTGCTCTCAAAAACGCTTTGGTGTCTCGTTCACCTCGCCACGCCTATTTTCCTGAGAAAAAAAAAAGAAAGACAACTTCAAAGCGGAAATAACTGAATTACTCAAAAAATGCCGCCTCAAGAGAGAACCGATTTTGAAGTTTTCGAAAGGTAACAAAATTGACTAAATTTTTTTAAAAATAATTATTTTTTTAATTATTTAAGAATTAATATTTTTTAGCAGAAAAACAGATCCTTCTTCATCAAAAATCCGAGTTGGTCTGAATGGATTTGGCAGAATTGGCCGGTGCGTCACTAGAATCCTAGCAGAGCGGGAAAATATCGAAATCGTCGCCATCAATCACTGCGGGCCGATTGATTACATGTGCTACAAGCTAAAGTACGATTCGACTCATGGAACCTTCAATGGATCGGTCGAGCCGACACAGGATGGCGATTTGATGCTGAATGGAAAAAGGGTTCATGTTTTTTCAACAAGGTAAGAAAAAGATTCTTTCGCCAGAAATTTTCTTTTGGAGAAAACCCGACTAAGATTTAAATGATCAAAGAAGAAACCATTCTTAATTTTTAAACCTTCCTTATGCAGGATATCCTTTATATCCAGAATCAATTATTCAAAATGATTACCGAAAAATCTGTGTTTTCAGAGACATCAACGAGCTGAACTGGGCGTCAGTCGGAGCGGATTACGTCATCGAGTCAACAGGCGTCTTCAACAGTCTGGAGAAATGTCAAGCTCATCTCGACAACGGCGCCCGAAAAGTGATCATCACCGCGCCGAGTCCAGATGCGCCCATGTTCGTCTTTGGCGTTAATCATCAGCTTTATTCTCCAGGTTTGACTTTGACAGATTGAAAAATGAGTGCAGAAAAAAAGCTGCTCGATGACGTTATTAATTAAAAATTCTCCAGACAACTTTTTCTTTTGAAGAAATGCGGGTGATTTCGAATGCGTCCTGTACTACGAATTGTCTTGCGCCAGTGGTGAAGATTATAAACGACAATTTTGGCGTCAAAGAAGCGCTAATGACGACTATTCACTCATACACCGCTTCACAGACACTTGTTGATGGTTCTGCGAAAGGCAAAAAGGTGAGAGAGGTTATAATATAATATAATATATAACTCGATTTTTCAATTTTAGAGCTGGCGAGATGCTAGAGGCGGCGCAGTAAACATCATTCCTGCCACGACTGGCGCCGCAAAAGCTTGCACAAAAGTGATTCCCGAACTTGCTGGAAAAATAACTGGCATGGCGTTTCGAGTTCCTACCCCGAATGTGTCCGTTGTCGATCTGACCGTCAAGTTGGAAAAAGAAACGAGCTACGAGGTGATTATGAATACGATCAAAGATTCGGCGGTTGGAGACTTGAAAAACGTCGTTCAGGTGAAAAAAACTGAGTTTTGGTCTGATAAATAGGCGTTTATCTAAAATTGGAACTCATTTTTATGGAATTTCAAAACCTCGAAAACGACTCTTGGAAATTTTTTTTCAAATGCATTTTTAAGAAACTTGAAGGCCTGCCGGCCTAAAAAAACCCCGTAAAAATCAAGCTCTCGGGCCCCTTTGTCATTTTAGCGGGGTTTTGTTAGGCCGGGAGGCCTTCAACACCCTTAAAATTTGATTTGAAATTTTTTTCCAAAATTTGTTTTGGAAAAAATCTTGGAAATCTCTGTTTCCAAAAAAAAAATTCCAAAATTAGACAAATGCCGATAAATATGCCTTTTTCAGGTCACTGATGTTCCGCTTGTAAGTTCTGACTACAATACGACGCCATTCAGCTCGAGTGTTGATGCAGCGGCTGGAATGGAATTGAACTCGACTTTTTACAAAAGTAAGTTTCAAGAATTGCTCCATAGGGCCTCAGAAAATCGATTTTCTTGTCGGCCAAAATCCTCAATTTCCGCCGTCATCCCTTTAAAACAAGAAATTGTCGCTAGAATTTGACATTTTTTCTAGTCATCATCTGGTACGACAACGAATGGGGATACTCGCAGCGAGTTGTTGATCTTCTTCAATATGCTGCATCGAGGGAAAAAACGAAGATCAAATCAACCATCAAAGAAATTCTAGAAGACACTGCCTGATTGTGAGAATTTAACTGCTGATTTGTGTTTTTTGATGTCTGTTTGAATTGATTTTTTTGAATTGAATAAAGATTTTGTCTGATCGTTTCGACCACGAATCTGAAATTTCTTTGTTTTTGATGAGCTCTGTTGATCAGGAAATTGCTCAGATGAAAGTAAAAATTACTTCCGCAATTGTCTTCCTTGATTTCATTGAAAACCAAGTCCAAAAACGTCCAATCATCGAAATTCTTCCGACGCATCCATTTTTTAACTCGAATAAACCCGACTCGCCCAAGATCGAATTTTATGCCCCTACTTAGTATAGCTTCGGTTTTTCTCGATAGTTAAGTTTTACGATTGCCGTCAGCCGACTAGGTCAAGACTTGACGGAGCAGATCTGTTTCTGACTTGCTGCAGAACAGGTCGGGGGATTTTTAAAAAGAGATGAAGCTGACTTATTTGGCCGGCTCAGGAAATGTTCTAGAGACAAATTTGCCTTCAAATTTGGTTAAAGAAAAGATTTCCCAAAAAAATTTTTTATGAACATTTTGAAAAGTCGCCGTTGCCGAGGCCTGGGAATGGTCCCTCGTCGACGAGGTCACCTGTCTAGAAAATTCTAGCTACCAGGAATGCGGCACTGACCGTGAAATCTGCGGTGGAATGGAGCATATGGAAATGTCTTCTGATTGCTACAGAGGGTGCTTCTGTGATGATGGTTATATTCAGACTCGGGCTGGGGTCTGTATTCCTGAAGCTGACTGTTCTCCTGCTGGTGAAAGTAAGTCTTTACGAGGAGGGAATTTTTGCTCGACATAATTGGACGCTTATTGAACCGACTTAACATTTCGACTGCGGCTTCTTGATATTCGAAAATTGATTGATTGCAGGATAATCAGCGACTTTTGAGTTTAACATCATAAAAATGTCAAGGCCACATTGGTGAGAGAGAAAAGCTAGCGGTAAAATAACAATAAAATAAAAATGATGAAAGCCAATTAGTTGCTGAATTTTCATTTTTCTAACGATTTATTGGGAGCTCACACCCAGGACATTACCCGGGAGCATAAAATCAGTTAATGATCATTACCTGTCAGCAGTGATGATTTGCGTTCAAGAGTCATTTAGTTACCTGCTTGGTCGCGCAGTTCGAATCCTACCTGACCTTCTTTGGATTTGATGCGACGCTCATTTCTGGATTTGACTGGACCTGGTCCGGATTGGGAAACCACTGCGACACACCAACACCACCTTCTCCATGGACTCCCAAGACTCCAAAGACGCCTAAGACGAAGACCCCCAAGACCAAAACCCCTAAAACAAAAACCCCAAAAACCAAAACTCCTAAGACCAAGACCCCAAAAACAAAGACCCCTAAAACCAAAACACCAAAAACGAAGACGCCAAAAACCAAGACACCAAAGACAAAAACACCCAAGACCAAAACTCCCAAGACAAAAACCCCAAAAACAAAGACGCCAAAATCTGGAAAAACGAAAACACCAAAGTCCGGAAAAGGAAAATCTGGCCGAAGACGAAGAGAAATCGACTCTCCCCAGCCTCGATTTAGCCGATCCGGAACTGGAAAATCCGGAAAGAGTGGAAAGGGAAAATCTGGCTATGGAAAGTCTGGCACCCCGAAATCTCCTAAATCCGGCTACGGATCCCCATCTCCTCAGATCTGCTACCCCAACTACTTGGAGAACTTCTGCTCTTACATCATTTCCAACTACGGAGGCGATCACGTGGACAGACTCTCTGCTCTCTGCTACGGTCCATTCTTCGCCACAACCCTCAACAATGTCCTGTACATTCAGCAGTTCACTGCTACCTTCGGCATCAGCTACTCGCAACTTTTCTGCCCAGTTTTCGACAGCGGCAACTTTTTCATCGACTTGACGACGATCAACTTTGCCGACTTCAATCTCGACATCGATGTCAACATCGACTACAACATCAACTTGATCACCCACGTCAACACCTACCAAAACGTCATGATCGAGTTCATCCAGAGCTGCGGCTTCACTGGTGTCATCGAGAAAATACTCATTCAGCTGACGATGGAGTTCAACTGGAACGATTTCTACGGCGAGTTTGAAGCTGTCTTTGAGTTCTTCACAAGTTCCATCGCGGAAATGTTGCTCGACGTCGACTTCGTCGCTCAAATTGTCCTCGTTGATGCTGATGTGGTCGCTTCCCTCGGAAATGTGATCACAGTCTTCATCAGCCAGAATATTGAGGTCTTCTTTACCACAAATATTGAATTCTCGATCGGTGGAAATTTCGACTGGGATTGCTCAAATGTAAGTTTTGACATCAAAAGATGGCAAATTGACATTTTTTAGGATGGCTGGTGCTTCACTCCTCCACAAATCCCCGTCCCATACGAGTCCGCTGCTATCGCTTGTGAATCGATTGGCGGACAAGTCGCTGGATCAGACCACCTCGACTTCATTTCCGGAATGGGACAAGTGACTGGTCATGAATTCTGGATGCATTTCGATGTTTCCAACGCCTGCTCTTACGTAAGCCCCCCCCCAAAACGACCCCTTCTTAACTCTCCTTCAGATGTCCGGATTGAGCAACTGGAACATGAATTTGAACGCTTTCGTCAGCCACGAGCATGGCTACATCGACGTCGGTCATTCGGACAAAGAATGCTCCTTTATTTGCACCAAGCCTCAGGCTCCATTGCCACCAGTTCCGCCAGAAGGTGGTGTGGATTTCTGCCATTCGATCATTGGCGGCAAATTCGAGCAATACATGTGGGCTGTTGGATCTTGGACGGAAATGAACGACTCTGATAGAGAATTCTACCCTGCTTCAACAGGTTAAAAGGAAGCGAGAGAATTCTTTACTTATTGTTATTTTAAGACGCTGAGACCTTCGACAAGCTGTCAGTTATCCGCTACGAGTCCGACTGCGGAATGTTCAAGTTCAGCTTGAAGTGTCTCAAAAACAACTCGGACAACCTCTACTATTGGATGCCATGCAACAGCATCCGATGCAGCGGTTTCGACCGAGAAATCTGGCTCACCGAAGAAAAACTCAACGGAATCATCGACGGCAGCTACCAAATGAACTGCAACTAGAAAATATTTCACCGCTAGACGAAAACTTTCCTCCTGAATCAAAAAAGAAATGACAATTCTTTCAAAAATAAACACTTCCCTTAAAATTTTCAATTGACCTTTGTATTTTCTTCATCCCTTATTTTCATGCGCGATTGGGTCTTCGAACGTGCCCTGGGGCGGCAAGTGCGCTGCACTTTTTTCCCGGAGAAATTCGATTCTTCCAGTAAATCTGGGAAATGGTACTTTTAGAGAAAACAAATCAAGATCAAGAAGCAACGTAGAGACGACTGAAAATGATGATATTTTTTATAACTTGCTTATTTATTACTGTAAATGGCCAGTGCCCACTTGTTTGTTCCTGCGATGATCATGATAAAACGGCGAATTGTGGCAATCAAGAATTAGGTAAAACGGGACTATTTGTGAAGTTCGAAAGGAAAAATCATAATACAGAAATTTTTATTAGAAATTTGGCCTTTTTAAGATTTGAAAAATTGAAGAAAATAAAACAAAAAAGATAATTTATTACTAAAGCAATTAAAAATTAAGATGCAGTACCAGAAAATCTCCCATGGTTCGTACAAGATCTGACTCTATCCGAAAATCAGCTAACGCGAATTCCGAAAAATGCCTTTCCCTCAAAAAATAATCTTCTCATGGTCAACTTCCGAAACAACCAGCTAGTAGATATCGCTGACGGGGCATTTGCGGACCAGAAGAAGTTAAAGACATTGACGTTTTCAAACAATCAGCTGACCAGAGTCCCAACAAACGGAATTTCTAGCGCCAAGGTAAACCATTCAAAAAACCCTTCATCCAGTTTTTCGTCCAGCAACTAAAAGAGCTTTTCCTCGACCACAACAAAATCCAAATGATTCGTCAAAAAGCGCTTTATGAAAATTCACAGCTAGAATGGCTCCATCTTGCGCATAATAATATTTCGATGATTGCTGGCGACGCATTTTCGGGCCTCAATCAGCTTCGATTCTTGAATTTGGAAGGGAATCAGATCAAGGCGATCGGGGCTCGTGTTCTTGCCCATCTTTCTAGGTACGATTGATCTCCTCTAGAATTCCTCAATGCTCGATTTTCAGCTGTGTGATTCTCGATCTATCCTCCAACTTGATCAAGCTCATCCACGAAGACGCCTTCAAGCCTCTCTCCGCCGCGAACACGCTCAAACTCGACTCAAACAAGCTCACCGACAATTCCTTTCCAAGCAACGTCTTCGAGCGATCCTCGAAGCTCGAAGTTTTGACGCTCACGAACAACTCCCTGGCGATGATTCCGCCGCCAGAAGTACTGAATGGACTCAAGAGCCTTTCGACGCTGAGTTTGTCGGCAAATCAGATTGTTTTGGTGAAGACAAAAGGGATGACCTCGATTTCGACTTTGAGGAGATTGCATTTGGATGAAAACAGAATAACGATCCTAGAGCCAGAATCATTCGATGGCCTAAAAAACCTAAAAGAACTCGACCTGAGCAACAACAAAATCAAGTCGATCAACAATCACCGTTTTGACGATCTCGTCGATCTCGAAAAACTCGATCTCGCTAAAAACACTATCTCAAGCGTCGAATCAGCTTCTTTCACAAAACTGCACAACTTGAAAGAGCTAGATTTCTCGAAAAATAAAATTGAAGAACTTGATCCGGAAATTTTTCTCTACAACAAGAAGCTTCATCAGCTCAGGTAAGAAATTAAGGACAACAATCCGAGGAAAAAAATTTTTTTCTAGTTTGAACAACAATCATCTCAAAATCCCTCACGTAAACTGGGTCAAAAACTCCGACCATCTGAGCGTCCAACTCGACAAGAATCCCTGGACTTGCGGTTGTCACATGGTTGTTTTTTTGAACTCTTTTCTTGATGGTCGTCATTCCGCGACTGTAAGTGTTCTTTGCCGCTTTTTTTTTTCTCATGTGAACTTTAGACCGTCCTGAATCAAATAATCTGCGATGAGCCGGAAGAGCTAAAGGGTCACCCTGTCAATGACATTGACGAGGGACACATGCATTGCTGGCAAGAAGTCGATCTTCTATGGGACGCAGCCGTTTTTATTTGGGTAAAACTTATCAATTAAAAATTCAATTATCCGATTTTTTAGTTCCTGACCCTGATTTATATTATGCGAAAATGGAGGATTCTTCAACTTTGTTGCTGCTGCTTCGCTCGGAGGTCAAAAACGACTTGAAATCATCAACTTTAGAATATTTAAATTAAATTTCTCAATAACCACTGTATACTCAAACCTGTAACATAAAAATTGTAAATATAAAAACTTTCGAATCACATGCCCTTTTTCTAGAATGCTTGAAAAATGAAGGATTCAGCAAACCTGACGATTGGAAAGATCTTTTACGTCTTGGTCTTTTTTCAGTTTCCGCTCTTGTACATTTTTCATAAAGGTACTTTATTCTTCATCATCGGCGTATCGAGAAAATTAAGGCCATACCATCCCATTTTATGCGTCATATGACGGGAACTACTACAAAACTCTGGTCAAAGAGCTCTCAAGCGATGTCTGGGAGTTTATCAATGAAGATCAAAATAAGCTAGCGAGCATTCAGGTATCTTAACAAGTCCTTTTTTCTAGAAACATTTAATATGAAGACCCACAATGTTTCTTTTCCATTACTTATATGATGATTTAAAAATCTTATTCAATTGATTATAATGATCTTAGCCTATCATGTAAAAAATAAAAAGAACTGCTAATACCACAACTACATCAAGACATCAGCGTTAGTTTAAAAATCAAGGTGATCAAACAAGTTGTCCAGACATTTGTGATGCAACTCCAATCAAAAAATGAAGGAATCAAGGACGCCGAGGAATACGAATTGGTCAAGGACACCATATCTTCCTACCTCATCGACACAGCTCTAGAAGATGTAACGAACAATATTTTTCACCTCCCGAAGCCCGAAAAGTAAGTCAAACGAAAGAAATTCATGTTAATTTCTTCCAGAACACATGACTACCCCGAAAATTGGCAATCCTGTCTCGAGACTCCTCCAAAACTCCGGGGTCAACTCGAAGTCGATCTGAATCAAACCGCTGGTCCAAAGTCCTTCAGCGAGATCGCCACCGACTCCCCCGCTCTCAAGTCCGGCGGCCACTGGTCCCCAGCCTATTGCAAGGCAAAAAATCGGGTCGCGATCGTCATTCCTTATCGAAATCGAGAAATTCACCTGCGCTACTTTTTGATGTACATGCACAAGACTCTCCAGCGACAAGAGCTGGACTACCAAATTTTTGTCGTCAACCAAGTCGATGATAATTCCTTCAATCGTGCGAAACTGCTCAATGTTGGATTTGTGGAGGCAATGAAGCAATACGACTGGCAATGCTTTGTTTTTCATGATGTCGATCTTGGTAGGCTTTTTTCGGAAAAACTGCGTTTGAACCTGACCTTCAGTCTTGGAAAACGATAAATGCCTGTACCGTTGTCCCGAAATGCCGAGACATATCTCCGTTGCCATCGACAAGTTCAAATACAAGCTTTTATACGCGGCCATTTTCGGAGGAATAACATCGATGACGACGGACCAGTACATTCAACTCAACGGCTATTCAAATCTCTTCTGGGGATGGGGAGGCGAAGATGATGATATGTTTAACAGGAATGAGCCCAATATCTTAGGAGATCTTCGAAAAAGGAAAAAAAAGAGCTCATGTGAAGAATTCGTTTCGCAAACATGAAAATTCTCCGTCCTCCACCAACAACGGCTCGTTTCAAAATGATCAAGCATGATCATGAATCATCAAATAAACCGAACCCTAAAAGATTTTCTCTCCTGAAAAATTCTCTTTCAAGGTTCGCTTCCTTATTTATTCTCTTCCAATTTGTTTCTAGAATGTCCGAAGACGGCCTTAACTCCCTGGAATACACCGTCAAAGCGATCCATAAATTCCCAACGCATACGATGATCGACGTCGACCTAGGAAACGATGGCCGACCTAAGGCAAAAGTTACACTTCAACAGCTTCGACCTCAAACTTGAAATGATCATTTTTCCTCTTCAAACAATTTTTAACGCTCCTGCCAAAAAATAGCTTTTGTGAATAAAAAACAACAAAATAAGGTTCGTTTTATTCAAAAATATCCTGCAAGACGACCAAAATCTCCACTTCGGTCAAGTTTGTCAATAATCATTCGTCTCAAATGATAGAGCTTTACTGCTTTCAAATTATTCTTGAAAGAGTAATAGAACCTTAAATTTTTTAAGAAAAAGAAAGAAATAAAACAAAAAGAAAAAAAGCTTACTTGTCATTTTGAACAGCCGAAAAAGCGCTTGAAATAAAAAGAAAAAGGTGAACTTTCATTCTGAATGTTAAAATATTCAATGCTTTTTTTCTTGTTTGAAGGCTTATAAGAAGACTAGCATTCTTTATTTATAACTTTTAAGAGTTTGTTGTTCGTAGTCAATAGTTGCCAATTTGCTTTATTGTTATTTTTGAGATAGTCACTTATAAATTTATATTGCCAGATTTAGAACTATTGTTTTATTCAAAAATTTTCAATGAATTTGAGGAAAATTATAAATAATGTCCAGCGAGAATACCAAAATCCCCATTGTAACCGAGTGATTCTTGCAGCATTCTCTTGATGTAGTGAAATTTCGACACCTTCAGTCGATATTCAAATTCCTCCATGCTTTAAAAACTCAGAAATAAAGTCAGTATTTAAAGTATACTTATCCAAATATTTCGCGAAAATGCCACCAGAGAAAATAAAAAATAGAGTAAAATTCATTTTTAAATATGCTCAAAGGAGCATCTTACTTGAAGTTTATACCTGTGATTTTGAAGCGTTCGCTTTCATCTTTAATTAATTTTCTTATTTAACAAGGTAGTTGGAAATGTGCTTCTTCCGCATCGAATTGAAAAGAAACATAGTAAATAAAATATCACATCATTGATTTTTTTTTCAAATTTGCAGCAAGACATAATTAAAATTGTTTAAAAAATTTCTTTTATTCAGAATTTCCCAGCAAGAATTCCAAAATCACCATTTAAGCCAAGTGATTCCATCAGCATTCTCTTTATGTAATGAAATTTTGCTTCTTTCAATTGTTCTTCGAATTCAATCATGCTAAAAAGATTAATTGCGACACCAGATTATATTATATTATGGTCCCTATAAAATTACTTTTATGGCTGCCAATGCTTACTTTTCCGGGTTTTCTCCGCCAAATGCTACTGATAAAAGAAAAAGAAAACTCAATTTCATTTCGAGAAACGACTGGAAGTGGCTGTCCATTCTGCTATTTATACAGTATGATACTGTATCATCTCTTATTCAGTATCGTTTTATGATCGTCAGGAGATCGGGAAATATGCTCAATTTGCAATTTGCGAGATGTTCTTTTTCTCATTCTTTATCTAGGTCAAACGTTTCGAGACGAAAACAAATTTTGACGGATTTATTTGAAGAATAAATGTTTTTCAGAAATATCCGTCTAGTTGTCCATAATCTCCTGTGTAGCCATTTAGCTCCATCAGCATTCGTTTGATGTATCGAACTCTCGCTTTTTTCAGACTATTGTTGAAGTCGGTCAAGCTAAAAAATGATAGAAAAAATAATGAAATGGACTTACAAATCCGGGTCTATTGAAGAAAGAACGCTTGAAAAGATAAAAAGAATGCAAATTCTCATTTTTTTGAAATGGTTCCAGAACATCGTTTTTTTGAGTTTTTATACCGTTGGCATTTCTTATTCTGACTAAATTATCGACTTTCCGTTTTATTTTCTTAACAAAAAAAGCGTGTCAAAGATTAGGTGATTATTTTCCCTCATCAAGTAGCATCTGGCTTATGATCCCGAAGTGGTGAGGGTTCATTTTATTTAGAACAGAAATAGAAAGGCAACGAAAATTTTTGTACATGTTTAAGCTTTAAACACTCAGACGGAGGTATTCTTCAAGCACTGCTACACTTCAACAAAGCGATCTGGCTCCACTAAAAATGCGTAAATCGCTGATCTGTGGTATTTGCCCTCTTTAGCTTTCCCATGAATCAAGCGATGAATCACGGGACTTACTTCTGATATTGACTGTAGGAGGTGGGTAGGAGGTTGAATTTGATGATTGAAGTTCGACAATTCTGTTGTTTTGGTGAGTAGAGGCTTTTTTCTTTGATTGTTTTGATTTGGAGCTTTTTTTCTTGGAGTTTTTGGGTTGGGTTTGAATAAGATAATTGTCTGATCCAGCGGCTCGAGACGAAGTTCCTAAAGATGTCGCATTTGAATACGCCAAAAAAATTTGGTAGAATCTATTGATGATGATCATATGATCATAGCTATAGCTATGATTCATAGGAGAGGTTTTAGTACTAGTGGAACTATATGGTGGACACTGGTCTTTAACTCGTGACGGGATTAAAATCATTAGCTCACTCAACACTTCCTTTTAAAAATATAGACCTATGTTTTAGAATGTTAGTTTATGGTCTCTGCAAAATCAACTAGATTTTCTTTGAAAAAAAAAAGAAAAAAGTGAAGACATAAAACTCAGTATACGCGACAATAAAAGCTGGCACTCACTACTATAAGCATTTTGAGCATTCTGAGGCATCTGCATCTGGCCTTGCGGCTGGGTAAAGTTCTGAAACCCTTGAAGATTTTGACCGGCGTAGACAGCAGAACTCATCGGAGACTGAAACTGATGAAATCCTGAACCCGCGAGAGGATATTCTAGCGCTGGTTGCGTTGTTTGAACTTGGTACTCCAGACGTCCTGGAAAATAAATTTAATAGATCATAACGATCGTAAGCACTTACCAATGTGTCGCTGTAAATCTTCTATGTGTCTTTTTAACCCGTCGACATCAGCTTCTTTTTGCTTTGCTTTTTGTTGATTATGATGGCATCTTCCTTTGCAGCAAAGGTTGTCGCAGCATTTACACCCATTTCTAAAGCGCTTTTGATTTTGAAAAATTATTCTGTAAGTACCTGCAAGAAAAATATAAAATAAGCATAATACAAATTACAGCAACTAAAACGCCAATAACAATGACGGCAATTTGACCTCCTCCTTTTCCAGTAACATTCAGGTTCAAGTCGATTTCTCCATTAACATCGATCTTGTCAAAGTCAAAAAATTTTTTGGGTTGGGGTTAGGATTTTTAGGAGTATGATTCATAACTTATGATAGTAATAGGGTTAGGGTTGGGGTTAGGTTTTTGACTTTTTCCTCTGATGATGACATATTTCAGGGTCTATTTTGATACTTTTTCTCTTTTAAAAATTTTTGATAATTAAAAAATCTTCGATAAGTTTTTGATCTTTTGGAAAGTGTGCAAGCTGCTTGGATAGTTGGTTTGGAATGGGCCGATCGTAAAAACTGCAAATAGGACTAGTTCTATGTCAACAATGATCACTACTCTCCAGTGAGATGCATATTTGCTCTGACAAAATTTGGATCCTCAAGTTTTTCGACTCGAATTGAGTCATTTGCTTGTTCATTCTTTTAATGAGTTTTCAAAGAATTGCGGCTTGGACACGCGGCTAATTTACATTTTTACAATGTGGTTGTTCAATAACTAACTCGATAAAGAAAACTCAGCTTGTTTGTCCAATTTGTTGAACAAGGCGTAAGTACACGCCAAGCTCATAATTAGATGTTCCTTTCTTGTTTTGTATCCTCTCCGCTCTGTTTTCGACCAAAGCAAACGAAAACTCACGTTCCGGTCCTCGAAGAAAGAATGTTTTTATTCATCAAAATTGTTTAGTAATGAGAAACTGCATTGATCACTCGCGCCCTCTAAGCAATCATGATAAACCCTTGAACAAAGCGAAGAAACCACAAAAGGGTCGAAATTATCGACTCGAAAAATAGAGATTTTCGTGTTTCTTTTTTTGGGAAAAGGAAGTTGAAAAAAGAATGATAAAATTTTTTATTAACTCCTTAGCCGTGGGACAGATGCTCATGGGGCCAAGAGATTCACTTGATGATGAGCCGGATACTGAAACTGGTAAGAAAGATACCGATTTTTCAGGAATAGACAAAAATTTCGACAAATTTTGCGTTGAAATTTTCAACAAATCAGAAGCCTGGATTCGCCTAACCGGCCAATCATCAGCTGAATAGCCGCCCACGCAAAATTTGTCGAATTATTTTGGGCTCCTAATTTTCGAGGTCGAAATTTTCAAAATTTTCGTCCCGAAATTTTTTTCTACAAAATTTTATTGATTATTTTTTTTAAATTAATAATTGTTATTCTCTTAAATATCGTTTCAGCATAATAACCCTTTATTCTAGCGTCGATCGGTCTTCTCGGACCACGAAGATGGAGTCAGCTTCTTGGCTTGATGACCCGGTACAATCCGGACTTTGACACGAGAACGTATTTTGCTTACGGATGCAATTGTCAGTTTTTTGGTGATCGACCGATGAGCGGGTTAGTTTTTTCAAGCTTTATTTTTTTTAATATTTTTAGCCCTGGCGGCGGGCCACCAATGGACAAACTCGACCGAACTTGCCGAGAATACCGGAATTGCCAGAAATGCACGAGAATGCAATTCGGGGACGAGTGTCGCGGCGAATTCGTTCGTTACTCGGAAACGGTCGATGCACTTGGTAACTACAAATGTGGAGATGAGCCGGGCACGTGTGCCAGGGCAATTTGCGAGTGCGACCATCGATTTGCGCGGGAACATGCTGATAAGGTTTGTTTTGAGGGAAAACTTGGTTAACGAAAGTGGAGCGTTGACTCATATTTTTCCAAAAACAAAATTTTGTTTTCGAAAAAGAAAAGGCCTTAAAACCGTTCTAGCGCGAATTTTACAACGAAGAAAACCACAGTTTCTATTCTCCAAGTGGCTTTGACGACCGTGTCTACTGCCCTGCTTCTCGAGGAACTCGCAATCGTGATTACCAAGCAGATTTGCAGTGCTGCGGAGGTGAGTCAAAGCCGTTTTTGCTTTACGATGCGAACGCGAAGTCTTGCTGTGATGGTATTGTCAACGAAGGTGGATGCTGAAAAATGCTGATGTCATTGATGATGAAAAACTGATCGACGAAAGATTCTGAATCTTTAATGCTGTAAATAAACTCTTATCAAAAACTTTTGGGTTCCATGCTTCATTTTGGGTTTGGTTGAGTTAAAGTCAACTGCAGACTGTTTCAAAACGGCAATCGTAGTAAGAATATTCTTTGACAAATGGCTTCTCCCAAATTAAAATCAGTCGTAGAGTAAGAATCTCATACCAAAAACGACAGTTGAACTATAAAAAAAGGCGAAGTGTCCGCTCCGCGGATGAATTGTAAGTAAACTCATGACTTGGTCAAACCACATTTTTTCAGTATTCTCATTTCTAGAGTTGATTTATTTTCGAAAAGCTTGGTACCCACGTTAGCCGAAAATGCTGAGCGTGGGTACCGGTACCCACGTTCGAAGAGAGAGTCGAATGTGGGTATAGTACCCACATGACCGCATAACACCAAAAGGGCCGCCACATCCAACAATATGAATTCCGCTAACGAATCCGCCATGCCATTGTGCGCAACCATTGTCTGATTCTAAAGCTGTTGGCATATACGATGCTTTAGTTCCGTCCTCATTGAAGCACACATTTGTAAATTTTTGTTTTGAGTATCCTACCCAGATAATTACTTGATTTAGCTTTATGCTTCTAAGAAATTGATTATACTCAGTTGCGTCGCGAAAAAATGCAAGATGACCGATCGTGTCCTTCCCTAATTTCTCGCCCTTTATAGTGCAATTTGCCGATGCCTCATTTCGAGAAATCTTTATCATTTCATTATCAGGATAAATTCGAAACGATAAATTTGTCTCTGCTGTCGTAGTTGTCGAATTTGTCGTAGTTGTAGGGGATATTTCAGTCGTAGTTGTCGGTGTTGTCGTAGCTGTCGTAGTTGTTGTAGCTGTCGTAATTGTCGAATTTGTCGTAGTTGTGGAATTTGTCGAGGTTGAAGACGATATTTCAGTCGAAGTTGTCGTTGTTGTCGTAGCTGTCGTAAATGTCGTATGAGCCGTTATTGTCTCCGCTGTCATAGTTGTCGAATTTGTCGTAGTTGAAGAGGATATATCAGTCGTAGTTGTCGGTGTTGTCGTAGCTGTCGTAGTTGTCGAATTTGTCGTAGTTGTAGAGGATATTTCAGTCGAAGTTGTCGTTGTTGTCGTAGCTGTCATATCTGTCGTATTTGTCGTAGTCGTTGACGATTTTTCAGTTGTTAATGTCGTAGTTGTCGGTATTGTGGTTGATGTCATTGATGATGAATTCGTCAATGTAAAGTCTGTGATTGGAGTTGCTTGATCTCGTAATACCAAATAGATTACCAAAGAAAATGTAAGAATAATCACACTTTTAAAGGGTCAATTTTTGATTGATTTTTATATATTTCTTCATAAGGATTTTAAAATTAAAAAATATGTTTTTTAACCTGGCCTTGCACCTAATGTCATAAAAGGAATCTTCAATTTGCAATATCTGAATTTCCACCATCTATCTTCTTGTTCCTCGGGTAACCAGGGAAGTCTTGAAGAAAAACTTGAATTTGTACTTCCAATAGGACTCTCTGTAGCAGGTCGATCTCTGTAGCTCGTTCTCTGACTCATTTTAAGTGCACTTTACTTTTTAGTTAGTAACTTAATATTATGTTTCTTTTCATGTTTGAGGACGGAAAACGCTCGATTTTTCATGGTTCAAAAAATTTATTCATAAAGTTTCGAGCGTAAAAACTTTTACCACAAAATTCATTCTTTTCTGATTATTTGTTTTGTTATAAAAGTCTATATCTGAATACATTAATTGACTGCCATAATAAGTACGTTCAAAATGCCCTGAAAAAGCAGAAAGTTTTTTTTATAAGATGTTGATCCCAAAACTGATTGTTCCATCTCATACTTTGGAAACACCCTTCCGCTTTAAATTACGATTGTTATTACCAGCAACTAGCAACGTGGTGCTCGTGTTGGTCTTTATTTACTTATTCACGAGTCATAATTGACTATGGGATCTATCTAGCGCTAGAATAATTGGTGGGTCATTCAATTTCGACTTTATCAATGATTTGGATTAGCGATCAAATTATTGGCAAGAAGTTCAAATAGGCTTTTTTAAATAAATGGGGCAAACTCGTTAGTGAACACTTAAAGCTCTTGAAAATCAAGAATAATCTTGAGATTTATTTTCCATGGAAACAAAAACACATCGAGTTTTTCTTTTTTTATTTCAATTGTCGAAATTCTCAATAAGCAGAATTTTAAAAACAGAGAAGTAAATTTAGTGATGTCGAGATCTGCGTCAGCAAGTTCCCCAGCAGGATGGAAAAATGGATTGTTTGATATTTTCGGGAACTGGTCGATTTTGGGGTCAGTTTGTTGTGTGCCTTGGATTGTTGCGGGGAAGAATATCGAGGGAGTTGAGGAGAAGGAAAGGGCACAATTGAAAAAAAGCAAGAAATAAGGGGGCGTCGTTAGGAATCGACAAAAAAATCGCAATTAATTCTGCGTGGGCGGCTTCTCAGCTTCTGATTGGCTGTTATTCCGAATCCAAGCTTCTGATTGGTTGAAAATTTCCACGCAAAATTTGTCGGGATTTTTGTCGCTTCCTCATACTTCCTCAAAATTAAGGCCCCAAATTTTTAATCCAAAATTTTTATTGTACCTTTATGAGCCAGAAACATGGGGATCGCGATTTTGCTACCAAATGAATCCGGAAAGAGTTTTGAAAACGCATTATTTTTCAATAATTTATTCCTTCTTCAAACTCGATCAAGTGCACTCGAGGATTGTTGAGAAGCCAAATTCGAAAGAAAAAGATGATTCCCGGCTCTTTTGTTACCGACGTTTGCCTCCACTGTTTCTGCTCGAATTGTGCGATGATTCAGGAAGCCAAAGGTATACCCTTAATTTTCTTCTTTCAACCAGACGTGTATTCTAGAGCTCAATTCGATGGACCGACTTTTGAATGGAAACTCGATCGCTCCTGCTGAAAAAACCATCGCGCGAACTTGACTTTTTTCAAAAAATAAAAATTTTAGCATTTTTTTTTCTTTCTTTTTATCGAATAAAAAACTGTCTTAAACTTGAACATTGAGCCAAGCAAAAGTGTTAATCGCGCGCAACTGACCCCGCTCAAATTATTCAATAATTATTAAATCGCACTCCTTGTTAACCTTTTCATCAAAAAGAAAGAGGGAGATCCAGATACTATCTAGTCGTAGAGAAATCGAAAGAGAAAGAAGGAAGGATGACTTGGCGGTATATTGACCCGCTGCTGGAAAAGGCGGCTCGGCACTCGACGATTTTTGGGAAGTACTGGGCTACGATTATTGTAATTTTTCGACTGACAATGTTGACTTTTGCGGAGAGGGCCTGGAGTGATGAGCAGAAAGAGTTCAGGAATTTTTGACAGAAATACAGGAAGTGCAATGATAACTTCTCAATTGAGAACATTAGCAGTAGTCTCCTAACGATAGCAATGCTTGAGGATGTTTGGTTATGAAAATCACCTAAATACATAAGCAATAGTATAAATTCACTACTAAAAATAAAGTTTTATGATTTTTCTATTAATTTCATCAATTTTTTTCTAGAAATAGAATAAGTAAAATTTCTAAAAATCCTACCCTTTTTCATTTTCATCATAAAATAGGTGGTGGCCTAAAACGTCGTCCAGTTGCTGCATGTGCGGCCTAAAACGTCTCTCCTGTTCCTGCATGTGTAGGCCTAAATCGTCTTTCCTGTTCCTGCATGTGTTGCTCAGAACGTCTTTCCTGTTGCTGCATGTGTTGCCTAAAACGTCTTTTAGGCCCCTAGGCTAAATGAATGAGTGAGTCGAGAGATGCTTGGAAAACCACGTCGCCTAACAGCCCAATAATAGCAGTAATAGCTAGCCTCGACGATGACTCGGCTTCTTACGTAACGATGAGACAGGAAAACAGATATTAGCCTAGGGGCCGAAAAGACGTTTTAGGCAACACATGCAGCAACAGGAAAGACGTTTTAAGCAACACATGCAGGAACAGGAAAGACGTTGTAGGCCTACACATGCAGGAACAGGAGAGCCGTTTCAGGCCGCACATGCAGCAACTGGACGACATTTTAGGCCACCACCTATTTTATTTGTCAAAATAAAAAAGATGCAACACGAAAGAAGTCGGTTGCGAAAACGTCTGTTTCAATCAATTCGCGCCGATTTCCAATGTCCGTCTCTGGGGACTTCAGCTCCTTGGCTGCTGTATTCCTGCGTGTCTGTATCTCGTTTATGTCCTTCACTTAGTTTCAAGGGCGCAAAATGAAGATCGAGAGCGAAAGAATGCTATGAAAATTCAAAAAGTAGAAAAAATTATTTTCGAAAATCGTCAATTTTAGGCTCAAACTGACACAAAACCGCAGATCAACCAAAGCAACAACAACCAAAGCGACCAGAAAAGCATGGATTCCTTCAGCCAAAACATTCTCTCCGAGTCTAACAACGGTCTAAGCTTCAGGAAAATTCAGAAATTTCAAAAGAAGCAGCGAAAATACGCGCGATTCAACACCATGATCATCCCAGGTAGCGAATTCTGGGAGACTTGATTTTCACCGTTGATTTCAGCGGAGTATCGGAGCGATGCGGCGGCGAAATCGTCGATGGAGAGGAAAATTTGGAGATTTTACATTTATCAGATCATTTTTCGGACTATGGTTGACTTTGGCTTTTTGACTGTTCAGTGGCTCGTTTATCCCTACAGGTAGAATTATGAAGGTCTAGAGAAATAGTGAGATTTCAGATTTATCGTTCCGGAAATCTTCGTCTGCTCAACTGATCCATGTCCTTATCAAGTTAATTGCTTCGTTTCTAGACCGACAGAAAAGTAAGAATTCTTAATCTTGGTAAACGTGAAGAATATTTCTATCATTATCAAAGTTTCTCGCCTAAAAATGAACCAGATAATGCTTAAAATTTTAATTTTTTTCGTCATTATGGTTTTCAAAATTATCTAAAACTGACATCTTCAGAACAATTTTCTTCAACTACAAATACATCATCGGCCTGATCACCTGCATCATCAACGTCCTTGAGCTCTGGTATATCGGCTGGATTCGAATCAGGCGAGCGTTTCAAGAAGATCCCTCACCCCCTTACTTCGGTAATGCAAATAAAAATTCCCCAAATCAACACCTCTTTTCAAGATTCTCTCGGCGCTGGTTTAGACCCAAATCGAACCCAAGCTGGTTCTGAATGCTTTTCTTCGACTCACGATTCTATGTCGCTTCCTCCCATTCCCCCGCCAATGTCGATTCCCGAAATTCACGGGATGCCGAACTCTGGCATCAGAAAACTGTCAAAAGACCAGTTCTCTCCGCTCGAACCAATTTCTGCCTCGACTGGAAGCGGTTCCGAGAAAACTGGTAGCGCGAGCGGACGGTAAAAAATGAAAGATTGAATGACGCGTTGATGAGATTTTTAAGGAGCTCTTCAAAGAACAGATTAACAAGAAAACAGCAAGAACAACATCAACGAAGAGCAAGTAACTCACCGAAAATTAAGGATTGGAGCCTCAATTTTTGATTTTTTTATTGGGTTTTTAGTGATTTTTCGGCATTTTTGAAGCTCCAAAAAGATTGACAAGAATCAAAGTCATCGTATTTAAGAAATCATCCTTCCTGTATTTCATATTTTTTACAGAATAAACAGTCAGTCGCTAACCATGAAATCTCCAGTTAATCAAAAGATAATTGAAGTTTTTCTGTTTCTTGCGCGCGACCTTGTCGATGCATTTCTAAAAGAAGGTCAGTGATTCAATAAACATGCTTCGAAAAAATCGGTCTTACCGAGATTTGGCGCGTCCACGTGTTCTGCTTGAGATTTTCGCAGTTTTTGTAGGGAAGTTGGCAGAATGCTAAAAACTCAAGAAAATTTTTTCATTCAGCAATTTTACCGATGAAGGCTTCAGAACTCAAGTTCAAGGAGTTTTTCCAGCACTTAGCGCATTTTGAAATTTCTTCTCGATTTTCGCAAATTTCGCATTTTCCAAGGCATTTTTCGATGAATTGCGCTGTCTGTAGAAACCTCAAAAGGTCTTGCTCGTCGACTTTTATGCATTTTCCAAAGCTTCGGAAATAAACATCTTTTTCTGGAATTTCTATTTCGTTCCTCGGAATTTGCTCGTTTCGGGCTGAACCAAGCTCGAAATCCATGAGCATAATTTTTTCTCGCATCGATTCTTCTTGAATCAGCTCGTTGAGATTCAATTTTCGCGAAAGACAATTTTTCGCCTTTCGAAAAAATCTTCGAAAGTCATTTTCGTACTGGCAGTTTTCGAATTGGTAGAAATAGCAGAGCTCGTCAAAGGCAGATTCGGAGATGAGATTCTGCTCCCAACATTTGTAGCAGTCGAGAGAATTGACAGAGGAACAAACTTTCGTAAATTCAACAATAATTTTTGTTCGGATAGGGTTAGGGTTAGAGTTAGGGTTAGGGCCCCAAAAAGGGGGAGGTGTCTGGAACCGACGAAAAAATTTCGACAAATTTTGCATTGAAATTTTCAGCCAATCAGAAGCCTGGATTCGACAAACCGGCCAATCAGCAGCCTAGTAGCCGCCTACGCAAAATTTGTCGAAATTTTTTGTCGGTTCCAGACACCTCCCCTTTTTTGGGGAGGAAAAGCCTTTTTTTTTATCTTTTTATCTTTATTTTGAATTTCTCCTGATCCACAGTTCATCCTGAGCATCATGAGCCACTCACTCTGATCAGCAACATATTCATGAAAATTCTCTTCATATTTCGCCCCAAGAACGCAATCAATCACCTTCTCCGAAATCTTCGTAAAATCATCTTTTCCACCTCTTCTCGAACTCTTCAGATTTATAACTGAGCTGCTCTGCCTGCAAGAATTCGCAAAAGGCAAAAGAAAAACTGAAACTTTCATTATTTTTCTGTTTTAGGCTTTCATAATTTTCTTCCCAAAAACGGCCTCGCCCGAGCTCTAACGCAGCGTGACCTTTTTCAGCTGAATTGCGGTAAAAAATTCTGATAAGATGAAAATTTCAAATTTATTTGAAATTAATTTTATTAATTTTTGGTCGAGAAAATAATTTACAGAGCAGCATTTTTGTATTTTTCTTTTTAATGCACAGGATTTTGGTTTTTGTTCTGATCTCCTTCTTCTACAGTACTTTGTTTTTGTTCTAGAGTTTGTTCTTGAGCTGATTTCTAGGGTTTCAAGAGTTCTAGGGCTCATCTAGTGATGATCATCGGGTGGGCTTCGGTGTTGAAGACAAATTCATCGAGCGAAATTAGGTCGTCTTCGGAAAAGATCAAATACAGGTATCTAGAATGAGGCATGGAAAAGGGCAAAAGAGTGAGAACTTACTTGAGAGTTTCCGCGAGGAAAAACGACCGTTGAAGATTATCTTGAGTCGGTCTTGAGGAACCTGCATTTGCTAAACCGGCGTATCCGTACTCTGCTTTACAGTATTGCTCGATGGCTTGGGCGGCTTCCCAGGCCATGTCTCGGAATCTTTCTTCCTTCAACTCGGTTTTTACTGATCAAAAATCTCACTCTCTTGTTTTTGTTAAAACCAATTTTCCTTTGTAAGTCTCCACAGGTAAAAATAGCTCTCCACCACCTCTGGTCTTAAAATGTAGTACGCTGGGCTTCCGGGGCCGACTCCACCGAGCATGGTAAATCGCTCGGTCCCGATGTGGCTTGGAGAATTGTGATAACTGAGATGACAGCTGGTGGTGACAGATGCTCCGATTTCTAGATCTTCGGCAGGATTTTTGGCGAATTTTGCTCCGTATGCAACCATTCCACCTTTTTTATGCTCGAAAAATATTGAAAAATAAGGCCTTTTTTGGCAGTTCAACATCAATTTCGAGCATTTCCTGCGAAGCAAGCTAAATGTTGCATGGTATTTACTCCTCCAGGATAGTCTTGAAAGAACTTATGACCATCTTTTGACGATTTAAAAATTGACCTTCATTTTGAAAATTTGGAAAAATCAAAAATTTAAATTTTTGAATCGTTCCTTTATTCTTCAGCAAATGTTTCTTCGCCCCAGCCAGGCTCTCAAAATACATCTCCTTCGCCTGCTCATCTTCCAACCCAGTTTGGACGTAAGATTTGATCAAATATTCGTAGTACGAATCGCCCTCGGCTCCGTATGAGTACGAGCTCCCACTGGGACTGACTGTCCAGCTGTCCGAACCAGCTTTTCTCGGGCAAGAAAGTCGATTCGAAATCAGCCCGTCTTTCTTTTGAACATCGTGGAGAAGCTTTCGAATGCCATAAGCCCTATCCCACCAGTGTTTTTCGCCAGTAGCGTAGGCCAAATCGTAGTACTCCAAATGGAAGCTCCCGACTTCTGCGAGAATTCGTCCATTGTTTCCGTCGTGTCTTCCTGTTGCGGGATTAAAGTGAGCGGCGGGGAAGGGAGTGTTGAAAGCTGGATCGATTAGTTCTGCCACTTCTTTTGCTTTTTCAGCGAAGAGGTAGTCCCCGGACATATGGTACGCGCCAAGCAGCCCGCCGAGGAAACGGATGACGGTTTCGAAGGAAGAAAGCATCGAGTTTGAAACTAAAAAAAATAATTGAAAAAGAAAGGGGAGGAAGGTGTACTTCTCAGATTAAAGCTTTCAGCGACCCATCTTCTTCCTTCTTCAAACTCTTTCTCCAGCCCCATGATCCATAGCGTATCGAGTCCATCAATGATTGTAGCACCTGTTTTTGCTTTTCCAAAGATATTGCTCGTGCTTGGCGTTCCAGAGCGCGGCTGAACCTCATTGAACCCCCATGCTTTTTCTCTGTACCCATTCCAAGCATGTTTCATCATGTTTCTCACAAAATCCCTTCTCTCGATCAACACTGGATCTGACGGAGTACCGCGAGTATGATCATATGGTTTTTGGGGAATTTTGAAGACTTTTCCAAATTCGTAGCCGCTTTCTACTTCTTTCTCAGACTCGCTTGGACCGTGTTGAACAGGTCTTTCATCTTTCTTTTCTGCGGGAGGGCTTTTGAGAATTTTCGGGTTGATTCTGGCTTCGTCATCTTTGATCGCTGCCGACTGGTTTTGTTTCTTGAGCTTTTCAATTGTTTTTCGCTCTGCTCTCAACTCATTCTACAATTTTCGATTTGACATCAAAAAGTGGCCAAAATCTTACCGTTAACTTTTCAATATTCTTTGTCGACTGGTAGGTGCTGTAGCCAATGATAAAGATCAAGACAAAGGTCAAGTATTTCCATGAGAATTGTCGCTTCAAATTCATCTTTGTTTCTTTGCTCAACTAAAATTTACAGTGATAAGATCTCTCAAGAATGAAAAAAGGCGAAAACCTGCATCAGCGTTTTTGAAAGAAAAATGGGGAGAATTCGTTTTTGTTCGAAGAAAAAATGAAGAAAATGACGCTCATGGCGTTCTTTGTTCAATTTTTTTGAAAAGAAGAAGTTATTAAAAGCATTTTTCACGAAAAAAATGGGCGAAATGGACAAAAAATTGCGAAAATTTTGACAAAATTTTTGTCAAATATTAAATCGGCAAAAAAAATAATCGAGTTTTTGGTCAAATTATGCGTAAAAAGGACAAAAAAAAAACAGTTTTACTGAATCAAACTTACTGTCATTTTTCCTTGACAATTACTGTCTTTTATTCAACGCATTTTCGATTGATCATTTTCTCTTATTGCAATTTCTGAGATATTCTCTAATCATTTTTTCCAATTTTTTAGCTTTTATTTATCTAATCTTATTTTCAGAAAGGTTCCAAAAAGGAAAAAGCGCTACAGAGAGAAAACGCGAGAGTAAGAGAACGAGAAGCGTCTCAGTTGGCTGGCCAAAAGCCAACTGGGAATTGACCTAATCGACTCTTTTTCTTTCTAATTTGATTTTTTTTTCTGAAGGAGGGATTAATTATTAATCAACGCATATGACGATCGCGAACGGATTTTTTCAAGAGATGAAAAAAAGAAGTCAAAAAACGCGGAAAAAACCAACCAAACAGGCCGAACTTTTGTCTAAAAGGCCGATTTCGAAATATATCGTATTAAGGGGACCCCTTTGAAAATTTTTTCTACCTATTTTTCTCTTGATTTTTCTCAGTGGCCCTCTTTTTTCTCCCCGTAAACAGCTGTTTACTGCTCGCGACTATTTTTCTCTATTTATTGACACTATCTGCTGAAGCTTCTGTCATTGCTAATTTACAGCACACAGTTAGTAAGACAAAAGACTCAAGTCAATAGCACTTTCAGGTCTCGGTCAAATATTGACCTTTTTTATCTTCGACGGAAAATTTTCCAAAAAGAGAAAAATAGATTCTGTTTCATCAAAAACTCAATTTTATAAAAAGAAAAGTGACAAACCTCAATGTATTTTTTTTTAATAAAATTTCATTTTTTCGTTTTCTTTTCTTGATTTTCTCTTGATAGTTGTTTTTTTCAAGGAAATTTTTTTAACAACTTTGGCAACTGAGAATAGCGCCGTGCCCAGGAGCGATACTTCGCCGATGAGCCAACAATATATGATGATAAAGATTATTTGGGCGCACTGTGGGGACGTGGCACCTGCTTTTGTCGTGACCTTTGACCGACTTTGACTTTTGCTGACTCGAAAATTATTCTCTTTCTTCTTTAATTTTCTTCAACACTTCTTTTCTGTGGAAAAAATATGCTTTGTAAATCGTCTAACAAAATATTTGCTTTTTCTTCTATTTCCTGTAAGACATTTTAAAATGTGCGAAAATCAGAAATTAAAGCAAACAAGTCAATCAAATAAGAACAGAATGGTATATTTTCAACCAAAATATAATTTTATGTACAGTTTGAGAGAAACTTCTATTTGTCTGAAATCTGAAGACTTCATAGTTTACGGTTTACGGACCATAAACTTTTTGATCATCTAAATTCAAATTAATGAATGAGCGTTTTGGAGAAGAGCTTACTTTTGAAGTTTTTCTTTTCAGCCTTTTGGTTCTGAAATGTTTGCCGAATTTCTGAAACGTTGGCGGTGCACCAGTGACTCTTTTTCCATCGCAGCCTTGGATTCCTTTTCTCAGATTACTTTGTTTTCAGTTGACGATTTTTTTCAAGAGATAAGCGCTCGTTTTCTTATCAACCGTTTCCTAGGAGCATCCCAGTAATAGCCCCCAATATATTTCTGAAACGCAGAACCAAGCGTCGCAAACCTCCCGCTAATCGGCTGACTGGTATCTTCCGTCACGCTCCAGTAATAGTTATACTCGGTGATCGACCCATCATCTGGATCCTCGATCAGTGGGGCGATAAAAAATCGACAACGATGTTCAGCGTTCAGCAGCCAGTTGTAGACGTGCAGGATCTTCTTTTTCATCCGAGACATTTTTGGGGAAGAAGAGTATTTTTCAGCGCTCAAGTCGTTGAAAATCTGAAATCATAGATGACTCATCAAAGCTGAAAAATCCGCGCTTACCTTGAAAAGTCGTCGAAAAATCCATGATTCAGTTGGTTTTTCGAGCGTTGTCGTCGTCGTGGTTGTTCTTGTTGTCGTTGTTTTAGTCGTTGTTGTCGCCGTTGTTGTTGTTGTGGTGGTTGTTGTGGACGTGGTAGTGGTAGATCTTTGTGTGGTGGTCGAGGTGTAAAGATGTTTGCATGTGATTGGATGGTCGACGCAGCAGTCTTTGAAAATGATGCAGCTTGCGTCGCAGAAGCAATCCCGACTGTGTGTTTGAAGACTGTCAGTTGGCTGCTCCAAGCAAGGCTTAACGACGATAAGGTTCCGTAGACAAGAAAAGCACTTACGATTCCGTCCTCGATCAAAAAAGGGTTGCACCCATAGCACTCTAGATTGATGTCATCGCAACAAGGAGGAATCCCTGCTGTTATTCGCTCGTAACATAAAGAATCTCCTGAAAAATCTCAGTAAAGTAAAGGACAAAGTATAAAAAAATAAGAAAAAAAGGAAGATTTGAAATTGTCCAAATCCAAAGGTAAAAAAGAAAAAATGTTTATAAAAATTGTGGAAAACCGATTTTCAATAACATGAAAATTTGATATTTCTGAAAAATTATTAACCAATCGTTTTTCTTGATTTTTATTTGCTGCATCAAAAAATCAAGACTTTTGATTGGTTAATAATTTTTGTTTCGAAAAACGGCTTCATAAAAAAGTTGATAAAAAATAAGAAGAAAAAGATAAAAAAAAAGATAAAAATAAAATAAAAAATGAATAAAAAAAATTGTCACTTTACCAATAAACTCATCGTCAGGGTCGTCATCACCCTTTTCTTAATATTCAGAAAGTCAATCAAAATTCTTGAGAGCGCTTGAATATTTTTTCTAAACCCCGAATTAAAATCCTTCATTTTCCAGCGCCAAAACGCATTTAATTATATGGCTTAGGTGGCCGAAAATCTCTATAATTAAAAACTCACTTTTTTCGTTTGGCAAAAGAGGGTTCACTTCCATTGGATCAATTGACTTGATTCTCGATTGACCGACGAAAAATGATCTTCCTTGGTGAATTATTTCTTCTCCCGGTTTTTGCGCTAGAATTGAGGCCAACAACGGAAATGCTCGAAAAAGTCGCATTTTTTTCAAAGAAATTGCATTTTCGACGGTTTATAAAGTAGAAAGAGGATTAAAAAGAACAAAAAAGTGACACCTGCGCCGGAGACGAATCGCGTTTGATTTCAAGTGCTCAAGTATTAAACGCTTTCCTGAATGAGGAATACTTCCAAAAACGTGACAACTGCCACGTTTGAAGAAAGGAGCAAGGCACTCAGGAGAGAAAATGGATTGCGCGCGAGATTATCTTGCTTTGTTTTTGTCTTACTCTGTTGTGCAGTTTTGTTCAGAATCATGAAATGTAGACCTGGGGTCGGCAACCACCTAGAAAAACAGATGAGGGTTATCATTCGAGTGGCCCCTAACCCTGAACCTAACCCAGGGGCTACGCCCCCCGAGTCCCCCCACCCAAGGCATAACCCAGGGGGCTTCCGAAATTTCGCGTGCGCGTGCGTGCGCGTGCAGAGGCAATTTTCGAACACGTGTGCACGCGTGCATGATCCTGCGCGTGCGCAGATCGGGATAAAATTTGTTGATTTTTTCGATTTTTAGGCCTTTTTCATTTTTTTACTCACGAAAGATGCAAATTCTAGAAATATTATTCCTAAAACCAAGTCAAAATTGCTTTTTATGGCAGAAAATACGGAAGATTTCTATTCTTGTACATACTCTAGAAATTATTTCGGCCTAAATAATTATAAAAAGCCTAAATTTATCAGATTTTTCGCACGCGCACGATCATGCACGCGTGCGCAATCTCAATCGTCGCGTGCGCGTGCGTGCGCGTGCACAACAATTTTCAAAATGCGCGTGCGAGTGCGTGGGCGTGCGAGAACACGCAAGCACGCGCACGCGTGCGCGCACGCACACGCGTGTTTTGAAACTCTGATTATAAGCTCAATAGGCTCAATATCATAAGCACAGGAGCTTGAAGAAAACATATGTTTAGGTTTCGCATGGATTGATTTACGTGAAACAAGCAAAATAAAGAACAATATCATAAAAATACCATTTGAGGATTCAAAATGATCAGAAAAAGACATTTTTTCGAAATTTTTTCCACAGTTTTTCTGCTTCTTGCGTAAGCAAACGATCATTTATTTTTTTTTCTTTTTTTTAAGTATTTTTATCGGAGCTCTGCTGTATCTTTCGGACGACAATGATATACCAAGAATGGAGGATTTTGATGATTTTGAATTTCTTATGGTGAAGCCAATGAAAAAATCGTAAGTTTTATTTTACGAAAATTGAATTTTTGCTAATGTCGTTTAGAAAAGCAATGAAACGGAACCGGGAGAAAGAATTTTCAACATTTCAGCAGACATTCAAGGAGAAAGTAATGATTAAGGACCCCCCCCCCGTCAGCTTTTTTCGTAAAAAATGGAAATTTTGAAAAACACCGTATTTTCGGTCGTAATGCGTTCTCAAGTTAAACTTGCTTCAAAAACTTGATAAGAGGACCAAGAAAAATCAATATTTTTGCCAAAATTAGGGCAAATTCGTCAATTTTCGGCGAAAAGTCCAATTTTCAAATGCGATTTTGAGGGTCTTAGAGTCGAGATAGACCCCCAAAAAATGTAGCCTCAAAATCGTTTTTTGACCCGAAGAATTCATTTCCGGGGTCAAAATTTTAAAATTCCGAAATTTGATTTTTCGAAAAAAGCTGACGGGGGTCCTTAAGCAAAAATAAAATTTATTCATCACCAGATATTTTCAGTATTTGACGGTCAGCTCATAGCGGGGAGATTTCATTTCGAAGATGCGAAAAAGTCCTGTGAAGATCGAGGAATGACTCTTCCGACGAAGCCTTTCAGAATCTTGAACTGGAAAAGCATCGATTTCGGACATTTTGACCCTGGTTATTTTGGTGGAGCGGCTTTTTGGATCGATGATGATAACACAAATTATCCAGAGTACATTCAAAAGCGAAAAGAAGAAGAAGACAATCAAATTTATATTTTAAAAACAACTGAGAAAAGTGGTCTTCTTTTTTGCGCGCTTCTTTGTGAGTCGAATTCAGCTCGAACTATTAAATTCACGCTCTTTTCAGCAGAGGAGATAGATGTCCCTGTCAGATTTTTCTGCGAAGACGAGCTATTCGATGACTTAGGACGTGTCATTGTTTTCCATGGCAATTCGAAAGATTACGACTGTCCGAAAATGAAGATAAACGCATCATTTTTCAAAAATATCGAGTGTTAGAAAACGATTGGTTCGACAAAACCTGGACCGTGAGAAAAGCATCTGATAAAATGTAAAGAACTTCGTTGAAAGGGACTCTGATTATTTTCCTTAGTGAAAAATTGTTCTATACCTTCATCAACATTGGGTTCAAACAACATCAATTCAACTCGTCAAAAAGTGGCTTTCCTTGGTGCAGGTAAAAAACAGCCTTAATTTCGAATGAATCAAAAATTTCTAGTGGTCAGCCAAGCTACTTGCAAGAGGGAGTTTACTTCCGCGAATTTGATCAGAGAATTATACCTGTCAAAAACACAGCAAAAGCAATTCTCCTTTGCCTAAAATAAATTGAAGAAAAAAGAGATAAATTTCCATAGTCTTAATTTTAAAATACATAATTTCCCTCATCCTAGGCGCGGCACCCATGTTCCAAAAAATGAAAGACGCATATTTGCACCTCCAACAGCTTCTAATAATATTTTTCTAAAAATCATATTTATGAGACGCGTATTTGAAAACGCGCAGGGCGCGCGTATCGATCCGGCGCTAGTGAGCTCGCGTTATGAAATATCGCGATTTTTTGATCTGAAGATTTATTCTGATAAAGAATAGATTTTTTGAAATTCTAAAGATTTTTTTTTTGGTTTCATTAACCGATGAGGTTAGGGAGCTTTTTATCAGGAGCGGTGATGAAAAAACAGAGATAAAAAATAAGGGTGTCACTATGGTAAGTTGATTTTTTCATCCCTCAAAAAGTCGCGTCTTTGGCAAGCGCAGAAACTGGAAGTCGACTTCTGAAAACAGAAGATGGTCTAACAGACAGGCGAAAGTTCGAGCGAGCTGATGAAGCTCTAGAACGCTTGGCCGTGAAAATTCCAGTCCCAGATGGAAAATTTTTCGGCCTCGAAACTGACAGTCTTTGGATCGGACTTGACGGGACGGTTTCGATTGATACGCCGGATGGAGATCATGCTGATCATGTTGAGAGAAACTTGATTCTAGCGCCGTTTTGGACGAAGGAGCAGGCTTCGTTCGGGAAGGTTCAGTGGAGTGTGGGGACGAAACAGAAGGAAATCCTAAGGTGAGCATTATATAATATAATTTATATTATATAATATTATTTTAAATAATTTATTTAGTAACATTCGATCATCCCCCGACTACTCAACCTTCGAGTCATCTTCTATCATCATCGTCGGTTTCTGCCGAGTTTTGAATCCATTCAACTCGGACGAAGAAAACTGTCACCAAGTTGCTTACGTAACTGGAAAAGACGGGCGCGATGCGATTTGGATAAAATACCATCAACTTGATTGGGTTCCTGAAGACGTCAGCGTCGGCATCTATGCTGGAAGAAAAGAGAGCGAACAGTGCTATTCGTCTTTGGTTAATGCTGATGGTAAGCTTCTTTTTCAAGAGGATTGAAAATAAGGGAAGCTTTATTTTTTTGTTCTGGGCTCGGCAACATGTCAAAAATTTTGGCATGTCAAAAATTTTGGCGAAGCCGCTTCGCGGCTTCGTTCTTTAAAAAGCCGCGTGGCGGCTTTCCATTAAAGATCTTTCAGACCCTGACTCAGGCTTTCTAGACAGGTTGCCCACCCGGATTTGGTTCTCTAAGAGGAAGAAGTCTTCGATAATATTGCTCATCTAAAAACATCGATAAACCAATCTGCTTCCTTTAATCCTCCTCTTTGGAGATCCAAATAGAGCCGATTCCGGAAACAGTGCGTGTCGCAAAACGGAGCTCATGGAAGAGAGCCGATGTTATCTGACGTGTTCTAAACGAGCTCGATTTGTTTTGCGTCGGAGCGTGCCCAGCTTTGGGGAAAATACGCAAACGACCCAAAACGTGTTTTGCCTCAACCCAAAAGCGTGGAATGAACTAGGATTATTTTTCGCATCAATAAATAATTTTCCTTTTTTCTTGACAATTTTTCTTGCGTAAGGGAACATGGGCTAAAAATAACAGGTGCGAGCATTGTTCGGGGGGAGGTTTTTACAAGCTAGCAAAAGGATACCCTTATTTCCAACGATTTTAACTGGCTATTTTATTGATCTGAGATTTTAAAATTGAACCTTATCAGCGAAAAACTATGGCAATTTTTGTCAAAGTTTTGCCAATAATTTGACGAATCAGATTTCTCAGTTCGATTGGTAGACCAATCAGATTTCGGAAAAAAAAAATTTCGCAAAATATCGAATTTTTATCACAATTTTTTTGTTGATTTGATCGGTCAACTCCAGTTTTTACAGTTTTTTTTTTCAATTAAAAGTCAGTAATAAAACAGTAAAAAATAACGTTTTGAAGAATTTTCTCGTTATTTAAAACATTTTGTATCAATTTGACGCATCTAGAATATTTCCACCGCAAATGCCTTTATAACCTTAGTACATTATCATACCCCGCTGCGCGACTGATAAGGCAACACGGGTTCATTTCCCTTTTAGAGCGGTGTTTTGATGTTACGTTTTAAAAATGTTGTAAGATTAACGTGGTTTCCGCCCTTGTTTGATCAAGTTTTCCTTCCGACGATTAGTTTATTTCGCCCAAAAATAAACTATAAACTTCCTTTGAACCATCTTCTAACTCTCTAATTTTTAGCTGAGGAGCTCCTAAGCGGCTCGAATATCGACTCTCCCGGCGTCTGGGTGATTCCAGCTGACGGTAATGGCAAATTGCACTGCTCTAAACAATTCGAAACCGAATGTCCTGAGCCGCAGGAAGGGGGAAGAGCAGTTTGGAATGGATATGTTAGTTTGAAAGAAGATTTTGATAGCTGGAACTTTTTCGCAGAATATGGATGTTTGCCGAAACATGAGATGGCGGATGGAAGTGACAGAAAAACTGTTCAGGAATTGGTTAAAAATTTTAAGAAAGAAAAATTAAATTTTTCGAGTCGAAAATTTCGAGAAATTTTTCTTGAAATCGGATTGGCCAAACGGCCGAATGCTTCGATCTAGTTGATCTAAAATTTGATCAAAATTTCGTTTTTTTTGACCAATTTTTTGATCGATTTGAGTCGATTCCCCGAAAAAATAACCTTTTAAAAGTGTCTGTACGATCCAGATTACTACGATTCTCGATGGGGATCTGAAGCTCCTAGCTGCAAGGATCCAAATGCTATGCAACGGTACTCCTCTTCTTCTTTCCTCATTTTCCTCAGCTTCATTTAGTTTCTCTGTCAACATGTTCCACGACCAGTTTCTCTGGCCCGACCCACTTCCAATGGTAAGTCTCCCTCCTTTAAAAGTTCTAGGTCAAACTGGACGCGAGCTCGACGATTCGACCTCGGGATCCATTATTGGCTCAATCGCCAGAATCGGCCGTCCGATGGGGAATATCACGACGAATATCGGCGCGAACATCGGCCGAACTGGACAAGACATTCAACTTAACTTCGAAATCGGACTCAGCTCGTATGGAAGAATGACGGCTGATGATGTGAGGAGGCAGTTGTTTGATATCTTTGGAGATGTTAAAGGACAGATCAGGTAAGAAAACAAACCCTCTCCCTTCTCATATTTCTAGCGATACTTCTGATGTCTGTCTGACCGAATGTCTCGGCTGCAAGTCAAAAGAATGCAATGGCAATCCGCCCCCGATTCCCTACAATGCATGCTGCGGGCCCTGCGAGGTAGTCAACGGAAAAGTCATTTCACAGGCCAAACCCTACTCGACTTTGATCCATGCTTGCTGCCCTGGAGAAGTCAACGGCCAGTATTTGTACGATCCGTTGAAATCTGCCTGCTGCCCGTTTGAGGAGGGAAATATTTTGGTTCCTGTAAATGTTTATTCCTCATTTGGAAAAGGTAATACCCTCCTTTGACAAAATCGTCATTTATTATTTTATTAAGACCAATCAGGAAATTGTGCAGGCGCTATTCGTAAACTTTTCTGATAAAGAAAATGCAATATCTCAACGAAAAATGTATAGTTATAGTATACTTGTAAATTATCAAATCTGTACCTAATAAACAAACACCAATCATGTATTTATTTTATATTGAGTGGGCAGTTTAACTTCAAATCGTCAAATTTCGATTCGCTTTTCTACTTCATCGTCATTGTTGAGATGAATTAGCTGCCTCTTTGATGTTTCTTTTTGTCTAAACATAAATAGAGGCAAAGAATTGCTGAAGCACCAAGATGATTTCAAAAAACTTTTTGTGGGGCCGGAAATCGTAAAAAAACTGCAAGTGCAGTTTTCTTCAGCTCGTCAAGACGAGTCGAATGATGGGTCTAACTCCTGATAACTCTAAGGATTTATCGGTTTACCGGCTGGTTACCGGAAAATACGTTGTCACCGGCCGTTTTTGTTCTAGAAGTGATAGACTAATGTTTGACACCGGAAATTGTTCCTTATAGTCAGTTCTCCTGCAGCCTAAAAGATGAAGGTTGTATCAATTCTCTGAAGAGAGTTATCACTAAAACAGTAATTTTTACTAAAATTTTGTTGTTGCTGCACGTTCCTAATTTCTAGTCCCATTTTCGCCAAAAATAGTATTTTAGTGACAACTCTCTTCAGAGAATTGATACAACCTTCATCTTTTAGGCTGCAGGAGAACTGACTATAAGGAACAATTTCCGGTGTCAAACATTAGTCTATCACTTCTAGAACAAAAACGGCCGGTGACAACGTATTTTCCGGTAACCAGCCGGTAAACCGATAAATCCTTAGAGTTATCAGGAGTTAGACCCATCATACGACTCGTCTTGACGAGCTGAAGAAAACTGCACTTGCAGTTTTTTTACGATTTCCGGCCCCACAAAAAGTTTTTTGAAATCATCCAAGAAATAATGTCACTTTTGATGGATATTCTTTGTCATTTCATTATCATATTTGTATAAGAGAGTCTTTTATCCATAACTGCGGTCACACTGAGGACACTTAAATGTGAAGTGGCATTTTTGGTTGCTGGAATATTTGGCGCAGTCGTAGTTTTGGGTAAAATTGTCGGTTCATTTGAAGCTGTTGTCGTTAGGAGCGTCTGTTGAGCGTCTGAAGGGCGCGTTACCCAAAAATCAAAACGACCTCCAATTGCTGATTCAGTTTGCAAAAGGGCTGAGAAATAATCGGTTGCCAAAGCAGGAGCTGTCGACTCAGTAGATATAATAGAACTTGCTGTCGTTAACACTTCAAGTTCATCTTTTATTGCTGCAAGATCTAATACAATGTAAATAACCAAGCCAAAGGTACCAATAAGAAGACTTCTTGATGATTTCGAATCGAATGATAATTTTAAGAATATTTTGAGGACTGAGTATTTAAAATCAGTTTCTTGCACCAAAAATTAAAAGAAAGAGTCTTAATTTTCCTGAATAACATCTCGTTCTTCGGTGTATTTTTGGTTGCTCTGTCAATCCAACAGGGCTTGGAGTATCAAGATCCCGATAATTTCCAAGTGTACTGAACGAAATATTTGAATCATCATTTAATGAAGAAATTGAAGATGTCATCATTGATGGAATAATTTTTCTCTTGAGTCAAATATTCAGAGCAAGTCATAAAAATAATTTATATTACGAATATGAAATTCATGATCATTTTGATTTCTTTTAAGCAAAAAAGAGATTGTCAATTCTTTATATTTCGCTTGTCGTGAAAAGTGAAAGATGGACACGATCTACTGGTTTTGATGAATGGATGACGGAGATCTCCAGCTTCCTAGTCTAGGAAACGATCTGCTTATTGCTTGTTAGTCTCTATTATAAATACTTAAGCCATCTAACCCTAACCAGAATTTAAAGTAAACAACCATGAAATTTAATCGGAGTATCTGGAATGCTCTTCTGATTAGAAATAGACTGCTTACATGAAGACCATATACATAGAAAATATGCTCTGAATCTGATTCGTTATCCTAACCGGAAACGCTCCACTCCAAAGACAAGCTCTTCATTACGATAATCAAATATGACGGAGAGAGTAAAAAGCAAATCGAGGGGAGCCTCCCGTGGAAGGGTTAAAAGATCTTCCATCAAAGCCGATGAACGAAAGAGTAAAAGGCGTGTGAGAAAATCAACCAAAGAGTAAGAACATAAGAGAGTCAGAATAAAGCACATTTCAAGATTGATTGATGATAAACCAGCTTCCGAGACGGATATTCCAAAAACTCAAGTGGATGCTCCCGATTCCCTTTGCTCTGAAAAATGGCAAAAATATGATGAACAGCCGGCTCAAAATGACGTTCAGTCAAATGGTTAGTTTCCTGAAATCAGTTTTATCCCTTCATTTCTCAATAAGACGCACTTGATGAACGAAAACCTGAAAAGAAAAAGTCAAAGAGCCGCCGAAAAAAGAAATCGACAAAGAAAACTTCATCTGAAGACACCCAAACTGCTCCAGAAATCAAAGAAGAAACCGCCAAACCAGATGAAGAATTAAAACCTTCAGAGAGATCCACAACTCCTGTTATCAAAGAAGAAGAGCCTCAAAATGATGATGTTGAAGAAAAACCAGAGCAAGAAACCGAGCAGAAGCCTGAAGAAGTTACTTTGACTTCTGAAGTAGAAAAAATTGTGGAAGAAATTGTCGAAACTGTCGAAAAATCTTCTGAAGACCAAGATATTGAAGCAAGTCCGATTGAGCCAGACGCTGAAAAAGAAACCATCGCGGAAGAAAGAACTGTATTGGATGGGAATGAAAATATTTCTAAGAAAAAAAGCAAATCTCGAAAATCAAAATCGCGAACTAAAAAATCAAGACCAAGCAGCGCAAAAAGAAAATCCAAGTCTAAATCAAAAAAGCTCCAAAAATCTTCGCCAGAAGAAGCTCAAGAAAAACAGCCCGATCAAACTGAAACTGAGACTAAAAATGATGAAGAGGACCCTGCATCTGAAACAAGTGAGCCTCCTGTCGACAAGAATAAGGAAGAAGAAACAAAGCGTTAGTTCTTTAAGTAAGATCTTTTGAAGCAGTATTTCTAGCGAAATTGAAGCGTAAGAAGACAATCAGAAGAACAAAACGGGACGAGCAAGATCAAGTAATATCTCAAAATTTATTTCTTGAGACTTCTTTTTGATAAATATTTTTAGGGAGAGCAAGAAGATGAAGCAAAGAGTGATTTCGTTCTAGCTGGCAAAGTTCAGGAAATCATCAAATCGCTCTCCAAACAACGTAAAAGGTAATCATCCGAATTTCAATTTCTCAAGCATCATTTTCAGTAAACAACGACCCGAGGCACGGGAGCGCTCGAAGCACCTCGAGGATGTCAGACGATCTAAACGCGGAACGGTTCAGGAAAAGTTCAAAAATAATTTTTTCAAGAAAAATTGTCTTTCAAAGAATTCATTTTGAACTTTCAACTAGGGCATTAGAAGCCAGTTTGAGCAACCGAGGCTCGATATCTGATCCTGTTTTTCTCTGAACACTCTTTCTTATAATAAAATTCATCATTTATTACAAAAATCAGGATGCAAAAGATTCTCAGTTCGGATAAATCGTTGGCTCAAAGTTGGACTCTTCGGCGGTCTCGATGAATTCTTTCGCCGAGCTGATGGTGTCCTTGAAATCATCGCAGATCGCGTTTTTACGCTAGAATCGAAAGGAGAAATTGAGAAGAATGACTTGTCCTACGTTTTTGTTCGTTTTATATCTTCTTTATGACAATTTTCTTCCTTCAGACAGGGGAAATTTTTGAGAAGCCATTTTGAGAAGAGGTGGTTTTTGAATGAATGCGCATAAAGGTAGAAAATAATAAAAGACAGGGAAGAAATCGAAGCTCATTTTGGCTTTTCAGTTGAGAAAAAATTCCCGTTGAAAAATTTGGTGTCGAATTTGGTTATCAAAACTTTCCTGAAAATCGTTGTTGACACCCTTAAGTCAAAAAGAAGCCATTCCTATAAAAACGATGCTGAGCGCTAGAATCAGAATCGGTATATTTTTACAAGCTGAAAAATATGCTTTTTCGAGTCAAATTTCTTCACTTACGAATTGCATTTCTTCCCCAAAAATTAAAATCGCAGTATTTTTCCTCGCCCATTTTTCTCCCAGCGCTGAAAAGAAGAAAATGAAAGTGTGAGTTTCTAATTGTCGGCAAAATCAATAAACGGCTTTTTGATAAGCTCTTTTTCTTGCTGATTAAAATTCTCAATAATCAATTCGGGACCAAAAAAGGTAATTTACGAATTTGCATTCAGGAAAAGGTCGTTTAGAAAATAAAGTTTAGAGACTCTGAAACTCTCCACAAAGGAAGTTCCCTGGCCAAGAAATCGCATTCAAAGAATTACCGTACTTCTCAACACGTTGGAAGCGTCGGCAGCTGACCACAATCGCGTACCAACCATAAAAAACTCTTTAGACCGTTTGCCGAGAAACCGCAATTTTGTTCTGAGCCAAGCGCCTATAAAAGGATCCCGATTAGGTCCATTTTTCCTGTCACTTTTTTTTCGAATTTTTCTTCGAATTATTTTTCGATTTTTTTTTTCGAGTTTTTCGAATTTTCGATTTTTTGAGAAAAAAATGAGAATTTTCGCCGCTTTCAGCAGCTTTGGCGCTGTTTTAGGAGATGACAACTTGAATCTTGGAGTTGATCCTTTGAAAAAGAGCATTTTTCTCAAAGACATTGCTCGAGAATCCGCGGCTATGCTCAAGGAACACATGGATCTCGACGGGCTCAACTTTGAGGACTACATCGACGATGCAATCAACATCTACCGAAGTGACTTTCCCGACAAAGCGATCGTTTTTGACGAGCTAGCTGAACAAAACATCTTGATCGAGAACAACGAAATCCAGCGAGTTGGAGGGCGAATGTCGGGGCTGAGTCCGATGGATCAATATCATGTGATGAAATACTTACAGGTATGTAAATTTTTAGACATTATTTTTTGTCACCATTGTCAGCACTGTCGACATTATCAGAAATATCAAGAATATCGACAAATTTGACGGAAATATTGATCTAAAAATAGCCTCAAAAACAGTTTCTTTCTGACATTACTGACATTTCTGATTTTCCCGACGTTTCTCATTGTCATTTTTTAGCTCAAATACTTGACGCTGTACCTCCAAAAGAACAAATTCATGGGTAAATTCTGCTTCTACGGATGCTGGTGCTTCCCTCGAGCAGCTGGTGAGCAATGGTCCGGGTACGGAGTTCCTGTTGACAACATTGACAAATCCTGCCGCGAGTTTACGACTTGCTACAACTGCATTTTCAATCAACAGCTGATTGGACAACGATGTGATGAGACCAATCCTGTCAGGTAAAAAAGTTAAAATCTAAGAATTCCTCTTCAAATCCTTTCAAGATACAACATCGGAGGGAGCCAAAACGTCGAAACCGGAGAAATCACGATTTTCTGCAAAGATCCTCAAGGAACTTGCGAGCGATCTCGGTGCGAATGCGACAAAGGTTTCTTTTCCCTTCCATCAACAAAAATTATAATTGCCTAAGATCTCGCACTGAAGCTACAAAAATACGAGTCCGAGTGGAGCATCCAAAATCATCATCACTGGGGAAATCCAAAGTTCAATCCTCAAGAAGTCTGCTCATACAACGTCAACCAATTCATTCGCGACGTACACTTTTCACCCCTTTTTCACCTTTTTAGAGCTTTCTTTCAGGATCCCGAGGAGCAGCAGACATTGACATACACCGTCGTCGAGCAAATCAACCCGCAAGCGCTGGTAGAACCCGCTGATCAAGCTTCACAGCCTTCGAAATTGAAGCTCGAAGCGATTTCTCAAGGTGAGTGTTTCCTTCCTTGCTGTCGTTTTTGACCTCGGAAATTAAGAAGCCGGTGGTCGACCAGACATGACTCTCTACAAACCCCGCGGTCTATCAGCTTATGGCCCGATAATCGGCTGCTGCGGCCGCGCCCCGCATGTTCACTTTTTCCGAAAGGGACAGCGATGCTGCGAAGATGGAGAAATCGTCGACGAGCGTTTCCCCTGCTCCATGGATTTTGAGTAATCAAATGGACTTTTGCCCCCTTTTTCGACACTTTTTGTACATTTTCCCTCTTTATTATCTCAAAAATGAAATAAAATGAGTCTTTTCTGACTAATTCTTGCTCTTTTCTTGCATGTGAGGTTATGAACTCTTCGCTTTTTATTTCTTTAGAAATCAAGATCTTACAAAAGGATATAAAAAACGCATTGAGATGCGATATTTGCCGACCTCTCCCATTTTTCGGAGAGAAAATGGGAGATTTGGACGATTTTGAAGATTTAGCTCCATGTAAGTTGACGAGAAATCTCGTCGCTTGAATCATTTCTAGGGTTGATTGGGACGATTTTCGTTATTGTCTTCATCGGCATTATCTATGCGATCCGGCAGTACTATCGCAATAAAGCGAAGAGAGCGATTCAGATGAGTCAAGCGGTAAATGCAGTAGCGCCTGTTCAAAATCATCAGACAAATGGTAAAAAATGTGCATTGAAGTATGAACATAATTTTCATAGTTTCTCGAGAAACCGCGGTATCCGTTGTTATTCCAGATGCTCCTCCAGGATCGGACATTCAAGAGCCAAAGACACTGAAAAAGAAAGCAAAAACTTCTCCATAAAAAGTCCATAAAAAGCTTACGATGATTTGGTGAAAGAAGATCAAAATGCGCGAAAATCCGATGAAGAAATCAACTGTTAAACTTTTATCCCAAATAGAACGGAAACAGACGACTTCCTCTGAAATTTAATTTTTCAGCGCGTTGCTCTAAGATAACGCGAAAAACTTTTAATTAAAACGCTTTTACTACGTCGAGTTATAGATTTATTAAGTTTAGCTGAGATAAATTTCATCCAACGCATTTGAACTTTGAACATGAAGATCAATGATGATACCAAATGTCACAGTTATAATCGTTACAGTCAAAATCAAGGCCCAAAAGTGAGAAAGCATTTTTGCATAGAAAATCCAAGCATCATGGTATTCATCCGCATTTTGATTTTCTACAAAATTAAGAATCGAAAAGTTCAAGTTCTGAAAAACCTCGAATGCGATGAAGATTGTCATCCTCATTGTCATTTTTTTCATCCTCATTGCATTTCTGTAAGATTACATGAGGAATATTGTACTCGCCCTGGATAAATTTTTCGTTAAAACGGGCGCAGCATAGAGCGAATTTAGCTTGAGTTTTCGAAAATTCAAAAATTCTGTCTTCTTTTTTCTCCTGGCACCATAAACTCACAGCTAAATTGACAGTTAAAATTATGAAAAAGCTGATCGAGAATGACTTATCATTATGTGAGCGAAAACACTGCCAATCACAGTGAGCAGGAACAGAAATAACAGCCTTGGAGCTTTACCAAGTTCCTCGAAAATTGGAACTGAGCTTGATAAGACATCGAGATAGACAATCATTGTAAGCAACATTGTTACTTGAAATCCTATGCTCTCTCCGCTGGAAACTACATAATGAGTTCAGAAAGCATTTTGTAATATTTTTAACCCGTTGCCGAGCGCCTAGCAGTGTCGCTGCTTTGAGACGCCCCGAGGCTCTCCTTTTGGCAAAGAAGGCATTATTTAGCCTACTGCTCGGCAACAGGTTAAGTCAAAGTTAATAATTAGGATTCTTATCTGGAACCCAGGCTGGAATCCAGAGTCCAACACAAACAAGCAAGTTTATGCAAACTATTGGCAAAAAAAGTGTCAGTTCGTAGAAGGAGGTTCTACGAGCAAATACAAAGGTCACTTTTACACTTGTATAATTCTCATATCGATTTCGGCGAAGAGACACTGCATCAACTTTGTAGTTAAGAAGCTCCCATTCTGGGTTCCCATCGTAGAATGTATTTTCTAGAATTTTGACTTTCGTCTCCTAGAATTTCGTCCGTAGTCAATAGTCTGTGATTAAACTTACATTAAAACCGATTGAAAACGGAAATTTATATGATTGATCGTAACGATGACCATTTTCGGTCTTCCATTCTCTTACATCGAGGACAATTCTATCTTGAGTTTGTGAAGGGGTTGCCAAGTCAACGGAGCAGTTTTGAACATCAAATGGGTAAAATTTTGAAGACATCTCGCAAGCAGTTACAACCCGCATTTATACGCTTGCGTGACTCGTCCGCTATTGAAGAATATTTTTAAAAAATCTGAAATATAACGTTACATATGATCAACTGTACAACTGAAATCTGTTTTCTGGCCATTATTTCTCCATAAGTCCAAGTTGACGATTTCAATTGGCGGTGTCCAGATAAGAGAAGGATCAATAGATATCTGGGTGGAAAAATTTTGTTTCTTGAAATCCCATTGCAGACGTGAGTCTTATCAAATTTTATTCTCTTATTTGCTGTCAAATGTTTGCCCATCCAGTTTGCATGAAGAACAATCGTCACATCCATCGCGCTTTCAGATAAAATGAGGTCATTTAAACTCACCAATTCAAGCATCACATTAATCTGCAAAGGAGGCGTTGCGACTTGAACAGAAGCTGAAAGATATAAGTCCATAAAAATCGATTGAAACTGGACAAGATTAAATTCACTTAATAATGGGTACATGTTTGGTTTAATAAAGCCAGTAAAACCCAAAATCTATCATTTTTGCTCACCAATAAGTACAGAATACATTTTAAATATTCTGAAAATGCAAAAATTTTTGAGCAATTCTTTGTGGCATTAAATTCACCATAGTCAAATGGATAAAGATCGCCAAGAATCGACATCAGATTCGGTTCTGCTGAATAAATTGTCTGAATATCAACAATATGCTCGACATTGAAAATATCGGTATCGTCTAAAAGAGGGGTGGATAAATTTTGCTTTTCGAAAATAATTTTCTTCAAATAAGCTACTTTTATTTTAGCTTTCAATTTTGTTTTGCGTTTATATTTTGATTTTTTGTTTTTTCGTTATTTTCAAGAAAAATAATGCGACTTTGTTACAGTGAAAACCCATTTTAAGGCCGATTTTTGGATGACAGCAAATTTAAAAAGTGGCCTTAAAATGGACATTTTTCATGTTGAGCCGGATGACAATGATTATTTTTTCTTTTTTTTTTGCGCAGAAAACAGACATTTGCCGAAAATTGTCGTCTCTTGCCTGCTAATTTCGTGCAGAAATAGAAATTAGCCTAATATTATTAGGAACTAAGAAAAACATATAAAGATTTTTCATCGGGAGATCAGCTTTGATCACTTTATCAAAAGTTTCAACTTAATTTGAAACAAATGCCAATTGGCTTTTGGTGTTCTGGAAAGAGTACAAATTAAACTCAGATTAGTGAGAACCTCTTCGGTCAAAGACAAATCATTGACTGAATTTTGCTCTCTCAAGTTGAGGAAGTTCCAACTGCCTCTCCACAGAAGAACAAAAATTTCAATTGAGATTCTGTTAAGACCGGCTCCATATTTTACAAGAACGTTCAGTTGTCACGCTAGATTCTCGAATCAATCGAGGACCAAATATGGCTCAGATCATTCCAGACTCAATTTAGTCCTGATGACAATTAAAAAACCCCTTCTTTGCGCTCAATTTCAGCGGCGAAAGTTCAGGGTTAGGGTATGGTCGCTAAACTCTAATTTTAGAATTTTAAAAGATGATCAAAAGTGGCCTTATAATGGATTTTTCGAGGATGACAATTTTTGGGAATTTTTCAAAAAAGTGGCCTTAAAATGGTGGGCCTTAAAATGGGTTATCACTGTAAATAAAAAGAAAAGTAGCTTTTTCCTGAAGGGGTGAGCCTTGTTTATCGCAATGCCCAGAATACGCGGCGTCTCTATTCTTTAAATTGTTGACAATCATAATGAGATTTATTGATTACTTATTGATTTTTAAGAATAAAGTTCTCATAAAGAACCTTGACCTCTCAGTTGAATCTGTAAAAAATCTTTTCTCAACCAGTCCTTATACCAAATCGCTCCAACCCAGTCAATGCAAGCGTCAATAAAATCAAGATCTCCAATTTCAGCACGGCAATTGAATGCAATGTTCGCCATCAGACCTTCATCAAAAGTGAAAAAGTAACCATACCGTCGTAACATTGTTCTCGTTTTTTCACATACTCTTCGGATCCGATCAAGATCCTTACTTCCATCCTTCGTCAACACCCCGTACCTACCAATATTGTAATTATTTAAACGAAATTTAAGCAAGACCTCGGAAAAATTGGGCTTATAAGCTTGTTATAATCTTGATGGATAAGATTTTGCAATATGATCTGTTCTTGGGATTTGGGCAAAATTTCGGCGTAAAGTCTCTTATAAAAAAGAAGAAAAAATAAGAATTTCATTCTACAAAAAGCTGGAAAATTCTGCTAGCGGCTTTTTGTCACAATAAACGTTGTTTCTTTAACACTTGGACATGAACGTTAAATTTTACGATTGATCTTCGGCTTTTTAGCGAATTGTGTAATACCTCTACCGTTAAGATCGTTCGTAATAATTCGAAGTAAAATATAATTTTCACGAAAATACTCAAACGACAACAACAACGACTTCAATGAAGATTTTAACAACAAAGTTCAGAATGTCGATTAAAAAAATGATACCAAAAAGAATTTTATCGGGATATTGCGTCAAAAATAATTTTTTGGGGGGTACTGAATAGCGCCCTGCGCCGCCCAGTTCGGTACAAACCGGGTCTCGTCTGACCAAATCCTGGCCAAACTAAGTGATCGGAACAAGAGCGAGAGTTGGGCCCCGCCAACTTGATGAGTTTTCTACCAGAAAATGCGCGCGTAAGGGCCTCTGGCCCGTCGCGTGCTAAATTTATTGATGATTTTATGCAAAAATATGGAGAACACCCTAAATTATTAGTTTTCATTTTTCTAGTGGTCAGACTTTTCAAATATACGAAAATAAACGTCTTAAGGACCCCCCCGTCAACAATTTTCCTCAAAAAACCGAAAATTTCAAAAAAGCCATATTTTGGCTTCTTAGCGTTCCTGGAAGTTCAATTTATCAAGAAAACTTGTTCGGAGCAATTTTTGACCAATAAGAATCCGAAATTAAAGCAAAATTGGGACCTTTTCGTCTTTTTTCGTCAAAAAGTCCGATTTTCAAACGCAATTTTGAGGGTGTTAGAGTCGAGATAGACCCCCAAAAAATGAAGCCCCAAAATCGTTTTTTGACCCGTACAATCCATTTCCGGGGTCAAAATTTTGAAATTCCGAAAATAGATTTTTCGAAAATTGTTGACGGGGGGGTCCTTAATAAGAAAAAAAAATCTTCATTGAAACGCCGAGAATCTTCGAGAAGAGCAATTTGAAGCAGGACCGGGCGGCAGAAGGCGGCGCTATTAAGTGACTCCCAATTTTTTTTCTTTGCTTAAAATAACGGCAAATAAAAAGCATTTAATAATTTACTGCAAGTGTATTTCAACAAGATTTGTCAAATAAGGAAAAATTTTATCAACAAGTTTCAAGAATTCCCGTCCAAAAGTTGAGTCTCATCTTGATTGCATTTTTCGCAGCAGCGGTTGCTTCTTCCCACTTTTTCTCATCAGTGCCGCAGATTTCACTTGAAATAATAAGCTTGTGAATGCTTTTCGATTTTACCTGAGAGCAGCAAAAGCGAGGGGGCCATGGTCGTCTCCGTCAACATCAATATGTCTTTGCAGGTAGAGTCGGAAGCACTCGAGTGTTTTATCGTCGGAGAAGATCTTGTTGTCGATGATTGACTGGAACATCTTTGGAATCGGTTCTTCTCGGCCGAACAGGAAGGATGCCATGACTTCGTGGGTGCTTCCTTTTTCGACGGTCCTAAGCGTATCGCGGACATAATCATAAACTGCAGCTGGGATTATTTCGCCAAAAATGCGCTCATGTGATTTCAGAGCATCTTCGTAATGCATTCCTTCCTCAATCATTGAAACGAGCTTGGTGATCTCGATCGGGTCTTTCAAAGTGATTTTAACTGCCTTGTTCTTAGATTTAAGTTAGTTAAAAACATTTTCTGTTCCAACTTCGACCATTGCTTTCATGTAAAGCTCAAAGTGGGACATTGCATTAGATACTTCACCGGTACCGAAGTCATCAGATTCCTCGCCGAGCACAATCTAGAATTTGATTGACCACCCAGGATCTCTATTAAAGTTTTTTACCTGGTTGATGATGTAAGCCACTGGGCGATTCTTTGGTGGTGTCCATGGCGTTTGGGTGCAGGTCAAATCCCGCTGTAGTCGCTTCAAGAGGCTCATGAAATCCCAAACGGAGAAAACATGCAGTCTCATAAAGTTCTGCACGGCTTTAACACTATTGATGCTTTCGTAAATCGGATGCGAGAAGAGCTTCTCTTGGGCCGACTCTATCTCCTTTTCAAGATTTCTTAAAAGTTAATTTAAATTTTTGATCTCAATTTTTGAAGCTCTTAGAAAATAAAATTCTACTCATCTTGGAGGTCGTGGATCTGGGCTTTCTGCTCTGCCGTGAGAGAATCGAAGAAGTCACTTTGCTCTGCAGCATGAACAAGTCGGTCAAATCGGTCGTTGACCATCTCAAAAGCTCATTTTCAGGTTTGATGAAGAAATCAACTTGCCGGCAGCTTAAGGAGAGCAAATGTGGTAACTCATTTCCGGTCTATGCGATAAAATATACTGAGTACACGCCGCTTCAATCGCAACCATCAATGGTGCCTTCTATTAAATTAACATCTTCGTTCCCTAATTTTCGAGAGGCAAAAGATCCATCAAATACCTACTTGTATCGTCTCTTTTGTTCACGAATTAACTTGAAAATCATGAAAATTTCGAAGTATTTTCCGACTTCTCATTTTCTCTCAGGAGAATTCTTCCTGGGCTATAAATACTCCTCCTCTTTTCATTTTTCATGCCAGTTTTAAATTCCCCGGAGTTTTCAAAAAAGGCGCTTGTAGATTTTTTTCTCTAGTAAAGGCGAGAAGAGAATCTAATGCGTCTTTGAAGAAATGCTCGAAATCTACGAGATATACAAATGAGAATGAAAAAGACATATATAGAGAGAGATCTGTAAAGTTGGAAATTGCAAAATTAACTGGGGGAATATTCAGATTATGCCAACTATTTATGAAAATTTACTCAAGATAATTTTTGTAAACAATTGGCATAATTTTGATAAATCTCACAAACAACTGGAAATTTCATATGTCAATCTTTATTTTTCATGTATAAACTTTATTTATTTATATTTTTTATTTTTAAAATAACAAGAATGAAGCTATTTTAGTCGTTTAATATAATCATTTACATTGAACAGTGGAAAATTTAATTTCTCAAGAATACTATGCGCAGTGTTTGAAAAAACCCGCCCGCGAACCCCGCGGGGGCCGCGGGCGGGGGCCACGGGCGCCCGCGCCCCCCGTACCCGCAAGAAATCTCGGATTTGGCCCCCGCGCCCGCCCGCGCCCGTAGAAAATTTTTGATCTGGCCCCCGCGCCCTCCCGCGCCCGTGGAAATTTTTTTCGCGCCCGCGGGCGCCCGGGGCTCACCATTACAGTCGGAGTCCAAAATAAGGGACTTTTTTTGCTCTAAAATTTTCGAAAAAAGTCCCTTAAATTGGGTCATCAAAGCAAAAAATATGTCGCTGCCAAATTTTTTCAAAGTATATTTTTTGCGGCAAAATAAGCTGAAGTCATTGTTTTTGTGGAATTTATGACATTTTTGAAAGAGGAAACCATATACTGAAAGGGAAATCACTTCAGTTTGCGGCAAAATTGGTTGAAATCAAGGTTATTGATACCATTTATTGACTCTCAGCTAACCGAAAAAGCTTACTAATCTCAGAAAGTCCCTTAAATTGGATTTTTCTGCCGCTGATTTTCGGCATTTAGAGCCAAAAAGTCCCTTATCTTGGTGTCCCTTATTCTGGACTCCGACTGTAATTGAATTAGCCTAGTTAATAATGTTGGGTTTTCATCAAAAAAAACTTTGCGTAAAATGATTCATTTTAAATGAATAAGCCCCCTTCCTTGATTTATGAATAAAGAGCCAGTTTTTTTAAATAAAGACCGCTTTGGCAATCTTTGACTGGAAAATCAGCCGATTTGAATTATGAATCCAGACGAATATTATTGTCAATAGAACTTCTTCAAAACAGAGAAATCTACCTTTCTCATTGCATTCTAAGCTATCGACAGACCCCTCGTTTTATAATTTTCGGGCCGTCTCAGCCCCGTTACTTGATTTTTTTATTTAAGGGGCTTGACGGCCCTTCGGGCCGTCTCAGCCCCGTTACTTGATTTTTTTATTTAAGGGGCTTGACGGCCCTTCGGGCCGTCTCAGCCCCGTTACTTGATTTTTTTATTTAAGGGGCTTGACGGCCCTTCGGGCCGTCTCAGCCCCGTTACTTGATTTTTTTATTTAAGGGGCTTGACGGCCCTTCGGGCCGTCTCAGCCCCGTTACTTGATTTTTATTTAAGGGGCTTGACGGCCCTTCGGGCCGTCTCAGCCCCGTTACTTGATTTTTATTTAAGGGCTTGACGGCCCTTCGGGCCGTCTCAGCCCCGTTACTTGATTTTTATTTAAGGGGCTTGACGGCCCTTCGGGCCGTCTCAGCCCCGTTACTTGATTTTTTTATTTAAGGGGCTTGACGGCCCTTCGGGCCGTCTCAGCCCCGTTACTTGATTTTTTTATTTAAGGGGCTTGACGGCCCTTCGGGCCGTCTCAGCCCCGTTACTTGATTTTTTTATTTAAGGGGCTTGACGGCCCTTCGGGCCGTCTCAGCCCCGTTACTTGATTTTTTTATTTAAGGGGCTTGACGGCCCTTCGGGCCGTCTCAGCCCCGTTACTTGATTTTTTTATTTAAGGGGCTTGACGGCCCTTCGGGCCGTCTCAGCCCCGTTACTTGATTTTTTTATTTAAGGGGCTTGACGGCCCTTCGGGCCGTCTCAGCCCCGTTACTTGATTTTTTTATTTAAGGGGCTTGACGGCCCTTCGGGCCGTCTCAGCCCCGTTACTTGATTTTTTTATTTAAGGGGCTTGACGGCCCTTCGGGCCGTCTCAGCCCCGTTACTTGATTTTTATTTAAGGGCTTGACGGCCCTTCGGGCCGTCTCAGCCCCGTTACTTGATTTTTATTTAAGGGGCTTGACGGCCCTTCGGGCCGTCTCAGCCCCGTTACTTGATTTTTATTTAAGGGGCTTGACGGCCCTTCGGGCCGTCTCAGCCCCGTTACTTGATTTTTATTTAAGGGGCTTGACGGCCCTTCGGGCCGTCTCAGCCCCGTTACTTGATTTTTATTTAAGGGCTTGACGGCCCTTCGGGCCGTCTCAGCCCCGTTACTTGATTTTTATTTAAGGGGCTTGACGGCCCTTCGGGCCGTCTCAGCCCCGTTACTTGAATTTTTATTTAAGGGGCTTGACGGCCCTTCGGGCCGTCTCAGCCCCGTTACTTGATTTTTATTTAAGGGGCTTGACGGCCCTTCGGGCCGTCTCAGCCCCGTTACTTGATTTTTATTTAAGGGGCTTGACGGCCCTTCGGGCCGTCTCAGCCCCGTTACTTGAATTTTTTATTTAAGGGGCTTGACGGCCCTTCGGGCCGTCTCAGCCCCGTTACTTGATTTTTTTATTTAAGGGGCTTGACGGCCCTTCGGGCCGTCTCAGCCCCGTTACTTGATTTTTTTATTTAAGGGGCATGACGGCCCTTCGGGCCGTCTCAGCCCCGTTACTTGATTTTTTTATTTAAGGGGCTTGATATAGGCTTGGAACAATAAGTGGATCAATCTCAGTTTCGTCCCCAACCCCACCCACACCCATTGTTTTAAAAAGTCAAATTATCTTTGTTTTTAGCTTAATTATGGTTTTTTTCTGAGAGTTATTCTTCTATAATTCGCAGATTCATATCCCTCGAACCCGCGGGGCCCGCGGGCGCGAGGGTAACGGGCGCCCCCTGCCCCCCGGGCGCCCGCGGGCGCGATTTTTTGCGGGGCCCCCGCCCGCTCCCGCCCGCACCCGCGCAAAATTCTTGAATCGGCCCCCGCTCCCGCCCGCACCCACGCAAAATTCTTGAATCGGCCCCCGCGCCCGCCCGCAACCGCGCAAAATTTTGGAATCGGCCCCCGCGCCCGCCCGCGCCCGCGGAAAATGTTGCGGGTTTTCAAACACTGACTATGCGCTTTTCGAATATTTTCATTTCCAATTCGAATTGCATTTTCGCCGAAGTATTCAAAAGAAGGCGGCGCTTTTGGGCGGTGGAATTTTTCGCTCTGCTCCATCAGCTAAATTTTGAATTGGAAAAATTGAAAAAATATCGTGAAATTACCGATTTTAGGCAAGCAATGCGCCTGGTACGATCTTGAACAGTGTAATAATCTTTTTCCTCGACGAAATCGAGGACTTTTTCCATTTCGAAAGTTGCGTTTTTCTTTAGATCTTCATAGTAGAAGACGTGAATTGGGATCTTTTTCTCCTCTGAATATGGCTTCATAATTTTCATTCTAGATTTGAGGGGGTGGGGAATTTTCTCGTCTCTGATTCGCCGATGGAAGCAATTCTGGGCTCTGATTGGCTGAGAGGACCCCGCCCCCTTTTCCACCCCCTTTGTTCAATAATTTTGGGTAGAGCCAATTTTGGATTTTTTATGGAAAGGGTTTTGATTGGCCGGTAGGCGAAATACAGCAATCTTATTGGTAATTCCAAAATTTACTTCCAAAAATTGGTTAAGTCTGATTTTGCCCAACCTTGTTTTTAACACCCTTTTTGAAAAAAAAATATCAATTACCAAATATAAAAAGCCATTCCTGTATGCTTCTTCATCGTTCCCTCCAACAATTGAAGCCACTTCTTCAAATACAATTCCGACCTTTTCCTCCATTCTTGATTTTTCGGATTGAAAATTTCTTCGCTTACTACCGAAGTATGCCCATGCCCTTTTACTCGTTTCCACTCAGCAACAGCAGCGTCGTACGGGTTTCTGATGAGAAACAGGACTCCTTCGGCGGCGGGGAAAATTTGCTTGTTGAGAATATGCGATTTTTGGAAAAGGGTTTCTCCATCTTTCGGTTCGGTGAATTCGCCCAAGAAACCGCCGTTTTTCAGCGATTTATCCTTAATTTATTCATTGCCTTTGTCGGGAAATCATTCAACTTACGGTATAGATGCTTCCTGTATAAATGCCAGTTACATCTTCGAGCAACAGTCTCGTCCAGCTAGAAAAAATATGTTTGGCCTTTTCAAAAATTCGAAAGCGCCGCCCTTCTTGTCAAATATTCTCTTTTCGACAAAATTCAGAAGCGCTAGAACCGCACTTTTTAGACAACAAAATTCACGGCGGAATGTAATTTTACGGTCAACGATTATCAACTTACGTGTTCCCGCTGCCGGGAAAAGAAATAAACGGGAAGACGCCGAATTCGCCCTTTTTTCCGAGACGAACATCTCGATCGCAGTTTTCTGCTTTTTCTTCTTTCTTGTTTTCTTCTGATTTCGGTTCTGTTTTTAACGTGAGCTTTTCTTCTATCTCTTGCTCCTCTTTTTCTGGCTCTTGGTCGAATCGGACTTGATAATAGGATGAGGGAATCTTGAGGTGACGTACTTTGGGGGGGGGGCATTTTAATCCCATTAGCAAAATGATAGTGATGCTAGCTGAGGAGAAAGACTCAAAAATAAAGGGTGTCTAAAATGGAAAAGGATAATTTTTGAATAAAAAATCTAGGAGTTAACCCAAATTCGACAGTTTTGACCAAAAATTTTGACCAATTTTAGACCAATCAGATGTTTACTTTCAATTCGTACGCCAATCAGATTTTTGTTCAAGTAATCATTAAATTCGGCATATTTGAAGCCCAGAAAAATGTTAGCCTAACCCTAACCCTAACTGTAACCTTTGCCTTTACCCTTTGACCAAAATCCCTGATCAAAATCCTTGCTTTTGAAGCTCTCATCCCTTTTCCTGTCGCCTGATTATAACTGTTTTCTTCATAACCAAAGTTTTCATCAAAACTTCTCTTCAGCTTTAAATTCTCTTTGATAATATAACTCACTGAAAGTGAAAATACTAAAATCAACAAATATTTCCATTTCGATAAATTTAAAAGTTGATCATCGTTCATTTTGGTAAATCGAAAATATTTAATCGAAACTAAGCCCGGCGGAGAATAATGAAGCCGCAGGGCATTTCGCCCAGCTAGAAATGGTTCTCGCGAGAAAATGGTAAAGTTGTAAAATAATTGATCAATCATTATTTTTCTTCCAATTCTTGATCTAGCGCCAGAAGGACGATTAGCTGATAATTGACTAAATTTCCAAACATTGTCCCAAATAAAATCGATGTCTAGCCGCGGCAAATGATGAATAAAACCGGAAATGTTTTCTGCTGAACTCTTAACTTTATGTTATAAAATACGAAGAATATTGAATCCATGGACCTAAGATAAAGAGAGAAAATATGACTTTTTGCCCAGCTCCTTTTCTTGATATCAATTTTGGAGCAAGAGAGCTTTTTCACGGCTCTTGTTTTGTGCTTTTTCCAAAAGTGGACTTTTTTACAGGTATTAAAAGATTCTGGTTAAGGAACCCCCGTCAACAATTTTCAAAAAATCTATTTTCGGAATTTCGAAATTTTGACCCCGGAAATGGATTCTTTTGGTCAAAAACGATTTTGAGGCTCCATTTTTTGGGGGTCTATCTCGACTCTAACACCCTCAAAATCGAGTTTGAAAATTAGATTTTTTGACAAAAAATGACGAAAAAGTCGCAATTTTGCTTAAATTTTAGATTTTTATTGGACAAAAAGTGCTCCCAACAAGTTTTTATGATAAATTTAACCTCCAGGCGCACTCAGAAGCCAAAATATGGCTGTTTTTAAATTTTCAATATTTTGAGGAAAATTGTTGGCGGGGTGGTCCTTAACAAAATGTTTTGGTCAAAAAAAGGAAAATCTTAAATCCAATTTTCCCCGAAAAATCGCAAATTTTTTTTTTTAAATTTTCGGCTTTTTAGATATTTTCTTTTTTTTTTACTCAAAATTTAACAGTAAATTTTAGCCTCTGAAAATTGTTCCAAAATCAATGGCACACTTCCCGTCTTCCTCGCTCATGAGAAAAATTGGTTTCTGAAAGCTTCACTCAGCGCGCCGAGAAAAAAAGACCTCGGTCTCGAAAAGCTTTGGCTCGGGTACTCGGATCATGAAGACGAAGGAAACTGGGTCGATCGACACGGAAATGCCCTTGAAATAGACAATTGGGGATCGTGGGAGGGAGAGCCTTTGCCAGACAACGACGTTTTCGAGTCGGAAACGCAGGATTTTCTCGTCGTGAATCTTCAACAACAGCCGACGAAGCTTGACGATGACTTCAAAATACGAGAGCGGTATTCTTTCTGCCAAACTCATCGCGAAGATCCAAAGGCCATTCGCGCTCCTGTTGATTTTCCCCCGAAAATCGGGCGATTTGAGAATTGGGAGAAAATTGAAGAGTTTCGAAGCTCAATGGCGGTTATGAGCGCTGTTTTCTTGAGCTTGGAGTCTTCAGAAGACATCACCAAAATGCTCAAAGTTCAAGAAGCACTAGAAATTCAGCTATCAAACAATAAAGGGGTCGAGATCGAAGAAATCTTCAAAGAAATATCACGAGAAAACGGGACGGACTTTTTGAATCTCATCGCTTTCATTGGTCAAAAATCTGGGGTGGAGGACTCAGATTTGATGAAAGCGATAATGACGAATGAAAACGTCGACCTCGAAGCTTTTTCTGAAGAATTGAAAGAAACTCAGGATGAAAATTTTCATCTGATTCAAAGTGAAAATCAAACTGAAGAAAATTTTGATCCGCATCAAAATCAAATTGAGGAAGAAGCAATTTATCCTCAAGAATCCTCCTTCGAGATCATCGCTGGTTGTAGAACCCCCTTTGTCCCAATCTCTGACTCCTCCTGTGGGCATATTCTTCCCGCAGACAACAAAGAAAATGTAGAAAACACCTGTTCAAAACTTCATAATTCAACTTTGCCGATGCCGACAACTTTTGAAGAAAACTACGCTTTGAGTAGTTTCATGCCCGTGAACAACAATACTGGTTTCAATGAAAAATTTTGGCTAGGAGTTCATCTTGATGATGGAAAATGGAGAAGGATGGATGGAAAATCGATTCAGTTCTTGCTCTGGGCGGCGATGCCAGATTTCGACGAGGAGAAAAGATGTGTTTCAGTGGTAAGGGCTTTACCTTAGATGAAATTTTGCAATCCAGAAAGTCTAAATTTTAAAGTCTAAAAACTCGCCTTTCAGAATAATGATTCACTTCCTCTTTGGGCGCCGGAGAATTGTTCAAATTTGATCATGGGGCTTTGCATTCTTCCACGCGAAAATTCAACAATTCTAGAGCCAACGATTTCTTCTCAAATCATAAATTATGATGTGAGCAAACATCCTTCAATCGAAATCAGTTTCAAGATCGACGCTGATATCAATTTTAATTTCAACCTCAATGAAAAAAATATTGAAAGTTCTTCAAGCTCAACTAGCACTAAAATTTCTTCAGCAATTCTTCTTCTGTTCATTTTTTTTATAATGTGTGAATAAACAATTAGACATGTTTATACTAAGCCTTGATTTTGAACCGTTTTGAAGGAAAACCGCATTTTGTGGGCTGCGAGAAAATTTTGATTTATCAAAACTTGACCGTTTCTATCGGGGTTATTTGTGGCTCCCCCTCTTCCCGATAGAAACTTCAATTATGATAAAAACTCTTGATGGAACTTTCAACTTGGAAGTATATCACCGGCTTTACATTCGATATCATATCGAAACACGGTTCGTTAAAGGATGAATGATTAATTGAGCATTGATGCTCTTTGAAGATCATACTATCTGCTATTCTAAAATCCCACTTGAGCCTCAGATGATTGACCAATTGCTACATTATCTCCGGTGCTCTGCCGGCATAATTATTTTGGGTGGGCATAATCGTGTGCTTCTTTATTACATCAACCAATCATTGTTGTCAATCAAAAACAAATAATCAGGAATCATTATTATTATTATCATTATCATTATTATCATTATTGAATATTTTAGCCATTGCGGCCATTCTAGTCACTTGAGGCCATTTTCATTAAAGCATTTAACGGGACACCGTCGACTCGCCGAGATTTTAGCCTGACCCTCGACACGCCGGGAAATAATACATTACTCAACACTAGCCCTAAACCCTACCCTTAAATCCAAACTTTAAGCCCTAATTAACCTTTTCTGGGGAAAATATTTGAGAAGAAATGATCAGCTTTTGCAAGAAGTGATGTCAAAACATACAGGAAGGGCTTTTATTTCAGAAATTAGAAAAAGAAAATTTATTTTTCGACGGAAAATTTCTTGAGCCAAGAAAACAGAAGGGCGGAGATCCCTATCCACGTGTTTAAGTATCAAACATTGGAAAATTGATTTTTATTATTTTCTGAGAATGATCGAATACGCCTGTGGGAGAAGATACCAAGTTTCTTTCTTCATATTTTTGATCTGCTCGCTCGCCAGAGTCATAAACTCGCCCTTGTCTCCGTGATACTCATATTTTTTGTAGCGGTCGTAGCAATCTGTCATCACGTAGTAATCGGTGTAGAATGGCCTGTCCTGAGGAATTTCGATTTTAGTGCCAGAATGCCCAATGAGAGTGTTTTGGAGAATTAATTTTGAGTTTTCGATTCGGTCGAGCACCATTTGGTGGAAAAACACTTCTCCGTCGGGACTCAGGTAGGAACCAGTGACGGTAAGGGGACGCGTGAAATTTGAGAAGTTGTGATGGAGGAGCACTGAAACTTTGTATTTTTTAGACTTTTTTTGAATTTTTTACCTTTTTCAAACTCAAACTTTCCACCATCATAAGTTATCATTTCCCATCCACTTTTATTCAAATAAGTTTCAAATTTCAATCTTTTTAGAAGCAACGCAATTTCGTTCGTTTGAAAATCTTGTTCTTCAAACTTCGGATTGAGGTTGAGTCCAGCCAAACTGCGCGGATAAATCACCATCGTCAGGATTGTGAAGATTTTTTCAAAAGAATACGCACCTTCCATTTTCCAATCATCAACTCTTAAATCATTTTTGATGGCCCATCTCAAAAGAGTAGTGACTGAAATAGGGACACAAAGATTGCTTTCTTTTTGGTTCAAAACATTCTTCGTCACGTTTTTGAAGTCGAAATTGATTTGTTTTGTCATTTTCTGTTTGAGATTGGCCATCGCAGAGGACTTTGTCAAGTTTCGATCGTTCAGGCAAAAATGGGAAGGCGCGTTTTTTAGCGAAATCATTTTTGATAAGCTTTTGATTTCATCGTTTGTTGGAGTTTCTTTTGATAGCCACGCCGCATTGAATTTCTGAAAATTTTCAAATGTCAAGAAAACAACAAATTGAACAAACCTTTAACTCGTCTCTGATGAGTTCGTCTTCTCAGTTATAAATCTTTTTGAATCTAATTCTTCTTTATTATAAAACTTTTTCAATATAATCTTTTTCATTATAATACTTTTTGGTTATAAACTTTTTTGTTATAATACTTTTTGGTTATAAACTTCTGTGTTATAATACTTTTTCTGTCGAAATTTGTTATAACGAAAAAGTATTATAATCAAAAAGTATTATAATCAAAAATTTCAAAATTTCAAAAATTCGAAAATTCAAAATTTCTAAAATTTCAAAATTTCAAAAATTCAAAAATTCAAAATTTCTAAAATTCAAAATTTCTATTTCTTTAGAAATTGTGAGACGTGGTTATTTTGGAAGCTAGGGGTGGGGCGGGGGAATTTTTACAAGGGCTAGTTACGAGTTTACCCGGTGCATAATTGATGATTTTCAAAAAATTATACTTTTTTACTCATGATATATTTTCTACTCATAATTGACTTGTGGTTTATATGAGGATTTAAAAAAAATGCTTTTACTCGTTTTAATGGAACATTTATCTTGATTTCATTTTGTGTTTGGCAGAAGACTGATGATTGTCTTGATAAATGTTCGGCAAGTGCATTCAAACGCGGCCCGGGGAACTTGTCCTCCCAGCGATTGTACCTTCATAAGTTCACGATGCTCACGCATCATACTCGCTACCATCAAGGGTCGGGATTGTCTGCTCTTCTGGCTCTGTCCTTTTCACAAGTATTGTGACCCTCCCTTACTGCTTCTTCAAGCCCGGCGCTGGCCTGTATAAAAAGCGCTACTATCTCAAAAACTCTCTTCTCGCGGCGCATCACAACTGTAAACATCTAAAAATTAGATCGATCTGTAACAATTTCGAGTTTGGATTAGACTCGACTTCTTCCATTTTGTGACCCGGATCAAGGGCGACCGATAGTTCCAGTGGCATTTCGAGCCCTCTTGCCAAATACTTTCATAAGAGGAACATGATCGGCCACCAAAATTTCAATCATCACGGGCGAGAAATAGTCGGATAGGGATTGACTTGAACTTTGTTTTATTTTGTGATCCTCCAAAGTGGGTTTTGCTAAACAACGCTCAGCAAAAGTAAAAAGTTCTCTTTTAAAAAAGGGAACTTTTTAATTTACCACGACAGAAATCATTTTCGAAAAGATCAAAAGATTCTTCGTAAATTGGCAGGAACGGGTTTTTTGATTGGTTTAATTTTTTGTATCTTGTGATCCTTTGAAGTGGCTACGATCAGACAAAAAAGATGATCAGCCAGAACAAGTTCCATTGCCACAAATGGATGTTTATGAAACACCACAACAGAAATCACCTCCCGAAAGTCTCAGAAACGGATTTTATGTGTTTTGTGACCCTAGATCAGGTATCTAATTTTTTTCGCGAAAATCGCAATTTGCGAATATTTTGCGATTGCGATGCGAGATTTCGCAGAAAATTCGCAATCGCAAGAACTTTTCTGACCGAATCGCAATCGCATCACAATCGCAGCTCAGTTTTCGTCAAGATTTCGCAAAATGCGATTTTTTTGCGAATTTCGGTCTTGTCAAATTGCTCCCACGATGTTCTGACCTGAGTTTTGTTTGATTCAGAGCCTTTTTTCTGTGTTTTGAAGGCTGAATTAAAAGCCTGAGTTCGAAAAATAGTCTTAAATCCTTTTAAAGTGATTTTTTCACTAAAATTTCAGAAATCGCGACAAAATCGCAATTCGCGAAAAATTCGCAATTAGCGAAAAAATCGCAATCGCATCGCAATTTCCTGAATATTTTGCGTCGCAATTGATTTTCGGGAAAAATTTAGATCCCTGCCCTAGATAAGAGGATATAGAGCAGACAATGCAGCTGCAATGACGCTTAAAAAATCGACAATGCTCGGTCAACACCAGGCCAACCACCGATTTATACCCGGCAGGGCAACTGTGGCGAAGCCCAAATTCGTTTTGGGATTTTTAAGAAAGAACGCATAACTCATTGTGACTCTGAATCAGAGGATACCGTGCTGATAAAATTTCAAAATTCATGTTTCGAAAAGCGACAATGCTTGCCCACAACGAGTCTCATCACCGACTTGTTCCCGGGAGGGGTGTAGGGCGGCCCCGCTCGAACTTCGTTTTGGGATCGCAGTTTTTCTTTTTAGGTTCTTTCGGCCTTCTTGTGTTGTACTAGAAGTTGTCTCCAACGTTTTTATTGTGACTCGGAAGTAGAGGCTATAGAACTGACAGCAGTTCCATGTTGATCAAAAAGTCTTATATGCTCAGCCACCACAAATGTAACCACCGATCTGTGTGTTCAAAATTTCAAAAATTCAAAATTTCAAAAATTCAAAAATTCAAAATTTCAAAAATTCAAAAATTCAAAATTTCAAAAATTCAAAATTTCAAAAATTCAAAAATTTCTAATAAATTATACTATTTTTCTTTATTCTTATATGGCACGCGGAGCGTGCCCATCCTTTTTCTTTAGAAAATGTGAGACGTGGTTATTTTGGAAGCTAGGGGTGGGGCGGGGGAATTTTTACAGGGGCTAGTTACGAGTTTACCCGGTGCATGTTTGACGATTTTCAGAAAATTATACTTTTTTACTCATGGTCTCTTTTCTACTCATATTTAACCCTAACTGATCTCTGCGTGCGATAAAGATCCCGAAAAAGTAGCCTATCTTTATTGCTCAAAATAGTTTTAGAAAGTCCGAACCTGGTAAACGCCTTTCCCGCGCAAATCACTGGTACCATGAAGTTGAGCAGTAAAGGGAGATAGGAGAATCTGCCCATGTCTGAAGACATGTGGCGGGAGATATTGGCCCGGGACATGGGCATTTCTGAGCGCGCCTAATTTTGGAAGAAGCCGCGCAAACCCTTGTCGGCTCTCTCATTGGCTCAGACCCGTTTACTTTCCAGATTCTGTTCTTCAGAATCTCGAGATTCTTCTAAACCGCCAAGCAAGTGGTTAAGAAATTTTCTAGACTTCCCCGACAGTGATTTGCGCGGGATACGGGGAAGGGGGCCCAGGGGCTTTCTCCCACAAGAGCTAAACTTCATGGTAGTTTATGAGTCGACGGGGAACTTTAGAGGATCACAATGAATCAAAAATTCATCCCTTTGCTTTTTTCCTTGTATTTTGCGATGAGCAATGTGATGCGAAGACATGTGCAGTT